TTGGCAGCCATAACGTCTTGGATATCATAGAGAAGCGAGTCGAGACGTTCGTTGACAAGCAGGCGCGCTTTCTTCTCTGTGTCCTCCAGCTTCTTATTCTCATCCTACCAAATTGTTTAGCTGGCAAGTCCTCCGCGGTCTTTGGCGCAACCGTCTCGAGGGGCATCCTGATAGACCTACCTTGACTTTTTTGTTCTCTTTCGTAAGCTCTCTGCACAGTTTCTCAAGTTTGTCCTTCATTGTAATGGTCTTGTTGAGATCAGACTTGCCCTTGTCCTGGTCCTTTTGCAGCTGATCGGCGCGCTTCTTGCTTTTGGAATAATCACGATCCAACTTCTTCATATCTGCCAATAGCTCGGTGTATTTCTTATGGACGGTTTCAAGTTTGGTCATAGGAGACTCAATGTTGCTCAAAAGCTGGTTGAGATCACGAGTTGCCTTCTTGACCTCGCGCTCTGTATATCAAATCCAAAGTTAGTGACCCTAAGTTCCAGACTAAAACCGCGACCCAACGGCACCAAGCAAAGAGAAAAAATGCCGCCGCAAAATAAATAGGGAATCACGCACCAATTTCCGCCTCTTGATCTTTCTCGCCGGCGGCATCTTGCTCCAGCTGGGAGATCTTGGCAGCCAAAAGCTTAGACGTCTCGTTTGGGTCGGCCGCTTTCTTCCCCTTATTCTTCTTCGCCATGGAGGTGGACGACATCTCGAGGCGTTTGCGTGGATTATTACAGAGACAACGAATTTGGCGATTTGATTCACGGGAGGTTGGTACAAAGGCCGGAAGCCGAAAATTTGCGCCAGATAGACGGGATACAGGGCAGGATGTAGACGGATCAATCACAGGGAGGAGAGATCCCAGAGACAAGGCTCACGAGCGAGATCACTGGCTCTGGGATGTAGGAATCGTTCGTTTGCCGTACCGTCCGGGAAAGAGCAAATGTTGGTCTTCGGAGCAGAACTTCGAAGAGCGGGCGGCCAGTGAGGCTTACGCTAGCATAGATGATGTAAGCCTGGGCGGTCGGGCAGCCGGGCTGGACATTTTCAACTCCGGGGTTGCTTGCACCCTACTATCGTCAATTAACCCATAATCATGTTGCGCTCATCGATGCGCCTCAGTAAGGCGCGAGTGCCGAATCCTAATCCGCTCATCAGTCGCTCATTAAAATCAACACAAACCATCCTCCCGCGCAATACTTGGAGAGCTGCATCGACCGTGACCAACTTGGATAAATTCCCCAATGTTGGCGAGAAGCTCCACGGATTTACCCTACAAGAGAAGAAGCATGTCCCTGAGCTTCATCTGACTGCAGTATGGCTGAAACACGACCAGACCAATGCAGACTACATGCATGTCGCCAGAGATGATAAGAATAATGTATTTGGAATCGGATTCAAGACAAACCCGCCGGATGCTACAGGTGTGCCTCATATTCTCGAGCATACTACACTATGTGGCAGTGAAAAGTGAGTAACGCCATATTACAAGCGTCTATATTTTTGCTGATCTTGTGTTTCCCCAAGGTTTCCAATCCGAGACCCGTTCTTTAAGATGCTTCCGCGCTCCCTTTCAAATTTCATGAATGCTTTTACAGCTTCTGACCATACTACATACCCATTTGCCACGACCAATCAACAGGATTTCCAAAATCTTCTCTCGGTTTATCTCGATGCTACTCTGCACCCTCTTCTTAAGGAATCAGATTTCCGACAAGAAGGATGGCGCTTGGGTCCCGAGGATCCGCGTGCTGGAGAGTCGGTTCCCGGAGAAAACAAAAAACAACTGTCATTGGAGGACATCGTGTTCAAGGGTGTTGTCTACAACGAGATGAAGGGCCAGATCTCTGATGCAAACTATCTCTACTATATCCGCTTCAAAGAGAGCATCTTTCCTTCGTTGAACAACTCAGGTGGAGACCCGGAGTACATCACCGATCTCACTCATAAGCAGCTGTCGGAGTTTTCTAAACGCAACTACCACCCCAGCAACTCCAAGATTCTCACATATGGCGATATGCCTCTGGCTGATCATCTGCAGCAGATCGGTGCTGTCCTAGATGGCTTCCAGAAAGGACAAGCGGATACTGATATCAAGCTACCTTTGGACCTCACCAAGGGACCTGTAAACGTCACTGTTCCTGGCCCCGTTGATACATTTGCCAGCGAAGATAAGCAGCACAAGACATCCACATCATGGTACATGGGCGACACAACCAATACTGTGGAAACTTTTTCTGTAGGAATCGTGTCCTCGCTTCTTCTCGATGGCTACGGTTCGCCCATGTACCGAGCCCTTGTTGAGAGTGGTCTTGGGTCTTCTTTCACACCAAACACGGGTCTTGACCCATCTGGCCGAATTCCAATCTTCTCGGTTGGACTTAATGGCGTGACTGAAGCAGATGCCCCAAAAATCAAAAACGTGATTCAAAACGTCTTCCGGGAATCAGTTTCTGCCGGGTTCAGCGAAGAGAAAGTTCGTGGATTCCTCCACCAGCTGGAGCTTTCGCTGCGTCACAAGACTGCAAACTTTGGAATTGGTGTAATGGAGAAGACCATCTCGAGTTGGCTTAACGGGTCAAACCCCATGAAAGAGCTGGCTTGGAATGATGTCATCGACGAGTTTAAGAGAAGATATGCGAAGCCTGGTTACCTCGAGTCTTTGGTGGAGAAATATCTTATTAACGACCAATGTATGACCTTTACCATGGTAGGCACTCCCACTTTCAACAAAGAGTTGGACGAGAAGGAGGTCGTGCGCAAGGACAAGAAACTTGCCCAGCTTATCGAAGAGCATGGTTCAGTTGAGAAGGCTGTTACCAAGCTTGGAGAGGAGGAACTGGAACTTCTCAAGATCCAAGAGGACGCCCATAATGCTGACCTGAGCTGCCTCCCGACTTTGAGAGTCAAGGACATCTCGCGAGAGAAGGAACGCAAGCCTGTCCGGGAATCTGAAGTCGAGGGCGCTGACGTCGTCTGGCGTGAAGCTCCCACCAATGGATTGACCTACTTCCAGGCCCTGAATGACTTCGTCGATCTACCCGATGAACTCCGATTGCTCATGCCCTTGTTCAACGACTGTGTTATGCGTTTGGGAACTGCCAACCGCTCGATGGAACAGTGGGAAGATTTGATCAAATTGAAGACTGGCGGGATCTCGACCTCGTCGTTCCTTGTGTCGTCCCCAACACACTTGGATCGGTTCAAGGAGGGCATGCAGTTCTCCGGATTTGCTATTGATAAGAACATTCCCGAGATGCTGGAAATGCTCTCGGTTTTGGTTACAGAGACAGACTTCAAGAGCCCTACTGCGCCCGCGATGATCCAAGAACTTCTACGCACGACGACCAATGGAGCTTTGGATGCCATTGCGGGAACTGGTCACCGTTTCGCCGTCAATGCTGCGGCTGCCAGTCTTTCCCGGAGCTTCTGGGTCCAAGAGCAGCAGTCTGGTCTTGAGCAACTACAAGCTACGGCTAACCTGCTTCGGGACGCAGAGGCCTCTCCCGAGCGCCTGCAGGAGCTCATCGAGAAGCTTCGCTTGATCCAATCCTTCGCTATTTCTTCATCCAACCTTCGCGTGCGCATGGTGTGTGAGAAGGAGAGTGCTGGTAACAACGAATCGATTTTGCAAAAGTGGATTTCCGGACTGCCTCAAACACAGTCCCCACGTGCCGATCTCACTACCTCTTCCTTTAAGTCAGCCGACAAAGCCTTCTACGATATGCCATACAAGGTCTATTACTCTGGCCAGGCTACTCAGACTGTGCCATTCGTTGATCCATCCAGCGCTTCTCTCAGCATATTGTCTCAACTTCTCACTCACAACTACCTCCACCCCGAGATCCGGGAGAAGGGCGGTGCCTACGGAGCGGGTGCTAGCAACGGGCCCATCAAGGGCATCTTCACATTTATGAGTTACCGGGACCCGAATCCTCTGAACTCGCTCAAGGTCTTCAAAAACAGTGGTATCTTTGCTAGAGATCGTGCTTGGTCTGAGCGTGAGATTGAAGAAGCTAAGCTTGGCATCTTCCAAGGTCTTGATGCCCCTGTGAGCGTCGACGACGAAGGCGCGCGTTACTTCATGAGCGGTGTTACCCATGAAATGGACCAACGCTGGAGAGAACAGGTCTTGGATGTTACAGCCAAGGATGTCAACGCGGCCGCTGAAAAGTTCCTGGTGAATGGCTCGCGGCAAACAACTTGTGTTCTAGGCGAGAAGAAGGACTGGGCTGATTCGGAATGGGAGCTGCGCAAGCTTTCCATGGATGCTGCCGCCTAAGCGATATTAGTAACTATCGCCCAGAAGTCCCTTCGTCTCTTTTTGCACACCTTCCCCCGAACTAGGCACAATCCTCATTTGGGGAATTGTATCACCACTTCACCTTCCCGTGTATTTCTATCTACTCCCACCTCCCTGCATGACATCATATCACATCCCATCTTGTACATATATCCGTGTATATCCCATCTGTATACATTTGTATACATCATTCTCTGTGTTTTCATGTCTCCTCTGCCTTTGACCCTCTCCCGCGCTGAAGATATTCACGTGCTTCGGCACCGAGCTAATCACATCTTCAACCAGTCACCACCTTTGGTTGAAAGATGTCGCATTCATTTCCATCAGGATGCTCGCGCAAGAATAAAGGGAATGTGAACCACCTGGTACACTTCTCTTTCCTGTTTTCAGACCCGTCCTGGACCTATAAGTCTACACAGGACGGACTAAAAACAAGGGAACATAAAAATATTGAGGTTATAGACGTAGAAATTGTAGAAAATGCAGAAAATGAAGAAATATGAATCATATGCCACCTATTCCAAGACCTCGGGAGTTTTACAAGGATTAGAATAATTTTGGAAGCGCCACGTAAAGCGGAGAAACGATAATTCCCCCCTGAAGTCCGTACTTCGGACAGCGTCTGCTTACCCTCTCCAATTGTTTTGACCACCAGTTATGGAGATTTACTGCTGAAGTAGTTATGAAGAGATCCGGCGCCATGGTCGGCCCTAAGCCGACCAAGGCTTGTGGTGAGTCCGAACACGGCCTATTGTGGAGAGAAGCTAACCGGCCCTAGTAAATTGCCGACGATTGAAGGTATGGACGCAACTGTCAATATTCTAGTAAGATAACTTATATCATTTAGATGAAATGTGAAGTATCTGGACCTCCTCCATGTCGCCGTTGTCGTCACACTCGAACAGCCTGTGTCTTCAAGCCCCGGGCCAATGTGAGTAAAGACACCTCGGTATCAACCGGACACCAATCTAACATCTAATCTAGGCATCTGCGATGTATGAATTAATGGAGATGCAACAAGACCAGGCTTTTGCTTCTCTACCAATGATTCCGGATCACCAGTCAATCCTGAACCGGCTGGCCAGGATTGAGGCTGCGCTGGGTATCACTGATGAACCCCAAGACCCCCAGGGCCCCGAAGATGAATGTAGCATGTCTCGTGAGGTAAGTCTCGAAGAAGAGATTGACGGCGTGGCACTACATGGCGTATGGACTGCGCTTGCACATTTACGAGTCATTACTCGTCCGGCTCCAGATGACAGTGTCTGGTCGCGATCAGTTGTTCAGCAACTATGGAGCTCGTATGTACTGTTTAAATCACCATGTGAAGTTCCATATCTGATAATATCACAGCTTCTTGAAAGATCTCCCACTTCTTCACTTTCTAACAGACCACGGCGCGTTCGGTTCTCCGACCCCCGTATTGCTCGCTTCTGTGCTCTACATATCTGCTCTGCACCATCCGTCTTCTGGGCTGGCATCATTGGACTCCGGATATCTTGCCGCTATTTATAGTGCTATCGCTGAGCTTGTGACCCCGTCTATGCACCCAAGTTCCCTGCAAGAGCAGAAGAACGAAGAGCATCCACAATCCAAAAGAGAGAAAGCATTCCACGATATCCTTGGATTGATCATGGCTAGTCTGAGCTGCGAGGCATACGTTGATGCCACAGGCTCTTGGATTGCAATGGCATATCGTCTCTGGCTTGATCATTGTCCAGTAGATATGACTTCCACTACGCAAGAATGGCGGGGCTTGTTCTCCGGTCTTCAGGTAGGAACGACTACAAATCCGAAAATTTGGATAATTTGTTTATATTTGTTTGCTTCAGGTCATTGACATCGAACACGCCTCAATGCATATGTCCTATCCACTCCTCCCACGACATGCTGCAACTCCAAACATGCAGCGGCTGGACAGCCAGCAGGGAAATGCCTTCCAGGGCCTTGCCGAAATGATGCACTTTGGACTGAGCCATTTTGTCAGCCGTGGGCTACCGAGCATATGGTCCTCTATGAATGCAGATGATGCGGACAGCGTGCCTACAGCGCGGTCCCCATTTACCGAAAATGACTTGCAGGTTATCCGGCATTGGGCACGGAAACTTGATGACTGGCTGGTGCGATATAATGGCTTATCCCGTGAGTGTCCACGAGTAATGGCCCAATTTTTGGAACTAACTACGTTTAGAGCCCACTCCGTCTGATCGACAAGGTATTCTCATTCTACTCCAATATCACCTACACAAATTATATGTGCTTTCTATCTATCACCCTGCTCGTGGATTTGATCTCAGCCCCGCGAACATTAGTTCTTTTGAGCGACATGAGCTACTCGTTTCGGCTCGAGCAGTGTTGAGGCTGAGACAAGATGATGCGAGCATATGGTCCAATTGGGACTTGGTTGTAAGTTCAGCCCCAGAGTCAGTAATTCTCCTTTCTAACAAAATAGATGATTACATGGGCAGCCGTATTACTTCTTCAAGGTGTTGAAGACGGCATGACTCACCAAGATGGTATGGCATATCTAAGTCCGGAAAAACGGATCCATCAACCTCTTCTAATTCTCTAATCCAGATTTGCATCTCATCCAAGCACACCTCCAAAGCCTAGAGCGAAGAAACCAGTCCGCTGCAAGCATTCATACCATTCTATTTCACAGGCTCGAGTCCAGTATGCAAGCCATGCATACTCCCCCTGAAACAAGTGTGGCATTGGCATTCCCAGGCCCAAGCGCAGACGATTCATGGACTATATTTGACCAGGAGATAATGTCTCTTGCAAACCCACCGTGGTTATTCGATGAATCAACGCAGTTACCACAGATGCAGAAGACTGCGATGCGTCAGTTACAGCCTGGACTCCCACCTTTCCAGTACGACTCTACCATTCTAGCAACTACATCCCAACACTTTGAGCCAAATACACAGTAAGGCTGCACATAGGCAATTCGCGAGTGTCAAAGCAAATCCTCGGTGAACTATCATCAACCCGGAAAAGGATTTAGTGGTGCACGAAGAACCGCTGCTTGATGTAATCTAGAAACAAGCCATTTACACTTCAAATCACAGTATTACAGGAACTACCTCACAGCCTTCGAACGCTAAACCTCAGCTTGAAAGTGTCCATCCCCTCATGGTAATCCTTCATCATCTTATCTGCCCCAGCCCACTCCTCTATCCTAGTTTCCACCTCCCATTTCGTCCCCGTTTCAGCACCAACCTGCTCCCAGAACTTCTTCCACGTAGCAGGATCATGACGATAGTGCTTACCGGCAGCCTCCTCATCTTCTGGGGGAGGCGGGTTTACTAAACCAATTTGTCGCCCGATTAGGAGAGAACCGGGTTTATCCCGAAGTAAACCGACGAGCCGCTTCGCAACAAGGAGCTGCTGGCTCCAGTTGAAAAGGTGGAAGAAAGAAGCCGCATTAACAATATCAATCTTATCACTTAGATTCTTCACCAGATCGGAGTTGTCATCGAATATATCCGCTACAATGAATTGGGCTTTGAGATGATCAAGGTCGTTGAAAAGGTCGTACCCAATGTCATAGAAATCTTGGCGCAAATCTGAGGCATAGAGGTTTTCAGAAGGAACACCGTCAAAGACCTGTGGTATGTTAACTTTCTATTCATTATTCTGGACTCTGAAGGGCATGTCTGGGGTCTCACCAGTTGACGCAGTTCTTGCCCCACTGCACATCCGACATCGAGTAGCTTTTGGCCGGACTTGAGTCGATCTAGGATTTCAGGGTACAGCGGTGACTGTGGGATACTCAAATCTAAAAATCGGAATGACCCAATACAAGGGTATGGGAACTGAGGACATTTATTAGCATCTTTGGTCAATTATAATCCCCTAGAGGGAGGTGAAGACTCCGTAGCCATAATGCGTCTGATGAGCATCACACATGTGAGCATTGCAAGCCACAGCGCTTTTATGACAAGTTCTCGGTTAAGAAACATCTACTTACCACAGCGAATGCTCGATCTCTCTGGATCATTCCATTGTCATTAACACAGACACTTCTACCCTGAGATGGGAAAGACTCACCACTTTCTTCACATGATCCACCTCCTGCCCAGGGGGTATCTTGCTGTACTTTTCGAGTAGAGTCTTTGCTGGCTCAGGTACCTCGGTCAATTCTGGCTCGTACCAGGGGAACTTCTGAGGATTGAAACCGCCATTGAGGATGGATCTGAGGTCGGATTCGGCTTTGGCCATTTTGGGATAGTCAAGGTTGTGCGGTGCAAAGCTGTAGGATTTTGATGTAGAGCTTTAATATGCACTTCAGTCTCGCATCTCAAGCAGATTAGAATGGCAATTCGTGTGCCGTGCTGGGGATGCCCCGCGTGGGGCGTGGGATGTCCCGCAATTTCCCTCCCGTCTCTCTTGAATTTCCTCGACGGTCAAGTTCATCTGATTTGAAAGTGAGGCATATCACAGTAGAGAAGGAACCTGATCCCAATCGAAGCTCGGAATTTATCAAAGAAGTGACTCCGTCACTTCTGCTCGGATAATTTCTGAGGCCAACAGTAGACAGAACAATATATAGAGTATCTATGAGGAGCAAGAAGAAGTAAAGAAGTGACCAAAAGGTAAATAATGATAGAGAGTTTACTGCTCAAAAGTCTATACATATAGATAGCCTCATAGGGAGGTTAGTCAAATGTGATGATATATATATATTAACCCCGTCTCATCTCTTTCTTTCTCTCACCTCTCACCTCTCACCTACGAACAACGGCGACATAACATAGTGTTATGCTGCGTTCGCAGCTTGTCTTCTACGTTCACAGTTCCCCACGATGAGATACGTGCGTCCCACTGGTGGCCGGGGACAGAGATCAAATCCATGAAGATGTCACCAACCTACCGTCCTGGCAGTGATTATAGCTTAAATAATGCTACAGGGCTCTTAGTCTTATTGCTTTTACTAAGTTCCTTAATACAAGCATGTTGAAGTTGCGTTTTATTACATCATGTGTTCTATTGTACTTAAAATTGTTATTGCATACTTTCCTCTCTGTCTATGTAGCCAGTGATGGTCGATATTATTATATTATGTAGGTATTTAATGAACAAAGCCGGTAAGAAACAACCGTGCAAAGTATACAAAACAAGCAAAAGTCTTAGAGAGCCTCATTCTACCTAGGAGTAGGACATCCCCTCCTGTTTGACCTCCAACCACTTTGAATACTACCTATATGCAGTGCACTACTAGAAGTAAACCCCGGAATCCAGAGCCATGTCTAACAACGTTAGTGAGATATAATTACCTGTCTGGACCCTCCCCATCTAACAGTTCCTATATCCCAGTACACCTGCGTCCCCGTCATCAAATGGCTAGTCCGAACCCTCCGTAACGACAACGTCGAAGCAGACGGACTAGCCACCTGGAACGCAATCTTAAACCTACGATTCCCATCAACACAAGGCTTCTTCATTCGCCCATACACCCACAGTGGTGCACGAGGATGTCGAGACTGGACCGAACTCCAACTTTCACATTTGAAAGATGGTCTCCAGAATCCAGTTCTTGTGTTGTACTATCAACGTGCCGATAGAGCGGATGATAATCAGTGGGAAAATGGACAGAAAGAGCTACAGCTGTATCTTGCGTTTCGGTATCGCAATTTCGCGGAAGATGCAGCGCCTATCTATGGCATTCTTGCTATTGGTGCTAAGTTGAAGATCTTCCAGTATGATAATCCCTCTCGGAGTATTGAAAGATTTGTTCCGCCTTGGGATTTGGAGCGGCATGATGAGCAGGTGTGGAATATGCTTAGGAGAATCAGCAGGAATCACACTGGTGGTGTGGTGGGTGAAGTAAAAAATGTCAAGATTGAGGCTGGTGGACAGGGAAATGAGGGAACGAAGAATGTTTGAAGGGGACTTGCGCCGTTTAATGTAAAGAAGTTAAAAGCGACTTGAGATTTTGGGAATGGGGTGGTAGGGGCAGCATGATGATGCTGTGTTGATGAATGTTGAGGACTGTGTAGCAGAAAATGGGTGCGATGCCCATAGCAAGATTCGACGAAGAGTCATCGATTCATGGCTTTCCGACCCTCAAAATCAATTTGCGTTTATCATAATTTCAAAATTATTTTTTTTTTCAATTTGCAACGCTCGAGAAGTTCTGCCACTCCTGAGACTCATGAATTCATGGGGGTATAGTGTAACAAAAGTCGCTAATATCATACAAAAATAGGTGATCAATGGCAGAGGTCCTCGATAATCACCCAAAGCAAATTACATCAATGCGTGTGAAGAGCCATCAAGACCAATCGAGTGAAGTATTAATCGTCAAGCTCATGAGGGGACATAGCTCTTGACGAGTCTTTCGATAAGCCCGGAGAATCCATGGCCATAGATGAAGGTGACATGGATAGCGGTGGGAAGGGCTCAGTTTGGTTGCTGGACATCCGGCGACTTGACGACTCGCTGAAGGTCTTGCTCGGGGTATTAAATTGCTCTTGTGATCGGAGACTTGAATTAGTGGGTGTTGCGGCGGGCTAATCAAGTAATCCGGTTAGGTGTATTCCAAGGTTTTCTCGCTGAGACCAGAAGATGCAGGATTCCATACCTTATCACCGCCTCCCGTATCAAGGCCTCGACTCAAAGCCAGCTCGTGTGCAGCAAGCCGTCGTCTCTCAATATCCGCTTCTTCTTCCAATGCCGCACGCTGCTCTTCTGTCTTCAAGTCTGCCATCGACGGTGTGTCACTTTGAGCACTAGCCGATCGTTTTGGAGATCGTTTCTTCTTCTTCTTTGTCTTTTTCGAGGATGCACCACCGAGACTGGACGCGGATGTAGACTGTATAAGTTCAGACTTCGCCCCGGACTGATCATCAGACTCCAAGCCCGTTCCACGGCGCCCGAAAGCAAGCGCAAACTCATCATCAAGTGGCACTGCATCTTCCTCCTCATCACTAGGGAAGAGATCCCCGCGCGAGCTAAGCGAGTTGTCCGTTCCGCGGGATGATTGCGTGGCACTGCGATTCCTCCTAGTAGGGCTAGGCGACAATATAACTCCATCATCATCCACAGCTTCCATTAGTGGCTCGTCTTCATGCGCATAGCGCCGGGCGCCGGGGTGTTCTTGGAGATCAGCAGCCGAAGGCCGATACTTGACTCCCCTTGCACCGAATCTCCACGGAAAGCGCTCGAGAAAACCAAGGAGAGAGGAGCTTGGAATTACAGTCGGGTCGTCGCGATTGTCTGGAATGTGCACGGTGCTCCTTCGCCTCGTGTTGCGTGTTCCGTAGCTCATCCTCCTCTGCCGACGCGGCTGGTCAGCAGGTCCGCGCGCCAGCCCGCTGCCAGCAAGGAGGCGGTCGAGTTCGCCGGTACTCCATCCAATCAGGCCGTCATCTTCTTCTTCGTTGGCCCAATCATCGTAGAAATCAAAGTTGGCTTCGGTTTGACCGCGTCGTCGCCGTCTTAGGTGGTCATCTCGGCTCGGGAGGCAAGGTGCTGTACATGCAGCCACGCAGTTTCCAATGGACTCAAAACACGGGGATATGTAGTTGTGGGAGAAAGTATAAAGTCCTTCTTGCGCAGTTTCGTTGGCGGTCTCAATGTTATGGGAGATCTGATTGATCCGTTGTCGGATGCGGGGGTCGCGCGGTCGCATCATATTGAGCAACCGTGTCGACAATAGATACTGCTAACGATGAATCTCGTGTGATTCGCTCCACCAGCTGTCGCCGGCGACATTGGAAAAGTTACAGGGGTTGAGCAGAGGCAAGTGAAGTCGAGACGAATCCTACCTGGCGATGTCATTCCTTGCTGAGTCAGCGCGGGTAATTTCCTGGGGGAAATTTGGATTGATGAGGATGCGTTTAGGAGGGAAAGAGGGTCATTGAGGGAATTTGGAGAGAGCATTGTTCGATATATTCAGGATGGTCTACTATGTTCGGTTCTTGAAAACCCCAAGGATCCAGCAGCAGAAAGGGTCCATCTACCTCTCCGCTCTTATCTGCATCACCACTGATTTGGGAGACTGTTTTTTCGCTGAAGATGTTGATTTGATGGTGATAGCCCGTGACCATTCCTCTCGGGCCCTGTTTGAGAAAACGATAAAATGGAATGCCAGTAATCGCGAACTTGCTATTACATTGGGTCCTCTCCCATCCAATCTGGCCCAGCAGTCCATGGTGTTGACGGTTCAAGTGCCGAACCTACCAGGATATTCTGTATCCCAGTATCCTCTCATACCATTAGTGGTTGGTGCAACAAGTGCTCCATTTGGGTCTCGATCTGTGCCAGCGGAGAAGCTGGTTCAACGACAGATTCAATACAGCGGCAAAGCAGTTCCCATACAAATATGGGAAGAGACAGGAAATAGCATTGCTCGACACATATGGTAATCCACCCTTCTACTTACCTTTTGTTTTCCCCCCCGAGGTGCTAAACAGCAATGTTTCTAGGGATGCGGGCCTCGCAACAGTTACATATCTTCACATGATCTGTGATAATATAAAGACGGCCCGTAATGGCAGCCAAGGAACTGAACCTAAAATACCAGCTTTGAAACACGTCCTATCCATCGACCGCAGCCAGCCTCTTCAGGTCGTTGAACTAGGTGCCGGATGTGGGATAGTGGGAATTGCATTGGCAACAATGCTTCCCAACTGTTCGGTCATACTCACGGACCTCCCTGAGGTCGAGGACATAGTAACACGCAATATTAATGCTGCCCAACTCGCAGCCACGTCCAGTCTTCGCTATCAAAACCTCGACTGGGACGACCCACCAGATGAGCTCTGTCCCCGGCCCATTGAGCTCATTCTTGTCTCTGATTGCACCTACAATGCAGACAGCCTGCCAGCGCTAGTGTCTACGCTCGATCGATTGGTTCGGACATCTTCGGAGGCAATCATTTTGGTGGCTTTGAAAAGACGACATGACAGCGAAACGGTGTTTTTCGACTTGATGCGGTCGGCGGGATTTACGGCGGTGCAGGACAGCGTCGAGATCCCCTCGCAACACGATGATGTGGATGAGATTGAGTTTTACTGCTACAGTCGATCAACCGGGGGAAATAGCATATAGAAAATTTACCCCGAAACAACCATTGCAAAGGATCATCCCCCTGGAAAGAAAATATAACGCCCTAGAGCTAACAATAAAAGAACCACATTGAAGCATAGGAACCAAGCAGTGAGACGGCGCAATAACAAAAACCTTGTAGATACTCCAAATAAAGGCAATGCGGGTTTTTTGCTCTGAAGGGTACTATTTTAATTTCTGGATGATGGCGTAGCTGATATAAAGCAAGCACCTGCACGAGCCCTGTACAAGGTTGACAAGTCTGATCTATCATAACCTTGGAATTCTCAGTGCTTACCTAATTGTATATTTTCAGTGTTCTGGAATACAACATATGAAAAATACTCCGTAATTAGGGTGGACCAGAACCATACTTTGTCATGGTGGGTCCAAAAACTGGAGTTACGCAAGAATTTAATGTATGTTAGCACGTTACATAGAGTAAGAATTTACTGAAGAAATGCGTAATTTAGAGCCTCAATTGGTTACGGGGTACTTGAGGTCTAGGTATATGGGCTATAGATATACATAATGTGAAGTAGAAGTCCGAACCTTGGAACTCTCCCGGTGTAAAATTCCGGGTTCCGATAAGGTTTGCAAAAATTAGTATCGATGTTCTTTTTTTTTCATACAGAATACAATTCAGTATCGTATCATTTCAGAGAATGATTGCAAATTGCTACATTGTGTAAGGAGAGTATACATTTACGAAATGATCACCCTGTATTGGCATCTTGAGGAACATTGGAGCTATGTTGATCACTAAATATCTCGGACTGGGCTCCGCTCTAGATTTTGGAAATGGGAAAAGAAAGGTTGGTTGATTTACCTGGTCCGTGCGCAGAAGAATCAAGTATCAGACGTGCGTCATATATTCTCGCCTAGAGAGCTTGATCCTTCCAATTTTACGGCATATTCCTCGGCATTGTGCATGCTATCACCTGCACGTCTATATCACATAGCTCTATGCACTAAAAATATAAACCTCGTACTCCGTACAGAATACGGACCAACAATGCCACGTATGTACCTGGATGTACGGAGTACGGAGTACCTAGACTCAAGTATAAGTTTGATCATCAGGGATATACTACCGAGGACAAATCATAGACAGTACACACACCGCTGCCATTGAATCCAGTAATTCCGATATCTGCATGGGATTCGACTCCTGCATGATGCAGTCACAAATATAAGACCTATCGTGAGGTATTAATGGATGCCTAAACAAGAGCCCGAAATATAATCGCGCATCTTTATCCAAAATAGTATTAGAACGAAAAAAACATAGATGTCTTGTTGTGTACCACAGAAGCCCTTGGGAAGTACAAGCCCTTTTTTCGCTGAGTAAGCATCACTTTTTTTTTTCTTCCCCACGAAGTACAGCCTCCGTCATCTTCTCTCCAGGTATCCCTCAATAACTCCCCTACTTTTTTTTGGGTCCTTGCACAGCTTATTTACAAGGTGAGTCTTTTAATTTCCAAGTGAACTTGTTTTGGGGTGTGTGTGTGACCCCGTGCGGCGTTTTATTTCCCCCAATGGTCGTGTGCCCTAAGCTCGCTCACTGCCCCCCCAAAAGAAAAATTTCTCACAAAACTCTCGACCCCTTCTTCTCATCCGTCCTTTTTTTTCTCTCATAGCTATCATAGCACCTGGAAAATATACCAGGCTTGCTAACAATCCTACTCTTAGATCTCTTCCGGTCATTTAGGCCCACTTATTCGACCCTGCCTTTGGAATCCCCAAAGGCGATTCGGTCACCACGGCTCCAGTAGCCTCCATTCTGGTTCTTAGCCAAATTGTCTCCACTCAACGTCTCCGCGACACTCTTAACAACATTCCACCTCCTGGTCTTCTCTGAATTTTCGTCCGGTGCGCCTTTTTTCGTCCCGTTGACGTCCCCGGAGATTATTCCCTCGTTCTCTGAGCTGCCGCATAGGACTTCTTTCAAGGTTCTTCCTCTTCAGGGGGAAGGGTCTAGGAGGCTTGGTCCAGTCAACTACGGTTGTGACACTTTTCGTCCTCCCTAACGCGCAGTCGCCTGCCGGTTTAAAAACCTCTTATTATTTCTCTTTTCTTCTATTATTGTGCTGAGTCGCAGCGGCATGGTTATGGCACCGACTGCGTGTGTATCGACTGCTGAAGTATGCACCTTCAGAAAAGACTATACCAATAGTCTGGACCATCTTTGTCTTGTCAGCAGTCATGGGGACAACAAATTGTTGCAATCATCGTTGACTGCCAAGGAGCTTGTTTTGGATGTGTTGAAGAAGCGTGCGGCGGAAGTGGATGTGGACCACTGTGGTCCTGGTGATGAGGATGCTTTTTATGTGGCGGATATGGGTGAAGTCTACCGCCAGCATATGCGCTGGAAGATGAACTTGGGCCGTGTGAAGCCCTTTTATGGTAGGCCTTTCTCTGCCACTGCATCCCCGACCAAGGACCCCCGCTAACGAAAAACCAACAGCTGTCAAGTGTAACCCGGACCCGGAAGTACTCCGGCTCATGGCCCAGCTTGGAAACGGTTTCGACTGTGCCTCCAAGTCTGAGATTGATATGGCCCTTCAGACGGGCATTGATCCTAGCCGCATTATTTATGCGCAACCCTGCAAGACCAAGTCTTACTTGCGCTACGCCGCCGAGGTCGGCGTTAAGCAGATGACCTTCGACAATGCTGATGAGCTGTACAAGATCAAGTCCACCTTCCCGGAGGCGGAACTCTACCTCCGCATCTTGACCGATGACTCGACCAGCTTGTGCCGGCTGAGCATGAAGTTTGGTGCTTCCATGGACCAGGCTCGTCCTTTGCTTGAATTGGCTTATAAATTGGACCTTAAGGTCGTCGGTGTCAGCTTCCACGTCGGATCTGGCGCCGAGGATCCCCGGGCTTTCCTCAAGGCCGTGCAAGATGCCCGCATGGTCTTCGACCAGGCGGGAGAGATCGGCCACGAACTCCACACTCTGGATGTTGGCGGCGGCTTCTGCCAGGACACATTTGAGAAGTTCGCGGGCATTCTTGGCGAAGCCGTGGACACTTACTTCCCGCCCAACATTCGTGTGATTGCCGAGCCCGGTCGCTACTATGTAGCAACTGCCTACACACTGGCTGCCAACGTCATTGCGCGGCGTGACATTCCGGATCCAGAAGATCCCTCTCGTGATGCTTTCATGCTGTACCTGAACGACGGCGTCTATGGAAACTTTTCGAACATCATCTTTGATCATCAGCACCCCGTCGCTCAGGTTCTCACCTGTGCCTCGGACGGCTCCCAGCCTGCTTCTCCGAACTCTGCGACTTCGGAGGACGTTACCTACTCTATCTGGGGACCTACCTGTGATGGCATTGATGTTATAACTCAACGTATTGTCTTGCCTGCCCTTTTGAACACCGGCGACTGGCTTTACTTTGAGGAGATGGGAGCCTACACCAAGTGCAGCGCTACCCGTTTCAACGGCTTCTCGGACAACCACGAGGTGATCTATATTTCTAGCGAGCCTGGTGCCTCCGCTCTGCTCAATTACTAGTTTGATATTTGTCGTCACACTTGTTTGTCTTTCCACTCGTTTGCAATTGTGTCTTTTTTGGAGTCACTTTTTGTTCGATGACCTCTACCCTTGGGGCCATCTAATATAGTATCTATTGTGCGTTCTTGCTGCATATCCCATTGTGTTTCCCGACCCCTAGATTCTAAACTAGAATAGAGCTCGTCTCTGTATAGACATGCCCGACTATGTAGATATGTTTTGGTATCAGTTGTGGTTGATGTGTTGCTTTATGTGTGATTATCGGTTGTGCTTTCGGGTGTAAAATATGAAATTCCTGACGTCTGATTGCAGGTGTATCTACTCTATCACATTTACAAGGTATCATGAGAAATTAACCATCACGCATCTATAAACAGGCGCCCCGTCAAAATCTAGACCAAGCGCTCCACACTTAGCTCCACACCCTCTCCCTCACCCGCCTGAACCAGCCCACCCGCTTCGAGCTTCTTCTTCCACTTGGCCGACTCGTATCGAGCCAAAATCAATGTAATGCGCGCAATGACAGCCGGGTCTGCGGATTCCGCAACAACAGCGGAGGGAGTGCAAGTCCAGCGTCCAAACGCCCAGTTGAGAATATAATACTGCACCCCATCCGTCTCGAGGGTCTGCCTCGCAATGGAATTATCCGATGACTCCACCGGAAGATCCTTGTTCGAGCAACGAACAATGCCCTTGATGCGATACACCTCCTCACGAGACGCAGAAGACAGGAACCGCTCCAGAGCAGCAACATCAACCGTCTTGCCCTCAACATCCGACTTCAAAAGAACAGAAAGAACCTCCACCTCAGACTGATGATCATGCTGATGGTGATGATCATGTCCATGGCCAGCCGTAACCCCATCCTCCGACTCCTTAAACAAAGCCCCATCAATACCAAGCAACACATCCATATCAACCTTCCCCTTATTCGACTTAACCCAAGGCGTCTCAACCTCCAAATCACCCACCCGATCCAAACAAACATCAAACCGTCCCGGCGAATCCTCCCACTTATTAAAAACAATCAAATCGGTATACTTCGCCTGGATCTTCGCCGTGTACGAAGTATCCTCATACCCCTCCCAGTTCTCCACATCGATAACACTAATGACACCATCGAGGACGTAATGTCCGCTCTCACGCGCGAGTCGGTTCACCTCCATCGCGAGAGTGGCAGGGAATGCGCTGCCGCTGGTCTCGATCACAATCCGGTCCGGTTGCACTTCGGCGCGGAGTTGGTCCAGCGCATCGCTGAGTTGGCCGACGAGGTTGCAGCAGATACAGCCGTTGAGGAGTTCGCGCACGCCGCTGATGGATTGTGTTGAGGCTAGTTGGGAGTCCACGGCTAAGTCGCCGAATTCGTTCTTGAGGAGGGCGAGCTTGTAGGTCTTTGGGAGTTGGGGGATTAGGTTCAGGAGCAGGGTTGTTTTTCCTGATCCGAGGAACCCCGTCACTATTGTTATGGGAATCGGGGCCATTTTTGCGGTGTTTGGAGGGTTGTTGGGCTGTTGTTGCTTTGATGTTGAGGCTATCGGGGATCGCTGATGGAGGGGCTAGCCCTAGATTAGGAGCCCTAATTGCCGTTTTGGGTTGTTATATATTGGTTTTCGACCTCAAATTTTAGGGAGCTGTTTCTTCGATAGGACGATAATATTGCCCATTGTCTTGGACTGTGAGGTAGTGATACTGGAATATAAAGTTGGATGGCAAACAAGTGCAGTGCATAGAGGATGCAGGCCCGTACATGGGAACAAACCATCCAAAATGAACGAGTTCAGACAGCTGCTTCAAATAACTAATGTAGCAGACTATATTTTGACACTGGCACTATCGATGTCGTCTTGTACAAATGAAGTTTTCAAAGTGTAAAAGAAACGGAAGAATAAGCTAATATCTAGTACTCAGCAGCAGGCGGCCTAGTGGCAACATGACAATGTGTACCAGGTGCCTAAGATCTTCCACTATGTGACTGTTCAGTTCGACTGCGGTCGTGATCGCGTTTAATTAAATACTTCTGGGTGTCAAAACCCCCATCTTTTCTTTCATAGAAATGTTAGAGAGAGCCTCAGGTCATATTTGGTACCTGAGGAATTTCAGCTCACCCAGCATTGAACCCAGCATTGAGAGTTGCTCGCTCTCTTTCCTTCCCCTACTTGAGTCACAAGTCAGGATAGCCTTTATGCTGGGAGACAATCATGACGGTGCTAGACATGGTTACCGTCTAAGTGCTTAACCTCATGCTGTATGTTGGTACAAATTGTATCCCTTAAGAACTATACATATCAGACACCTGAATAGCGAAATTTATACTGGAAATTAGTGAAACCGCCATAAACGTAGAGCATAATGCATAATCTATATTCAATACTTTTCGTATACCTCAGAATGCACGTTGAATGTGTGAGTTGAGATTGACCAGTTGATGAAGAAACTGTGAAAATGCTTTATATACACCTCGAGGTATGCAAGCCGGACATGAATTTAGATCTGGATAACTTTGAAACGTTCAGCCTGCTCACAAGATCCCCCAAGAAATAACAGTTACCCAAATCCAGTCCTTTAAACCAGATATGGCACAATCAATGTCTCGAGGTAGACCGATACTTCGCCCCCGTTGTTCCCTTATTCGGTTTATCGCTCGCCCTAACCCATGATCGATACTCGGATCGCTGGCGACGGGAGTGATGTGCCGGTGCACCACGGCTGGTAACTACCGAGTGGTCTGTGTAATTGACATTCTGATTGCGATCTTGATCAGATTCTTCATCGCTGGAACGACTCATTCTTCGGGATGGAGAGCTCATTTTGTATAGAGTTTAAGGACGGGTGGATTCAAATTATTGTTCAGTTGAGCGGTAATGGGTGAAGAGATACTTTGGTCCTTTCTTATACGGAGTGGCGGCGGTGGCACACTTCGCCCAAATATTGGTTTACTTCATTGTGAACACATCTTGATGAAATAAACAAAGCGGCAACTTGAGATATTATTCTATTTTGCTAAGATTGGTTGATAGGCTGTTGAATGCCAATGGAGATGTCTAGTAGTATGACCAGGAACCAATATATGGGTTGGCGCCGATAAAATCGGTAATGAACACTCATATTTTGAGCTCGGGTCTCATTATCCCATAGGAATGGTTTCTTCGTATCGAGAGTCAAATGCTAATGAGATGTGAATCTCAGACTAAAAGAAGCAATGTGGTAGCTGCTCTGTAACAAGGATGGGTCCTATCACGTGTTGGCTATATAGATGGTAACACAAGGATAATTTGGTGGGAAGAGAATTCCAAGGTTGAGTCCAGATCTGACCTGAATTGTATTCTGACTGCTATATCTACTACGCTTCACTATGTCTGCTCCTAAGATTACATGTTATGTCGACATTGTCAGTCCCTTCGCATATATTGGGTTTTATGTGCTGCAGGTATTGAGAATGAGAGAACCTGGACGATGCTTTTATCTGACACGGTTTTAGAACTCACCCACCTTTGCAGGTTGTGAAATCACATATGTTCCGATTCTACTTGGAGGTTTGATGATTACATGTGGCAATAAACCTCCACTTCAAATCAAAAGTGAGTCGATATCCTAATCTCAAGTGTGAAGTTCCAAGATTCGCATAACAGAAACTTATGAATATCGTTCCCATTCAGATAAGAAACCCTACATAGTCCAACAGCGACTGCGATGGGCGAAATACTTCTCAGTCCCGATTATCGAGAAGTTCCCTAAAGACTTCCCCTTCGGCACGTTGTCCGTACAACGTGCGCTGTGCGTGATCTCTCAGAAAGCACCAGGAAAGCTAGCTCCAGTGATTGGGGCCCTATTTCATGCGGCTTGGGTTGAAGGTAACACAGCAATCGGTGAACCTGATCACTTCGGCCCTGTGATCGAGTCCATATTTGGGAAGCAAGAGACGCTTGAAATAATGTCTGCTGTAAGTCCATTTCAATACTGCCCAAGATTGCAACTACAGTAGTTCTTCGTAAATGCCACCTGAGCACTAAGTTAACTTGGCGCTTAGATGAACAACCCCGACACCAAAGCCCTTCTGGCTGCGGGTACTGCTCGGTCTTTTAACTCGGGAGCTTTTGGGCTGCCGTGGTTCGAGTGCACGAACTCCAAAGGCGAGACCGAGGGCTTCTGGGGTGTCGACCATTTAGGACAAGTGGCTGATTTCCTGGGTTTGGATCGCGCCCTCGAGAAAGGATTTAGAGCAACTCTCTAGTATACGAGTAGTGGCAATTTGGATCGAATACCGTGAATTGTAAAGTGTGCTGTGAAATTCGCGATTCAAAGAAGTTCAACCGCTGCCGCATTTAATTATACATGTTAAATAATGAGCGAGGGATCCTGTCCCTAGAGAATGATTGCGATCACCGACATCCGCAATGTCCAACAAGCCGCAAAAGACATCAAACCATTTCAAACCTCCAGTCAATGGAGACTAGACTCTCAAACGCCAAGAATATGCCAATTCTCTACTTCGTCGGCAGTGAGTGCTTATTACTCATATGCTTCTCTCGTAGGAAGTCACAAATCTGTTCGTTGCTCATATTATCAATGCATTCGCGCTCCTCCTGAGAAAGTTCTAAACATTAATATCTTCGTCAACAACCCAGTCATAGAAGTTGCCAGGAAACTCATGGAAAGATGAACATACCTTGAGGTACCGTCTCCTCGACTTGATTGGACCCACCTGAAATAGAGCGAATGTGACCCTGAACGGTACGTAACGCTCCTTGTGCAGCAGGCAACGCACCCTCCATTAGCGTATCCTTCGCGGCGACGATCTTCTCTTGGGCGACGGAGCCAATGGAATTCCCAAACTCTGAAATCGAGCCACCAGGAGCCATTGAGTCTAACTGGTGTTTCATGCCTGCCAATACATCTTCCCCTTCTTGTCCCTCGGCTTGTTGGAATACAGCGTCATTCGCCTTCATCTCAACCTCGGACTGTTTCTGTTGTCCGATTGCAACATTGGAATCCAAGTACAATGCATCGCTGGAGGTGTCGGGAACCGTGGTGAAGCTTTTCACTTGTTTTGAGTCGGAGATCTCTTCGGATTCAGGCAATCTTGCCCCCATCTCTTCTTTGGCCTGTCTGCGTTGTTCGCGTGCAACATGGGAGTCTAAGTACAATGAGTCGCTGGAGGTGTCTGGGATCATGGTGAAACGTTTTGCTTGCTTCGAGTGGGAGTATTTTTCGGATTCTGGAAACGACATGGTGTGGGAAGAGTGATAGGTATTGTAAGTAGCAAAGTGGTGGGTGTAGGGCTGAGGCTAACGTAGGGCTGATTTCGGGTGATCTCCTCAAATTGCGTAGGGTATGACACTAGAAAGGAAGGAGATCGAGGATTCTAGGCAGGAAATTCTGGGTAATTGGTCTTGTTTCACTGGACTTCTTCCACGTCCAAGGTGGTTCCTAGCAATGACGTCAGTTGGTTCCACTTTTAATGTTCGACACTCAAGATCTGCAGATATACTGGTATTTTTTATTTAATAGAGATCCTATATCATATTGGTATTTCACTTGAATTTACATTGCTTTTACCGGAGTGACTCTTGCTAGGAAGGGGGCAACTCTGGCTCACCACTTTGATCAAGACCATTTTCCCAATCTTTTTGGGTGGTTTATCAAATTGCAAATGAAGCTTTGGCACTACATATAGTATACATTTAAACACCTCAAAAAGCGGAGATACGTCAGTATGGTAGGCTATGAAGAAACAAAAAAGGACGAGAAACGAAAAACAGATATGATTGCGATGCTTATTACTAGGTGGAAGGAGCAGGAATGCGCCTTTACACCAGTCACGAACTGACCAAGAGAGGGAGAGGTCTTTCTCTCCACTAGAATACACGGCCCTAGAGAGATGGACATAATATTCCAACAGATGGTCTTGACTTCTCTATATAAAAACAATGAAAATCCCAGTATCTAACACGGTTTCACGAAAGAAAAGTCCTTATGACAACACCCTTTTTTGTTATTGGCTTTGCCCAGGTGGTTCCTATCGAACGTATGCGTATTAAGAAATCAGTTTCTTTTGTATCGTAGAAGTTTAGGCTTGAATTATATTCCCTTTATCAAAGAAGGGTATATAGATATCGCCAACTCTCAGTTTTCTTTTAATTTTCATTGAACTCATTCCATCATTCCTTCAGTGTTCTGTTATATCTCACTTCACTATCAAATCATGGCTTCCTATATACATATTTGACCACTATAACAAAATCCCGACTCCGTCATGGCCAAATAATCGAAGTGTGGCTCTCAATATCAGTCAAGTATCAGTCAGATTTTGACTAATCGATGTTGTGCTTTTTGTTTCAAAGGAAAAAATTAGACCTTCCTAAAAGCCACATAGGAGAAATCACTACTTATCATGAAGGATGAATGTAGTCATAGGATTGCTATTTAAGATCAGAGTCTTCTTATCCTTCCTCTTCACCTCTCAATAACCTCACTAGCAACCATATCCTTTGGATCTTCGAGTTAAAATCTCTTGACCTATCAGTAGTATTTACAAGGACGAAAGGCTGACTAGCACTGATTGTCTGTAGTCTGACACCTCCCATCCAACGTTAGGAACATAATCGAAGTGAGATAAAACCCCTCGGATCCTCCTTACCTAAATCCACATCAAATACCAAGCTCACAAGGAAGATATGAACCAAGGACTCGAAGAGTTTACCCTCCTACTAGTTAAGGTCTCAGCAGCCTCACGCCAGTGCACTAATTGTGCAAGAAGCACAGCGGATCCTTGATTGTCGTCTGGCTTTAGACTCGATGAACCAGTACATATTCTCCCCTCGCTACCTGCAGTTGTTGTACGATGCACTGGAACAAAAATGAGCGGTCCTGTTGGATCTCTGGATTTACTTTGAGCACAGGAAGAATAGGACGATGAGATGCTAGGACCGTGGCAAGGGTTAAGGTGTAAGGTAAGACTTGTTGACGCCTCGCCAGGACTTACAAGGATAAGACGCTACTTGTACTCGATTGTAGGCTGTCACCCACTATCACGTCATCCGTTTTACGAGCACGCTCACCGTGCGATAAAACTCATTCATGTTCCCGGAAGTACAAGGATGAAATGGCAGGCAACTACCTAATCGTCATGCTGATCGATAATGGTATCAATGACCTGACTTCCAAGGTTCCAATGTTGGCTACAAATGCTATATTTGGCCGTCGCATGCAATTGGACCCAGGGAGTAATTTGATGCTAAATCAATGGTTATGTAGGTGTATGAAGGCAGCAATTAAGCAGAAATGTATGATCTTTCCCGATACAATTGCAGGTCTTTTCACTATGTAGACCAAGCCCCAGAACCAATTTTAGGTTGAAGCTCCAGATCTCTTGTCAAATACCAGGCTTGTTGTTCCCGGAAATTCGGATGGGAGATCCTGTAGAGGGCTTACACCCGTCATCATGATGACCATTGAATTCCTTCTGATTGGAACATCTATTTCAGGCAAAGGACTAGGCTCGAGTGGCTTCAATTTCTAGCATTACTTCAATACATGCATTCATGTCACGTCAGTATGATCTAGTAGTAAGAAGGACCAATGAGGACTAGGGGCAGCTTTCACCTGGAACAATTACGTTTGATATAAATAGGCCTTGCAATTCGATACGCTGAAGTATCTATGGTGAATCTCCTCTTGCAAGGCTATAATGAGTTTTGTCCTTCGCTCGGCAAGAAGCATCCCATTTGGCCCACTCGTGTCACGAGTTATTCATAGACGTGGAATTGCAACTTCACCAATCGCAATGCCACCACTCATCAGCGACACAATCAAGAAGGACCACAGGGAGATTGAATCATATTTTGGCACAATAATCAGCTCCTCGAACCAGGATGAGCAGACACGTTTCCAGAACCTATTCACGTGGGAACTAGCTCGACACTCGATTGGGGAAGAGCTGGTTATCTATCCTCTGTTTGAGAAGATGCTATCCGATGGCGTGCAGATGGCGAATAAGGACCGCCAGGAGCATATGGAAGTGAGTTAGTCTATACATGTCATACATTATGGTACTGACATCATGGGTATAGGTCAAAAAGCAACTGAAGGCATTCCAAAACATGTCACCGGCGGATACGCGATTTATTCCGGCTATCAGGGAGCTGATGGACAATCTTTCCAAGCACATCAAAGAGGAGGAGAATGAAGATTTGCCTAAGCTGGAAGGGGTCTTGTCTCAAGAGGATAGTGAGAACTACGCCAAGACCTTTGACCGAACGAAGATGTTCGTCCCTTCGCGTTCTCACCCTAGTGCACCAGACAAGCCACCATACGAGACAGCTATCGGGCTTCTAACGGCGCCCATTGACCATCTCGCGGACCTCTTCCGTAAATGGCCTCATACTTCGGGAATGCCTAATCCATCTAAGAAATAGAACCCCGCTGGTACGAGTCTTGCAAGCTGTGTGTACTCTATTAGAATAGAATTCTCTTGCCGTACACTTTATGCGTGAAATAACAAATGCAGGCGAGGAAGTATACCAGGAAGAGGAATAGTAATAGATCGTGCATGGTACAAAGATATAGTTTCATTTAGTTCATAGGGTATCTAAACTGTGGCAAAAAGTAACAGTCTTTGCCAGATCCTTTCTGTGTATGTATGTAGAATCAATATGTCGGACACATTAGTTCTCAAAAGCCCTCATAACAGCGATTCCAGCCACTGAGCCTGATGCAACGCGATTATGACCTAAAGGATTACTAGTTAGCTCGCTGAATCTATAGTGACGTTGTTCCAACATACCGCCGTATAGAATCCGTTCCCATCTGACTGTCTTCACAATCTCAGTGCCATCTTCATTGCTGATCTGATTCTTCCAAATCTTGACTTCGCTGGGGTTGCCGTCCTCAGATTTATGGTATGTTATAGCTCCAGGAGCATCCTTGATGTGTCCGCCCGTGGCAGCCACCCAAACACGGCGTCCTTCGTACCAGGGGATTTCAGCGTCGTCAAAAGCGTGAACTATGGTCAGATCAAGGCTTTTATCAGTGTATTCCATATTTACACCGCTCAAGGAAGTAGTATTGACGCCGGTAAGACGCTCTAGTCTCCCAGCGGTGTCCCAGTGATCCACAATGTGGCTCATCAGCCACTTCTGAGCCCGCGGATATCCCACAATGGGGGACAGCATAGGTGGCGTGATGCCCTTGAAGCTGTATGATTCAAGGAGATTTGGTAGATTGCTGAAGGACGCCAGTAGGATCACACCGGCGAATGGCTCTGCGTTTTTGATAGCTGGTTGGATAGCTGCCGGGTCAGATGATCCAAATGCGAAGCGGTCTGCCACTGCGGCTGTGACTGCAGTTCCAAGACTCTGGCCCACGATGGCAATGCGAGAAGTGGGAATCTTTAATGGCCCTGCGGTGAGGAAGTTAATGAGGGACACGCCATCCGTGATCAGACCTTCCTCCGTGGGAGATCCAGTGCTAACACCAAAGCCGCGATAGTCAATTGCGAAAACGTGGACTGGGTTTGACGGGGTAGACAGGCTCAGCATCGTGTTGTAAGTGGCCGGGCGTTGAGCAGAACCCAAGTGTGCCGCATTTCCGTGGACTTGATTGCTCAAATGTCAGTTTGCTACAGTATAATTCAGGTTGCCTATCACCTACAGCTTACAACGACTCGGGCATTGGGGTCATTGGCGAGAAGCTTGTGGGCAACTGTCTTCGTATAATCTTCGGCTGGGCCCGTCGAGGGATTCTCCATTAATTCCTTTTCATGTTCGAGGCAAAGATGCAAGGGCATCAAATGCCAACCGTAAATAGTTTCATTGTCAGGTGTCACCAGATGAAACGGTTGCACTTGGGTTCCTATGGGGATCAGTTAGCAAACATACTTAGGGTTCACCTAGGCAGAGAGGTCGTACTCAAAAATCCAAATTGCTCAACTTGATTGACATCCTGCCATAGACTGGGGTTAATCTTGTTGGCATAAAGAACACTGTGTTATCTATGTTAGGTCACTCTCGGCCTAGACCTGGGGAGTAGATACATACAAACGTTGAATATCTGGGAAAGTTAAGGAGATAAGACACAGCACATAGACTAGTCCACCAGCTGCAAGAGACCAGTAGGCCTTCCTTAAAATAGGTTTAAGCTCAACCATTATGTGTTCAGGGGTTGAGATATGTCTGTTGACAGCCACACAATCCTGGGAGACGGAGGTGAGCGGACAACGGCGCTGATAAGCGGCGCGTTATCGCGTCTCTTCCATTTCTCCCTTCTAAGGTTCCACCCTCTCTCCATCCCCCTCCAACCTTTTGCTATAGGATGTCTCTAATAGTTCCATCTTGGGTAAAGTGATTATATCATTGAGTCCAAAATGGCCGAAAAACGCAAGCTTCCGTCGCGGCGTGAGTCTGCAGCAAAAAGGCGTATCTCCGAAGCCACGCCGCAGTCTCACAAGAAAAAGGCGCCAACTCCTCGCGCTGCAACGCCCGAACTAGTTGACGCACCTTTACCAACAAAAGTCAAGGATGGAGATAGCCTGCCTATTCTCCGCACGCGACAGCCACTTTCTTTGCCGGACAATGAGTACCAGTCGATCGCCGAAAGGTTTGGAATCCCGGCCCCCAATAGTGTTGCATGACTGACATTCTCTGTCTTATCTTAACAGTGCAGTCCTCCTCGCTTCACTCGAACGATCGAAGAAAAAGTGGCTGAGCGATGGCATCCTTGTTCGATACTACACGAAGCCGAAGAAAACGAAGCGTGAACAGACCGAGAAGAACAACCCATCAAAGGATACTATGACAAAAATCGGGCCATGCGATGTCACCATTGGTCCCCATTTCTTTGATGCTATGATTTACATTGTCAAAGATCCTAATGCGCCAACGGCACTCCAATACGCACCCCCGCAACGACCGATGGTTCACTATGGCCATCCTAATAACTTCCAACAATACCGACCGTATCCCACTCCATCCAATCAACAACGACCTGCGCAATATTCTCCCGCTCCTCCGGGTCGCCCTGGGTATACAGGCAGCCATCCCTCGCCACAGCCAGCTCGTGGCCCGAACCAACCCTCCCCCCAAGGAGGACAAAAGCCACCACAAGGGCAAAAGGGCCAACCTGCCAAGCCAAGTCCAGATCCTGTGATTCAAATGTTGGCTACAAGGGCAGCCGCAGATCCTGAACTAAAGGCCTTGATGCGTGTTGTTGCCTCAAGCCAAGCATCCCAGGAGCAGCTCCGGGCTTTCCAAGCACACATTGACGAACTCAACGCAATCATCAAATCAAGAGAGCAGCAAGAACAACGGCAGCAATCTTCAACAGCACCACCAACTCCACAACACTCAACTCCTACACCACAAGCTCAGACTCAGAAACAACAAGATAGTGGGACGAAAGCAGCACCGGTAGAACAATCGCCACAAAAGTCGCAGACCCCATCCAAAGGTTCCAAGCAGCCACCTGCGAAGACGGAGGGGCAGCCTCAGACACCTGCTCAAGCCTCGGCAAGCCAGGCTCCTAAACCTCCTCAGAGCACCACTGGGTCCAGCACCATCAAGGGAGAGCAACCAGCGACTCCTAGTGCTGCAAGCACCCCAGCCCCTGCGTCTGCTTCTCAGCAACAGACCCCTGTGGTTAACCCGACACCATCAGGCAATGCTCAACAGCCAGGAGCTCGACCCGGTCCACCATATCCCAACCACCAACAACCTTATGGGTCACAGCCTCCACTTCAGTCTCGACCACCCCAATATGGTACTCCTGTTCCGTTCCCCCGTCCGCATCCGATTCCTTACGTATCCCCTCTTGGGGCTCCACCGGTGAATTACAAGTCTGTGGTGTTTGAATTCACATCTCCCTTAACTCCATATGGAAGCAGTACATCAGGCCATGCCGGCTCAGGTGACCGCTATCTCTTCCCTGAGTACACCATTCTGGAATGGCTCCCAGCCGAGAACACAGTCATCGCCTCGTTTTTAGTGACCCGGAAGGTGGCTCCAAACACACCATTCCCTCTTGAACCTGCCGGAGATGCCAACTCCAAAAGCAAAGCCAAGGGGGCGTCGAAAGCTAAGAAGGGCGAACCAAAAGTCAAAGCCGAGAAAGGGAAACTACCAACCGATACCCCAGTCCCCAGCCAACCAGGCACGCCCACACCCGGGACGCCACAAAAACAGGAGCCCGCCGACCAAACAGGTGCCCTTACCCCCAGCGTCCCAGGGACTCCTGTCAATGAGGCGAATCTTAAGGAATACTGGCAACCAGTAACTTTCCGCATCCACGCCCCCAATGCCAAAATCCTCGAGCCTCTAGCCCGCGTCGTCAAACCAGCTGACGAGGTGCGCAAATATATGAACGATATCATGGACCGCGCCGAACGTGCGCCAGATGGCTACCTGGCGATGCGTCTGCCTCGCGAGTCGGCGTCAGAATCGTTCGAAAAGGATGGGACACCTGCTTCTTCGGGCAATGTCGGAACCCGCAGTCGTCTTTCCCGTGTTCAGCTCGCTGGCGACGAATCCGAGGCGGAGAATTCTGGTTTCGAGTTCGAGGAGGACGAAGAAGATCTCAAAGATTTTTATGATGCGCCGAGCGGACTACCGCCGTTGAGGGCATGATATGTTTGTCGTTAGAGGCGTTCGAGCGTTTAGTGGTTATTTAACACCACATGTGCAGCTTGCCAGAAAGATCGAGTAACTATAGCATCGATCTGTCAATCACTGGCATATCTGGGGTTCAAAATGGCAAGTGTCCAGTGGCAATGGCTGGCCCTCCGAAACAGATCGGATCTATATGGGGCTCTGAACCCGTTGCAACCTCTGGGTTGATGTTTGTACAATATATAATGTTCTATCTGTGTCAGTTGTTGAATGTACGATTATGAATTGCTACAATCTTCTAACTATATATGCACTGGCTATTCTCTTTAACTCCCACGTTCGGCGGAAGTAGCATTAGGCTCTTCAAGTAGGTTTAGATTGACGGTAGCTAAATTGTATGCAAAGATGTCGCTAAGCATGTCGCCAGCTTTAGGTGGCCAGAAAATTCAGGCCTATAGGGTAGGTGATTGATAGGGTTGCAATAGCCTCGTTCCTATCTCAATAGAGAAGACATTAAGTAGCAAAGGGTATCCCACAGCTCCGTCACGTAAGACATTCAAAAAGATGATTGCTCGGTACACATGTAACAGACGAGACCTAGCCCCTCCCACCAGAATATCGCGCCTGATCTCCAATAATACCAGCCGCCTCCAAAAGCCACCTCGCACTCTCGGTCGTTGGATCCCCAGCCCCAGCTTTGATATTTATATTACGACGGCGCTCAGCCTCCCGCGCCTCAAATTCCCACTTCGCACGCTGTATCTCCACGGGACTCAAGCTCGGGTCTGCAGAGAAAGACGCCTCCGGATCTCGGACCATGCCCCAAATTTCTAGGGTATAAAGATCAAGCTTGATCTTTGTCGGCTGGTCTTCGGGGGACGTATTGGCAGCAGGTAAGAAGACGCCATTGTGTCCAAACGGTGCAGCGTGGAACTCTGCTGTTTCTATGTTGGAATCGATGATGAGACTGCCTGCTCCGTGCGGGGACGGATAGGTTTGCTGCGTGCGGGACGGGGCGGGAATTTTGCAGCCAATTGCGATGCCGGTATTGGGTGAGAAATAGGCGGTTGGGGTGTTGGGCTTTGTTGCGGATGAGGAGGGATTACCCGGGAGGAGCATGTGCTTTGGGGATAGTTGGAAGAGGCAGGGGAGGAGGTCGGATGTTTTTGAAGATGGGCTTGAGGTTGATATGGAGGTTTTCCACGGTTGGGGAATGTAGGCGCCTATTGTTATTAATTCATCGCTAGATGAGTCTGCTAAAGATCCTTGTAGGAGGAGGAGAGTGGCAGATTGCCAGGTAAGGACGTGATGGGAGAAATATGTTAAGGAAGACCCGTGGGCGCTTGTGGAGAAGACAGGATGTAGTTTGACGTCACTTCGGAGGATATTGATGTCGGGTGATGTGGAGGGGAGGAAGAATGAAAGATGCGAGTTAAGTGTTGGGTTTAAGATCGCCGACTCGAAGCTTCCCGGAAGTGTAAGTGCAGCCGGTGGTGAGGGTGCTTCTTCGTTCTCCGCGCTCTCCTGTTTGCTCTCCGTGGCTAGATCCCTTTGGCGGCGTTGAGATAGATTCAAGTTTTCGCTGAAAAGCATGTGCTCGAAAAGAGCAGTCAGTGGATCGAACAGATATGGCAGAGACAGCGATATCGTTCGGGCAAAAGCCTTGTAAGATATCCCACCATCACGCTCTTCCGGAGAAAAGGCTGCAATGATACTGTCTGCTTCCTTCTTAACCAACTCCATACGCTGACCTTCCACTCCAGACGTATATACCTTCAAAGACTCCAATGGCTTCAGTGGTGCAATGACAAGCAGTAGCATAAGCAAACGACGGAACGTATCGATGGAAATCCGTGCCTCGTAAACGGTCTTGTCAACACGGTGGTCATGTTTGAATACTTCAATCGCATCAAGAGATTCCAGTGCTGCAAGCGCAAGATCATCGTCCTCATCATCATCGTACTCATCGTTGGCCGGTTCGTCTACGGAGAAACCTTGTGCATGGGAATTCCCAGCTAAAGCTTCGGATTCCTCGGTTGTAGATTTTCCATTAGACTCGGCAGGAGTCTTTCTCCCCACATCAGCCAAGCTGCCAAAGAGTAATTTAATTCGATCTTTGTGTCCCCGTTTCAGTGCTTTCCCATAGCGCTCAGTCAAAAGAACAACCACTTTAACCATGGCCTCAAAGGTCAGCACACTGGGTGCGAGCGTGTTTTGGAATGGAAAGGCTCCCAGATAAGAGACCATGCGGAATACCACCGGCCCTGCATCTAAAGGTTGTTTCTGCGAAGAGGTATAGATACCATCCGGGATACCCAAGAAGTCTGAGAGGACTTTCTCATTCCAGTACCGCAGGCCTCCTTGCTCTAAGGCCCGAGAGAAGAAGTTGTCTTTGAAATGCGTGAGCTCTAATGGCGTGAAGCATTTTGTGGCAAAGCGCTCGGCAAGGATGGAGCTCAATTCCTCTGTTTATGCATGTGGTTAGATACAACTGGTGTTGAGAAGATGTTATTGACCAGACGGAGAGCAGTCCATGTCAAAGTCGAAGCCACATAATTGACAATTGCGAGTGACGAAGAGAGGAGGACATCCATGTGTTTCATAAACCCAACTATCAATGTGACAGATATAACTCACCTGGGGATGATGCACCATTCTCATTAGACTGCCCTGCACCCATCGTTATGGTTGATGCGGGAACGACCCCACTGCTAGGTAGGTTACGGCTGCGTTTTGTCACAGTCCTCAAGAGGTCAAATGAAGCGAGAAACTGGCAGAAGAGAAAGACTTGGGAAATTAAGTGGTTTGAAATTGTCAAATCACCTCCAACAAAAGCGGCATCAACAGTCCATATGTAGTAAACATAAAGAGCGGAATCAATGAGACGACGTCAGAAGTTGCCTGAGGCATAACGCTCTAGGCTCTTCCCGTGATGCCTGAGGCCTCAAATCGTTAGGTAAAATTACGTAATGGTAGATCATGTGCCCACCTTGGCAGTTTATCTCGTCAGCACATGACCACAACAATACTTGTCACGTGGTGATTCGACCCTGGGCTAGGCCTCTGTATCTCCAGTTCACCACCTGCCAAGATGAGTAGCTCTGAAAATTTACCTGGGCACCGTCATTTGTTGCACGTACATTCGGAGTTCTTTCTTCTTTCTGTACCACCACCATTCCACGCTATATACCAGGTACTGTATCCGGCATGATGCATTCGCCCTTGATAATTTGGCAGATGCGCCAGTTGACTAGCTTTCAGGCTTTCGAACCAATCCAAGAGACCTGCCAAGCCCAAGATGCTTCTGAGAGAGACAGCACTAGAACATGTCCTTAGAAATCTCACCTCAACTACTTCGTATACTAAGCACAACTATGATATGAACCAGCGTATCAGAGATCAGAGATTGGACATCATGTTGATTGGATGGCCTTCTGTCTGTGCGTGTTTCCAATAAAAGTGTTCCCATCATGACCAGAAGGCTATTCGTGTCATCTCCAAGAGAAGGGAGAGTCCACGCATTGTCTTCAACTATTATGGATGGAGTCTGCCTGGCATCCAGCTGAATTATGACTTTCTATAGTCGGCGCGTGATTTATGTGGAGAACTCCCTGACAATGCAGCTAACGATATGGAATCACTGGCAATCACTTCCTTCTCCTATTAGGAGAAGGCATTCATACACGAGGCTGAAACGCCTGTTATTCTGATAACCAAACGAGTCAACTTGCTGATTCTGAGTGGCACCATTGCGCTGAATTGCGGGTCGAAGAAACTTCAACTATCGCTCAACAATGGAGCACCGAATCCTTCATGGATTGCACCGTATACTGAATTGGGAAATTTTCCTTGCACGCCGTGCTAAGATTCGTATGGGCCGCTACTTTAGGTAGCCAAATAAAGATTTAGTCCTTGGCGCACTCTAATTCAAATCCCTGTATGGAGTATCCACCGTCTAACTGTATGAGCGTATGCCAGTATTTGTATTTGTGTATGTCGGTATTACCGAACTAGTGCATGTATCGTAAATGTGTATGTATTCTTCGTATAATTTCATGCAATACCACCTGCTCGAGAGGATAGAGGATTGAGACCTAGACTCATTCTGCTGAGCGCTGAAAGTTAAGTGTACTACCGCATCCAGATCGTGAGTACTACATGATATCCCACGGGGCAAGCCGAATCGGTCGATTTTGATGTTCTGCTTGACCATCTGTCATGGAAATTAAGCCACAGCCTGGTATATGAATATCGGCTTGCGTTTCTGGCGTATGGTTTGAACGACCTAGTATGACAGCTTCAAATACTGGAGAAATAACACATGAGTCGGTGAGGAAAATGAGAGCTCCGCTCGAGTGGCATTTCTCTTCAGCAGTTAAAGTGACCAATATCCATGAATAGGACGTGAGTTGGTTAATGTCTGTCCTGTATACGTACCGTCAATTGCTCGCACGTTTCAACATCTGGCTGCAACCGGATTTTCAACGGACCTCGTAACCGAACTCGGCGAGCATCCCGAAAGCTCACGAACTGACGAGCCGAAAATTTTATATCCGTTGACGATAGCTAACGTTGTGGACACTCTAGCCGAACTTGAAGAAATCATTTCGTGAAATTCTCGTTGTAAACTGGTAGCTACTTATTCTGCAAAGACAATCCTATTTGAAAAGGCAGTTACGGTGTCATATCATAGTGGCCACTTTATCAGTGCCCTAAAGAGGAATGGTAGAGGGCTTCTTGGTAGTATGCTACATCAGACACAGTCACCACTTCAAGAATGGATATAACTTATACCAAAGTCCCTTGAGTGTCACGGTATCTGGTGACAATTGTGCAATTGCACGCCCGGAGGAACAATCCTTGGGGATGATTACTGAAAAGCCTAGGACTCAGGTATATGAAGAATCGCCGCCTGCTTATACAACCCTGTGTAGTTTTTCTTTTGGTCTTTTCAGTGGTCTTTTCAAGATGTTTTATCCCTTTTCATAGTGTTACAGATAGGTAGGCGGCCGGAATCAAGCGGGATCTAGAGAGTTGTTGTGACGTTATTGAGTCTAGACGTATAGAATGCCCATATTACAAGGTATACTGTAGGGAAAATCTGTTATGGCGCACTAGCGCTTAGAAACTGCCATATCCTCCCCCGAGTGTCAATGAAGCAATGCATGTTTTACGTCTGCGATCTAGCAAGTGCTGCGAATCCTGTTAGCAGTCATAATTTGTGCCTTAGAGTGTTAATATCTAAAACGTTATACTATAGACTAATGAGCCTCCTTTCCCATCTGATATCTGTTTTCGGGCCTGAATGACTTTTTCCAGTGAATAGTTTTATGTGGAATAATCTGAAGGTGTTTTACATTGATCTTCCACGGTATAAAGGGCTATTACTAGTGGTAGGGAGTTTGTCGCGGTTGGTAAAGTCTCAATTATTCCACTGGTATTAGGTATTCAAGTCTAGAAGGTACCGGCTGTTAATACAGCAATTCACATTACTGAGGGTATTCGCACCTCTTGAATAGGAAATTCCAGGGCTTCGCGAGAGGTGAATTTGGATAGTGGGTCCCGGTTATGTATATATTTTGCATGTGGTGTATAGATCCGACTTTCCCGTGGACAGAGGTTCACGTTATGAGATCACGAAGCTTGAATTACAGTATTGGGGTATGGTAGACTTGTTCCAGCTACCTACAAGTGATGCCAGGTATCCTCCATTACTACCTTAACATCTTCCCCTCCCGCTTGATTTCCATAGATACATGTAGAGATTTACATTGGGAGAAAGCTGCCGAGTTGACCTCCACAATAATCCCCACAATTTCCTTTTTGGGCACTAGCAATAGAAAATCATGTACCTGCCAAGAGCTAAAAAAGACTCGGCACGCGGCTACCTAGGTCTCATCTAGATCAAAATAGCGTACAGTATGTCTCAAATCCGTCTGCCTAATAAGTTCTATATATTTGTCTCTAGTGTTCTATTTTAGCTGGGATTTGATATGCCTATATATAGGTTGGGAATGAAGTGTTAAGAGTATAACATCCCAACCCTCGATCTCTCTCCTTCCTATGTTGCAACAACATGCATCTCCCCGTGGACCCCCAATTGACACTTCCGGATCTAGTGGTGATAGAGGAGCTTCTAAGTCAGAATGAGCGAGAACATGAGCACAGCAACAAAGACAAGATTGAGAATCTGAAGAAGCTGAAGTCGCTCAATGAGGCCTCCGATCCTGACTTCGACCCTACGGTGTTCCAGTTCTGGGAAACACATCTATTACGGGAAAAGCTGCCCCGTCCCATCCGACAGGACCTACTGGAGCCGTATATCCGCTGGGCACAGGACATCGTGCGTTTCCCAACCGACGTAGTGATGATAACACACCTCCTGCTCTACCTCACCACCTCCATCCCCAGCGCACTCTGGCTCTACTATCACTTCAGCTGGATCCACGGTCTTATCCATTGGATCGTGCACGTGTGGTATGCAGGAAGCTACACGCTCATGAAGCACCAGTACGTACACATGAATGGCGTGTTGGCATCTCAATATCGCCTGATCGACATTCTCTTCCCATATATCATCGATCCCTTCATGGGTTACACGTGGAATTCGTATTACTACCACCACGTAAAGATGCACCATGTGGAAGGCAATGGGCCACGAGACCTCAACTCAACCATGTGGTACGACCGAGACTCGATCGTCGATTTTGCCCGTTATGTCGGCCGCTTCTTTTTTCTCATCTCGCTGGAACTGCCGCTGTACTTTCTTCGCAAGGGCCAGTATTCCACTTCGTTCAAGACAGCTTTCTGGGAGTTCAGTAACTTCCTGGTCATAGCTCTGCTGTTCCGCTACTGTCATGCACAGGCCACGCTCTGTGTCTTCCTTTTGCCCCTTTGGACACTTCGTGCTGGATTGATGGCAGGGAACTGGGGCCAACACGCCTTTGTGGATCCCCATGATCCTTCGTCAGATTTCAGGTCTAGTATCACCTTGATCGATGTTTCCGTAAGTTTTCACCTGATGTACCTAGTCAATATTCAGCCGGACTTCCTAAACTGACATTCTTCTCCAGAGTAACCGATTCTGCTTCAACGATGGCTACCACACATCGCATCATCTGCATCCCCGGCGCCACTGGAGGGAGCATCCAGTGGCGCTTCTTCGAGATCAAGAACGCTACTCGGACGAGCAGGCGCTAGTGTTTCACAATGTGGACTACCTCATGCTGACTGTGCACCTGTTGCGAAAGAATTATGCACACCTAGCTCAATGCATGATTCCAATTGGTGCTGAACAGAGAGCGATGAGTCTAAAACAGCGCGAAGACCTATTACGCAGTCGCACTCGGCGATTCTCCGGACTGCATTTAGAGCAGAACAGGGCATCCAGGCGACGTTGAAGCTAGTGGGAGCGGTGTACGATGGCTTTCTCGGCCCTTACCGAGGTGTACTTCTTGGTTAGCAGCCTCGTGTTGACGGGTACAAAGGATCGGAGCATTCTGTTGGTGGGGAATTAGTGTGGCGTTAGTGTTTCTAGAAAAGGAGAGCTTCAAATACGAACTAATCGGTCATGATACACTAATAATTACCATATTTAATACAATTGAAATTAATAATTGCATCAAAACGCTGAATGTACACAATACTTGAAATGTATACTTTTCAAAACAGCAATGTGAAATACATACACTTATAAATACGAAATAAAAATTACAGGGTCTCCCGCTAGTTAGGGCTAATTTCACTTGGAAGCTTAGCGCTGACATACATTAACCTTTGAAACCCCGAAAAAGTGCTGACATGGAATCAATTAGCTTTCCAGGCTTTTCAAGGCTGCAATATATTATCTAATTCGATCCTTAATTAATCTAGTGGCGCTTTTGATTATTTGAATATTTTCTACGAAGTATTAATCGTTGCAATACGCATGACACTATCATGTAACCAATATGTACGGAGAGCAGGAATCGAGCCAGGAAGGCTTTGGTACTGACGCTATCACCGGGGCCAGGATTAGCTCCAGGAAGGTGGAAAACAAGACCACTTTGGCATCAATATTGAGCAACCGAAGCTGCTTAGCAGTCTGTACGTAAAATTTCTGAATCGAGTAGAAGGCTGCCACAATCACCGGTATAGCAATACCAATTCATTTGGAGGTTATGGCAGTGATAGCCAGGCAGGCTGTGCACAGCAATAATTCCACTGTAGTGCTAAAGAGTGCTAATGGCAGTTCTGCGTTCGCCGATTGTGGATCCTGAGCCAAGCGATTGAGAGTCCTGCCCACGTGTTCAGAAGAATTTCTAGGGTGCTTAGAGGACATTAGTGGACGTTGAGCGCATTAGCTTGACGTCTACATCAAGGTTAATGGGGCTGAGTCCAGCGTGATGCTGACATCGAACGGCATTGTATGTCTATAGACTAATGGAACGAGGCTACCACGTATCATGGTGATCAAACAGAATGCTTCGTGTTAGCTACTAGCGGTGGTAATGGCCAGACCTGAGTAGATACTCATGGTGGCGGAGTTAAAACCTATGTAATGGCCTATCGATAGCCAACCTTCAAAATCATCGTTGAAGTGGAGGAAGACTTGGGCGGCACTGTACTATCCGCCAAATGGGTCTCCGTCTTCTGGATCATTGACACGGCCATCACTACTTGGGATTCGGTTGGCCTCGAGGTCATCTCAAAATCATTTTATCACTTTAACCAGCAATTATACATACGGTGATTGAATAGCTTCTCAATCGTCTTGTACCTGCACATTTGGGTATATTTAGAGGCGAATTGCAAGTACGTGTAATCTCTGTATAGTACAGAAGTATATGTATTTAACCTTACCGGTTTCGGAATAAGCTTTCAACACTCTAACCGTCAGCCTCAACCTCAACATCTCCAATGCTATTTTTAACTGCATTCTGGCCCCCAGTATCATCTCGTCTATTGCAAGGCAACCATGATAGCAAAGGTATGTGTTAGTTTTTCCCAGGTATCAGACATTGATATAAAACTAAGTACTTGGTCGCTATCGGCCTTCTTTGAAATGAATTTGACTGTGTCTTTCTCTGCACTTTCGCATCTCTTTCTATTAGGCATTGTGACCTGATACATCCCTTTCTCTGGTTATTTGTGCCATATTGTCTTGTAGTTATGAGATTTTCTACATCGGGGTTGTTCTTCGTGTTGGTGTCGGCCATGATGGCCCGGGCATCCCCTGTCCAAACTGCTGCCCCCCAGCCGGAGGTGTTTCCGCGGGATGCCACCCCCACTACGGCGACAAACCCGGAGACCACCACAGCGACCACCACGAAAGATGACTTTAGATTTGGCTTCACTTTGGAGACTTTGAACTTGCATTTGCCCACCAGCACGTGTACGCCCACCATAGCACCCGACAAGTATGGTTGGGTACCACCCTCGGAATGTGACGCCTTATACCTATATTACCCATCTTTTGGGGCCGCGATAGCTGCCTCTGTAATTTTCGGGATCCTCACGATTGCACACCTCGTTCAGGCGATTATGTACAAGGCGGGCTTTGTCTGGGTCGTCCTCATGGGAGTCGTGTGGGAGCTCGTAGCCTACACAACCCGCGCCTTCAGCACTCGCAATCAGCAGAATGAGCCCGTTACGACAAGTTCCCTGATGTTTATTCTTCTGGCACCGTTATGTACGGCCCCCTACTTCTTCTTTACAACCCCCCAGCTTTATAATACTGACTTTCAATACAGGGGTTAATGCATTTGATTACATGGTTCTGGCTCGTATGATTCATTTCTTCGTTCCTGATCGTCGCATCAGCATGTTTAAGCCCTCCTTGCTAGCCAAGATATTTGTCGTGCTCGACATCTTCTCTTTCATTGTCCAAATGATCGGTGGCTTCATGGCCAATAATAAAGGCAAACAGCAAATGGACGGTATCCATATCTACATGGGCGGCATCGGAATCCAGGAGCTCTTCATCTTGGGCTTTTTGGTGCTAGCCGTGCAGTTCCACCGATTGATGCTGCAGCTTGAGCGATCTGGCCGACTTCCTAGCGAGAAGCAAAACTGGCGTGGACTGCTCTATGCCCTATATGGCAGTCTAGTCGCCATCACCGTGCGCATCATCTACCGCCTGGTTGAATTTTCCGCCGGCACCGAGGAGTCAAATCCCATCCCATACCATGAATGGTATATGTATGTGTTTGATGCTATTCCCATGGTGTTGGCTATTGGCGTCTGGAACTTTGCGCCGCCAGGTGCCGTGTTACAGGGTCCGGATGCAAAAATGCCCCCCAGTGGCATCGGCAAATGGCTCTGCTGTAACGGCTGCGCCTGTTGCTGCGGAAGCTGCCGCAAGGGCAATGGCGAGAAGAATATGCAGCGACTACCCGATCAAGACGTCTATGACGACAATATACCACTCCACAGCCGGGAACCATCCCCCTACCGCGATACATACACTACCCATCGCTGAGTTGGTGTTTTTCTTTTTTTTAATTGGGCTGTTTTTCATGTGAATGTACATTTGAACGAACCACGGCCTATATTCATATTTCCTTTCATCTTCGCCTCCTTTTCTTCTGTTTGCATTCTCCTTTGCGCTCTTCATTTCTTCTCTCGATTACACACTCATGTGAAAACAAATCATATAGACCAGGTGTTCAACGAAAACGGCTCTCGGACTGTGCTAGATGTCTTGCATATACCTCATTGACTTAAAGATCATTTACGTTCATATATTCCATACTTGACAAATAACAAATAAACAGATCGTGACAAGGAAATCAATATACCAAAATCAATACTTAAACCTGTCTTTTACAAATCACTATACCATCCCAGAATCGATGGGCTTGCATCACGCTTTTGTGAGTTTCTACCTAGACGAAGTAGCTCGCCAAGACCAGCCACTTCGTGTCCAATGACAAAATTTGATATATGAAGAAGATTTAGGGCACAGTGTAATATTACATAGCGTCCGATGGTATCGGGAAATGTTCGGTACTAAATGTATTCAAGTTGTATGGTCTATTGGTACGGTATTTACATACGCCCTAACAGTGCTCGGTTCTAGTATTTATGGTATGGATAATAGTGAGTATGGACGTAAACCCGCCGTGAGCTTCTATCAAAGATATATCACAGATGGAGGGAAGCAAAAGGTCAAAAATTCAACTGAGTCCGACAAACTACGAAATTGGAACCGCCTCATGAGTTAGACTGACTCCCTGGGTTGTATTTGGTGACCATCGTGCTTTGAAGTCCATTTGGCGAGAAAGTCCACCAAGCTAGTGAGTAATTCGAGCGTATCTAATCTCATTCGGAGTTAATAAATTGGCAGCCACTGAAACCACTACCCTCTATCCTCTCAGCTACCCTAGCAATGCCATCACTGCGGTTTACAATCACCGCTCTGCGGCCCTCGCACTCGAATCACTACGGATATTAGTCTATAGCGACCTCTTACGAATGATACTGCAATACACAGTAATGGAGACGATCCCCAACCGCGGAGTCCATCTATTCAGCTACGAGATGGCCGAGATGAAGAGGTGGACGCGCTGGCGGTCCGTGGAGGAACAGGACGACCTGGGATTTCACAACCCTATGAATAGCCATACTAGGTTCTGGTCATCGCATATATAGCTTGGTGGAATACCGTGTCTGCATGGCAGCTTGTTTCGTGGTAGGCGAAGGCGCCAGAGGTCAGTTCTGCGCGCTGGACTTCCATCGATCATTCCTGTGTTGTTGATAGTCGACAAAACAAACCCATTGAAACAGCCAGAACCCCAAGTCGCCTAGCTTCAAACTATCTAGGATGTCTATATCACGGCAGCGAAGGCAAACCAGCCATACCCGATGCCAGTCTCGGTTCAAAACCGTAACACTTGGAGCTAGGGTACTCAGGGCGTTCAATGTTAGGGCCAACACGAAACTCGGTACTACAGCCAAAAGTCTAGCCAAAAGATCTTCGTACATAAAATAGGGGTTTTCATTTCATATTCTGATCGCTAACACGATACAAGGCAAAAAAATTCGTTTTCGGGGTATCCGACGTTAGATTTACCAGCCAGAGTGTCAAGTTTACAGCATGACAATGCCGACGCCTCCCATCTTCGACTCGTCGGGCAAGTTTTTCTCGTTAATTCCACCGCCAATAGGTGCAGCGCGGTAGTTGTAAAGGTAGAAGTGGAGCTGGCCATCGCCGGCACCGAACTTGAGATCCTCGAGGAAGAGGGGGTTGTCGTGCGAGGTGAGAGCATTGAAGACGTCGAAACGGGCCTGATTAGAGGATTAGCATATGGATTTAAATACAGCATATTACAACATACCTGCTTCGCGCAAATCAGTGCATCATTCATCAAAAGCTGCAAACGATCCTTGAGGGCCTTCTTGTTGTCAGAGAAGGCGGTCTCAGTCGCGTAGTAGTACAAGTATGCAGCACGGACGGTACTGTGCTTCGGGTTGTCAATCACAGTAGACTCCAGATTGTAGAACGAGACAAAGTCAGTGATCTTGTGGGTTTTCGGATCCTCGACAACGTATGACCAGACGACCTGCTGCTTGCCGGGCTGCTCTTTGTATACCAGCCAGTGGTCAATTTCTTCCCGTGTAAAGGCCTGGTTCAAATCGAAGCGGCGCATGTATCGCTCTAGCAGATCATAGACGGCATCAATGTCTTTAGATTCCATAGGTCGCAGACCGGGGGTCGCTGTCTCGCTAGGGAGATGGTTCTTAGTGATCATGCGGGCCTTAGTCGAGCCATGGGGGAGAGGCGAGAAACCGACGTCGTAGAGCTTCAACCAATCGAGAGAGCGGTGGTAGTATCGGCAAGTGCTGACTGGGGTGGGCAGGATTATACCACCAGTGTAAATGGCCTGGTAGATACCCCTGAGATAACAGCGACGGGTAATCTCCTTGATCAGGACGGGAGCCAAGCGCTTCGAGCGGAGCTTCTTGTGGATACACAAGAAGTTGATCTCCGTTACCTTGATGCGCTCGCCGCGAACTCGTAGCTCAGTGGGGACACCACAGATGGACGCAACCAACTTGCGCGACTTTGTAGCGCGCACGCCAACATGCCATTCCTTCCTCCATCCAGGAGACATCAGGGCCCTATATATGTAGCATTAGCGTTCTGAAATAGGTACAAAGGTCCAAGACTCAACCGTACCAATGAAGGAAAGATTCCGAGTAGTCGAAACGGAACATGGCGTTATGATCCTCGACATAATGCCCGTTAAGAAGCTCGTATAGCTCTTTCAACTCTTCCTCGTTTGTTAGATCAAGAGTGCACCACTCGAACCCCTCAATGAGCGCATCGGGGGTCTTAGAAACCTTCTCTGGATCAATGACCTTGATAGGTCCCTGAGTAATCTCCTTCTTTCCGGATTCTTCAAAAGCAGGCACTGGCTGTGTCTGCCAAAACTTGTACGAAGCCATATCCTTTTGGTTCTTGCCTCCCACTGCCAATCCGGTCAACATCTGCGAGAGGTCCATGTTGTGTAGTAGGGCGGCGGCCTTGTCCTTGTCCATCGTAGCTAGCTCATTCTTCAGGGCGGGGTTTTGGTCGAGGAGCAAAGAAGCGAACTTCGGGGGAAGCTTCTTTTCAGCTTTTTTTGGAATTCGAGTGTCAGCAGATGCCTGTGGATGGATGATGGCCATGAAGATATGGCCGGGCTTATCATTACCCGAATCAGATGGAGTCTCAGACTCATCTTCGTTGCGCTTGGGAGCTTTGCCCTTCTTATCACTGGGATCAGACATGGTGTTGGGGATGTTGAGGAAGAAGGAATTGGAGGCCCCACGTTTCAACACATGCGGATCTCTCTGGTGGAGGGTGCGGGCAATTTGACTTATTAATACAGAAGCATCTAACTAACTAACTAACTACACAATTCACTATGCGCACTATCTCTAGAAATAGAAATTACATCTATAGATATTAATTATTATTTATGGACACGTTTCATTTTGTACAAAGTACTTTCACAATCCACTGTGAAGAGTGAAAAACTCCTGCTCATGAACTCTAAATGGCCTACATCAACCTCGGCATTCACATATGCAATGCTCATATAAATATAAAACAGCGACAGGACTTCGAACAAAGTATTATTCAAGTTGTAAATTGAAAAACCATATAATCAGAAGAATTGTTGAAATCCAAGCAAAAACACCTTAATATGTCCGTTGTATGCTAAGCCAAAAGCATATCTCAAGTTGATACAAGAATGCGAGAGTCATTGGAGCTCCGGGCTACAAATCATCGGGGAATCACTCATCAGTAGGTGGCTTTGTCTCGACCACATCGAGGAATCCTCCAACCAGATGGATGCTGCCGGTAACAAAAGTCATGACCGGAGCTTCGTCCTTCTGCAAGACCTTGCGTTCCTGGCCTGCAATTTCACGCGCAAAATCCACGGCCTCCTCGATTGTACCAAAAACATGTGTTTTGGCTTGAGGGTCAATGGCATTCCACTCCACGGCAAGAGATTTTTGAACTCGAAGAAGTTCGAGGTCGTCAGCATTGGTATTCATACTGACCAAGTCGGGTCGGAACCCTGACTGTTTGTAGGTGATATTTGTGCAGAATAGCGCGTGAGTGAATGGGGTACCGTTTCCAAGGGCAGACGCGAGGGTCTCATGGAGAGCATGAGCAAGAGCCGTGCTGTTACGAGTCTGTTGGTTGAAAATCAAAATTCGTGTCTTCTTGGCGGCTACATCGTCGGAGGATGAGTCGGCCTTGATTCGTGACGCAAACCACTGACCAGCCAGCCGGATGCTCTCCAATGTATGTCCGCCATCGATATACCAAGAGACATTCTTCTCAAATCGGGTTTCACACCTGCCACCCAGGCGAGTTTCCTCGAGTCCGGTCTTGAACTTCGCCGGTAGCGGTGCTTTCATGATATCGTCTGGAACATCGATCCCAACCTGGCGCAAAAAGTCCGCGGCAACTGCCACTGCGACCGAGGCGTTGGTGTACTGGAAGTCTCCAGCCAAACCAGGTGTGATCTTGCTGCTCTCAGGACGAAGCTCAGAATGGCCAGCCACGATCTCCAGCTTAGCACCAGCCTCCTCGGCGCGTTTGGCCAAGACTTGTTCCGCCCCTAGCGGTTGTGGTGCCGCGAACCCATTTACGCCACGCTTGAGAATGCCACCCTTGTGCCACGCGATTTCCTCGAGCGTATGTCCAAGCAAATCAACATGATCGATTCCGAGACTACTGATCGCTGTCACTTTGGGCTGTGGGATCACGTTGGTACAGTCATATTGACCGCCGATTCCACATTCGATCACCGCGGCATCCACGCCCTCGCTCAGGTAGGTATGGAATGCCATCACAGTCAAGTATCGGAAATATTGTGGTTTCATCGCAGGATCCTCGCCCGCCAGTTTAGCAGAGTCCTCAAGGCGATCCCATACTTCGAAGAAATAGCGTGCAAACTGCTCTTCGGACAATGGGGCATTGTTGATCTTTATGCGTTCACGTGCGAACCGAAGGTGTGGAGAGGTGTAGAGACCGATTTTGAGGTTGGATCCAGGCTGATCCGCATCTTTTCGGGTGTATTGGGAGAGGATCGTTGAAATGAATGCGGAGGTCGAGCCTTTGCCCTTCGTGCCAGCCACATGAATTGCGTTCAGACGATTTAGGTCAGAAGGCTAGAAAACACAAAGATCTCACATCAGCTTCACTCGTAAGGAAATCAAAATCCCTGATTACCTTATATCCAATGCGCTTCAACCACTCTACTGTCTCCGGGAGACTTGAATCGTTGATCTGCTGCCTCGTTTTGGACTTCTTGAACGCTTCCACAATAGCATAGTTTGTTTGCAATGAGTTGAGCGATGTAATCGCAGCCTATTGCAAAGTCAGCATATGCTATCTTATGTCGGAAGTGGTGCCCCGCAAAGCGCCGAGTGGCATACCTCATATGTCCGAGTCATGGTGGAACGAGTCGAAAATCGCCGTGCGCAAAACTGCAAGCGGATAGAGCTCCAGATCCCTGGCATGAACAATTCAATCCCGTGAAGTCTTTTCAATTAGGGGGTGATTAAAGAAACCCCGGTAGCTCTCACAGTTTATTCTCTGGATCCCATGAAGCGACCTCGGGAGTCTTCCTAAAAGGTGGCCCGTGCGCTGTGTACGACATCAGACTCTCTCTACGTCAAAATCAGAAGATCATCTCATCAACTTTTATAAAGAATTATCATGACGAGGTTTAGACGGCAATGGGCACATCAGGCACATCATATCTAAGTCGCAAGATGTGTTATAAAAAGATGAATGTAGGTGGAAAGTGTTCGTGTATTGGAAGCTCTTTGGGGGAGAATCTGAGCAGGAAAAGGACTATCTAAAGATCACAAAAGGGGCATACAGGAAACTCTGGTGACTCCTAACAAGAAACAGTGTATCGACGATGGAAGATGATTAAAATTGAAAAGGAAAAGGAAAATGCCGACAGGCCTGTGATGAAAAGAATAATAAAAAATACAGCCATGAAGTATGCGAAAGAAAGGTAGAAAGAAGCCCGGAATGATCTACTCAATCCTAGTCTTGCCCTCTTCTAAAAAGACGAGACGAGCGTTACTGATACCGCGCTGGTGTCGCCTGGCCGGAAGCCATCTACCAACAATGGGATCAGAGCGTGCGTTGATGAGAGCATCCTGATATCCCTCAGCACCAGCCACCGGCGTGTTTAGCTTGGGCCAATTGACCTGTTTGACAAGGGTTAGTGGATACTTCAATTTATTTAGAATGGGAATGAACTTACATAGAGCATGCCATGTCCATGCACAAAACGGAAACAGTAGACCGCCACTAGCAACCAGAAGATCATAAACAGGCGGAGCGGCCAGACAGTAGCATCAGGCATTCGTCTTGTGAAGAGCGCTACCAAAACCATAAACACACTTGCAGCGAGAACATATGGAACCGACTGAATGACCAGTGGTCGCTGGTCAAGGAATAGCTGGATGTTGGCAAATGTTGAGTCCGATGGGAGATAGGTGCCCAAAAATACGTCGAACCCATCTTGTCGAGGGCCGTCCATAAAGTTGTTGCGTACATATCGCGAGATGGAATTGTTCAAATCTTGCAGCATGCCGGCCCGTGTACGTTTGCCGGTCCGAGTGAAATCAGTCTTCAGGGCACCAGTACCGGAATAAGACTTGGAGACCACATCTGCGTTGTCCGCCCAGATATTACGGAACAGGTTCTCGAACTCCTGGTCATCGTTGGCAGTCTCCCCGGCGCGGAGAACGCCTGCATCCATAAGCTGCCGTGTAACCGCCCAGCGGCCGAGCATGCTCTGCACTACATTAGTGCGATCTAGACAATCCATACAGTTTGTTCGGACAACACTCGTTTGCGTAGAACGAGTATCCAACTGCCCACCAGGGGCACCAGGACTCTCCACTCCACGGAAATAACCGCCCTGGGTCAGCCCGTCGTTCAGACGACCCATGAGCAACTCTGCACGGTGCCACTTGAGACCCTTGGTCTCGTTGTGGAAATCAAAGTACACATAATGGAGGCGGTCCATCTCTTTCTGCTTGGATCCTGGTTCCAAAACATGCATCTTTTCAGGAGTGCGTTCATCAGCCTCGGTGCTTTCAGATGTGGAAGTGACTAGTGACCGAACCAGCTCCTCGTATGCTCGTTTGACATTGTTCTCTCTGCCCTTTTGGTTGACGAGATTGACCAAGTAATTTTCTCCATAGATGCTGATCTGTTCGGCGAAATGTTTCCGTGCAGCTTCGACGGAAGTCTCGACTCCACGAACCTGAAGCTTCGGTGTGTATTTGAGATCATTAATTTCGGCCCAAAACACGGGGACACTGCCTCGAGTTTGCACAAAAGAGTAGACTTGAAGGTCCTGCCCAGCTTTGCCACTTGTCATTGATTGACCTCCGCCAAACCCAGAGAGTCCACCCGTCGAATCATTCAATATCACAATTTGCTCTGTCTCATTGTAGTTGGAAACATTTCCCTGCTCGTCAATTCCGCGAGTGAAGTATCTCGTTCCGGCTCGGTGTCTAGATCGCCGGGTGATAAGCGCGAATGTGAACGACGTTGACTTGACCCGGGCAGGAGTAATGCGCATCATGCCGAACATCACTGGCAAGATATAGGGGTCAACCCCGGGTTGAGGCCCGTAGCGGATTCCACTTGTGTCGTTTGCTCCGACGCTGAAGTTGATCAGATCGGATTGAATAAAGCGATTCCAAAAGAAGCGGTCGTCTGCGCCTTTCCACATTGGAATATTAGGAGGGGTTTGCGATTGACGCTGGAAACTATTGGTAATATCTAGCGAGTAGGAGAAGTACATCGGACCCCTTCGAAGCAGGTCTTTCACCAATGTAAGATAGGCATCTTCGTCGGTATCGTGAAGCGGCCGTTCTCGCATGGGGAGGAATTCCGTTCCGGCAACTTTGTACACCATATGACCACGCAACCGTCCCATAGGCTGGGCTTTGGTGATAACAATGATGTATTTATCTGTGAACGTCAGCACAACCTCCTGAGTTTCGATTTGTGAGGGCAATTACCAAGCTTCAATTTGAGAATTCCGAGGATTCCAGCGATACTGGATATGCGTTTAGCACCTGGAAGGGGGCCATCATTCAAGCGCAAATCACCAGTTGGTCGATCGACTACCAGAGTAGGTGCCTGGCGTGATGATGGCGAAGTAAAGGCATAGTGGGAAGGTGACGCATGTAGGTTGATATCCCGAAAAGGGAGAATAGGAGACATATTTGAAACCGAACCTCCAAGAATGAGGATTACAAGAGAACGTAAAGAGCAAGCATAAGTTAAATTTCAACTTTCAAGTTTCGACTCCCAAAAAAACAATGGGGAAGGTACAAGGTACAGCGGGCCACTGTGGTCAGTACGCAGCCACACCGCCCCGCTGCTCTTGTGGCTGGGCCTTCCGTCATCTATTCCTGTCTGCCTTAAACTACGAGGTCTTTGAATCTCTAAATCTTTTGTACCGTTTGGAACTTCCATTTTACTCTACCCCAGGTCTTAAGACCTTGAAATATTACAGTTACTCGACCTTTTACATTCTCCTTTCTCCTTCGACCCTTTTTCGACCCTCCCCTCCTGACCATCCTCTCCTGATCATGGCTTCCAGGCAAGCAGCAGGAGCCCGCCCGGGCGCAAGATTTGCTCAGTTCAAGCTCGTCCTTCTTGGTATGTTCTAGTGTTGATTTACTTCTTTTTTTGAATTTGGATCCATGGCTGACATGCTGTGCTTATAGGAGAGTCCGCAGTCGGAAAGGTTTGGGATAACACTTGCGATCTTCTTTATCAGCCGCTGACTCGACCGCTATCTTCCAGAGTTCGCTAGTCCTCCGATTCGTTAAAGTGAGTCTTCAACGATCACCATATTACTTCCCGCGGCAAGCCGAATGTACACGGAGTAACAAAATGCTAACCGATCCAGGACCAATTCGATGATTATCGCGAGTCGACAATCGGAGCCGCCTTCCTAACACAGACCATCTCCCTCGATGATACCACCACAGTCAAGTTCGAAATCTGGGATACAGCTGGCCAGGAGCGTTATAAGTCGTTGGCTCCGATGTACTATCGCAATGCCAACTGCGCTGTGGTTGTCTATGACATCACTCAAGCTGTATGGTCCAACCCTACATTGTGCCTTTCACTACATTACGAGTATAGAAGCTAACATGCATGAAACCATATAGTCATCGCTAGACAAAGCCAAGTCTTGGGTGAAGGAACTCCAGCGCCAAGCGAATGAGAACATTGTGATCGCCCTGGCAGGCAACAAGCTTGATCTTGTTACAGAGAGCCCTGATAAGCGAGCAATCCAGGAGGCTGACGCCGAGGCCTACGCACGTGAAGCAGGCCTACTTTTCTTTGAAACCTCCGCCAAGTCCTCGACAAACGTCAAGGAACTATTCACCGCCATTGCCAAGAAACTGCCTCTGGATCAGGCCGGCCCTCGGAACTTGCGGGCGACCCCTCGGCCTGGTGTTGACTTGCGGCCAGAGGCCCCTGGAACTCAGGGCGCCGGTGCGTGCAATTGCTAAACAATTACCCGACCATATTTTCCCTTAGCCGTTGCGCCCTCGCCTCGCTCACCGTATGAAAGAAGGCGAAGGCTACATATCCCAGCATCGTTCAACGGTGGTATAACCCTGTGACTTTCTATGATTTCGCCAATCTCATTCGATCAGACTCTAGCACACTCCCTACCCGCTACGGAACCGAGGGATAGACTCTCGGTTCATGATCAATCTAACTCTCTCGGATTTTTCTTTGCTTCTTTTGTCCTTGCTCAGCCTGCTCAACTGAGGCTTCACAAGTTCCCCGTTGGCAGAAGGATTTAACTTCCATGGACGCATATGGAACTTGGCTTTAGATATGCTGCAGCTGGATCTGTCGGTGGTTTGACGGTGCTGTTCCTTCTGTACTCCTTGTTTCTTCTCACCTGGCGTCTGCATCTGCTTTCTTTCGTCCTATGTCTTGGGCTGAATTCGTGCTATTCCCGTTACCCTTGTTCTCAGAATCCTTAGTATGTTATGCTCAAATAATACATTTTCCTCGCCTGTATGTACGATGAAGACCTACAATACATTAGTGGTTAGGTAGATCAAATAGATGTATAAGCTTTGTCTACCTCAGAGGCTGGGTATAGCCATCAAATATGTAAAATATGTAAAATATGTATAATATGTAATTATGAGTGTTGCTTGTGTCGATATATTTCTCAGTTAGTGTTGAACAATTGAACCCCGGAAGACATAATCAGAGGCCAATATCCTCAAACAGATATTCCCATATACATAGGTCAATATCTATTTCATCTTTTTGATTGCATCGAATCCAAAGCTATACCTCGTTGATGTCACAGTAGTATATGGAAGTGGGCACGAAATGGCGCGCAAAGCCATCCTGACCGCCCGCAGGATTATCGGAGCGGATCGCAACTGAGCAACCAATTCCCGTTTTCCGGTACTCATCCATCTTTCTGATCACCTTTAGCCACTCATTTTGGCGATTGTGCAGCTCGTCATGCTGCGCTCCTCGATTGCTCCGGGTCGGCAATTGCTGTCGAACCCTATCCGCCAACGGATCCCGTCGCAATGGCTGTCCAGAGCCGGTGCAAGTAACCGGTTGGCAGGTCAGGTAAAGACAACCATAACCGTAAGCTTGCTATCTCTTTATACTCACAATTATCTGCGCAGCGATTCTTTGCCGATGCTAAGCCCCCTACCACCGGTGGCCCGACACCAGTCTCCCCTTCCTCCGAATCCAGTATCCCTCCGGAGACCATCTTGAAGGCCGCTGAACAAGGTATGACGGCCCCCCTCATTCATCAATTACCATTGAGGCCTACCCTTCACATCCTAACCCGATTTTCTTCCAGAACCTAAGCTTCCTCCCACGCCTCCGGCACCTGCTCCTCGCAAATCCGGTCGTTTCCGTCGGTTCTTGATTTATCTGATCCTCACATCTGGCTTTGCCTATGGTGGCAGTATCTTCCTGGCCCTTAAGTCCGACAACTTCCACGATTTCTTTACCGAGTACATTCCCTACGGCGAAGAATGCGTTCTCTACTTCGAGGAGCGCGACTTCTACCGCCGCTTCCCCAATGCCTTGAGAAACCAAAACCGTCTCCCGACTGCACCTCGAGAGGATGGAAAGCCCGTCACAATCCCCAGCAAGAGCGGACTGTCTTGGAAGCTTGCTGAAGAAGAGAAGGCCGAGGCCGATTCTAAGAAGGCAGCTCATATGAACGCTAGTGCTCACGAGGCCCAAACCAAGTCCGCGGCCGCCAAGCCCGAGGATCGGAACGCCGCAGTCTTGAAGGCCAAGGAGGACAGGGCCTCGAAGCAAAAGGAAACGAAGCCTGAGCCCGAGGCGAAGAGCCCCGTCTCTCTGGATGAGCCCAGACAACCTGCTGTTTCTGCGAGCGCCATTGAATTGCTCCAGTTGCGGGATGCCGATGACGCTGTTGTCCAGGATCTGGTCAAGACCTTCAATGACATCGTTACCGTCATCAGCGCCGATGAAAACTCTAGCAAATACTCTGCGCCTGTTGCTAAGGCTAAGGGCGAGCTGGAGAAGATTGCTGAGAAGATTGCTGCTATTCGCGGCGATGCCCGCAACGCCGCCCAGGAGGAGCTCAACAAGCTACATGCCACCTTTGATGACTCTGCACGTGAATTGATGCGCCAGTTTGAGGAAGTCCGCTCCACTGACCTTGCTTCGTTCCGTGAAGAGTTCGAGGCCGAGCGCGAGAAGCTCGCCATGGCATACCAGCAGAAAGTCCACACCGAGCTTCGCCACGCTCAGGAGCTTGCGGAGCAGCGTCTTCAGAATGAGCTTGTTGAGCAGGCCATTGAGTTGAACCGCAAGTATGTCCACCAGGTCCAGAGCCTCGTGGAACGCGAGCGTGAGGGCCGTCTGAGCAAGTTGACTGAGCTCACAGCTGATATCAACGAGCTTGAGAAGCTGACTGCTGGATGGAGCGACGTTATCGACACCAACCTCAAGACCCAGCAGCTGCAGGTTGCCCTGGACGCCGTTCGCACCGTGGTCGAGCGTGCTGAGACCCCCCGACCGTTCGTCCGTGAGCTTGTTGCCGTGAAGGAGCTTGCTGCCGGTGATGCCGTCGTTGAGGCTGCTATCGCATCCATTAACCCCACCGCTTACCAGCGTGGTATCCCATCCACTACTCAGATTTTCGAGCGTTTCCGCCGAGTTGCAAGTGAAGTCCGCAAGGCTAGCCTGCTCCCCGAGGATGCAGGTGTGGCCAGCCACGCTGCCAGCCTTGTCCTGAGCAAGGTCATGTTCAAGAAGGATGCTTTGTCTGAGGGTGATGACGTGGAGAGCGTTCTTGTACGCGCTGAGAACTTGTTGCAGCAGGGCGATGTTGACGCCGCCGCTCGGGAAATGAACACTCTCCAGGGCTGGGCTAAGATTCTCAGCAAGGACTGGCTTGGCGATGTTCGCAAGGTTCTTGAAGTCAGACAGGCTCTCGAGGTAAGTTTTCCACATCTCGTGGCAATTTACAACATATTTACTAACAACTTTTCTTTTCACAGGTCATCGAGGCCGAGGCCCGCCTCCAGTGCTTGCGGGTTGAGTAAGCGCATCATTTGAGCGAAGCTAAATTCATTTTACCCTGTATATTCTCGTCTTTTACAGGAACTGTACCTCTAGTTGTACTTGTGCTTTAGACCCAAATGCTAGAACTTTCCCATGTCTCTTGACGCATCTAAGGTGTGCAGTATGTAGCCACTATACTCTAGATCTAAATGCATCCTTTTATCCTAATAAAATTCACAATACTCTTGATGCTTGAGTATTCCGGGGTTGCCTAGATTTGCCTAGGCCGGAGGATGCCTAGGTCCATGGATAAGGTGCGAATAAAGTGATTACGTAATCTTTGGCTGACGCGCATTCTGATCTACATTGGAGATGTACGTCTTGTACTAGGTCATGCAACATTGGCTCTAATTCCACTAGTTGACCCCTTGCCACCTTGATAGACTGCACTTATGCTTACGTCTGGCCGAATTATGTCCGTCTCTTGTTCGAGCGTTGCCATCTAGCATTGTTGCCTTTCCTGCAGCAATGTCGCAGCGACCAAATGAGCCCCCTGCACGATCTTCAATCTCTCCGGCGAATATACGACACCAAGACCGATCCCCTGGTGCTGCTTCGACTCTACTCCGATCCGATGGAAGCTCGTTCCGACAGACCCCGCCTCGAACGAACGACGGCCGACCGAGCGGGGAGTTGGAAGGTAGTACACTAGGCAGCGGTTCCCGTGATGGAGATCAAAGGACATCGGGCCAGCGGAGGGTCCAGAGCTCAGGTAGCTTTTTGCTTGACTCATTGCCTCGCCCGCGAAGCACAAGAGTTAGCCTGAACCGCCCTCGTCCCCTAGAACCTCCCCAAGAGAAGCGCAGCGTTCCCGAGCCGGAGATCGTGGTTCCCAAGAAACGCTCGCGATTTCCATGGAGCCGGCATAAGAATCGTGCATCTGAACCAATGTCAAAGGATGCGACTTCAAACCCGGTAAATACCAGGCAAGCTTCTACGTCTCCTGGTAGACAGCCCTCCGAAAGCTCCTCGCATCCAGAGGTACAGGACGACAATGTGGGACATGCTACTCCTGGCCTGGATAGGGACTCGATCCAGATTGTGAATCTAGCCTTGAATCTCAACGAATCTCGGAGGAGGACAGCATCTGGGATACCCCCGGGTTCTGAGAGCCGAAGACCAATATCTGTCTCTCAACCTGCTGTTCCGTCAGTAGACAGCTATGCATATTCCCCACGAGCGAGAAATTTCCAGCGCGATTCGACGTATCGCAACTTCACCCAGGTCTCTGGTAATCGGTTGTCACAGGGGACACTGCCGAGCTTAGAGCAATCGTCTGTTGTGAATCTGTTGCCTGCATCCGCGATTGAGGATCAACGGGCATACGAATTCTCCGAAAGCACTTTGGCTCGTGTTGAGAGAGCACGCAATCATTTTGATTTATTTCATGAATACATGCGGCTCCTGCCCTCATTACCGCCTCTACGAGATGCCGTCAAGGATGGTTCTGAGTCTAAACCGCGGAAATCCCACCGTTGCTATAACCCGCTTCAAATGATCCGCAACCGAAAGGTCAGGTATCGCGAGAAATGCTCCATAGATGCAGATGCAGAAGGATGGCACGACGTTGAAAGAGTCCATGAATGGATCGATAACGTCGAGCAAAAGTACAGCCAAAGAGAATACGGCCAACTAGATTGCTTGAAGCTCCCACCTTTCCAACAAGGTCGCCGCCATATTTCCATCGGGGAACACGATGATATGGATATGATTCCTACCTCTCCGGGTTCGAGCTTGCGGCGAGCCAGCCGAACCAGCAGTATAAAGGCCCGTCGGCCACGTATTGATTGGAAGATCTCGCCGGCAGAGCTTCTGGCCGATGCCGCCTGGCTGGAATATGGTACAAACAAGACGAAGGTGGTTGACAAGGATGGCTATAAAATCTACCCTGACCCTAAAGAATTAGTTACCATGGACGCAAGCGATGACCTCAAGATGCCGCGTAAACAGCAGCGCCTTTCGGTCGAAGTGGGAGATACTAGAGAGACACATTCATCGCCGCGCACCTCTTTCTCCGGTCCCCACCCTGCATTGGCGCACGAATTCAAGAGCGTGGGTCGAGGGCGGCAAAAGCACAGATTTCGAAGTCATTCACACAGCTTACGGAGCCGCAGTGCTTCCAGCAAACGAAAGCCATCACGGTGGGATAATGTCAAAATGCGTTCTGCCAGCGTCTCGAGTTCTTCGGGCTCAGATACCCGCCCTCCCGGCGAGGAAAAGCCCCGCATGTCTCGTGAGAATATCCGAGACCATGTCCAAAGATTCGTCGACCATGCACACTCAGGATCTCGCCGCGCCAAATCTCCGTCTATTCGTAACGCTGATATTGACCGGGGAAGGACACCACAGCCAGCCGAGCCGCTGTCGGTCAACACGAAGCATGCCCGCAAGCACCGAAAAGGCTCTTTCTCATCAGAGGGCAGTGTTGATGACCGACATGATCCTCGGATGTCTTTGGAAGGCATGGATAGTACTGCGCCTAATTCTCCCGCCCATGTTGGTTACTTCCCAAGCATAGCAGTAAATCTATCCCCTCCTTCAAGTCGATCTCCTTCTCCGGCAAAGAAGGGTCTCCGTCATAAGATTGTTTCACGGCATGAGCGCAGCAAGAGCAAACAAGCAGACCGAGAGCGAGAGCGGGAAGATGAATTACCGGCACCCGAGGCTTTACGTCAACGAAATATGACGGCGCCCGAGCGGACGGAGGGTACCTCCAGGCTCGAGCCAAGTCCTCTTCCTGATGTTGTGTCGTCAGCCTATCCTGATGATCAAGGCACACCTGAAGGAACCCGAGCAGATGGATATCGGTCCCGTAAAGGGCCCCATCTTCCCGAATCAAAGCTGCGGGGAATATTCAAGGGACCAGGCCGGATAGCAGAGATCGTGGGGAATGAGGTCTCCAAGGTCGGAGACCTCATCCTGAAGAAGGACGCAGATCCTGAATCTCGGAAATCATCGTCTGCCACTACTTTTGCATCAGAGGATAGCGATTCTGATGAAGAATCTAGAAGCGATAGGAAGTCTGGCTCTAAAGGCCTTTTACGGCGCCTGCCAACATTTACAGATGAGCCTGGGCGATTGACTCGTAGGAATTCCGAAAAGAACTCATCCCGGAGCTTTATTCCCTCTCTGCCTACCTTCACATCACCCCTGCGACAAGATGAGCGAAGTGATGCAGCAGAAGTGACTGATTTCGGCAGTCCTGGCGAACAAACTTCCTCTCCACAAAATGGCTCCCGTGATTCTCCTAAAAAGTTCTCGCTGCCACGCAGTAAGACGCTTGATTTCAGCCCTTCTGTGCGCGCGGGACGGACAAAGCGCAACGAGATGAAAGACCCTTCGATCCCTTTCAGCTTAACAAGGCCTCCTGTCACTGGGCTTGCCAACGCTCGAGCATCACCAGGGCTTTCCCCCGATGGAAGACGCACAGGGCTTTCAGACTCTAGTCGCGCCTGGAGTATATCTGGGCGTAGTATTCATACATTGATTGACACGGGTGTACCTGGAAAACCAGAAGTCGAGCGCACACGAGCTCTTCTCTTGTCATCGGGGATTAAGGCCCGGGAGATCACTCGCCGAGCCCACACCCCCCGTGAGCCAGTTCCCCACTGGCTTCAACTCTCTATGGGACCTGGTGCATCTGTTCCACGAGTGACGCGGATCGGCGAATTCGACCTCGCTGCTCAAAACCTTCTCCGGCGTTTTGAACACACCCAACACTCGTTCCAACAATCCATGCATCATTTCTCCACCTCCACATCAACACCTCTCCGTTCCCAGCTGACAAACCTGGAAAATCTGGTCAACAATTCTCTGGCCCCCCGTGTCCGAACCACGGCAAATGACGCCGAGGACCTATGTGTCCACCTCAACACCACTAGCACACTTGCTGTTAAACAACTGAGTGATGCACTTGACAGGGGCCTTCGCAAGCGTCGCCGTCGATTACGGTGGATTCGCCGCACCGGATTCATGGTTTTGGAATGGGCCCTTGTTGCGATGCTTTGGTGGGTGTGGCTGATTGTCATGGCTTTCAAGCTTGTGCGTGGTGTCTTCCGAGGTGCCTTCACTGGTGTCCGATGGGTCTTGTGGCTTTGATGGCTGCATTTGGACAATTCTTCTCTCTTTCTCCGTGCCCAATACCCTTTTGCGGACTTTACTTTTTACATTACTGGGTTTTAACTCCCTCGTCCATGTTGGCATGAATATACCCTTCCAGTGAGCCTGTTTATGACCGTCTTTCCTAATATATGATTTTAATGGAGCGTTGCATTTCAAATGATTCCCATAATATCTTGTCTTCTTTTGTACATAATTTTGTCATGTCTCTCTTCTAATATGCATTTGAACAATCCTCTCCTTCTTTTCATGGAACTTGTCCACTGCTTGTCCTTCAGCTGTCAAATGATATTCCTCTGCAAGCAACCGGACAATGAAGGACTCGAAATTTTTGGAACAAAGCTCTTCGCTCTTTGCCACTCTTGCAGGATATTTCTGAACAATATCTTCTTTGATGAATATAAGTATTCCAATATACCTCTTTGTTCTGTCCTCTTCCTATACTTAACAATGGAAGTGTTCACCCTATAAGAAGGACCAAATATAAAGACCTGAAGATGTCCATTGGATTCAGTCACACTTTTTGAAGTATATCTCTTTTCAGCAGAAACAATCCTCCCTCGGGTATATTCTTCACAATATATCTATCACTCATCTTAGACTCCAAAAATGTCTCCAACAGGTAACAAGATTCCCACTAACTCCTCCACCCCAGGAAAACCACATCCAAGCCACTACTACAAGAAAGCCAGCACCAGCCGGTGGCAACTACAGCCCCTGTTTCAGTCATTCCTGGAGGCCAGACCGGCCGATACCATGCATGCCGTCCAACAACGACGCCTACTCGTTTCCTGGGACCTCAAAGCCATCCATTACCTGCGGAGATGTTTGAGGACATGGATTCAGGATCGGGTCCCAGGCGACGCAATCGGTGCTTTCCTCGTGATTGTCTTGTACGAACAAGACTTTCATCTGGATTACCGACTGACCATGATGGTGAGGGACGGACAAAGCCAGCTGCACATCGCTCGTCGTATATTAGCATTCTATCAAATCCGAGACGAAACAGGCGCTCCAATCTGGGATAATGTTACCGTCTATGCCGAAGACGCTCACCCGAAACCACAAGACCAGGGTAAGGGTGTTTCTGGACTTTCCAATGCTATGAAGGAGCTTCCATCTCGTCCACCTACACCACCGCCTGCTGATGCGCGATGGCCCCTCTTCATCGGTGCCCTCAGCGACCCGGAGGTTGAAGACCTCATGGAAAAGTTAGAAGACGATCAACATGCAGAGGATTTGCCTCCCTTGTTCACCGGTGTGCGTGAGGAAGATATTCCTATCATCCAGGCGTTTCGGAGATTCAATCTTCATAAGAATGATTTCCTAGAGGACATTCCTGTGTCTGAGTCTGGGACCGATCAAAATAAATATACGAATAAGACTAATAGACTACAGGATAAACCCCTCCCTCCCATTCCCGTGAAGCCTCTCCCAGTCCTACCCATTGATAATATTATTGCCCATGACTCCCTCCTTCCCCTCCCGGCTCTTTCAGGACTATCAAGCTCGAACTCATCTGTGCGTGTGTCGATATTCAAATCAGAAAAGAAGCTTAAGATTAGATGGGTAGATCATATACCAAGCAAACATGCTAATATTGAACAGACGAAGGGTACGACTGATTGTTCATCTGCAGCGTCTCGCTTGAAGCCATCGCCTCCCGTTTACGTCAACCTGCTTCCTATTGATCCCTCAGGTGTTGCTTATATTCCCTGTCGTCTATATTATAGTGCTCCCCCGCCCCCTCCTAAGCTTAAGAAGAAGGCGGGAGTTGAAGACTTGCGAAAGGGTGGAGAGCGTGGTGGTTGAATAGAGATGTTGAGTTGATACGTTAGGGTTATGCTTAGAATTCTAACTTTATATTCCACGAGTCATTAATCCAAAGAAAGATGAATATAATAAAACAATAATCTATTTGTTCAGATAGGAGAGTAGAAAGTAGTATCTTAATCTTCAAATACAGGTCCCAGAAAGTCACAGTGTGATATAGTGCCATGCGTAAATAGTACAGGGGGGTTTTGATGGAAGAGGCAGCAGGCATTGAAACCAAAATATGCTGCTTCTTAGTTCCAACAAGAGCCAATGCCAGGCACTGCCCGGCGTGGATTGCCAGAGTCGGAGTGGGTGGGTGTTATTACATATTTTATCGTTTATTTCTTGTGTCTGTCAGCCTGGGCCTTCAGGTACTTGGCAATGAGTTCCTTCCTGTAGGAGAAGATAGTTAGTAATGGACGTATTTAGGGAAGTACTGGTTGAAACATACTGCATGTGAGGAGGAGCCTTCTCGTAGTGGCTGAACTCCATGGTGTATTCACCCTTGCCCTGAGTAGCGGCACGCAGGTTACTGCTGAAACCGAACATGCCGTTCAGACTGCAGTCAGCGTAGACAGTGAACTCGTCAACACCGGTCTCGGTGTCGTTGATGGTGGCGCCGCGCTTGTTCAGCAGGCCGATAACATCACCCTGGAATTCGGTGGGAGCGGTCACAACCGTCTTCATGAGAGGCTCCAGAACGGAAGGCTGACTTTCGGCGAAAGCCTTGCGGAACGCCTGTTGGGTGGCGTTCTTGAAGGACATTTCGGAAGAATCAGTCATGTGGGTGGCACCGTCGTTGATGACCATGCGAGTGCCGAGAACCTTGTGGCCGATCAGAGGACCCTTCTCACAAGAGAGGTTGAAACCCTTCTCGCAAGCATACAGGAACTTCTCCGAAATACTGCCTCCAATAACCTGCTGCTCGAACTTGTTCTCCTCGAGGGCGCCGGTGGGCTCCATGAATCCCATAACACGGGCGAATTCTCCAGGTCCACCGGACTGCTTCTTGAGCAGGTGGTCGAACTCAACACGGTTTCCGATAGTCTCACGGTAGGCGACCTGGGGCTGACCGGTCTCGCAGTCGACCCGGTACTCACGGCGCATACGCTCAACGTAGATGTCAAGGTGGAGTTCACCCATTCCGGAGATAATGGTCTGGTCACTCTCGCTATCGTAGCTCACTCGGAAGGTCGGGTCCTCTCTCTGGAAGCGGGCCATGGCCTTGGAGAAGTTGGCACCGTCTTTGCTCTGCTTGGGCTTGATAGAGAGCGAGATAACGGGCTCAGGAACGAACATGGATGACATACTGTAGCCGAGAGTTCCATCGGTGAAGGTATCGCCAGATGCACACTCAATACCGAACACGGCACAAATCTCACCAGAGCCAATCTCGGTGACTTCCTCCATGTCGTTGGAGTGCATGCGGACAATACGGGGAACCTTGACCTTCTTGTTGTTGCGAGCGTTGAAGACGTTGGAGCCCTTGCGGAGAGTACCCTGGTAGACACGGATATAGGTCAATTGACCGAAGTTGCTCTCTTCCAGCTTGAAAGCCAGACCGACAAATGGAAGAGAGTTATAGGGAACAAGTTTGACAGGCGCTTCTTCGCGCTTCTGGTCAAGGGCGAGGTTCTCAACCTCAGAAGGGTTGGGAAGGTAGTCAATAACACCGTCCAGCATGGGCTGGACTGACTTGTTAGCCAGAGCAGATCCCATGAAGACAGGGGTGAATTTCAAGGAGATAGTAGCCCGGCGGATAGCAGCTCGGATCTGATCCTCGCTGGGTGTGATCTCCTCCAAAAACATCTCTGCGATCTCGTCGTCGACATCAGCAAGAGTCTCGATGAGCATGGTGCGGCGCTCCTCGGCAAGGGCCTTGACCTTCTCGGGGATTTCATCCTTCTCCATGATCTCCTCGCCGCTCGCGCCAACGTTGTATATAGCCTTCATGCGGATCAAATCAACGACACCCTCGAACTCGTCCTCGGCGCCGATGGGGACTTGAACAGCAGCGGCAGGGATCTTCAACTTGGTGTTGATCTGGTCAACCGCCTTGAAAGGGTTGGCACCCATGCGGTCCATCTTGTTCACAAACGAGATACGAGGAACGTTGTAGCGGCGCATTTGGCGATCGACGGTAATAGTTTGGGACTGGACACCCGAGACAGCACACAGAATCATGACAGCGCCGTCAAGAACGCGCAGCGCTCTCTCGACCTCAATGGTGAAATCAATGTGACCGGGTGTATCAATCAAGTTGAGGTGGTACTTTTGGTCAACACCCTCCTTATCCTTCTTAACCCAGTCACAGAAAGTGGCAGCGGACTGAATGGTAATACCCTTCTCACGTTCCAAGTCCATGGAGTCCATCTTGGCGCCGACGCTGTCACGCCCGCGGACCTCGTGGATAGCCTTGATACGACCAGTGTAGAAAAGAACTCGCTCGGTACAGGTGGTTTTACCGCTGTCGATGTGGGCCTATGCAGGGAGAACTTCATTAGACAAGAACCAAACGAAGTCACGAGGCAATTGGGATATTATGTACCGCAATACCAATGTTACGACACTTGTCAAGACGAGCGGCTTCGACCGGATCCAGACTGTCGATAATGGCGGCTTGAGATAGACCGTCCGGGTTGGCCTTAGCAGCCTCGAGACTGACAACAAAAATTAAAAAGAGTAAAAGACAGAGTTCGACGAGTATACTTACACTGCGGAGGCAACCTCAGAGGCATTTCGGCGCTGGTCCCATTGTCCCAACTTCGACTGATAAGCTGGCGCAACAGCGGCGGACCGGAAAGCGGCTGTGGAAGCGCATCGCTGGCGCAGAAGAGTCTGGGGCTGGAAACGAGCTGATCTGGTCAAACCAGACACCGCGCGGGATTGTAACCGCATAAGAGTAGGAGACCGCATCGTGATGATCCAACCACACCAGAATTGATATGATCAACGCGAATTGAATGTTTAGTTGGCTCCCCGAAAAAAAAGTTCGGGGAAGCCAGGAACGCATCACGTGATTATTTACATCGGCCCATCACATCCGGTAGATTACCATTCGGTGGAGGTATAGCCATAAAATGAGATATCAAGATTGAAAACGGTGATATGTTGGTTCTGTGTATGCTTGAGTTCGGCGACAAGCCGCTTGTTGGGGTAACTGCGCATATATCCATAGACGTTGGCCATTCAAGAAAGACAAGACTGGAGATCATGAGTTGAATTGAAACATGAAGACCCAATAAACTTCATTGCACTAATATACAGGAAAAAGACACAAGCGCCGTGGTATCCAACCACTGTCTGGTTTTGAAACAAGAATGCAAAAGTATGCCGCCGATCCGAGTTCCACGACGATAAGCCGTATATCCGAGGTATTTCAAGACGACCTGGTTATCGACAGCATATTTGTATGCCTAGAAATACTGCCAATATCTCAGATTGTTCGAGTAAAGGCTTCCGTGGAAGGACAAAGCGATAGACGCTACCGGAGAAAATGATGGAAAGCGACAACTCTATTTCCCCTGCCGTTGCTTGTGCTTGGGGTTCTTCGAACTAAAATATCAAGAAAACAAATATTAGAACCGAACGACTTCAAGTATAGCCTTCAATGGCGCAGGGTAACCACAACTCACCAGATGATGTAGACACGACCTTTCCGGTGAACGGGCTGTTCAGCAGAGTCAGCACAAGTCCCGGCATAATTCCCCAATCGTTCAGATATGAACGGATTCAATATATTAAATCATACCTTGCAGCCATCACACAGTCTCTTGACAGAAGACCGAGTCTTCATTCCCCGAACCTGCTCCACCTGTCTAGCAGATGCATTCGCCACGGCAACAGAATTGCCGGACTTAGCTTGTCCACGCAGCCTCGTCAGGCTGTTGCTGATCATGTGTGAGAAAGGCCGTAATGAGGCAGTCCGAGTGGTCACGGAGGGGAGGAATTGGCGGAGGGCTCCAGAGGAGGCACCGAATACGGTGCGGAGGGAGAACATGGCGGCGGGTTTCGATTTCGGTCTATCTCCACGGAAGGTGATCAATTGGAGGCTGCGCCTCAAGTATCACCTTATGAATAACAAGAGGTATCGGGGTGCGGTGCGAGGTTGATATTTGGCTCCAAAGGTTCTCTCGTGATGCGATCGCAAATGTTGGCCGGAGCTTCTGTATCGCCGGTCGGCCGAGGGGTTTGGCCGCTGTGATTGGTCAGTTTTACACTACAAGTATAAGAGCAAGAGGGAAAACAGAAAGATACGAAATGTGCGTTTATTTAGTGACTGGGTAGAACAGTCTGTTTTATTCCTTTACTGATGCTATTTAGGATAGCTAGCTGGAATCTATCTGCTGATCTGATGTGAAGACCCGATTTACGAAATAGAATTGCCCTCTGAAGTTACGAGACTACGAGTCGTAGCTGAGAGTATGCAGTTTAACTACACGTTCAGCACCCTAGAGCATACTGAACACTACAAAAAATACATTGTCTAGGATACAGATTGGGATAGTCTACAGGATGGCAAACGAGCCATGCTACTACTGGTAACTATCTAGGTGACTGTGTAGTGTATAAGAGTGATAGGGGTGAAAACACCCCCTATTCATGTATTCCGTGGAATCTGTCAGTGACCACTGAACTCCAAGAGTTCAGTCACTAACTTATCAGGACTCGCACTAGAACTGGCAGTTTGATTTGTATTCGGACCTTCGAAGGCCTCAACAACTTGGTGTTGATGTCTTTCGAGGACCACCCTCTGCGCTGCCTCGGTGGGCTACGGTGAGACAGGGAGGATTGGGGAGAGGAATAAGGGAAGAGAGAGAAAGGTGAGAGGATTCCTTTTATCGTCTCACGTACCTTCCGAAAATGGACTTCCCCCTGCGCCTTAATTGCTCTATGTCACATGATAACTTCAAAGAGAGTTTATATTTAAGAAAGATTCCATGTGACCATCAACTCTTGAATTGGATCCTATGAATTGTAACTAGATATCCTTTCCCTGGCACTGGTGCCATTATGTCCCAGGAATTCTCAACAGTGAGAAGGACATTTGAGGATATTTGTACTTATGCAAGTATGTATAGGAAATCCTAACAGTAAACTATGTGACCTATGATACAGAGGGTCTATCGAAATGAACCGAACGCCAAACAAGAGACAAAACAGGCCTGGACCTTAAACCGCTTAAATCATAACAAGCTATGAACAATGCATCTTCTCGTTACCCATCTTCTCTTCATATGCGATCTTAACAGAATTTTTATTCAGAACGCAAGAAGGTCTTGTAAGTGGGAGAGTCAGTGTGCTCACTGAACGGATAGCCTAGATCCTGAAGGAAGGCCTCCAAGTCCTCCTTCTCGGGCGACGGGCACTGGATTCCAGCCAACACCTTGCCTACATCGCCGCCGTAGTTACGGTAGTGGAACAGAGAGATATTCTGTTCAGGGCGGAGGGTGGTGAGGAACTTGGCGAGAGCACCTGGACGCTCGGGGAACTCGAACATGAAGATGCGTTCATCGGCGACCTCGCAACGGCCTCCGACGAGGAAACGTAGATGACGCTTGGCAAGTTCGTCATCACTCAAGTCCCGGCAGCTCATGCCGCCCTTCTCCAGCTGTTCCATGATCTTGGCTAGGTCTTCGCGGCCAGTAGAGGTGGACAGTGAGATACCCATCAGCACGTCGGCCGACTCTTCGCGGGCATAGCGGTAGTTGAATGCAGTGACGGCGTGGGGCAGGACAATCTCAACAAGCTTGGCAAACGCACCAGGCTTCTCGGGGATTTTCACGCTGAGGAGTGCTTCCTTCTTCTCGCCAAGAGCAGCGCGCTCAGCAACAAACCGCAGACGGTCGAAGTCCATATTGGCGCCGGAGGTAATGGCAATAAGCTCGCGGTTGGGGTCAGGGCTGGGGTTCTTGGCAATGTACTTCTTAAGACCGGCAAGAGCGAGAGCGCCGGCGGGCTCGACGATGGACCGGGTATCCTCGAAGGCGTCCTTGATGGCCGCGCAGGTCTCGTCGGTGGATACCTGGATGACATCGTCGATGACCTCGCGGCTAAGACGCCAAGTTTCCTCTCCGACAGACTTAACTGCAGCACCGTCCGCAAAGAGGCCAACCTCCTTGAGGAAGACTCGGTTACCCGCATCGAGGGACTGAGTCATGGCGTTGGCATCGTAAGCCTCGACACCGATGACCTTCACCTGGGGTGCGATGCGCTTGAGGTAAACTCCAATGCCGGCAATGAGACCACCTCCGCCAACAGCACAGAAGACTGCCTCGAGCTTGTCCAAGTTTGCCTGGCGCAGAAGCTCCATACCGATGGTACCTTGGCCAGCAATGACATAAGGGTCGTCGAACGGCGGGATGTTTGTCAGATCATGCTGCTTCTCCAATCGGTGAGCCTCATCTTTGGCAGCATCAAAGTCCATGCCGTGAAGAACGACACTTCCTCCCAAGCGAGCAACATTCAAGTGTTTAATGGCGGGGGTGCCAGAAGGCATGACGATGGTAGCGGGGATTCTTAGCTTGCGCGCAGAATAAGCCACACCTTGAGCATGGTTTCCTATACAGAGTGAGTAAGAAGCACTTCGAGTTTGTCTTATCCACCAACTATAGACTCACCAGCAGAGCAGGCAATAACACCCTTCCAGCGCTGTTCATCGTTCAGATGAGCCATCTTGTTGTATGCGCCACGGAGCTTGAAGCTGAACACCGGAAGCAGATCCTCGCGCTTGAGAAGCACTCGGCACTCCAGCCGGTTGCTCAGGTTGACAGCATGGGTAAGAGGGCTTTCTTCAATAACATCGTAAACTCGTGACGTCAAAATCAACCGGAGATACTAGAATTGCGGGGCAAACGTTAGAATTTGAAGATCCAGTATGAATTGCAGAGCTTCAATTACATCTGGGTAGCCATTGGGAAGCAGGAAAGCTTCAGGGATGCCCCAATTGGGAGGCAAGCCGGGGGTCCTGCGCTCGCGTTCAGAGGGCGGCGTCGGAGCGGCGGTATACTCTGTCAACGCAAGCCCGCTCATCTTGGGAGTGGGAGTGACGGGCGTGGCGATGCCATTAGTGCTTTCGTCAGACATAATGACTTTGAGATGATTTCTGCCAGATGGAGACAATCAATCTCAATGAGAAAGTATTTGGAAGCTGGCAAATTCTAAACTCTCTGACTCTTTTTTCTTGCGAAGGCGGGACCGTGATCGGAGGTCCTTATGTCATCAACTCTACGAGCCCTAAATAAAGGTTGATACAGGTTGATTTGGGTGTGCTGAGGGAATGAAAGTAGAGACTAAAGCGATTAATCGTTAATTTACCAGGCAAAAAAAGAAATTGTCTGTCTCTTATACTGGATTATTGAATGTTGGAGGGGCAGCCCTGGACAGGTACAGGCATGGTGTACAAGTAGATAGCGGTCAACGATGAGGTGCTCAGGGCTAATTGGACAATAAATTATATATCTTTGCTGTTTGTATTTTAAACCAGTAATAAGATGAGAGTATCATTTATCAACAGAGCCATTTAAGCAAAATACAAAGACCAATGCCCTCATTTAAAGATATAGATGCTGCAGTATGGAGGTCCCGGCCAAATAGTTACATAACCCGATATGTTTGAAAAACTTCCCAAGGTTGGCGTCATACCACAGACCCTACCACATCTCGAGTAGTCTATTCCAACCTCAAAACTTCCAACTTCTCGCGCCTCTCGATACAATCGTTACAACTGAACCCCTCATTTATAAAGGCCGACCGAATATCCTTGAACCGAAAACTCCGCACTCCGTGGACGCAATTCAACTCCGCACGACTTAAAGATACCCGACCCCATCAACTTCACGATGAGCAAGGAACCCGTACCTTCGTCTTTTGAAGGCAACCCGTATGTGTCCATATTATCCGCGCCCCCCGCAAGCGGCACGCAACAATATCGCAGAGAAAGCCAAGGGAGGGTCCGTCTGCTAACACTCAACTTCGGATAGTCAATTTACAGAAGAGACCGGCACTGAGAAATTCACACGACGCCTCAAGGAAGAGCCGCTCGTGCCACTTGGTACGGGCTCCCCTAGCACAACGCCTCGCCTCCCCCTCGGCATTTCCTTCCCGACATCAATACTAATACATACTACTAGGATGCGCTGCAACATGTTATGCCCTCTACCGCGCCTACCGGTCGATGAAATCCGGCGACTCAGTTGAAATGAACCGAATGTTCCGAGCCCGTATCTACGCACAAGCCTTCACACTAGTCGCCCTAGTCGCCGGTGGAATGTACTTCAAGACGGAGCGCCAGCAGCGCCGGGAATTCGACCAAGCCGTGGAACTTCGGAAGAAGCAAGAAAAGCGCGACGCGTGGTTGCGCGAACTTGAGATTCGTGATAAGGAGGATCGCGAATGGAGGGAGCGACACGCTGCCATTGAAGCTGCGGCTAAGGAGGTCGGAAATAAGCCAGCGCCGCGCAAGGAGAGCGAAGCGGCACGGTCGTCGATTGAGCCCGCCGATGAAAAGTCTATTGGGGTTATGGATGCCGTCAGGGCTCTTATTTCACGGAACTGATAACGTGCGCTGTGTAAGATAGGAGAGATTATTTTGGCTGTTTTTTTGTATATGCATCGAAATTTTCCATGTGGACCTTCAACTGATGGATTGTGCTGTCGTTCTAGAATGCATATTCATAAGTGACAGAAGTACGATGAGCTCATCGGGTTGTTCGTGTCTGCGTTGTGTTGTGGACGGGATGTCCGAAGATCGACGTGCCGAGGTTGAAATGTCCCAAATTGATCCGCGCCAAACAAGCTTGAATGGCGCCACTAGCACAATAAGGTAAACCACACCCTTGGCAAAATCATGGAAACATTTCCGAAAAAGCAGCATGTTGATTTTGGATCATCATGGCCGAATTCGTTTGCTTGGCCGAGGCTTTCATGTGAGATCGACAAGGCTAGCGCCATGCGAACGACCTAACATATGATATTCTTATTCGGAACCAGAGTGCCGTCAAGTAAGTGTGGTTTTGAAATGGCATTGTTGAATCCTTGAGAATTCAGGATAAATGGTGCTTTTCATCTTGAAGACTCAATATGGTCAGATGCATGGCCAAAGGGGATGATCCTAAGGCGGGGAAGTTGAACTATCAGACCCCAAAACCCTAATTCGGAAAGCCTCAGGGTCTATCAGAATCCTGCGTCAAACTTTTCAATCCCTACTCCGAGTCTCCACCCCTCAGCCTGACTGCAAATCTACCCCAATGCACATTCTTTCCCGAATCACAACGCCATGACGTGAAGCTAGCTTTGTGGGCCGTCTCCCACAAGAGTATAAAGGCCCATGGCATTCCCATATGACTGTAGATCTTATTTTCCAATCCTTTCCCCCAACCATCTACCCAAAAGACGCTATATCCTGTATACGTCCCGCCCATCAAAAGAACTGTATTCATACCCAAGATGCTTTCCTGGATCTACCCATTGCGAATCGTGCAGGCCATCCTGTCCCTGGCTACAATTGGTCTTACTGCATATGGTTCGTTTCACTATGAACTTTATCAGACCCACATTAACACCATCTAGAAATCGCCTCTCTATACGACGAATGGTCCTACTCAAATGTCATCTACTACATGCTCTTCAACGGCTGCTGGACAACAGCCATTGCAGTCCCCTACCTGGGCCTCGCACCTGTAGCCTATCCTCGCTTCTCACATGAAGTTGCCATTCCTCTTATTGAGCTGATCACCGGCGGCCTCTGGCTCAGCGGTTGGATCGCCTTGGCCGCCATGATCCCCTCGCCTGGTGCATGCCACTATTCCAGCTGCCATGCCCTCCAGGCTTTGATTGTCGTCGGGGCTGTCCAATGGTAAATAGACGCCCAAGGATTAATAAGTACATACATTGTCTAACGTACGTTCTGAACAGGGCTACTTTCGTCGTCACAAACGCCTTTGCCATCATAGACGTGAAGAACTCTCGTCGCAACGCGAAGAACCACCGTGACGAGGCTTCCCCGGAGATGGCTGATGCTGGCGCCAACAATACTACTACCGCCACTACCGACGCTGTCTAGATGGGATGTGTCATACATACCCCGAGGATATGTTTTATACCAAAACTTGCACAACTTGCAAGCTATGATACGCACGTGGTTCAGTTTCCTAGATGAAAGCGATACCCTGGTTGATTTGACGAACACCGCTGTTTATATACAAGGATTTCTTGATAATGCCAGAAATGGTCTGGTCATGTATCGACCTAATGTTAATATGATAATCTATTTCTTACTCTCTTTCTTCTTTCCGACGTTCAACCCAATTATAGCGCCGAAAGCAATATGAAATTAAAATTGAAATCTTAAATTAGTTCTAACATTAAAATGGCATCAGCCGTCTAATCATCAAAAAGCTCCAAACATAAATAACCCGAAAACCCGAAAGATATATATACATTATCGCTTAACCGATGTCCATACCGTCCACCTGTTGTATTGATTTCATCGGCCCGCTCTGGCCTGTTTGGTTCATTTCTGAGTGAAATGCTAGCACCTCATTGTACCTATTACAATAGTCAGAAGAATATCCGGAGATGTGATGTACTACTTCAGGACTAACATGATAGTTTTCCAGATATCAGCTGGAAGATTTGCTTCTAGGAAAGCCCAGTCGAATGGTTGTGCAGCGACTGGTTCATCGTTTGGATCGTGGTATGGAGCGAGATATGGAGATGAGAGTGCTTCTGTTGCCGAGATTCGTACTTGGGGGTCGAATTCAAGCATCTTGTCGATCAATGCAGCCGCTGATTTAGTTAATATTTTGATTTTAAGCATTAGTCTGGAAACATACCATCTGCATTGGCTTTGGGAATGACCTGTGATATTGGTTTGCGTTCTCGTTTTGGGAGTGAGTTGATAAAGTTCAATGTCTAGAGAAAAGCTATTAATAACCATTTTCCCTACAATACGGTTTCGAATACTCACATTCTCACTCGTGATATTGTTGACCACTTCTTTGGGCGGATTACCGAGTAGATCGGTGATGACGCAGAACTGGTTGATATGGTTTGTTCCGGGGAATAGAGGCTCGCCGAGAAATAATTCCGCGAAGATGCACCCGGCACTCCACATATCGACTTTTTCGGTATACTTTCGCCATGTGAGCATGATCTCTGGGGCACGGTAGTACCTTGTCGAGACGTAGCCGGTCATGTGGGATTCTTGGATGCGGGCTAGGCCGAAGTCACATATTTTCAGGTCGCAGTTCTCGTTGACGAGGATGTTGCTTGGTTTTAGATCTCGGTGGATGACACCGGCTGAGTGGAGATATTTCAAGCCACGCTGGAAGTGGTTAGAAAATCTTGCTTGAAGGGTTATAGATGGTACCAACCATTATTTGGTACATGAAGTATTGGGCGAATTGGTCTTCGACCTTTTTCGCCTTGAGAATTGTACTAAGGTCGGTTGCCATAAGTTCGGTCACAATATATCTGGTGTTATTAGTGTTTTTCATATAAGGAGAGTGGAATCTCTTCGTACATGTCTTCAGACGGAGAAATGAAAATATCGGTCAGGTTGATGATCTGTTTGTCGATTAGATAGTTCATACTAGTGACTGGGATGCTCACATTTTCATGTCGCAACTGTCTTAGTAATTTTATTTCTCGAAACATGTGTCTTGCAATAGCTGGTGTCTTGAAAGGTTCTGCGAGTTTCTTCACGGCGACAGTGCGATGAGCAAGCTGATCCCGTGCTGAGCTGTTAGAGATAACTGTTAGTTTCGACTGAGGGTCTGCTCCACATGAAATGATACCAGACAAGTCCGGATACTCCAAGGCCAAGAGGTTTCCACTCTGTATAGCTGTTAAAGTTTTAGCATATAAAACAAGGTATTATTGGCATTAGTCTTCTAACCGTTCAGTTGTCTCAAATATTGTACCCATAACTGATTTTTGGGAGAAGGTTGCCATTTGTTCCCCGAAGGGTGGTGTAGGTAAATAGGGCATCATCGTAGAAAGTAAACATGCTATAAAATGTACATTAGTGAGACGAAAACCGAAATTGAATATAGAAGAAGAAATATATACTAAGTTCACGATGATGACATCAGAGGCTTTGTGGATCTCCCCACATAATTCCAATCTTGGAGAACACTCTTGCACTTTCTATTTTCTTTACTCGTGTGACATAGGGGAAAGGATTCAAGGGATATTAGAATGTTTATATTGCTCGTATATTCGTTGATTCGTAATTCTGAATTTTGACATTAATATACAAACGCCCGCTAAAACCAACCTTCAGGTCAGTTAGGTATACACATTCTCCGCATCGATGAAGTTCTCAAACAAATCCGTAAATCCATTCGATTCGTAAGGCGGAAAATCGTTCGCGATCGCAGGCAACACAGTCCAATCGTTCCGATCGTATGTGTTGGGATCATATGCGCCCGATCCGGGTTTGGTATCACCTGCGATCGACTCATCGGACCATGTCCCAGTCGAAAAGGCTGGAGATGAGCTCGTAGGTAAGCCAGTGTTGGCATCCACGGTGGGATTACTTTGCAGAACAGTCTCGGTCATCTTGGCAAGCTGGCGGTTGATTTGGTGGTCTTGGCAGTCGGCGTGTTGGAAAATGAGGTTCTTCAAATCCCAGACTTCTTCTCGTAGACTGTTCAATTGTGCTAGGAGGAGGTCTTTCTTTTCGGTTTCATCGCTGAGGCGACGTTCGATTTGTTTGTGTTCTCGCTTCTTTCTTTCGCGGCATTTGTTGGCAGCGACGCGGTTGCGTTCGAGGTGCTTGGCTCGTCCGGGGCTAACGGAGGAAGAGGAGGATGATACGGATTTCATTTTGGTCTTTTTTCGATTATGGCATTCGCGATGAAGGAGTAATTTGGATTATAGAAATTATGTACTTTTTCGTAAAGAAAAAAAAAAGTACTGATCTATGAACCCATCGAATATAAAAGAGTCTGGACCAAAATCAATGACGTATCACTTCAAGGATCCGGACAGGACCGCTGGGGAATAAAATCAAGCTTCTCCAAACAGCTGCAACCTTCCGTTTCCGGTTTTAATCTGCCTCAGGTTTGATGAGAATGTGGAGAAGTGGCAATTCAATATATAGATTAAAGATTGCACTAAAATTAAAGATCTTGAGTCTGACATCATATATTTACGTTTGTAGATCATTTATACAATAACAAAAACCAAAATATACTTAGGTATGCAAGGAGTTGAAAAACTCATTTGACTGCGGATTTGGAGACTCGTATTCTGTAGGTAGTATGTCTAAATGTGGAAAGACCATTTCCCCTCACTAAAACTTGGCATCCCCCCCCCTCTTAATTCCTGTAACGGAACAGGATGGTTGAGGTCTAGAAATCTTGGTTTAGTCGCTTCCTCATTGGACGAGAAATGTACCGAGTTGGCTGTCCAGGTGATCTGCAACCCCAAGTTCTCTGACCCTCCAATAGAAACAGTGGAAGTCACCCTCGTATTGCAGTGATATGGAACTTGAAGCCAACCCTCCAACAACTTTTTCAATAGCACTCTTAGTTCAACATTGCATGATCCATGGTTATTTTTCCTTGAAACATTAAAATTTACAAGAAAATATATTTACAAGCCTATCAACACAAATCAACCAGCGATCTGTTCATCGATATAGCGTCTCATCGTCTCGAATTCTGATTTGCCTGTCTTTAAGCTCGTTAGCAATCCATTCAAAATCATAATAAGATACGCAAATCATCATACCGAAAGCAAGTATCTTATATGTTGCTGCAGAGCAAAAAAAAAGAAATTAGCCAAATATTCTCGTAGATCCAACCATAAAACCCAGAACGTCAACCTACCACATCCGAAACCTCACGATGGCGCTCAAACTCATCACGTGCATACCTGTGCAGCTCCGTCCGTGTCGACGAAGGCGGAATCTCTGAGCATGGTTGTTAGTTGTCATACATCGGAAATTATGTAGGATGAGCGCACTTATTAATGCTCGCACGATTTCCCGCCATAATGACAATACTCGCTGCCTTTGAATGAACTGCTTTAATTAGTACATATACTTCAATCCGAGCTTGAGTTACTTACATGGTCTAGACTGATGGAAGGCTTCTTCAGCTTGGAGGGTTGGCTGCGCGCCACCGCGGCGAGGAGACTTTGTGAGGGACGCATTGAATTGAATCAAATAACGGCCTTATGTATGAAACGAGAAATTGCACGGGATATGAAGTTTATCTTTCTGATGATCGAGATGTCGATTAGCTGTAGGAGAAGGGATATAGAGGGCGGTGAGATAGTGGATATTTCTGCCGTGGTATCTAACGCGGTCAGGTGACGTCCTACTATATGTGAGGAACCAAGTAGCAGAAAATTATTGGTTTTTTTTTTGGGAATTATCGATATTAGAAGAGTGTATAAAGGTATCACTGTGCATGATATTCAACGGTAGGCATAAGGGGTGTACAGGTGGGGCTCATAAATGTATGGTAGGTTTTTATTCTAAGAAGAGAGATATATATAGTTTGCAAGTAGATCATTGTTCATTTTTTACTCCTGTAGAGGTGCACCCATGCCCCCGAAAGTTACAGTCTTGATAGTCATGAACTCATCAATACCATACTTGCTGCCCTCACGACCGAAGCCACTCTGCTTGACACCACCGAATCTATAGAGAGGTTAGAGCTTGATATACCAATATAGGGAAAGGTAAACTTACGGAGATGCAACGTCACTAATCAAACCAGTGTTGACACCAACCATGCCGACCTCCAGAGATTCAGCAACACGGAAGATGCGGCGAACATTACCACTGAAAAAGTAACCAGCAAGACCAACCTCAGCATGGTTAGCCAGCTCAACAACCTCCTTCTCGGTCTTGAAGGGGAAAAGACCAGCCACGGGACCGAAAGTCTCCTCGGAAGCGAGAAGCATATCCTTGCTCATGCCGGTAAGAACAGTAGGGTGGTAAAAGTTGGGTCCGAGCGCAGTAGCCCGCTGCCCACCAATGACAACCTCGGCACCCTTGGAAGTAGCATCCTGCACATGCTGGTGGGCCTTGTTGGCAGCACGCTCGTGAATGACAGGTCCGTGCGTGATGCCGGCCTCGAAACCACCACCGAGCTTGAACTCCTTGACCTTCTGGACAAAGCGCTTGGCAAACTCATCGTACACGCCCTCTTGGACATAGATCCGGTTGGCGCACACGCAGGTCTGGCCAGAGCTGCGGAATTTAGAGTTGATGGCCCCGGCCACGGCGGCGTCGAGGTCCTCGACATCATCGAACACGATGAATGGCGCATTACCGCCGAGCTCCCAGGAGACCTTCTTAAGTGTCGATGCTGACTGCTTCATAAGGATGCGGCCGACGTTGGTCGAGCCAGTGAAGGACACCTTGCGCACCTCGGGGTGGGTCGTAATCAGTTCGCCGACTGCAGGGGTGTTCTGCGAGGAGGTAACAATGTTGACGACGCCCTTGGGGATACCAGCCCGGTGCGCAAGCTCAGCAATTGCATTCGCGGTGAAGGGTGTCTCCTGGGGAGACTTGGCCACGACTGTGCAGCCCGCCGCCAGGGCAGGGCCGATCTTCCGTGTAATCATAGCCGCGGGGAAGTTCCATGGCGTAATCAAACCGCATACACCAACGGGCTCCTTAAGAGTCATAACCCGGTTTCCGGGAACGCTGGCGGGGATTGTGTCGCCGTATGTGCGGGGTGCCTCCTCACTGAACCACTCGAAGAAGCTGGCAGCATAATTGACCTCGCCCTTCGCGTCCGCAATGGGCTTTCCATTCTCCCATGTAATAAGCTTAGCTAGATCATCTGCATTCTCTATCATTAAATCGTACCACCGGCGCAGCATACGCGCGCGCTCGCGGCCTAGTGTTGTGCGGAATGTGGGGAAGGCTGCTGAGGCGGCCTCGATCGCCTTCTCAACATCGGATGTATCGAGCTCGGGGCAAGTTCCGATCAATTTGCCAGTAGCCGGGTCTGAATGAGAAAAGAAATCAGCGACCCCTCTGGACCATAAAATTCAATTTGGTATTTACCGTGGACTTCGAAAGTCTTGCCGGACTTCGCATCGACCCACTCGCCATTAATGTATGCCTTCTCAATGAACAACGACTGGTCTTTCAACTGTAACTGGTCAGTCTAAACCAGAAAATCACCGACTGCGGATCTTACCTGCGGTGCGCTGTGTTTCAAACTGTATAGTCTCTGTGCGTGAGGTGTCGGAGGAATTGAGAAGGGGTATCTTGTTCGAGGTCTTAATAATTGGCGGGCGACAGGGCGGATGATGCGATCCATTGTGAGAAATCAAGGCGAGATGGAGATAATACAGAAAGAGCGCGGGGAAGAGAGATGCCTTTAAAGCAGATTAATAGTGGGGATGTGTGGAATGGTTGGTGATTTGCTCTTTTTGACCGAGAAGCACCGAGTAATGTAAATGGTAAACTGAGCTCTCAGTCGGGAAGCTCTATGCTTAAAGCGGGGATCTGCGGAGTTGATGTCATCCTTAGCTCTGGAGTGTTTGTTTCTTTTCCTCTTGCTTCTCTTGTATTGTATTCTTGTTTATTCTACTGAATCTAAATTGCGTCCTTTTTTTAATTAATATCGAAGAAAAATCAACCGAAATATAAAACAATAGAGAATCCTCTTGCTATAGAAAATGAATATTCATTTCATAGATCTGGTAAATTTTGTAACGTTGAAATAAATCTTACAGTGCCCGGCTATCTTATCCAATGAAAGTGCGTTACTTTTGAGGATTCGGGTGTTGCAACCAATAAACACCCAAGTTGAACCTCCGGCCTTGAGATAGTGTATTTGTAATACCCCAACCTCATCGTACCTTTTCCCCACAAATCACCGACCTCGGGAGCAACTCCGAGACTACAACATATGTTTTTCTTTTCTTTTACTAAGAACGAATTGGACATGTTATAAGAAGGACATATACAGCAAACTATGCTACTCCGGACTTAATTCTGATTGAGTTATAGTCCCTACCATTATAGGCGGCTTCTTTGGCCTTGTCTGTTCAGATATTAGTTTTAGTCTATTGCTTAGTCCCTTTCTTAGTTTAGTATCTAGACAGACAACAGGGTGGACTCTGAGGGCAAAGGGCCACCTGTCTACTCACAGTATAATCATATGACAGACATCCACACTCATATCGTATGCCTACCGGGGACCGAGACTATGTACAATGTAGGTGGCAGGGCTACACCAAGAGGACTCTTTACTGTGGGTTCATTTAGACAAACCCGCCCTTTTTGTTGGATGATCTTAATGTTTGCTGGAAGGCTGACTAGTTCGCTGAATGGTGGGATATGAATACCCTTCTCTACGTAGTGGTATAGATGCCAGGGGTCAAAACCCTATTTCTGGGTAATATAGATAGATGCCTTGATACCTCATTTTCTGAAATAGGACCAGCAGAATACTATGTAATTAAGATACTTGAATTACTATTACGAGAGTAGTCGGCCTTGTGATGTCCTTTCAGAGGCTTTCCAGTGGTCCCAGATATCATTTCGTTTCGATATGCCAGTTTTATATGTCGACGGCAAAAGAAAGGCGGGAAAGGGCTTAGTTTGTGCAAACGACCTTTCAACTTCCGATAAAGCGGTGCAAGGAGCGATTAAGCACCAGGCCAAAAAAACATCAAGGCATCGAGGTTCTCTAGAAACGGGGGTTTGACTCCTGGCATCTATACTGCTGCGTAGGATAGTTTGAACGCGAGAATTCAAAAATTGATAGTCCGATACTTGCTAGAATGCCAAAAAGATCAAGGCAATTGATGTATTCCTCCGAGTAGCCATCTGCTGTTCTCGTAAATATCACCATCAATCATCAATGATTCTTATTCAAGAGCAATCGATAACCACGCACTTTCCCCCCTTTACCACTTCTTTCCTTCACCAGTCTTTTTTTCACCAGCCTTCTCCTTTACCAATTTACTAAACTACCTGTTCTTTTACAGTTCATACCCTAGCGGGCCTCTTTCGAGTTTCATCATCCACCCATTCGCAGGGTATAAGCTTACTCGAGGACTCCATCCTTCTTCATTCTTTTTCCATTACTGAATCATCACTAGTTTCCCAGCCATCACCACCTCTTACTCAAGAGCAATTGACAGCGACACACTTTTCCCTCCTTCGTCACTATCATTCCTCTCCTTGACCGGTTTTCTCTTCCGTCGATATTCTGTTTTACTACTTCACTCAAGGTATTTGTTCTTTCACAGTACATACCCCAACGGGCGTTTCAGAGTTTCAGTATCTACCCATTGACATCCTTCGTCACTCACCGGACCATCATGTCGTCACCTTTCCAAGATGGCCTCGCTGCGCTCCCTGATACGATAGAACGTACCTCGATATACACCATGCTGGAAAATCAATGTGATAGCGATTCACCCTCTCTTGCCTTAGTTCAAAGGCTACCAACACCCCTTGTGGAAAATGACAGGGAACCATTTAGACTTCTTCCATGGTTCGCCATCGAAGATCTTCTTCTACAGTTACATGATCTGCCCACGCTACATCATTTGTGTCGAGCCTCCCCAGCCGTGACAGACTACCTGAATCACACGCCTGGGTTCTTTCCTAAGGTTGTTGAAAAACTCATGGAACGCTGGCAGGATCGGCATGGTCTTGAGCGGGGTTATGTCCGTGACATTCAGGTATTTCTCCGAACATTGGTGTTTCTTTGGTGGAAAGAAGAGTCCGCGGCTAGGGGAGAACTCGTCCCTTCGGATGGAAATCCATTACCAGGTGTTTTCAGGTGACACCTTCTACATTATCAACCTCTCAACGTTCACTTCCACGAAACCCTGGTTTGCCGGAAAATATGTCGGAGATATTCCCCTCCCACCATCAACTCCCCCGCAGATTCTCCGCCGTTTGCTGAGCCTTTCAACTCAAGTTCGCAGGGATGCGCATGGCTTCTTTCACAGCTGCGTACACCTTTGCCAGTCGTCATATATCAAGCGTCTCACCTCACACATCGCAAGAGACCGTGGCCAAGAGATGGGACTCGACCTCACGGCACCCCGATCAGCGCTTACACGGATGAAACCTATGTTCTCTCCTGGATAGAAGAGCAGCGGTTGACGCTAGCCTTGCTGAAGCCCTACATGTTCTCGACACTGCGGCGGGTTATCTGCGAAAAAGGGATCGTAAAATCCGATCCTCCTCTCGCTGTCGGAAACGGTTGGTGCCCGCATACATTCAACCATCTGCAAGAAGGTAACTTGATAGATTTCTGGGGCCCTTTTGCCCATGGCTGGGCGGAGTCATTAGACATGGAGCAGCTGCGCACAGTGGTGGCTTGGTTTGATGCCGACAAGCCATTGCATGGCATGCCACTCAAGGGGCCTGATGAGTTTATTACCTGTTGCCCGGAGGTTATCACTTTTGAACCAACGCGTAAGGAGCTTAGATCCAAAGATCCTTTTCATCAACGCTCCATTGAAGGGTGCTTTTGGGCGCAATCCTGCACGGACGCGCCGCAATCTGGCGTTGAAGAGGCCGGCCTACGGGGCGAATTTAGGAAGTTCGGGGTGAGTTTCTGGCATAACCACAGGATGATTTCGCTGGGGCTCATGCTACCGCGGATCAGGAGCCATAACGACCGCAAAGATCTTGCGTTTAGATGGACATCTCTGTTGGAGCCGAAGGACGAAGAAAAGCTCAAGGATAAGGGAGAGAAATCGGTGAGACGTCCCAAGCCAATCAGTCCTCCACAGCCAGGCCACCGGGCCTAATGGACTCGTCCTTTTCTGTCCATGTAAATATGTCTAACCAGAGAATTTTGTGCTTCTACAGGGAAGCGAGACAGATTTTGACGCTATCGGAATTTTGAGGGGCATTCCAATTTCAATTGTTCGATTTATGCAAGGCAAGCAAATGAGTAAAAACATGGATCTATCTGTGAACTTACAATGTACATATCTCCCTCGGAACTACTAGAATGTAGCCTTCGGTGATAGGCACTTGCTGTCCTAGTAGTAACGTTGGCTTAACACTCACTGTACCTCACATCAACTAGGATAACATGTACAAGATTTCAATCGGCCAGAATGTTTAGTAGGTTCGAGGCCCGATAGGCTAATCTAATAGAGGAAAAGAGAGAGGCAAAAGAGAGTGGTAGAGGGAGTGAGGTAAAAGTGAGCGAGAGGTGAGAGAAAAGTGAGAGATAAAGAAAAGAGAAGAAAAAGAGAGGGGAGGTCTAAGCCTAGCGGGAGGGGGGGGGTGGGGGGGTTCGGGCACTACCCCCTACCGGGAATAGATCTTAGTATAGAAACCGGTAAGCTCTAGGAGTTGGGCGAACTCGTTTGGGCCTAGAGAGCAGAGCCAGGTAATATGTAGCCTCCTGCCTATTTATAGGTGGCGTCGGCGGCGCGGATAGCTATCGGCTAAAACGCCTCTTTGTAATACAATAGAGGGCGAGGTATTTGGGGGTTTTAGCCCTACTGCAGGAGTAGGTGAGCTTAACGTCGGCGTGGTTAAAACGCCGATGGTACTAATCGAAGTCCCCGTGGGAGGACCGGAGTGTAAGCCACCTATAAAGGAGGGGCCGCTGTATATCGAGTCTAGGCGATGGTTTTTACCCTATAGGTATTGTCCTACCGCCTATACCAAGAGGAGAGCTTTTCAGAGGCGTTATACCACTAATCAGACCATGCCTCCAGGCGAAGTTCCCGGTAGATGGATTTAACACCGCTGATTGTAGGAGCGGACTGGGGACTGCCTAGGCGGCGCCCCCTGTTTCGCTGCCTCATCGGTGAGCCTGTCGGCCACATCGTTGCCTTCGATGCCCATGTGGCTGGGCGACCACTTGACCAGTATATCATGCGCCTTCATAGCGCTGTGGCACTCAAGGAACGCCCATTGGGAGGTCGAGGAGGCGTTCCCCTAGAATGATCCTGTAGCAACGGACAGGATAGGAATGGAATACCTTCTACTAGAATTTTAAGTTCTATACCATTCCGAAAGAAATTGCAAGGCCACACAAGCGGCCGACTATTCAACGTTCTTGTCTTGAAAAAGCTGATTGTCTCATGACTAAATTAAATAAAGGTTAAGTACACGACCTATTCAAGCATGATATTTTCGTCATCCCGTTCAATCGAGCTTTCAATCCCAGGAGCAAAATGTATAGCATGAGTATTTTTCAAATGTTGATTAAGGTTCCATTTTCGTGAAAACCCTTTAGTATGTCGACTGCAAGTCTTGATAGGGCAGATAATATCCGCTTTCCGATGAGGACCCTTTCCAACGACCTTTTTAGTCGTCTTTGGCTCTTGATCGGCGACTTGTTCTGTGCTCTCTGTGATAGGTTCCGTTGGTTCAGGCGGCACCTCCGGGGGCGGAGGCGGGGGTGGTGATGGGGGTGGGGATGAGGAGGGAGGAATGGTTGCAGGAGAAAGGTATGACTTCGAGCCTCGCTGGCCTGGTACCTTCGCTGTGGCCTTGGGCTTGGGCTTAGGCTTTGACTTCGGCTTTGGCTTGGGTTCAACATCGGGTTTTGCTTTGGTTTTGCGCTTGCTAGCTGGGCGGGGAGGTAGCTGAGGGCTTGGTGGCGCCGAGTCACTCTCGCTTTCGCTTTCGGTGTAGGCATATTCTTCTTCATCATTTGCCTTCCGCTTCCTTTTCACCCTGCCTTCGGGCAGTATTCTGAATTCCATGTCTTCGCCGAATAGGTCAGCGCAGCGCTTTGACGCGCGCATTACCGCGGGCGTGGGGAGACCCATCATCGATGCCAGTCCTATAACTTCACTCCAGTCTCGCAGTTTGAGTCGGCGCTTGGTGGGGTGATTGCCATCAGCAGTAGGAGAGTTGGGGGATTGTCCTCGGGTTTGGGAAACGTCTCGCAAACTTTCATCCCCCGTCTCCGGTTCAGTGTAGTATGCACGTGCACTGTTAGAACGGCGTGAGGTTTCCCGTTCCTGGGACTCCTGTCGAGCACTAGTCCGACCACGGGATCGACTTCTGCTTCTGCGCTTGCGGGTCTCTCGAGTCTGGTAATCTTCTTCGTCCGAATCAGTCCATTGCTCGTCACCAGAGTCATCGTCATATTTGCGACCCTTCATGGCGCAATGGAGCCCGTAGAGCAGCCGGTCTACATGTGAAATCACATTGCGGACCACCGGACGTAATTGGCGAAGGGAATCTTCTTCGTCGAGGAGGACTGTCGGTTCAAGGATTTTGATATCGACGGGCTCTTCTTCCTCCCCTCCCACCAGCTCCTCCTCCTCCTCCTTTTTCCTCATTTCATCTTCCATGAGTTCGTCCGCATCATTCATCTTAAATTCGGGGTTGTCTTCAATTTCTTCAAAATTCACCTCTCGGGCTTGGAAGGCCTCCTTAGAGGCCTTCAATATGAGCGATTTGAGGCAATCTTCCAATTCCGCACTGGGTCGTGGATCGGGTTCCATTTGGAACGTATTAGGGAGGTCCATTTCCCTCTCGATTACCTCATTGGCACGGGGAACTGTTGTTGCATGAACAGGCCATGCAGCCCATCGCTTGCTCACACGGAGGGGCGCTTTATTGACGACCCCAGGGTTCTTCCGGGCAATCTTTCGCGCTCGCCTGCGAATCGCGTGGGCATTGTAAAGGTGAGCCGCCAAATCTCTGGCTCGATGAATAGCTATTGCATTATAGGCTCCAATATCATCAGCGTTGTAGTTCCTCCAAGAAGTGGCGTGTCCATCATACAAATTGGGACGCTCAACCCCAGGTCGCAGGTCAAGACCTCGGTCAACTACGTAAAAAGTCGGGTCACGCTGAGACTCCTGTGACCTTTTTGAGCGTATGCGACTTCGGCCACGATTATCTTCCTCGTAGCTTTCGTCATCAGAGTCATCCTCGAACGCCAAGGGCTGTTCTCGCATTATCGTGTCAAATTCACTTTCGCCTTGATCTAGGGCCTCATCCATGGGGTCTGCTTCAGACTCAGGCTCTAAATGATCATCTTGTTTAATGGGGCCTCCAAAAAGAGACCTTCTTGGCGGTTCTGGCTGAGAAGAAGGTTGCAAACTGATATCGCTGCTTGGGCCCCCAAATAATGATTGGCGTGGCTGCGCAGATTGCGGTGGTGGAAGTTCTGGCCAGGGTACCTGGCTTCCATATAAAGATGACATGTCGGGTAGGTACTTAGGTCTCTTGCCGTTCTATGTGCAAAAGGTTCGGACCTGCAGTGCCTAGATGTCACATGGATGCGAATTTTGATTGTGCAACATCCGACTTGAAGGGCAAAATAACATCCAGTGGAAGGACTCGCCGTGACTGGTACTTTAAATGGCGAGTTTTGATATTCTTGTCCGACTTAGCTTCTTACTGAGTGTTGAAGATGTCCAAAAATTCCAAGCGGGTGGATCGCCAATAGTCACGTGTTCGATATTCACGATCCACCCAGAATATGTGCGCTAGTCCCAAAAGGGAAGTATATACGTCTTTAACCTAATTAGGAGACAAGAGCCAGACTAGAGGGCATAGCCAAATAAATCACTGTAACTGATGCCTCCAGGGTGCTCTGCTTTAAGAGTCCACAACAGACCAATCAATCTATGTTATTCTTCTAATTTTGATCTATATTTTGCTCGATGGAACTTGAATATGTAGTTGAATTGAAATCAGAACATCCACATTGGAGAGACGTGCATTGCCATAAAGAAAGTAATGACAGAATCTTCATACTGATATAGACAGAGCGCTCTATCTAATGATCCAAAATGAATGAAAATGACAAGGTCAGTTGTCAGAATGCAAAGAAACCTCCCTCTTTTTATATTTGAAAGCCACATCTTAGAACCCATCATTAGGAAGAAATAGCGGCATAGAATCTTCCCAAATGGAGTTAGTCAAAGGACGTTTATTGGATCCATCAGAGTCCATGATCATGATCTGACCGTACGGCTGGAAAGTTTTGTCGTACAAAGGACACTCGTTCTGAAACCCATACATGCCGGAGGACCACATAATTCTTCCATCCTGGCGCCAAACGGCGTGGGCATCGTTGGCGCCGCTAGAAGTCAGAATGCGGAAGTCAGTACCGTTGGGGCGGATGGTGCAGATGTCGTAGTTAGTCGGAGAAACCTTGCGGGTGAAGACTATAAATTCTCCATTGGGCGAGAAAGAGGGGAGGTTGTCCCAGGCTCTAGTAAGTTGGGTAATCTCTCTGGTCTCAATGTCGATGATGCGTAAACCAATATCTGTCTCGTCGCCATACTGGGCAGTGTCAGCACCCCAGACGCGGTACACGACCTTTCTGCCATCATGAGAGAAGCTAGGAAAGCCAGTATTTAGGTACTTGGTTTGATTGAGATAGAGGTTGCTGGTGGTTAGAACCTCGCGATAGCTGCTGTTTGCCGTGGAACGTACAATCCATCCCCCTCGCCAATCGCGCGCGTCAAACCAGGCACCCACCCCAAAGACAATCCATTCGCCATCTGGGGACCAGCTGGGATTATAGGCCCCAGCCATATCTTCAGCAATTAGCGTAGTGTCAAGAAGACTTGTATCATTGGGCCTATAGACCAAGGAGACCTGATCACTCTCCAGATCAAAAGTGGCAACGGAGGAGTTCCCGAGTTGCTTCTCGGTCATAGCCACGCGACCATTTGACGAGAGTTGGGGGAATACATCTGTGAAACGATACTCCCAATCGCTGTCCCAGCTATAAAGCTCCTTAAAAAGAGGGCGGATAGACCAACCAGCCTTCTCATAAATCACATACTTTCCATCTCGCGACCATGACGGAGAACGGATAGTGGTATTGTAGTAGGTGCCGTTTGTGAGGTACAAGCCCTCCTTATCACCGCCCTTCAGATAGTACCCGATAGTGGAGTTCGTGACGTATTGAGGAAATATCTTCACACCAGGACCGCTAACCTCCGTGCGACGGTTACTTCCATCAATCCCAATAGACACAATTGTAGAGTTGGCATCTGCCACAGTCTCAGGTCGATGCGCATCCCACGTCTCATCGCGAGTCATTTCATAGAATATAAGACGCTTGCCATCTGGTGACCACTTAGGAGACCCAAGGCAGTAGGAAGTACGGTTGGCGACACGGCGAAGATCTGAGCCGTCAGGGCGGATAATATAGATGCTAAGTTCTTGGGTATGCTCCCAGCCATAGAGGCCGAGAAAGGTTTGATTTCCGTGGCCATCCCATATTGTGTTGCGGTCTGAGGAAAATGCAAGCCAATTCCCGTCTGGTGACCAAGCTGGACGGAAGTGACCGTGCATCATGTCCTCGTCTGGCCGGTTATCTGGAATATCGGTAATGTTCCACTCGGCACCAGTCTCCAAGTTCTTGACCCAGATGTTAGCGTTGTAGTTGTTGGCTGTTGAAACATATGCTGCCAATGTCCCATTGGGGGAGATCACAACGCTGTCTTCTGCTGCTGGGGATGTCACAATCGGCTGTAGATCGGAGCCATCTGGGCGTACGCGCCAAATGTCGGAGTTTCCGTCACCGTTACGCTCACTTGTAAAGCTAATCCATTCACCATCAGGCGAAAAGTCGGCGTGGTATTCATAACCGGGGTTCTTCAATAGAGGACGCTCGTCGGTGCCGTCCGCGTTGGCGATATATAATTCTGAGGTGCCGGGTGCAATGCGGTTCATCAATAGCACACCCTTTTTTTCGGCTGCTGCGGAGGGGGTAGGAGACGCAACACCTGTAGTTGGCTTGCTCGAAGCGGTCTCGTGAGGCAACCGAATATAAATTTCAGCACTGCTGCCAACCCCCGTACTCGCATCTCGGGCATAAGGGCAGTTAGCTAACGCAGGGGCAATGACAAGGCCCACTACAGTAGCAATGCTCAAACGCATTTCAAATGACGTGACAGTATTTGGAAGACAAGAGCCCCGGGTAACGGAGAAGTCTCCAGGGATACAATTTTACGAAAAAGAAGTTGTCATTAATAGTACTACCTACATAGGTTATATAACCTGGAAGGTGCCACCTCCATACAGTATTATAGCCATGGTTCCATGAATCTGACGAGGTTTACTCGCCCTATCAAATTCTTTGCCCACAGATGATATATTCAAAATACATATTTCGATAGACAATTCTCCAGTGGAATGCGTCATCGGGACTAGCAACTATTATCTTACATCAACTGACAGCCTGTGTATTCAATGAGGCCTATATAGTTCTAGCATTGCTCAGTAGTACTTTATTTCCTCGAACGGAAGGTTGGCAGACATCTATACGACAGTCACCACGGGGTATATTATCAACGGTACAACCTGGCAGCTGAACCATTGTTACCGCATAGTTGACCTTTGGACACTGTATGCTCACCGACTAAGCATTTCCCAACGAATCATAGCTAAATTACCTTACTACCTTGACCGTCCGAAGAGCGGGATTAGTCCGAATAGTGTGTAAAACAAGGGTAGACGCTGCATACTTCCCCAGGTAACCATAACCGTGACTACAAAGGCCACAGCCACAACTAGGCACCTTGGAAACCCTGAAACATGCCCAATCGGAGTCAGCAGTGTGTCACCTGATTAACCCAGCTAGTATTTTATCACAGGTAGTACAGCCAAAAGATATGTAACCGTATATAGTTCCCCGAGATTGATTTTGAAACGAATATATATTCGCACGAACCCAGCACAATCTAGGGTTTTCCGCATTCAACAGATAGACAGTGCCACTAGACGTTTCACATGTTACTCAGATGCCCGAAAAGCTAACATTGAACACGAACAGCGCCAGGTGCCCGAGGCGGCTGAAGCCCCGGTAGATCTCTCTAGCACTCTAGGCACTGCTGTTACCAAGACATAACTCGCGCAATGTATAGGTTTTCGAAATTGAATTTTTACAACTATAAAGTACCTTTGGAATATTACTATAGAGCCAACCTTAAAACCTCTCGGGTATAATTTTGGGGTTGCAGATGGCCCTCGAGACTCGGCCATGCGGCTGGTGCGGACGTAACCCAATTATTTGGCAATTTCTGTTGTTTGGATTGGTGGTTTCTATCTGATGCTAGAGAATGCAAAACATAATAGCCGAAGGCATAGGGGAAAAAGCGGGAACAAAATTCTAAGTATAGGTTCGCTCTATTTTATGTAGCGCTAACACTCAACTGGCGAATCAAAGTGTCGGGCATTCTCCCAATGCTGATTCCACAACAATCATCTAGTCCTTGTTGAATGTCACCATAAAAGTCTTGCACGATGCCTGTCTGACTTCTCTTCTCTCTTCACAGATGATGGCGGTCAAAAGTTCGCCATGTGCAACAAACCACAATGTCTGGCCTTCCACCGTCCCTTCGTCTCTTAATTCATTGAGTTTCTGCTCCGCGGAGATTCGGGCTCTTTGAATAGTGGCATAAAGACCCCACTTTGCTGGAAATTCAGGATCCAAATTTCCAGGGAAGATTAAAATAACGATATCTGAACCAGTTATGATACGGTCGAGCGGAGTCTGCCTGCACATCTGGCTGCAACAAAAAGCGTGCGCCATTTTGAATCCTTACGCTAGGGCCTTGAGCGTAATACTTCTCATCGATGTTTTGTTGGAAGTCTAAATAGTATGTTTGAAGAGTGCGTCGAAGCGGAGATATCATTATGGATTACTAGGCGAACAGTCTCCTTAAACGAAAAGTCTCGACAGAGTTCCAGACATTGTCTAATCCCCTTTACTTCCAACGGCAGACCGTGAATAGCTAGAAGGATTATGACTCTCATGAGTATTTTCATTCCCTGGAATCGAATGATTGGTACGAATGGGGCCCCAAAGCTTATATCCGGCCCTAAGGAGCTTAATCGGACTTCATTTCCAATCTGGGATATATCGTTTACCAGGGGGACTTGAAACTGGAACTTTTGCAAATGGTGAATTCTGACCAATAATAAGATACGCTACGGGTCAGTTTCTTTGTGGATATACTAGCATTCAAAGAAACAAGAACGTACAGAGGAATGCTAAGATACGGAAAATCTAAATTGTTTCCACCCTGGAAGTAATCCCAGAAGCTCTCGTAAGTCGTGGAAATTTACTACTGTGAAGAACCGTCTTCCTTTCCGGAGTCTCGTTCCTTCACAAAGGTGTTCTCAAAGTCAAGGCCAGCATCTTGACGAATGATACCGTACCCAGAAGATGAATCCAAAGGCCTGCCGCCATGCGCATCCGAAAACTCCTTCGCCCGTACCATATTTTCCAGTGCCACCTCGGCGACCTTTAATCTAGCACCGACATCGTTGGCATAACTGATGCCATGCTGAACGTCCTTGATACCGAGATTCAAGCTGGACTGAGGGGCTTGACCTAGACGATGTTCTTAGCAAGAGGAACAAAACTCGGGGATTCTCAATTAATGCCATATTCATACCTTCCTTTGGAATGTAAACACCCTGTGTCATGCGTTTTGAGCTAGAATACATCATTCCAAAATTCAGCTCAAGCAACTTTTCAAGCATGTCTGTTCCAAGATCGCTTTTCTCCGCTAGTACATGGGCTTCTCCCACAATCTCCATTGCTCCTGCGACGATGAAATTACTAGATAATGTTAGTAAGAGACTATTATCGTATATCTACCGCAATCTCACCCCAGAGTCTTGAGAAGAGTAGCCTTCTCGGGCTGATCCGACACAATCATGACGTCCCGAGCAATGACATCTTTTACGAACGGGGTGATTTTATCAATGGCTTGGCTTGGGCCGCCCATCGCCATTAACACCGTACCACTTTCCGCAGCTGGGGTGGCTCCGAAGACAGGTGCTATTGTAGTATATCAGAAACTGCAAATTATAATTTTGATCTGGGTTCACTTACCAGCAACTAGGGACGCATCCCTTTTCTTTAGTTTTTCACTTGTCTCCTTCGTCATATTAGGATGGACGGTGGTAGTATCCACAAACAACTTGCCATCAATATCTTTGACAGCCAATATTTGATCGAGGACAGAATTCAAAGCCGCATCATCACTGGTCTAGTATTCAATGTCAGTGACAAATTTTCATTCGAGATCTGGAAAATCTGCCAAATGAGATTCCAATTCATACTCACAGATATGAATATCAGGTCACATTCGGCGACAAGCTGTGCGATAGACTCGCATCCAATAGCCCCTAGTGATTCGAGTGGCGCACCGCGAGATGCTGTCCGATTCCAGAATCTTAATTGAGATTCTGTGGTTTGGAGATATCTTTGGACATTTTGCGCCATTGCAAGTCCCATACTCCCGAGCCCTAGGAGGAATTAGAAAAGCCCGATTGAATTTTGCTGCATTGTCCTACCTATCCACCCAACGACTTGATTGTTTGATGCCATTGTTAATGATTTTTTCGTTTGTAGCTGTTTCCTGATACTGCTTGAGACGTGCAATTTGTTATTTAACGTGTTGTGAGATCTCGGATGTGACCCGAGTGATGACTCACCAATAATACGCCCCCGGGTGAGGGTGCCGAGGACTCTGGGGTAGGTCTCGGGGGCCAAAGCATCCCTATATAGGGCCTAGTAGACGAGAGGGTCTATGTACAACGCGAGTTGTGTATAAGGATGGGTATGCAACATATCACTCTAAGACATATGTAAAATAAATTCTCTCGATGATTAAAAGACATCCCACAGAAAGTAACAACCGCTGTCCGTTTTATTGCCAAACTTCTACATCATCGTATTCTTCACAGGATGCAACAGCATAGGTGGTAAGCAGATCGATCGATTATCTCTCCTCCACTGCCAGGTGTCAGCACTAATTTCCGTGAAAAGAAAGCAATCTTACCTCATCTGCGTCGCCATTCCCCAACCAGGCTTGGTAGAGCCTCCCGGAATATTCCGAATCGAACATGTAGGTCATATTTTTCAGAATATCATGATGCATATCCCAGGTCCAGATACTGTCACTCCCAGCACTGATAGCACCGGGCTCGCCTGAGTTTGCACGGCGGTTCAATTCCTGAGGATTCCATTCTTGTGCATGATACACTGGCTGGGGAATCTGAACCGACTTCAGCCCATAGTACAGAGCCCAGGAGGTTGGAGACATTTCTGAACCTAGACCCAGGCCCCTTTCAGCAAGATCAGTGTGCATCATTCGGAGTACGCGTGCTGAAAGTCGAGACATGGCAACCGGGGAGGCTCTACGTGGGGTGTCTGGTCCTTGAGTGAACTTGTAGATCATATCACGCATTGGCCAGCCTGTATTCGCCGGGTTGATCTGTGGAAGCCAGGTGATAACGTCTGCTTCCTCCCCGACACCCCAATTCGATGTGTCTATCTCCACTGTCGGCATGGGTGGTGGAAAGTGCGTCTTCTTTGAGACATTTAGACCCTCCACTGGCACTGGACCCCAGATGGCTGGATGATCCACCATAGATTGATCTACCATGTTGTTGAATTCATCCCAGGTACCATGGACAACAGGGATGTAGAAGTAAGAGTTACGCTCCCAGAGGTGTTGCCGGGGTTGATGTTTCGCGAATGCAGTTGCTTGCTCTAGCAAATGATACAGATGTCCAGTGTACCGGGCATCCATCTCAAATTGCCAGATAAAGTCGTATTGTTGATGCAGCTGTGAGAAGATCTGCATTGGCTGGAAGTATTGGTACATTGCCCTATTTAATGGTGAGCATGGCTGTCCATACGATAACAGAATGAAACCTACTGATGGACATCGATGGTCGGATACCAGTCCTCCAGGAGCTTCGTGTTGAAAAATACTGCAAGCCCGCGAAGCTCTTCTGGAAGGTACTGCTCTCTGAGACTATCCATAGCAACATTGTCCATTGAGTCGGGTAATGTTTCGTCCTTCGCATCAATTAGGAGGATGACCTCGTACTCTGCACCCGAAAGAAGAGATAGTTCCATAACCATAGCGCGGATGTTGTGGATGTCATTGGTTGTGTACTTCATCTCAATCGTTGAGCGTAGAATAACAGCTGTTCTGGGATGGAAGCGTGGTAGACGAGTCTTCCGATGACGTTTATTCTTCAGCTCGTGTTTCACTTGTTGGGTTTGCTGTTTGTGTAGTGTGAATTTCTTCGGCTCGAGATTCAACATGTTGTATCTTCCGTGGTTGCGCTCTAAGCACGCCCGTTGCAAGGCATCCCAGTTGACAACTTCCCAATTCTTCGGCATTCGAGATGCGACATCCTCTTGTGTTTTCGCTTCATAGCCATATGCGCCATATCGGGAAGATGGATCGACACAAAGATCCCTATCGAGGTTCCACGCCTCATACGAACCGAATATGGGGCTAGGGAATTCTGGATATTGTGAATTGGATTAGTGTCCTGCGATAATATTGCTCAAGTCACAAACCTGACTGATTCCAACGGTATCCTTTCATCGCCGTGTCTTCGTTCTTAGGATCCAAAAGCGCGCCATCAGGGCCAACACACGATTTGTAGGACCCTGTCCACTTTTTCTTCCATGCGGCGCTGTTGTAGTCGGGATATGGATTATATGGGACAGGTCGTGACGCGGATTTCTGGCTATCTTTCCCAAGACGCAACCGGGGTATGTGCTCGTTGATCTGTGGACGAAGCAGGATCGTCACAAATACCAAAGATGCGATGAGGACTATGCCCAGCTTCTGGAGAGCTAGGTCAGTACCTCTGAGCAGCATCGCGATTCCACGAGCCGACAGATAAGAGAGCGAGAGAGTGTGTATGTAACTTCCAAATTCGACTTGTGCGTGTTCACGTGGATGTACATAACGCGTTGACATGGGAAGGCGCACGCCAGTGTCAAAGATCAGAGAGCTATACACACTCTAGGATTAATATGTGTTGAAATGAGTTATTACACTTGGTGATACGTCGATTAGGTGAACTACACAGGGTCTCAATTGGCAATGGACAAAAGTTATACATATAACTGGGATGTTAGCCCATAAATAGCATTAAAACTTCACAAATTTTGAGGTGCCTATACATGGGACATATCCAAACCACAACGCCCGGAAAAAGCACTATTTAACATGCACAAATGACCCGAGCTTTAGTTCTTCTCGCCCTTAGCACCCTTCTCGCCCTTCTCAAGCTTGCGTCTCTTGGAGCGGAGCTTGGCGGACTCATCAGCAGTCTTCTTGTTCGAGTACATCATCTTTTCAAGCAGCTTGCGCTTCTTCCGGCTCATCATCATCTTCTGTCTCTCGAGCTCCTCATCCTCGGAGCGCTTCTTGGCAGCCAACTTCTTGGACTTGGATGACCTCTTCTTGGCAGCTTCCTCGGCGGCGGGGTTAGATGTGAAAGGCAGACCAGCGGCTTCGGCCTCGAGCTCCTTCTGGTGCTGAGTGCGAGCAGCCTCGTCGTCATCTTCGGACTCGGATGCGGCTTCCTCCTCAAAGCCACCGAAGTCTTCGACTTCTTCCTCGGACTCCTCATCGCTGTCGTCGTCGGTTCCGGCGACATCCATGCCTCCGTCAACGGACTCAGCCTCAGACTCCTCAGCAGGCTTGGCCTCGGCCTCGGGCTCGTCCTCCATCTCCTCGTCGCTGTCAGAGGCCTCGGCGGCAATCTCAGCTTCATCTTCCTCCTCCTGATCGGCGAGGGAGGCGCGGGGATCGTAAGCGCCGCGAGTAGCCTTAACCCAAGGGCTCAAGTGGGGTGGCAGGGTGGCACCGGGAGCGTAGAGATCAGCTCGGAGAAGCTTGCCCTCGTTAATGCAGTCCCAGACCCACTGGGGCTGGATGTAAGTACGGCCAGGGATGCGGCTTCCGGGCTGGACCTTCTGGATGGCGTTCTCATCGGCAGCAGGAATGGCGGGGAGAGATTCCTGAGGAAGTTGGGGACGATCGACAATTTGGTGAGTGATGCGGGGGTCGGTCTCGTCGTGGGTGAAGGCTCCATCGCCCAGAACGGAGGCCCATCCAACGCGCTTGCAGCCGAATGAGCGCAGAATGAACTCGAGGGGAGCCTTGGGCGCCTCACGGGAAATATAGAACACGAAGGGGGCGAAGAGTGCACCGGCCTCGTTGCCGCTCATTCCGGGCTGGGGGAGGGTATCGGCTTCAGGGGCGGCGGGCTCAAAGCGGTCGAAGGTATCGGTTTCCTCATCGGGGGTGCTGTCGACCATCTCCTCATCCGCGCTCTGGTCCAAACCAGCCTTCTTGATCACCTTGTCAACCTTGGCTTGAAGTTCCTTGGAAACTTCCTTATTGGAGTTGCCGTTGGTCTGGGCCTTGCTAGCCTCAAGAGCCTTAGGCACCTCACCCACTGCGCGGCCCTCAAGAGTGAAAGCTGCCAACTCGGCACCGTTCTCGTCGCTGCGGGTATCGAACTTAGGAGGGTATCTCAATCCAATCGAGGAGTACAGGCGGAAGTTGACAAAGCCCAGCAGGGTGGTGTAAAACTCGACAAAGGTAGCCATGATACGGTAATCGACGTCGCCATTGACACGCTGAACGAAACGGTATGGCACGAGCCACATGATATCTTGGCCCTGAATAGTGGCCTGATAGTAGATACCCTTAATGGAAAGGAAAGATCTGCGCAGAGAGTTGGTCATGATCAGGTAGTGCTGGAACTCGTGACAGAGACGCTGGCAGAGCGCAACGGTCTTGGAGGGAACATGGTCGGTGGAGGGAAGTGTAGCGAAGAGGAAGAGAAGAGAAAGAGCGTCGTCAAGATCACGGAGGGCGTCGATAAAGGTCGGGTAGCGCTCTTTAATGACATGGTCCAAAGTGAGTCTCGGGGCGTGATTCTTTTCTAAACGGGAGGCATCGCTGACTTCTCCACGGCCGAGGGAGCGGGCGATCTTCTTTGCGAGTGACTTCTGATCACGGAACTTGTTGAGCAAGGGCTCGTGTAGCAGGTACTGGATGTCCTTGGTGTAATAGAAGGTCGTGTTGGGCGTAGACGTCTTAGAAGCCTTCTTCTTACTACGGGGCTCGCGAGGGTAGATACCTGATATCGGAGATCATGTTAGCATTGCGATTCAGATGACATAGCCGTACAAGAGGCAATTACCCTTGAAGATGCATAGTCGGCGGAAGTCAGGCAAAGAGATCTGAAGTTTGCGCACGGCCTGAGTTCTGGTAATGTAGTTCTTGGCTGCGCCAGAGGTACCTGAAAGGAGTGTCAGTAAATTCAATTGAAATTCCCGGTTGATTCCAACATACCCTTCTTCTTAACTTTGCCCATGATGAAAATTGGTTGTCAAAAGATCTAAACGGACTGCTGATAAGAAGAAGAAAATTTCTCGATATCTTTTTTTTCTTACCGCAACAAAGGTGGTCCGTGCTCGAAGGCGGAGAGCGTTGGATCCATAGGGACCAGCTGGAATTAAACAACTAAACTCTCAACCCCCCGTCATGGCTGTAGACCGACGGAAGATTGCTGTGTTTGGCGCAGCTTTCGTGCTGCGTCTACTTCTTACATGTTTTTTTCCTTCATTGCCTGATTTGTTAACGGGGAGAGCTGAAATTTCAACACCCGTCAATAGTTTCAAACGCCGTACGTGTCTCCGACCTGACTCCGCATTTTATAAACTAATTGTGTATAGTGCAAGAGGGACTATTCTTGTACACAAGAAATGTGTCGCCTTATGATGGTGGCGTCTTCCACCAGGTTTGTGGATCTACATCACTCCGATTCCGTTCCTTGAATTGACAAATCCGAATGATAGGCACCGCTTCTGTTACCTCTGTTTGCTCTACTCCCAGATGCGACAAGCTCGCCCTTACCAACATCAATCTTCTACTTCCTTGTCGACCTCTTGAACGCGTACGCATTGGTCAATATCTCTGCGTCGGGCCAATCGGTCAAATCAAGACTACACTCCGCGATCCGAAAGCATGTCCGATGGGATGGAGTATCTGTTGCAGCATGGTATGCTTCTTCTGGCCTACTTAACTATATTTATATCTATATACTTACCACGGGATAGGTTTTTGTTCAATCCTTTCACTATTGCGACATGTTTAGCGCGGTCAACCAGCGTGTTTACAACATCAGGGATCCTCTTCGCCGTTTCCAATGCAGTCGGTGGAAATAGTATCAATGCGATGCTAGCCCTGGGATTTGCTTCATACCTGTCTCTATACCCGGCGCTGTTATTTATCCCGTTGGTCTTGTTATGCTATGACCGACGCTTGGAGAGACCAAGCCCACCCAATGTTGGATCTTTCATTGTCCAACACGGCGTCCTACTGCTAGCCAGCGTGGCAGGCCTGCTTGGCCTTTCATGTCTCATTACCGGCAACTTCTGGGAGTTTATCTCGGCAACTTATGGTTTCCATCTTTTGGTTCCAGACTTGACCCCCAACGTGGGGCTGTGGTGGTACTTTTTCATTGAGATGTTCGACTCATTTAGAGAGTTCTTCCTCGGCGTTTTCTGGCTTCACTTGGCTAGCTACGTGGGGGGTCTCACGGCTCGCTTCCGCAGCCAACCCCTATTCGTCATTACCTCGCTCTTGGGTGTCTTTGCGATCTTCAAGCCATACCCTAGCATCTCGGATGCGTCGCTATTCTTCGCATTGCTGCCATTGTATCGCCACCTTTTCCCATGTGAGTATCTCCAAAATTTAGTATGTCTCAGAATCACCTTGACTAACCGGCCACAGTGATGCGCTATACCTTCTTCGCGGGCGCGGCAATCTTGTACTCTAGCCTCCTCGGCCCGGCGTTTTACTACCTTTGGATTTACGCAGGATCAGGAAATGCCAATTTCTTCTACGCCATCACCCTAGTCTGGAGTCTGGGTCTCTCCATCCTCCTGGCCGACACTGTCTTCGCCGCTCTCAGAGACGAGTGGGAGCAAGAACAGCCAGAACGGGTGGGCAAAGAAGTGCGACAGGTGTAATGTATATTGACTTCTGCACATCATTATTCTCATATCAATTATTAGCATTTCATAGCCTTAGCCCTTAACAAAGACATATCCAGCTATTACAATTTCAATCTCTTCGACAAGATCAAATAGTCCACATCCTTGATAGTCCCATTGCGCAACTTGCGCGGTCGGGGGGAATACCCATCGATCTCATATCCAAGCCTGTCATAGAACCGTCGAGCAACCTCATTCGACTTGAAAACCGTCAGCATAGCCTTCTCCAGACCGACAGCACGACCGATTCGCTCCATCTGACCCATAAGCAACTTCCCGACGCCCCGTCCCCGTGCTGCTGGCGATAAATGGATCTCGTAGCAATAAACAACCTCCTTTCCATCCTCGTAGGTAACCATAAACGATAAGAAGCCTAGCACAATGCGCGAAGCAGTACCAGATGATGAAACAGGGTCATCGCTTTTCTTCAGTGGAGACGCAGCATTGTTGTCGACGATATCGCTCTGCTTCTCCGGATGTCCGCTAGAATCACCAGAATCATTCGGCCGCAGAATCAAATACTTCATATCGGGCAACTTCATCTCTTTTAACTTCTTGGTACGCGACCAGCCTGCACTCGACGCGATGTAGGCTTCGCTTGATGTTTGCTCGATTAGATTCAAACAAGCTTCCAGATCAGCGGTGGGAATCGTTGCCGCGGAGTAGACGTCCACGTTTGGCGGGAGGGTCATATCCTGCTGGGCCTGATTTTGGGATAGATGGGGTTGATCAATCGCATCATTTTTAGCTTCTTCTGCTTGCGTAGGTGGAGTCACGTATTGAGCGATGAAATCGTCAATGGATAGTGCGTTGGTCCGTTCGACCAGTGGCACTTAATGGTCATTAGCACGCGTCGCTAATTACATACAGTCGAATCAAGCAAATCGATAAAAACAAGCTTTGAGGCTGAACTACCCTTGCCAGGTATTTACTCACTTTTGCTCGAGACGCGTCGGGTTTTGGTTCGAGGTTTAGCTTTTGATTTCGTGATTCGGCCTTCTTTCACGGACTGCATGTTTGATGGATATGTTGAAGGATATTTGGTAAGTTCCAGATTATGTGCTGGCTTGGATGTATGAATTTTGGGATAGCTGAAGAATGTTGTGGGCCGGCGACCCCGGACTTTGACCGTTGACGGGAAGTATAGCACAACTTTTGGTTTCTCTCGAGAACTTCAAATTATTGTCCTGGTAGATTTACTTCCAAAAGGTTTCCTAATAAAATTCCTAATTCTCATAGCTAAATGTGTAAAACCATCACATATAGTGTGAATAATGTATAAGGTGCTTTATGTATTCCTAATTTTGTTCTTCTTCCTCTCTTATATATTTCAATTCCTTTTGCAGCCAACAACAATAGGTCCCGTCTTCATATTCTTGTCATTAAATGTCAGATTCTTCTATCTGCCTCCTTCTCCTTCCTCGGTAACACAACCCCACTATGCCTGCCAAGTCCAATGACCTGAATGGGTGTCCTGGCAGCCCTAGCGTCCCCAATGGCATTACGCTCTGAAAAGATAACGATGTACTCCATAACTAGACCAGACAAGAAAATCCACCGAAGATTTACCTATCTAGGTACTTAGTTTTGTTGAATTTTGTTAATAATCCTTCCGTCATCCACTGGGTGGATCTGTCGCTCAAAACAGGCATACATACGTCAGGGACTCCAATATAAACTTGAACTCTCCTCAACCCCGTAATTATTTTGTGCACTGTTTTATATCCATTTTCTACAGCAAGATGTCTCCTTCCACCATGAAGCAATGGGTTGTTCAAGATAAGGAACACGACTTCGACGGTCTTGTGTACAAGGAAGCTCCTGTTCCGAAAGTCGGAGAAAATGAAGTCTTGGTGAAGCTCCATGCTGCGTCGCTGAATTACCGTGACCTCACTATTCCAAAGGTACGGCCTTGAGAAAAATGATATTTTCGACCTCAATTGAGTTGTCTGCGCAAGGCTACTATGGCATAACCGAGTTCTAACTTCTCTCACAGGGCATGTATCCATTTGCTCTCAGTCTCCCCGTAGTGCCCGGTTCTGATGGCGCGGGTGAGGTCATTGAAGTGGGACCAAAGGTCGTTGAATTCAAGAAGGGCGATCAAGTTGCAACTCTCTTCAATCAGGGCCATCAATACGCCGAGATTGATACATACGCAGCCGGTACTGGCCTGGGTGGTGTGATCGACGGTACCCTGCGCGAGTATGGTGTGTTCAATGAACAGGGTCTTGTGAAGGCGCCGATCAATCTCGATGCCCGCGAAGCCAGCACTCTTCCTTGCGCAGCCCTCACCAGCTGGAATGCACTATATGGTCTGAAGCCTCTGAAGCCCGGCCAGGTAGTTCTCGTGCAAGGAACCGGTGGTGTCAGTATGTTTGGACTCCAGGTTAGTACATGACTCATCTATAAGCTGTCAGCATTGACTCAACCAACACTGCTTATTTTATAGTTCGCCAAAGCTGCTGGTGCGACAGTTATCGCAACAACCTCTTCTGCCGAGAAGGCCAAGAAGCTCAAGGCGCTCGGTGCTGACCACGTCATCAATTACAAGACCGAGCCCAACTGGGGTGATGCTGCACGCAAGCTGACCCCTGGTGGATCTGGTGTGGATCACATCATCGAAGTGGGTGGTAGCGGAACTCTCAAGGAGAGTTTCAAGTGCATCAAGTTCGAGGGTATCATCAGCGTTATTGGGTTCCTTTCCGGTGTGGACCCAAAGACACAGCCTACTGTTCTGGAGACATTGAGTCACATCTGCACCGTGCGTGGTGTTTATGTTGGTAGCAAGGCTCTCATGAAGGATATGGTCCGAGCCATCGAGGCCAATGACATCCACCCTGTGGTGGATGACAAGGTGTTTAGCCTTGACCAGACCCGGGAGGCATATGACTACATGGTAAGTTAATTTGTTCGGCGAGGAGTGGTCGGATGCTAATGCATTGGAATTCAGTGGGCCCAGAAGCACTTTGGAAAGTTGACCATCAAGATCAACTAAGGATGTAAATAGGCGAGGAAGGTGTTAAAACATGTGAGTATATGTGAGGATTTGTACAAAGGAATCTAGGAAAGTGCGAGAGAAAAGGAAATTAAGCCTAAATATTTATGACCAACAGCAGGTGGCCTAGTGGTAACGCAACAGTGTGTACCATGAGGGAAGTGCCCAAGATCTTCCACTATCTAGCTGTTCCGGTTCGATCCGTCGAAGCCGTGTTTATTCCTTCTTTTTTTTTTTTTTCTTCGTCCTTTCATTTTTATTATTATTATCATCACCTTTTATCCTCATCTCTTAAAAAATTCCATAAGGTGAATATAGTTCAGATCGGAAGATTAATGTCCCGGTACCATATTACACGTGACCTAGATCTCTATATGTAACTAAACGTACCGGATTTTCCTTGGCGGGTGGGGCTTTTCTATTTGATCTGCCGCCGCTTTTATGAGGGTGCTCAGGCTCAGGCTCACTGAGTAAATGTTAGCACCGACTCAGGTCAGTGATCATGCTCAGTGAGTGCTCAGTGAGTTGCTCACTCAGTGTCCAATCAGTGCGCAACACTGATGCACTGAGACCACCGCAAATTATACCTAGAAGGGATTAGCCCCCACAGGGTCGTTTATCCTATGATAGTTACATAGTTCGTTCACAGCATTAAAACCCTCAATTTTCGGAGCACTACATCTTGTCAAGCAAATACGTCATAACGAAGGGGCGTAGGAAGGAGCGGCGAACTCCATCTGTTTCATTGTATTGTGTAAAGGAAAAGCGCCCTAGAGGCGGAACCAGGGTCTTCATATACACTTAATTTGTCTCGAGTTTCTTTGATGGTTGCTAGGGATCGACCGTGTGATCATCCTGACGACTGCAAGTGTCTGAAAAAGGACTCGGAAGCTAGCTGAACATATCATCGTGACGGGCACGATTTAGGGACCGCTGTCGATGCCTTACTACTTCCTCACGCTGACTCTGGATTTTTCTCCCCTGAATCCATTTCTTCCCCTGATGCCATGTCCCCCGAAGCGCTTTCACTCGTCCCCCGCATGTCTGACGTCATGAAAGCGCTCCCATCTGGTGTCGTAACTCGCATATTCAGCCGCCTAAAATATGTTCAGCTCGAAGCTGAGAAGATCGCAGAGACACTTGAAAAGGATGAGGAAGAAAACGGCAACCAGTTCCTTGTTCTCCTTAAAATAAGCCCCCGCATCTCCGAGCGACTCTTCGAGGACCATGATTGCCTGAAGGGCGTGAACTACCGGTTTGAGTTTGAAGGTGATACAGGTCTTTTGCGCGTGATACCAGGTTATCGCCATGAATACACCACTACGGGACTCCAGCAGAAAGTCACTCTGCAACTGGCTAGCATGGGACTAAATGAGCAATATCGTTGGGGCGGAGCGACGCGATATAAATCCCCATTGCGGGAGAAAGAGGGAGACCAAGTGTTCAGCCCCTTTGCACGTTGGCCGTCTAGCACCAGCTTGCAATGGCCCACCGTGGTTGTTGAAACGGGTGTATCTGAGAGCCTATCAAGACTACTTCAAGATGCTAGATGGTGGTTCGGAGCCTCTGATGGAGAAGTTCGCATAGTGATTATCATATCTATCAAGAAGACCGCTGTACATTTTGAACAATGGCAGCTTGCTCCACCCAATGCCCCTCGACCCTTGACCAGAGCCTACATTGACAGCCTCCGCCGGAATCCCAGTAAGGTGCCACCCCTCCTCCAACAGCCGTTCAATATGCAGCAGGCATATTCATGTGCTGAAGTGGATGTGACTAATACCACGGTCGATGGTGCCCCAATGACAATACCATATTGTGCTCTATTTGACGTTCCTGTCCGACCACCTAACATGCAAGATGTTGTGCTTGATGCACAAGACTTCCGTTTCATCACTGCAGTCAATTTCTCTTGATTGCTGATCTTAAGGAGATCAATTAATTTGAAGAAAGGAATTGAAGGTTTTCGACCGGAATAAATGGAGATGGCGGAGTGGGAAGAATGGCTGTCTTCCAGAGAATATCAATAGGATAAATTGTTTCCGAGAATTCAATGGATAGTGGAGACCTACAATATAGACTATCCCAGTGTCTCCGCTATCTTTCTATGGTATCTTATGAAGTTTTGAGAATGAACTCGATATTTGAACTTGTAATTTGAGATAACATGTCGATTTTTGAGAATTAAAGTTGATATGAGCATTCTGGTTGGTAGACAGGGCAACAGCTGATAGCTTCCCCGCTACTTCCCCCCTGCAGGAGGTAAAACCAACCACCTGCTTGCACAGATTCTCCCTGTTACACTTAAACGCGTTTTCTATAGTCTCTTTGAAGATCACTCATAAATAAACCATTTTTGTTACTTATTTGGTTCCGCTGGACTCCTAGTCCAACACCCTACCTTCAATGCAGGTCAACAATAGAGATATCCCCTCGACCCTCCCAATCCAGGGCCCCAGCAAAAATAATCGGCAGCAACTGGCACCATTTATTCGCCCAGCTCAAATGGCCATGTTTGCACGGATTACATCATATCCTCCGCTAGGACAAATTACTTGCCTCCAGCCGGCCCAGAAGGCATTACGGTCTGAAGAAGATGCGGTGAGTTTTCCAGATATGATGATCTTTGATATCGCCAACTGCAAGTATTGAGCCAACGATACAAAGTTATACTGACATGCTCAACAGGTGCGTTTCACAGTTACTATTGAGTCCAGCAGCTCGTTTCCCGCACAATCATGGGAAGCGCAGATCTGGCACAACATCACTGGCCTCGAATGGGAATCTCTGCCATTGCAGAGATGCAACCCAGATCATGCAGTTCTTTTGACCAGAAATGAGAGCGAGTACCATTACCATCGCTATGTATTCTCAGAAGAAATATCCCTGCCACCCGCAGGAGGTCATGCACGGTTCACCGTCCGATTTCGAACCGGGTCAGACACGGAATGGCAGTGGGCTAATGAAAGACACCATGTGGGAGACGGTGAAATTGTATATAGTGCACGCCATTCTGATCTCAACAGGGCTGTGTCTATGCAAGTCCCTACACGAGATCCCAAAGAACAACTGGAGAAGTACATCGCCAATCTTCATGATGACTTGCAAATCGAGTCACGGCTTAGTGAAGCTCCTGGGTCGGTCCTGTGGGCCCTTTCTGGTGATATAGATGCAGTTCAAAATGGATCTTCAACCGTCAAACGACTCACACTTGGCACCCCTTCAACGGTGGTGAGGTATTTATCACTGGTACGTGTTTGGAGCCCATGGCTGGGTCCTAGACATGGAAAAGACACCTTTAGACTTACTGAAGATGCTATACTTTGCTCTTTTCTGCGTGAAGACGGCGTGAATCTTGTTCTCCTGGCTGTTTCAGGAGTCAACGATGTTTTGACTGTGTTTCAGTCAGGCGAGAACAATGAGGTTGTAATCTCCGCAAAGAGTGACAATTCGGAAGCTTCAAAGTTCCATGTGCTTGTCAGCGCCGCAGAGAATTTTGAAGTTGCCGTGTCTGCAGTAGTTTATGAGGCACGGAAAGTGGTCAGACCATTTTCCAATACGAGTGATCCGGATTTGGAAGATTCGGTCCCATTATCTCCCCCTGGTGATGATATGATCCTTGTCGAGCACGACCCAAGTGCACAGTGGATGTCTGAGTGGTTTGACGGTCTCACATATTGTACATGGAATGGACTGGGACAGGACCTCACCGAAGAGAGGATCTTGCATGCATTGGATTCATTAAAGGCAAATGGGATCAACATCACCAATCTTATTATTGATGATGGTTGGCAGGCAAATGACAATGAAGGGGAGTCCCAGTTCAAGCAAGGCTGGAAGCATTTCGAGGCACACTCAAAAGGGTTTCCTAAAGGACTAAAACATACCGTGGGAGCCATTCGCCGAGCACACCCCAATGTTGAACATATTGCGGTCTGGCATGCTTTGCTGGGTTACTGGGGAGGTATATCACCGAACGGGGATATTGCTGAAAGATTCAAAACAAAGCAAGTGAAGATCAAAGATCCTGCCGCCAATGGGCCCATTGCAGAGAACTTGCCAGATGGAACAATTCTTGCCATACATCCCGATGATATCAAGCGATTCTACGATGAGTTCTATAGCTACCTTACATCTGTCGGTATAGACTCAGTCAAGACAGATGCACAATTCTTCCTCGATCTTCTTGAAGACGCAGAGGACCGCCAGCTATTCATGACTTCTTATCAAGATGCATGGTCTATCGCATCACTGAAGCACTTCAACACTAGATCAATTTCTTGCGGATCAATGACACCCCAAATAATCTTCCATTCACAAATGCCCACCAATAAACCGGCACTTCCACTGCGAAACTCTGACGACTTCTTTCCTGATATTGTTGCCTCTCACCCGTGGCATGTATTCTGCAATGCTCATAACGCACTATTTACTCGCTATTTGAACGTATTACCAGATTGGGATATGTTCCAGACAAGTCACGCATACGCATCATTCCACGCCGCAGCACGATGTGTTTCAGGAGGACCAATATATATCACCGATGAGCCGGGCAAACATGACTTGACCTTGCTCGATCAGATGACTGCACCTACCGTTAAAGGAACCACAGTAATCTTGCGTCCGAGTGTCATCGGACGCACGATAGACATATACCATGACTATAACGAAGGCCGTGTCCTGCGTGTTGGAAGCTACACCGGCTGGGCCAAGACCGGAAGCGGAATCATGGGCCTTTTCAATATTCAATCTGCCGAGGCCTCGATCATAGTCTCATTGATGGACTTCCCAGGAATTCACGAGGACTCCGAAGGCCATTATATCGTGCGTGCACACAGTAGCGGTAAGATTTCACCTCGCATGCGGCCATTAACCAAGCACTCCCTGGTATCAGTTGTTCTGGAGCAAAAGGGCTGGGAGATTCTCACTGCGTACCCCACTCGGTCGTTCTCGTTGACGGGAAAGCATTGCAGCCACTCCACCGGTGGCTGTTTGACACATGTGGCTGTGCTGGGACTTTTAGGAAAGATGACTGGCGCAGCGGCTGTAGTGACTTCGGATGTATCTGTTGTTGAGAACGGCCGTTTACGACTCGATATTAGCTTGAAGGCGCTGGGGACTTTGGGGATTTATTTCTCGGATCTTCAAGACAAAAGTATTGAACAGAATTTCATGGTTATGATTCTGGGACGTCCAATCCCACGAAATACAGTCTGGAAGCAGGATGGAGAGAATGGTAATGTGCTGGCAATTGATGTATTGGCGGCATGGGAATCCATGAAGTTGGACAGTGGATGGAGTAACGAGGCGTTTGTACAGGTTTTTGTGGGTTGAGCGAACACCTCGAAGCCGATCGACTTTGGACTCTACCATCGTGCTTTTACCATTAGAGATAGTATCATTCCAATACAGCATCTTTTCTCTACACTGGACCTACATACTTTTATATACTGCTCTGGCCCTAAGCCCTAAATACATGCTCGATCCGGAAGCTGATCAACATGTCAGAGATAAGGGCCGCATTATTGATGTTCCGGACTTATCGAAAGAATCTCGGACATCTGGAGCTATTGATCGTGTCTCGGCTTGAGTTCATTGCGAGCCGTTTCAATAATCTTCGCATTCACAAACCGGTCCAATGCGGCCACAGTCGGCATCGCTTGGCCAAGCGCCATACCGAACCCTTCTCACCCCCCGTCGAGCCCCATGCGGAGCGCGCAGCTTTGCCGCAACAACATCCATTCCGCTGCGCGGTCACAGCAATCGGCCAGTATTGTCTGTTTCACAGCCAGTGACATGCTTTCAACAGCAGAGATGGATTACATTAAAGCATATTCAGCGTATGAAAGACGGGGAGAAGGAGTGGGCTGGGTTCGCAAAGGAAATCAAGGCCGGGAACAGGAAGAACTTCGCGCAACACCTAGAGGAGCGAGGCTTGATTCATGATGTTGTCGGGTATGTTACATTGCTATATACTGAAGTTTATGAAACTGCTGCAGAAATCTTTTGAATAGCTTGCTAATTGTCTTCTCTGGATTACAGTGAACGGGACTTGTTACATAAGGTCTTCACGGAGAAACGGGCTGGAATATATGTTGGAATCGACCCAACTGCCCCTTCAATGCACGTTGGACACATGCTTCCTTTTATGGTTCTGGCCTGGGGATACGTCTGGGGATTGCCTGTGACTTTCCTAGTAAGTTGCCTGCAAATTGAAGCCCAATCGAATGTCTCAACTAACACTCTATAGCTCGGAGGTGCTACTTCTAGAGTCGGTGATCCCAGTGGGCGCCTCAAGGGCCGAGACGCAGTCCATTCTTCAATCCGCAAAGCCAACATGGCTAGCATGCACATGCAATTGAAGAAGTTGGGCTCGAGCATTGAGCAGTACGGCAGGAGACATGGACACGAGAGAAAGCCTATGTGGAAGCGGGCATTGACAAACAACAACACTTGGTGGAACTCGATGCCCTTCCTTGAGGTGTTGAGAGACCTTGGCGCTTTCATGCGACTTGGTCCCATGCTCGGCAGAGATACGTAAGTTTGGCAGGTCTGATGGCGTTGTTGTCGAGGGTTTACTGACTTTTCCTACCAGTGTCAAGACGCGATTGAGCCAAGGAGATGGCATGTCGTTTGCTGAATTTTCATACCCTCTTCTCCAGGCCTGGGATTGGTGGACGTTGTTCCAAAAGGGCACTCAAATCCAAGTCGGAGGTGCCGACCAATATGGAAATATCCTATTTGGCATGGAGGCTGTCAAGTCAATTAGCCGAAACACCGCCGATGAGCAACTGCGCAACCCATTAGAATCAGAAATCGATCGGCCGATCGGTTTCACTACGCCGCTACTGGTAGCTCCATCCGGCGAGAAGTTTGGAAAGTCTGCTGGAAACGCTGTCTGGCTTGATAAGGACCTGACATCCACATTCGAACTTTACCAGTTCTTTGTGCGCACACCTGACGATGTTGTCGAGCGTTACCTCAAGCTGTTCACTTTCATCCCCTTGCCTGAAATCGCCACCATCATGGAGGAGCAGAACAAGGACCCTTCCAAGCGCGTTGCGCAGCACAAGCTTGCGCATGAGTTTGTCGAGCTTGTTCATGGCAAGGTTGAAGCCGATGCCGTGGCTATGCAACATCGCCAGCTTTTCCGTCCCCGATCCTCAACTGCAGAGCCCACTCCTCTTCCTAAGTCATCCGCTCCTTCCTCTGGCCACCCACAATCTCCCACCGCTGGCTTCCAGACTCCTCAATCCGGCAACCCATATGCACCTCAAACAAACTGGGCCAACATGGGTGATATCAAGGTCACCCTTCCCGAGTCCCTTGTTTTCAACCAGCCGTTCAACAAGATTCTGTGGTCAGCTGGCCTGGTTTCATCTAAGAGCGAGGGTCACCGAGTCATCATCAACAACGGCGCCAAAGTTGGAAGCCGTCCTGGTGACAGTGGTCCCATGTCGGACCAATTGTCTTTCACCCCCATCCGGCCGTGGGAGGCAGATAAAACAAAGGAGTTTGTCCTGAATGGCAATCTCTTAATGCTCAAGTTGGGCAAGTGGAAGCTCAAGGCCGTTCACATTGTGACCGATGACGAATTCCGCGCGCAAGGCCTCACAGCTCCTGGATGGGAGACTGAGTCGATTGAGCCGGCTGAGCCGACTGAACCGACCAAGTCGGAATAAGGTGAATCTCCACTAGATCTGTAATTCTACAATATCCAATCTGTACAATAGTATAAATATTATAAAGTCATCCCTTGAGACAAAATCCGAGTAATAGTGGTGGAAGACAACCTTGGAATATTGCGGGTGTTCAATAGTGCCGATCATTGGACAGGTCGAGTTCCAGAGAAAGTGCTTTACGCGTCGACGCGATCCGCGCCTTATCTCCACCCCGTTCCCAGTTCCCTCACAACTCCCCTACCATTGTTGAGTTGAATGTGTATCTTCATTTAGTCTCAATTGCTTTAATGTTATAAAAATATGGCCAAACCATCGGCCTCATCTCCGTCCGCTGCGTCATCGCCCGCGCTCAAGCGCGCCACCCCCAGCACCCAGAACATGCGAAGCCAGAAGTCAATTCTTGGTTTCTTCCAAAAGTCCTCACCAGCGACTCCCTCGAATAATCGAACGCGAGAACCAGCATCATCACCCGCCCAGAGAGCCTCCGAGAAGCGTGCTGAAAGCGCTGTCAAGCCCACACCAAAGGAACAAAAGCGAAGCTTCTCAAGCTTTGCACAGGATCTGAGCCCTGCACCAAGTAGTGATCTTCCAGTACCAGAGGAGGAAGAGGAAAATGGTAGTACTTTAAAGGTATATTGATCTGAAGTTCTGCCGTTTGTTTTATTCCTTGACTCTGACCGAACTCTTCACTCCTCAGACCACCAAGGAGGCAGAACAGGATTCCACCATGTCGCCTTCGCGTAGGGTACGTGTACCATCTAATGTCCCAATTGATTTACCCTGCTGACTTATCTGATTAGGGAAAAAAGAAGGTGAGCTACAAGGAGTCTGACTCTGAGGGCGAGGATGACGATGAGGTTATCTTCCGTCCGAACCGCAAGGACCGTGTCTCCAGCCGTGCGACCAAGAGACAACGAACTGAGCCGGAAAGCGAAGATGAGTTCAAAGAGCCCGAAGAGAATGGAGGATACTCGGACGATGGTATGGTGTTCTGTTGGTGGTTGGTTTTGCGTACATGACTTACGAAGATACAGAAATGGACGATTTCATCGTTCCAGACGACTCTGATGAAGAGATAGCCACGTCTTCCAGCAGGCGGAAAAGACCTGCCACACAAACAGCACGCAAGCCTACCTCTAAATCCTCATCCGTTCCTGCTCCTCCCCCACCCGACGATGACATGGATCTCGATATCCCAGAGGGAGAAGGTTCAGCTGGAACCGCGAAGAAATGGGCGTTTGACCCGGAGAACACAGAACCCCGGAAAGAAAGAGCCGCTGTGGCATCTACCAAGACAGCATCCAGCGCGAAGAAACCAAAGGCCCACACTAAGGAGCCTGAGCAGCGCTATCCATGGCTTGCTAATCTCAAGGACATCGACGGCAACCCTAAAGGTCACCCTGACTACGATCCGCGAACCGTTTACATCCCTCCGCACGCATGGTCCGGATTCTCGCCTTTCGAGAAACAATACTGGGAGATCAAGCAGAAATTCTGGGATACTGTCGTTTTCTTCAAGAAGGGCAAGTTCTATGAGCTTTATGAGAACGATGCTACCATCGGCCACCAACTTTTTGATCTCAAGCTCACGGACAGAGTGAACATGCGCATGGTTGGTGTTCCCGAGATGAGTTTAGATCACTGGGCGAACCAATTTGTGGCCAAGGGCTTCAAGATTGCCCGTGTAGACCAATCTGAGTCCGCGCTTGGTAAGGAAATGCGCGAGCGAGAGGGCAAGAAGCCTACCAAAGAAGACAAGATCATCAAGCGAGAGCTTGCGTGTGTCCTTACGGCTGGTACACTGGTCGAGGGTTCCATGCTTACAGATGATATGTCCACTTACTGTGTTGCGATTAAGGAAGCGATTGTGGACGAGCATCCCGCGTTCGGTATCGCATTTGTCGATACTGCTACGGGTCAATTCTTCCTGTCTGAGTTTGTGGACGACGTTGACATGACCAAATTTGAGACTCTTGTCGCGCAGACCCGTCCTCGGGAATTGCTACTGGAGAAATCTTGTGTTTCACAAAAGGCTATGCGCATTCTGAAGAATAACACAGGACCCACCACTATTTGGAATTTCATGAAACCTGGAAGGGAGTTCTGGGAATCTGATGTCACAATTCGTGAGCTTGAGGCAAGCGAATACTTCGTCTCCGTCGACGACGATAATGTCACAGCCTGGCCTGAGACTCTGCGTCATGCCCGTGAGAAGGAGTTACTGATGTGTGCATTCGGTGCCTTGGTTCAATATCTGCGAGTGCTGAAGATTGAGCGGGACTTGATCACCATTGGTAACTTCACGTGGTATGATCCTATCAAGAAGGCTACAAGTCTTGTACTAGATGGCCAGACCCTGATCAACATGGAGATCTTCGCCAATTCGTTCGATGGCGGGTCCGAGGGCACTCTGTTCCAGTTGCTCAACCGATGCATCACGCCCTTTGGCAAGCGGATGTTCAAGCAGTGGGTATGCCACCCTTTAATTGATTCAAAGAAAATCAACGCGAGATTGGATGCAGTTGATTCACTCAATGCGGATCCCACTGCTCGAGACCAGTTCTCTTCCCAGTTGACAAAGATGCCGGATCTCGAACGACTTATCTCTCGTATCCACGCTGGCAACTGCAAGGCTCAAGACTTTGTGCGTGTCCTGGAAGGATTCGAGCAGATCGATTATATTATGGGTCTCCTTAAGGACAGTGAGACTGGCTCGGGCGAAAGCATTATTGGTCAATTGACAACTGCGATGCCCGATCTTGCTTCCCTGCTTGGATACTGGAAGACCGCATTTGATCGTCCAAAGGCAAAGGAGAACGGGATTCTTGTTCCAGAGTCCGGCGTCGAAGAAGACTTTGATAACTCCCAGGAGATAATTGAGCAACTACACCGGGACCTTGACGCCATCCTGAAGAAAGCTCGTCGTGATTTGGGGTCGTCTGCCATCTGCTACCGGGATAACGGCAAGGAGATCTATCAATTGGAGGTCCCAATCAAGGTGAAGAACATTCCTAAGGATTGGAACCAGATGTCTGCGACCAAGCAGGTCAAGCGATACTACTTCCCTGAGCTCCGCAGCCTCATTCGCAAGTTGCAAGAGGCTCAAGAAACCCACAGTCAAATCGTTAAAGAGGTTGCTGGACGGTTCCATGCCCGGTTCGATGAGCACTACAGCACATGGCTGGCTGCTGTTAGAATTGTATCGCAGCTCGACTGCCTCATTAGTTTGGCCAAGGCATCCAACGCCATCGGTCATCCTAGTTGCCGACCAGTGTTTGTGGACGATGAACGAAGTGTCCTCGAGTTTGAAGAGCTCCGTCACCCTTGTCTTCTTTCCTCTGTTGAGGACTTTATTCCAAACGATATCCAGCTGGGTGGCAAGCACCCCAGCATTGACCTGTTGACTGGTGCCAATGCGGCCGGAAAGTCTACAGTGCTCCGAATGGTGCGTTCATCCAATTCCCCCTTTTGTTTTAATGATTTTGCTAACAATTATAGACCTGTGTTGCTGTCATCATGGCCCAAATCGGTTGCTACCTTCCTTGTCAGTCAGCCCGACTGACCCCAGTCGACCGGATCATGTCTCGACTAGGTGCAAATGACAACATTTTCGCTGCCCAGTCAACATTCTTTGTCGAATTGTCCGAAACAAAGAAGATTCTTTCTGAAGCTACTCCCCGCTCACTTGTTATCCTTGATGAACTCGGTCGCGGAACTAGCTCTTATGACGGTGTCGCCGTGGCCCAGGCTGTACTCCATCACATCGCCACGCATATCGGAGCCCTGGGCTTCTTCGCCACTCACTACCACTCGCTAGCTGCCGAGTTTGAAAATCATCCCGAGATCGCACCCAAGCGTATGGCCATCCATGTTGATGATGTCGAGCGCCGCGTGGCATTCCTGTACAAGCTTGAGAAGGGTGTTGCAGAAGGCAGTTTCGGTATGCACTGTGCGTCTATGTGTGGTATTCCAAGCAAGGTCATCGAATGTGCCGAGAATGCTGCCAAACAGTGGGAGCACACTAGTCGGCTCAAGGAGAGCCTGGAGCGCCGTAAGGGCGGTGGTCTCGTCGGTCTGGGCTGGTGGAGTGATGTGGCCTGGGCCTTGCGTGAGTCTGTCACAGACGAAGACTCGAATGCTGGCGATGTCTCTGATCGCGGCTTGGATGTCTTGATGAAGGCGATTGAGGCACTTTAGTGATTGAGATACTTGTTGCTTGGTTCCTCCATCTTCATATGTAATGTGGGTTCATGATATTTGTCTTTCACTTCGACTAGCTATCGTGCTAGCTTCTGTTTTTCATATGTTGTTTTAAAGGCGCCTCGGGATCTGTTCGGTTACCTCGTCATTCTTTGCGAATCTACTTTCCTATTCCTATGAATATGCATTACTTCATAGCAAAACATGTTTTTATTCCAATCAGCCTCAAATCCATCAAGTCTACCAAACTAGGTCATCAATGTCATCGCTCCTCAATTCCTTCTTTTCTTGCTCTTTTCTTGTTTCTTGTTCTTTGGCGCCAGAAGATAACCTGCCAGCCGAGCAACACACAACACATAAACTGATATCACCACAAATACGCAGTCGAACAATCCAGCAGTTTGAACATAGTCCACACCTACATGTAGGCGCCGGCTTCCATCTGGCAAGCATAGCACCAACCACTCAATATCATATCTAACGAGTTTCACGCTCCTCAGACTCCTCGTATTCCTCATTATCCTCATCCATAGAATCACCACCGCTATCATACTGTGTGTTCCTCGCAGTACGCCCATCTGTCTTCGGTCCATCTCCCCCCAGAGTAAGACCATCCATAGCTTCTCCAACGACGTCTTTGATCGGGGACCTGGCGTGCTCATTGGTTTTATCAAGCCTCTTGCGATTCCCATTCTGGGACCTAGCCTTGGACGAAGGAGCCTTAGCAGATGCTCGAGTAGAACGGTGTCTGACTTCTTCATCAATGTCACTCCCGTTGTTCGAGGTATTAGCTAAACCACTAGCTTTCTCAAGTCTCTTGCGCTTGACGCTGTCACTAGCACGGGAGGAGTTCATCTCTGCCGATGACTCGGCACTTTCTTCTGTGGATCTATCTTGGAACTCGGGATTTCTGTCACGCTTCACGCCACGCTCGTGTTGTCTGCTCGCACGATCTGTCCGGGTGGACAAGGACTTGATGGCTGCGTTGAGAGCACTGTCTCCCTTGCTACTCCTTCCAATTGCGGAGGGCCTGGTATAACTGTGCCTTCTAGCATGCTTGGTATTCCGGTGTTGGATCCTGGGAAGTTTGAAGTGCGGTAGGGACTCGTCGACCTCGCTGTTCTCGTTATCGCTTTCGCTTTCAGTCGTTTTTGTGCCTTTGTCCTTGTACTTAGCCTGGCCTTTGTTCTTGATTGCTTGATGGATCTCTGGAGAGTCGATCTCTGATTCAGAAGACTCTACTGTGCTTCCTTCATCGGAGCCATCTGGTAACAACATTGATGTCTTGTGCTTTGGATGCTTTGAATGCTTTCTCTCGGATGTATCCTCTGTAAAGAAGCCATTTTTTTGTTTGGTTAAAGTCGACAAAAGACTCAAATCAGTCGAATATAGGTTGAGCAGGTTTCTCATGGCCACTCGATGTGCCTTTGAAGCATACTTGGGGCTCACATTCGTCAGATTCGCCAGATTCTCGTAGTCGATTTTCTGAAAGTCGTTTAGTACAGGCTAATATTCAGAGCATACTAACGAACTTGGAAGTTAATGGAAAGGTTGGCAATAAGTAGGTACTTCATATCGGTTCCGCTAAGTGTTAGCCATCCAGGGATGTTTGACATATTTCGGAAAAGCATCTTGTGGATGTGAGAATCAACAGACGGAGTGTGTTGAAGGAATAGGAAGGACAAAGGGAAATAATGGATAATTTATAGAAAGTCATGCACATATTTGCTAATTATGCAATGTAGCTTTTCATTGGGCAAACATACGGTGCGGCCATTCTCATTCAAGAAGGCAAACTAGATACACCTCATACCCTGTAATGTACAGTCAAATCAACTTCTCAAATACACAGATACCATAAAAGGTTCTGTGAGAAGTGCCCAGTCAATATCCTTGGGAAAAAGAAATGTAACAAAGACCACTATTTCAACCTCTCATTCCCCGTCGAAGACATGCGTAGTTGGACATTTAGTCGATAGGCTCAGGCTTGATAGACTCAGGCTTGATGTCGTCAAGATCGTTCTTGGTGTTGACAAGATCCTGCTTGAGCTTCACTACATCTTCATCATCGGATTCAGCATCGATCTCGATCTTCTCGGGAGTCTCCCGACTGTTCTCAGATTTGGCCTCGGTCTTGACCTCAGGCTCGGGCTCGGGCTGTGATTCCACGACTTTCTCACGACGCTTCTTCGCGCGACTCTTGGGTGTAGCCTTGTCCTTTCCAGCGGCTTCAGTCTGCTCGCCTAGGGTGTCCAGCTGATCCTCGAACATCTTTTCCAGCTTGCGTTTGACAGATGGGAATCGGCTTGCTGCCGAGTTTCTTTTCATGTTGGTCAGCTTTCCGAGCTTGTCGGTGTCCATCTACATTATAAGTACTGTGAATTCGAGTCATGGATCAAATGTTAGAAAAATGGGGATACCTTTCCCGCGGTGCAGAGGACACTGGCCATGAGCAGCTTCATTTCGCCAGCTGTGAAATCACCGAAGTGTTCGGGTTTCTTCTTGGGAGATGGGGTCGACATTGTGTGAGTTTGTAGCATATTTTGCGGTATGTCTACCGATGGATGTGTTTTTTGTCCGTTTAATGAAAAAGTGTCTTGTTGCGCGAAGGCTCGAAGATGGGTTGTTGTGGTGAAGTGTGGAAGAGAAAGAATGCGATATGTTGTGGGATGAAGAGGAAGCAGCGTTGATTTCACTTTGTCTACAGAAATAAGAACCGTGTGATATTGGACTTGAAGTCAACTGGCGACATTATCTCCCTTGAATCAACCGACTGGTATTTCACTACCATTTCAATTACGGATCTTCAAATTCTACATAATTTACAATGAAGGAAGATTGACCCTCGGACTGACCTTGTAAAGTGCAGATTTCCTTGAACCTCGAAGCTAGGTGAATATGGCAAAGTTGATCATTGGTTTCGTTCTGGATGTTCTTTCATCCTAATTCTCAGTGTCCTCATCATGTTCATCCACGTGTTCAGCATCTTGTTTGTCTTCCTCAGCTTGCTCAGCTTGCTCAGTTTGCTCGTTTTTCTTGGGAGTCGCTCCAGCTGTTCTCTTCTCCTCCCATCTCTCGAGGCTGCGTCGAGCATTCGTAAAGACCGTTCTAGCTGAAGAGGGCGTAACATGGTTAAGCTCCCCAAGCTTCTTCCAGTCAACCTGTCCAGAATGTTCATGTTGAGGTCAAATATGAAACTCAATAACACCATTTCCCACTTACCTTGGGCTTTGGCATGCACAGGTATCCCATCAGTAGGTGCTCCGTCTGACTCGGGGTGAGTCCCAGGGTCTTCGCGAAGTCGGGTTTCTTCTTCTGCTTCTGAGGGGAAGACATGATTGCCGTTGATGGTAGGCAGTAATAGAAATCGAATAAGTGTCTCTTGTAGATGTTGATGTTCAAAAGAAAAGTGTTTGTTGAGAAAGAGAAAATGTCGAAGAGGGAACCTGAGATGTTCTGGGAATGAATCCAGAGAAGAATCGCAAGTCACAAGGGACTCGAATAATTCACCATCCAAATTTCTGGTGTTTCATCAAGTGATAATTTAGATGAATTGAATGAAATAGTCTCCCTAATGGCTCATTTTATTGTAGTATTTGGATATATACATTGAAGAGCTATATGTCATAACCTTCTAGGATCTACCTATGCCATGGACTTAGTTGTCTTTGCTGCGATAAATGTTAGTCTAGAATTGCTTTACCAGTAGCTATAATATCTAAAAGATCAATATAAACTCAATATAAACACAACCAAAAAGATTACTAGAAAGACTGCCAAGGCATATAAAACTACTGCAGCACCAAATAGTCACCAAATGACGTCTATCCGTATAGGGTATCCGGTATATCTCATAGAGCACGCAAGTTCAATATCCACCGTTTTTCATTGGAGTGCACATCATTAGGTAGGTAATCAGTAGATACCTTTTTTTGGGTTTTCCTTTTTTTCCTTCAAAAGCATTCACAATTCCCCTCCGTGCCTTCTCAAATCCTCCTCCAAGCCATTCGGGCCATTCCATGAAAGCAATTCAGTAAAAACAATTCCATAAAAGCCAGACCATCTCAAACGTGTTCCATATCAATTCGTTCCTCCATCTCATGCGGTTGAAGTTTTGAATGCAGAATTAGTCCTCCTCGTCATCTTCCTGCAAATCCTCCTCGTAGGAGGCATCATCCTCTTCATCTGGCACAGAAGACAAGGGAGACTCGGGAAGTTTCTGGTTCACCGCAGAATCAAGCGCAGCTTCATCGTTCTCGGTTTTGACAGCACTGGCGTCTTCATCTGCCTGCTCCTTAGTCTTGATCTCTGCAGATTCAGCGGTGGCGGTAGACTCAACGGCAACATCGGTGGAAAGTTCGGCAGAAGAATCAGCCACAGCAGTCTCGCGGCTAATACCTTCAGCATGTTTGACCTCGGACTTGACAGATGGGCTGGACTCCGACTTGATAGCTGCTTTGGCACCCTTGGGAGTCTTGGGAGTCTTGGGCGCCTTGGGAGTCTTAGGTGTCTTGGGAGACTTAGGAGTCTTTGGGGTGCGAGTCTTGGCCTTCGCATTCGACTTCCCACGCTTAGTAGGAGTCTCCTCGGGAGAAAGATCATCCTGGACAGCAGTTTCATCGGCACCGGCTTTGCCATCGCCGTACATCTTGTCTATCTTTCGCTTGGCATTTCGGAACAGGGTCTGAGCCGAGGAAGCCTTGATACCAGCGCTCTGAGCAAGCTTGTCATAGTCAATCTTTGTAGTCAACTAGGTTAGTAGCCATCTTGTAATGAGAAACCTTGGGATTGAATGGCATACCTTGTCGTTCTTGAGGCAGACATTGGCGAGCACTAAGAGCTTCGTCTCCGTCGCCGAGATACCGGGGAACAGCTTTTCCTTAGAAGACGACGGGGAAGACATTTTGGGATAGCCCAATAAGGTTGCGTGTAAATGAGGTGATTAAGTTCGAGTAGCGACGCGGGTTGGAACTTGAAGTAACGAGTATGTTAGAGAAGTTCACGCTGGGTGTGAAATTTGAAACGAGGAGAGCTAACACCGTGAACCTGGAAAGGTAAACGGGATTCTGATGAGATAACCTACCTTGTAAGAGCTTAGGTTGAGAATAAACTGCGAGACTGTCGATTCAATAGTGTAATGTACTGTGGATGTGGTAGATGTAGAAGGAGAAAATATTTGAGCCATTGACGGCTATTTAACGCGACTTACATAGTAGGCGTTGCGTTCTACCTCGAAGATATGTAACGGTCTAATGAGCTTCCTTCGAGGGTTTCATATCGCGATTACCTGCAACGAGAGCTAACTGATACTTGGTGAAGATTTTGTCATTGACCCTCATTAACAACTGTTCATTCGCTAACAGAAATGATACACGTTAACTGCAACTCGATTGAGACTAAGAGATGGGTGTTCCCCCCTTATAACATAAGTATGTCCTTCGCGTTAACACGCGTTCATTGTGACTAGGACTACATGGCAAACTCAAGACCTCGAGTCAGAGGGTATCACAATGTTCGGATTGCGACCAACTATCAGTTGGTCGTTACTAACGCGTCAATCAACGGGGTTGAACCCGGCGGTTTTGATCGATCAACTAAGAGGAGTTGACGTCAGGCCGTCGAGGTAACCAGCAATCTAGTCCCAAATTTATATTCGATCAATGAGATTGCGACTTCGCTCTTTGAATTTGCTGGTAAATGCCATTCCACAGTTCTGGGAAGAAAGCTGACGTCTGTCTCCCAGGTTTACTGTGAGTTCCAGTATAGAATTGGGTTGGAGCTCTGCCCTGCCACCAGCGTCGCGGTGACGGATTCAGATTCTTGAATGTGACGGGCCGCAAGGCGTCTTTGAATGGAACCAGATCTCCAACACGGACAGCTGTTTGCCGGGGAATTGTATTGAACCGCATGTTGGTGAGATAGAGCACGGCTGTCGGAGGCAGGTCTTTTGCATACTGGACGGCAGCTTCCCGGGATTTCCTGGCAAAAGCGGGCAGCGCCAAATGGATAAAGTTCACATACGGCGCAGCAGTATAGGAGACAAATATCATTGGGAGAGCGCCAGCAACAACCACTAAAGTAAAATCAGCATAAACGCTCAAGTGGTGTAATATCGAAGTTATGTAGCTTACCGGCGGGTGTGCTGTACCAGGGGTAATCAGCCACGGAGCATGCTGGCGCAACGATTAGACATGCTGCACCAAAAAGAAGCACTGTGGTTATTCGCAGCGTCCCTAGGAAGATGGCCCTGCCTGTCCCTCCATAGTAGACTAAGATTCGTTCAGGTGGACCTAGAACCCAGGTCAGCATGCACACTCAATTACTGGCGGGGACGGTTCACACTACCTGCCCTAGTGGTTGTCTTTGGGGGTGTGAGGTTTCTTGTGGCTGGAGAACGTGTAGCTGGGACGGTTTCCTTCGATTTGGGTAATGGCGAAAGATGCTTCTGCGACGGCCGAGGTATTTGCGACTTGAATCGGACCCAGACGTTCCTACGCAGACTGCGCTGGGCACATTCTGGTAGGCTTGTTCGTAATTGAGGGTGAAGTAGAACCCGTAGTCGCATTGTGTCTGTGTAATGTAGTTGGCTTACATTTTGGACGTGGGTCAACACCCCCAATAAATCGCCGCGATGCCGATTGCTTGGCAAAAATGTGACCGCCTTAGCCTCCGCTCCATTAGGATTACTCCGTGAGCTGATCCTTGTCAGTATTTGACCCGTTCTCCTTTGTTCTCATACCCTATATAGCACCGTTGAGTACCTGGCTGGACTAGGCTTTTACTCCATCCGATTGTTGCTTTGATGCGGGTCATGAGCACTTAGCGTGAGCTTTCCTTCAACGCCATGTTTCCGGCTTATCGCATAACACCTGGCATTGTGTCACTTTGGCTGTGCCTTCTTGTACCGCTTCTAGCATATGTACAAGCGTACGAGGAATTATCAGATAAGACGCTAACCGAACTTCCGCGGCCCAATAACGACTTCGACATTCACAATGGCGCTCTGCTATCACCTATACTAAGGACCCGCGTCCCTGGCACCCCCGGCTCCACCGCGGTACTGAATCACTTCGCCGACTTTTTTCGAACTACATTGCCCAAATGGACTGTTGAGGTTCACAACTCTACAGCCAAAACACCACTATCAAAGGGAAAGGATGTACCCTTCCGGAACTTCATCGCTACTCGCGATCCTCCTTGGGCCTCAGTTGGCGACGTTGGTCGGCTCACCCTTGTCGCCCATTATGACAGCAAGATAGAACCAAAAGGCTTCATTGGGGGGATCGACAGTGCTGCACCATGTGCAATAATTATGCACGCCATGCGTAGCATCGACGCCGCGCTGGAGAAGAAATGGTCGGTGTTGGAGGCGCAGGGTCTAAATGACTACGTCGAAGAGGAGCGGGGTCTTCAGGTTATATTCTTGGATGGCGAGGAAGCCTTTGACCACTGGACTGAGACCGATTCTCTCTATGGAGCTCGTGCCCTGGCTACACATTGGGATGACCAAGTCTATCCCGCGATGTCGGAATTCAAGACTCCCTTGTCATCAATCTCTCTTTTTGTCCTTTTGGATCTGCTAGGCTCGAAATCCCCGACAATTCACTCTTACTATGAGACCACCCATTGGGCTTATCAACGCTTGGGCGCCCTTGAGAAGCAGTTCAGGTTATTGAAGCAGTTCAAGTCTACCTCGGCTGATCCATGGTTCGTCGATACCGAAAATGATGGGCACAAGCTCGCGCCTATGGGTGGCATCCAGGATGATCATATCCCTTTCCTCGCAAAGGGAGTTGAGATCCTCCATCTCATTGACTTTGCTCCCTTCAAGGGATTCCCTCCTGTTTGGCATACGATCGACGACGATGGTGAACATTTAGATTTGGATACCGTCGAGGACTGGAGCATGCTAGTTACGGCCTTCGCTGCTGAGTGGATGGAATTGGAAGGATATTTTGACCATCCATCTAGCCCCAGTCGACGCAGTGACGACGAGTCTGCTGAGTTAGAAGCACTCATGAACAGGAAGACTGAGTTGTAAGCCATCCTTCCGTTTACTTCCAAGGTCACTTTTATACTTTTAGTCCCCTGTCTGGCCTTTTCCCCCTCTGTTATATACCCAATGCATTTATTCATGGACCAATGGCATATATTCTCTTGAACCGACTATGTACATATTCTATGGCATTGTTTCCTTTGCTAATCAAACCTCGGACACAGCTCCTGAGATATCCGAACCTCAATCTCTTTGGGCTTCCCTTGCGCCATCATGCACCGATTTCAACTATATTCACCGACGATGGCAAAGCTAATGACGAATTAAATTTCTATACATTCTATTCCCTGTTCCCTTTAAAAGAGGTTGCCCAGCATATATCCACCCATCGTGATGAGTCCCCAAGTCGGTTGTAGGACTGTTCGCAAAATTGCAGGGCCTGGGCAGACCCCTCTCAGTCCCCAGGCTAGCCCAAACGATGCAGCACCTGCAACGAACCGCCAATCTATATCACTCACGGTGGCTGTTGGGAGTCGCCATTTCTCAGCAAGGGTAGGCTTTGCAACAGGCTTTCCCTTTTCGACCGCTTGGCCTGGCTTCTTAGTCAGGAAAGTGAACAGGGATGGTCCAATTCCAAACAGAATGATCAGCGCCAGCGACGGATCAAATCGGGATGGGTCAGTCAAGATGGCGAAGAACCTCAGCACCTTGGCTGGGTCTGCCATTCCAGATATCCAAAGACCCAGACCGAACTCCAACCCTGCCACATAGGAATAGGCGACTTTAGATTCCTCCGACCGACGCATCCGCGGGACAATGATGAAGTTCGTGATGGCCGCCAGCAGTGCTGCACCAGCCATGAAGCCCAACTCGGATCCAGCCGGATACACTGGTGTATAGCACGGGACCGTACCACAAGACGGGATATTGGATCCGCCCTCAACAAAGTTCGCCGTGAGCAATGCAGTTGTGAAGAAGATGGCGGTTGCAATCAACGAGCGGGGCGAGAGGCGCGAGAGGCCACACAGCATGTGGCCTGAGGTACAGCCTCGACCGTTCTACATACTATTAGTCAACTTGTTCCTTTTTCAATCATGTCCGATACTCCTCACCTTTGTCCCCCATCCCAATAGGAAGCCCACTCCCAACGTTGCTGCAGCTGAAGCCCAGGAATTCGGCTGTGCGGGATAGTTCGGGATCAACGATGGTGACAGCAAGTACACCGGCACAATGCTGGATACCAAACCCGCGATTATGGGCACATTATCGCGACTGGGATTGAAGGCGCATCCGGATAGGAGAGAGGATATACCGAAGACGGCACCGTTATGTATAAGCAGGCCGCTTGAGCCGTGGAATAGTAACAGCGCGCCTAGTGTGGTATGAATTGGTGTGAACATGATGTTAATTCTCTGTCGATTCGTCGTTTTCTTAAAGTTTTCCTCCTGATGTCATTGCGGGAAGTGTTGGGGCGTTGATTGGAGGTCTTTCTGATAGCTGAAGTATAGAACACCCTAGGAGGATAGAGAAAATAATATCTATAACCGGGAATTTTCCTGAATTCGATGATTGAAAAGAGAGTAATGAAATAAAGGAGTCGAGATAGGATCTCCATATTCTTTCCTGTCAAAAAAGTTTCCGGATCGGGGACCATTGACGTCGCCGTTATGGTGGTCCCCGAGCAGTCTCTTTCGGCATCTCTCGGTATTCACTATAGGCTGTTATGAGTTTATTGGTTGACTATTTGAAACATTTACTCTCAATTCCATCATTTTATGCACTTTCATATACAAATTATCCGTGTCACACTAGTACATGCATGCAGTAGCATGACATGCTTAACGAACATCTTTAAATCAGGAGACCCCCTATAAGCAACAAATGTAACAATCGCGACATATGTAACAACTGTGACACCGAGAAAATGAGACATCGGAGTGAACAGCAAACTTGACCAGGACTCTCCGTCTCGTGAAGCAGTCGCTGTCCAGCTCCCTCTATATGTTCAACCGGTCCTTAAGGTAAGGATCTTTCCCCTTACTACCTTCTACTTGACCTTCTAGAAGTAATCCTCAATTCTCATTCTCATACAAAATGGGGAATACATCTAGCGTCGCCGGCCGTGAATGCTTCATGGCCGCCGTGGGAGGAAACCCTAACATGGCCACATTTCGCGGGGACTTTTCGTATGAATTCCGGGCCTTGCCATCTTATAACCTGGCCATCCCTGTCCATCCTGATGTGATCACATATCCGACTACTACGACTCAAGTCGCTGAAATCGTCCGTTGTGCCGTTGAGAGAGACTACCAGGTGCAAGCCTACAGTGGAGGCCACAGCTATGGTAACTATGGTATGAAGCATTCTTGGTCTAAATCCTACCCTTGCTGAACCAGCTATACTATGGTAGGTCTGGGAGGAGCCGATGGTCATGTCGTCGTCGACCTAAGAAACTTCCAACAATTCTCCATGGATCCAGACACCCATATTGCCACGGTTGGGGCCGGTACAAATTTGGGTGATCTCAAAGACCGTCTTATGCATGCAGGCGGTAGAGCGATGACACATGGAGCTTGTCCACAAGTCGGCGTTGGCGGTCATTTCACCATTGGTGGTTTCGGTCTCATGTCGCGACTATGGGGAACTGCGCTGGACCATGTGCTAGAGGCTGAAGTAGTCTTGGCCAATTCTAGCATTGTGATAGCATCGGATACCCAGAACCAAGACATTTTCTGGGCTATTAAGGGTGCGGGCGCCAGCTTTGGCATCGTGACTGAGTTCAAAGTTCGCACTCAGGAGATTCCAAAAGGCGCTGTGCAATACACCTATACTTTCAGCCAGGGAGATGTACTGGACAAAGTCAAAATCTTCCAAGCTTGGCAGTCTGTCGTGGCAAAGCCTAATATTACCCGTAATTATTCCACGGAGCTCACAGTCTTCCCGGGGGGTATTGTGATCACAGGCAGCTTCTTTGGAACCACAGCAGAGTTCCAAGAATTTGAGCACGAGAACAATCTCCCTATCCAGAGCAAGGGAAATGTCGCATACATCACAAACTGGCTGGCTTTACTAGCCCATGCAGCTGAGAATTACATAGTCTCGATCGGCGGAGCCTTACTCACTTCGTTCTACTCTAAGTCAGTATCTTTCACAGTCGACGAACTGTTCTCCGAGCACGCCCTAGTCGCCTTGTTCACATACCTCGACATTGCACCGAAGGGTACTCAGAACTGGTGGGTTATTTTCGACCTGGAAGGAGGCGCAACCAACGATGTTCCTATGAATGCCACGGCCTATGTTCACCGTGATGCTGTCATGTGGATGCAATCCTATGCAGTTCTTGGCTTTGAGCCTCCGGCATACCTGTCCAGGAGGTTTCTTGATCGCTTGCATCAAGTTGTGATGGAGAATCGACCACCCGGTCCTCTTCGTTCGTATCCGGGATATGTTGATCCTTATATCAAAAATGGTCAAATGGCATACTGGGGATCCAATCTTGGACGACTTCAACATATCAAGACTCTTGTTGATCCGAAGGATGTCTTTCACAACCCACAGAGTGTAGCTGTTAATCCCATTGCCGATTCCCATAGCTAAGTATCTGACATTATTGGACGGTTGTGGGAGATCCTCGCAGTTAGGGATGCTTGGGAAGAAATAGGGTGGCATACTCAGATGTTATACTGACGCAAAAACAGGCACTGTGATATATTTTTTGCGTATGGTTTCTATTATATTTCACGGAATGTAGCTTCAAATTGAAACAAGTTCAAGGTTTAAACATTTCTCATGGGAAGTGTGTGAAATAGTCATAGATTATTTCAAGAAGGTAGCTGCGATACATAATACCTTATACAATTTGCCAGGATTTCTTCCTTTTCTTCCCACCACTTGCAATTGCATAGCAGCTAACGACATGAGAAAGCAAACCCCCTTCCCGATTATGACTCGTAGCACTGGTCAGCAAACATTGAAGAAACAACATTGAAAGAAAGACCAAACAAAGAAGCAAACATGCAAACACACAAACACGCAAACATACACGTAATAAGATGCGACAACAGATCAGGTCGTGACAGCAACAAACAAGTAGATAACTAGCATACAATGAAATGAAATAGGGTGTGAACACCCCCCATGTATTCCGTGGGTTCCGTCAGTGACTATCGAACCTGAAGGCTCAGTCACGACTTGTCAAAACTCGCACGAGAACTCCCCGTTTGATGTGGGTGCGGACCTGAGAAGACATCAACAATTCCAAGGTTGGTAATGTTGACATCTTTCCGGTTTTCATAGGAAAGGCACGGTCCTCAACGCTGTCTCAGGTGGGCTACGGAGAGTACAGTCGAGAGGGTTGGGGAGAGGAAGAAGAGAAGAGGAAGAAAGGTGGGGGGAGTCCTTTTATACTCTCACGTACCTTCCTAAAATGGATGGGTCCTTTGCTCTTGCCATTTTTATTTTCCAGGGTCACTTCCAGAGAAGTACAACTATCCCAGGAGGCTATTGTAATTGAAATTAATGATGTATGCTTCCTATACAAAATAAAAGGTAATCTCACACTATATTCCAGCTACTGATGGAATATTCCATATCTAATGTTTTTGACGTCGTTGGCCCTTGTCCCGGGGGGGAGGGGGGGCGGTGGAAGTCCACGCCCGGCCCCGGGGTTGAGCCGTTTGTTACTAAGCGGATTCCAGGACCCTGGCCGACAGGAACTCACTTTCCATTATAAAAGCCATACATATAACACCTGAATTCAATGAAACCATTGAATGTGATGGCTGAAGATCTCATTTGATAGTCGCTGCAACACACCCTAGCCAAGTCCAATCATGAAACGCGCCTACAGCCCAGAAACCAGCCCAGAGCATGAGCTGCGAAAGGAAATCCTACTAGATGAACAGCGCCCAATTCTCTTAAGCCTAAATGCGCCTGTCTCTCCACCACGAAAAGGATCATCCATCAAATGTATCCAGGATGGAGATGAAGGAGACGCTATCCTATCGAACGTATCACAACCAAACACTTTACCCAGTCTTGCTGCCATCGAAGCAGGCCAGGTTGAAGTGACCGATCATGTAACCACAATTTCCACAAAGCTCAAAGAATACATTCGCCCACTTCCAAAACAAACAATACCGCGGCTACCCATCAAGGATTGGGTCGAACTGTACAAACGCAACGAGCATCCAGAGGGACGTCATTTCGTCATCCATCAACATGACCATCCCATCGCAGGGCCCCATTATGATCTTCGCCTTCAGTTCTCAGAGACCAGCTCGGTGAGTTGGTCGGTTATGTATGGGATGCCCGGGGATCCGAATAGCCAGCGATTAAACCGGAATGCAACCGAAACTCGGATTCATTGTTTATGGGTTTGTAACCTAGAATGAGATCGTATGGTAGCAATTGGCTTACATTTTCACAGAACCATCTCATTGAAACAGCTTCCCAAAAAACGGGGAGTCTGATTATCTGGGATACTGGAGAATATGAAATTCTACCTTATCATATGGACCCATCTGGCCCCGAAACCGATGATTCTCGATCAGAGATCTCCGAAGATAGCCATGGTCCACCAGAAGAGCAGATTTCAGATAGTGCGAAGTTGCGAGAAGCTTTTCAAAGTGTATGTATATCCCCATAAAACATGGAATATCAGCTTGGTTCTCTAACGCGTAAGACACTAAGCGCAAAATCCGACTCCGACTACATGGAACCCGTTTACCAAAAGACTACACTATTATTTTACGGATGGACAAGTCAACCGATTTCGCACGTCCGATCCGCGAAGGCCCTAAACGGCGTCGTCGACACCCATCTAGGCGAAGGGTCCCACAGGCCCCGTCGACCTCGGATTCCGAATCGCCTTCGCCGCCCCCCGATAAACAAGAATCAAGGGGTGAATCAACACCGCAACAATCTGAATCTGAATCTCAAACTGGGCCGGCTAAGAATGCACATGCTGACGATACCCACACCGCTGACCTTGAAATTCAAAGAAACAACGCCTACCCCGGGTCCAGCAACACGATCGGCTCGATCCATCAACGGCGGTGGTACCTTAGTTTAGACCGAGAATCATCTGGATTTAAGCCGACCATTGTGAGAGGAAATCAAAGTGAGGGGGCGAAAGCAAGTAGGAAAAGAACGTGGATCCCTAAGCATGTTGGAGAAGGATTTGAGCCGTTTTACGTGCACGGGCCGGAAGCTGAGCGGAGCCTTATCACGGCACGTTTGGGGGTCGATGTCTTGGATGACGAGGGCGTGAAGGAGTTTGTGCCGAGACGCGGGTGGAGGCCGGTCCTGCATTAGGTGGACATTGAATGGGACATAAGCTACTCCGTATATAAGTGATAGACATTCCTAAGAAAAAGTTAGTAAATGCTTAGTGCTTACACCTGATGTTCCATTGAAGACGCAATATAACTAATTACCGAGCTCGGAGTTAACGACCAGTGTCGGTTCAAGCCGACATGCGTAATATGTAGTAGCGGATGCAAACGATCGGGGTGTCGCCGCTTTATGAGGCTCAGCCCTGGAGGTCCTGAGTATCTCACAGCACAGGACTACTCACCACTTAATGTACAGATGATCTATCCATAGATAGAAATATGTTGTAGATGCTCAGTGAGTCAGGAAATGCTTTGTATTATTAAGATAATGCTCAGATTATACTCATTGAGTACTCCGTGATGCGCCAAGGAATGGATGAATGACTCAAGTATACAGATATTGTTGCGCTGGGATTAAACCTTCATACTCACAGCATTTGCAATCGGAAATGGCGCCAGGTCCATATGTGCCCTTTAAAATAGAATACGCCAATGCATCTGACCTGAGTACACTTGTGGGCATTGAAATCCGCTCTTTTCCCTCATCCAAGTATATGCGCAGCACATATAAGGGATGCGATCTATTGGCAGTTCATACATTAAAAACAGTCTCTTTGCTCGAGTGTTTCGCCAAACCCGCGTGTTATATTCTAGCGGGTGTCGACTCTGAAGCCGGTGATATTATCGTATGCAGCCGCTGGAACCTACCAGCTATTTATGGGTTCGAAAGAGCCGTGGACATAAGTCTGAGCAACTTTGCGCAAATCAAAATGCAGAATATGTGGGCTTCTGCCACGAAGTTGAACAAGGGTACTTACACGTTCTATGAAGAAATGATAAAGCGTAGTAGGAATATATATCTCTAGGAAAATGATATTGGTTCGTTAAATTTTGCCAATCTATATGAAAGTTTTAAGATAATGCTTACTGCTAATAGTAATTCTTGAACTACTATGCGTATTACCAGAGTACCAAAGAATTGGAATAGGAAGTGCGTTTCTCAATGGGGTATTGAGACAGCAGATGCCAGTAACGCCCGGATATATCTGAAAGCTACAATGGAAGGAGTGCCAGCATATTTGAAACATGGTTGGAAGATTTTTTAAGAGATCTAGCTGGATTATACGGAGAGTGGTGGAGAGGGAAATCAGAAGTTCGCATTGATGATCGGGGAGTTTCAAAGAACAGGGGGTTGATATAAGCCTCTTTTCTTTTTATATATGTATCGCATCGGGTATTTAGCTGTGGAGCCTCCCTGCATTTATCGATTTATTATATTCCATAAGACCAGATTCTGACCATTGTGTAGTGACCTCCATGTATTAGACAAGTCTAATGCAGTGATGTATGAGGGTTAAGTTCGATAGTGGCGTTCTCAGTTATACTCGGCGATTTAAAAGCGGCAAGGGGTGAACATAAAAGTGGAAACCGATAAGTGTATATTCAAATATTTGCTTGAACACGGGACCTGTAAGGGTATAATTCTAATGCATGTGACTCAAATACACAGCCCTGGTGGGAAATTGATCTGACATTAATTTGATATGAATGCGAGGTCTCTGAGTCACTTATGGTCTAAGGTCGGTCTTATTCCCATAATCTCCACTCGATGTGACATAGTTAGTTGACGCTAGCAGGGGTATTCGTATTAGTTATAATGATAACGCGCTAATCTATTGTATTTCTTTTTTGTCCTTGTTCTTTTTTTTCCCCCTGTGCGAAGAACATGTCCTATTTAGCGACATCTACCTATCTAGCATTGTCGCTAGTTGTTCTAGATAGTATACCTGCCATCCAGAGTGTCGTCAACCGCATTGCTGGCAAAGCGCGTAACTATGACCCTATACAACTAGCCAAAGATGTCTACTGCGACGAAGACGGTGAAGCGACCGAGGAATCCCTCCGAGCTTTCTCTGATAAATGGCAACGAATCGCTATCGCCATTTTCTCTGCCACCGGGTTTCTGGTAACTCTTGCATTGGCTGTTCGTGCGACATTGAAGCTCTCCATCACCAATTCCACGCCATTGGTATGGCTGCAGTTCGGGGTCTGGGTATGAGGAAATTCTTGACGAAGTAAAATAAACCATCTGATTGAAAAAACTAACAGTCAACCTTATTTTGTAGATTCTTCTCACTATTCAAGCTGTTGCTTTCTTCACTGAGCCTCGGCCGACAAGCCGATATGTTCTAGGCCATTTCGCTTTCTGGGGGAGTCTCATTGCCATTGCAGTTCCGGGAATTGAACTGGGCATCTTGGTATTCTCACAACTCGGCATTCCACATGGTCGGGTTTGGGTCGCGCTGCAATTGGCTCAAATTGCTAGCGCTGCCCTTCGCGCTATATTCTGTACTCTGCTACCGCGTCGTCCAGATGTTTACCATGATGATAAGCTGGTTGAGCAGGAGCTTTCAGTCTCTCTATTCAGCCGCTTCACTTTCAGCTGGGCCAATCGATTGCTAAACCACGCAGTGAAGCACAAGACCATGGAGCTCGAGGATCTCCCCAAGCTTATAGCAGCGAATCGTGCTGATGCTCTCCGTGAGAAATTCGAAATGGTTAGAAAGAATCGGAAATTGTGGAAAGCGATTATCTTGGCGCATTGGAAGTCGCTGGTCATTCAGGGGATGCTTAGTCTCCTGATTTGCTTCCTGAGCTTTGGGCCGCAGGTGGCCCTGTTTCAGATCTTGAAAACACTTGAACTGCGTGATACCCCGTACTGGAATGTCGGGGCATCATATATCTGGGTTCTGGCCCTGGGTGGGTTCTTGTTTCTTAGCTCGAGTGTGGAGGCATGGCTGTTCTGGGTGGTATACTCAAAACTTGGAGTTCCAACCTTTGCACAGCTGTCAGCGGTCATTTTTGCCAAAGCCATGCGTCGGAAGGACGTTAAGCAGACAAAGAAGTCCAACACGCCAGATGAATCCGATAATTCCACCAAAGGATCCACGGAGGACGACGAGGATGACGAAGATGCATTGAAGAAAACCCGCCAGAGTATCATAAACCATGTGGCGGTGGATGCTCGACGTGTTTGCGACTTTACCTCTTTAAACTATATTATCCCACAGGCGATCTTCAGAATCATTCTCGGTGCTGCATTTCTGGTCCAAATTCTCGGCTGGCGCAGTGCCTTTGCCGGTCTTTCAGTCTCTCTTCTTGTGACTCCACTGAATGCATACGCAGCTAGAAAATATTCGAATGCCCAGGACCGATTGATGAAATCGCGTGATCAGAAGCTGGCGATCGTTACCGAAGTACTACAGGGAATCAGACAGATCAAATTCTCGGCCTTGGAGGAGCAATGGCAGAAGCGTGTTCGGGATACGCGAGAAACAGAACTTGGCGCACTGTGGGCTTCCTTCCTTGCGGATATCGGTCTACTCGCGATCTGGGTTCTCGGTCCTGTCGGCTTGTCCGCCGTTTCGTTGACTACATACGCCATTCTTAATGGAACTTTGACACCTTCCGTTGCTTTTACGGCTATGGCAATCTTCAATGCTCTCGAGGTGGCGCTCGCTATTATACCAGAGCTCATGTCAATGGGTCTGGAGGCGAAAGTTAGCGCTGACCGTATCGACGAGTTCTTGGCTTCCCCCGAAAATGCTGTCAATACTGTCGCTGCTGAATACATCGCTTTCGACAACGCCTCCGTTGCCTGGCCTGCGGATGAAGAAGATATCAAAGATTCTGAGGATCGTTTCGTTCTGCGCGACATGACCTTGAAATTCCCGACGAAAGGTCTAAGCGTCGTATCGGGTAGAACTGGCTCTGGAAAGAGCCTGCTTCTCTCATCCATCTTGGGTGAATGTGATGTCCTTGATGGGACGATCATGGCACCCGTTCCACCTCCTGTCACAGACCGATTTGATCACGTCGCGACAAAGGCAAATTGGATTATCGATTCGGCGATTGCCTACGTTGCACAGATGCCATGGATTGAAAATGCTACCATCAAAGCGAACGTTCTCTTCGGACTCCCAGATGACGCAGAGCGCTATCGAAAGGTCATCTTTGCTTGCGCTCTGGAAAAAGATTTCGAGATGCTGCCGGATGGCGATATGACCGATATTGGTGCTAATGGTGTTAATCTGAGCGGTGGCCAACGCTGGCGTGTTTCGTTTGCCCGCGCATTGTACTCCAGAGCTGGCATACTTATCATGGATGACATCTTCAGCGCTCTCGATGCCCACACTGGTCGTCATCTTTTTGAGAAAGCTCTCACCGGTGAACTCGGCCAGAACCGGACTCGGATCTTGGTCACTCACCATGTTGCGCTGTGTCTTCCTCGAACAGACTACTCTGTTCTGTTGGAGAATGGTCGGGTCAAGTATGCAGGTACTATTGATGACCTGAGGAAATCACATCATCTAGAGGATATCCTTCGCGAAGAACAAGCCGCCGAACAAGCAGATCTTGTATCAGAGAGAGACGATGGTGAGTTACTCAACGACGAGGAGACAACTCTGCAAAAGGTTATCTCGAATACATCCTATCAAAACACGAGCACAGCTACAACTGGGCAAACCTCCACCGGAAGTGGAGCTCCTACTGCACAGACGCCTGCACCGAAGAAGTTCGTTGAAGATGAAAAACGAGAAACTGGTTCTGTGCGTCTGGAGGTGTACTTTGCTTTCTTGAATAAAGGTGGCTCCGTGTTCTATTGGTTGATGACGCTCGCGGTCTATCTATTTTACTCGACCCTCTTGATTGGACGGGTGAGTTGCATGGAATCCCAAGACATTATTGTCTATATTCGTGTTGATTTGACTAACCATATTACAAAAGTCTTGGTGGATCAATGTTTGGACAAGTTCATCCTCTAATACTAAGGCCCATCCTGAGCAATACAGTATCCTATTGCAGCATACCATGCAACCGACTGCACCGGTGCCACAGCACGACGATCTCTCTATGTACCTCGGAGTCTATGTTGCCATCTCGATCATTGCCTGTATAATCGGGACAGTTCGTTACTACTGCATTCTGTCCGCATCAGTCCGGGCCTCAAGGAACTTGTTCAATGGCTTGATTTATGCTATCCTCCGCGCGCCACTCCGGTGGCTGGACACTGTTCCATTGGGGCGAATTCTCAACCGCTTTACAGCGGATTTCCACTCCCTCGATTCTCGAATCGGATACGACATCGGATTTTTCGGAGGCAAAGTGCTAGATGTTCTCGCCATCATGATTGCGGGAATGCTTGTCAATTGGACGGTGATCTTATTCGGCATCGTCCTGTTACTCGTATGTCTAAAGCTGGCTGTATCCTATTTGGAAGGGGCCCGTCAGATCAAACGTCTCGAGAGCACTGCGAAAAGCCCTGTGTTTGAGCAGTTTGGGTCTAGTCTTGCTGGCCTAATTACCATCCGTGCCTTCAGCAAGCCAGACACCTACGTTGAAATCATGTATAACAAGATCAACCGCCATGCACAAGCATTTTGGACCTTATGGCTATTCAATCGCTGGCTCGCGTTCCGCATGAGCGTCGTCGGCGCGATCTTTTCAACTGTCACTGCTGGACTGGTGGTCTACCTTCCAGGTATCAGCGCTTCACTTGCTGGTTTCGCTCTCAGCTTTGCGTTGCAGTATAACACTGCGATTACGATGGCGCTGCGGCAATACGCTAACATTGAACTGAACATGAACGCCGTAGAGCGTGTCATCGAGTATTCCAACATCGAGATCGAGAACCAAGGAGGAGCAGATGCACCCGCTGCATGGCCTACAGAGGGCCATCTCGAAGTCCACGATCTTGTGGTGGGCTACGCACCAGATCTCCCACCAGTATTGAAGGGGCTCAGCTTCTCGGCGGAGAAGAACCAGCGCGTCGGCGTCGTTGGACGCACCGGGGCAGGAAAGTCCTCGTTAACGCTTGCACTATTCCGGTTCCTAGAAGCACGCTCGGGTCAAATATTCATCGACGGAATCGATGTCTCCAAGATCAAACTGCACGATCTCCGCAGCCGACTTGCGATCATTCCGCAAGACCCAGTTCTATTCTCTGGCACGGTGCGATCGAATCTCGACCCGTTCGAAGAATACAGCGATACAGAGCTGTACGATGCGCTAGCACGCGTGCACCTCATCTCCCAGGCCGACGATGATGAGCTCACCCTCACATCGCGGACTGCCACGCCCCGCCAGCCTAGCGAAACAGGCGCCTCCACACCAACGGCCCAGAAGACTAATGCAAATGTTTTCACATCTCTCTCTGCGACCATCTCTGAAGGCGGCCTCAACCTGTCCCAAGGTCAGCGCCAGCTCCTCTGTCTTGCCCGTGCTATCGTCGCGCGGCCCAAGATTATGGTTCTAGACGAGGCGACCTCGGCTGTCGATATGGAGACCGACGCGTTGATTCAGCAGTCTATCCGTGCGGAATTCGGACGTAATGCTACCACCCTACTGGTCATTGCGCACCGTCTTAGTACAATTGCTGACTTTGATCGCATTCTTGTTATGGATGCTGGAAAGGCAGCTGAGTTTGGCTCGCCTAAGGATCTTATGGGGATTGAGGGGGGTGTGTTCAAGAATCTTGTTGAAAACAGTGGAGAGAAGGAGGTGTTGGAGAAAATGATTTTTGCATGAAAATGCATGAAAAGGTGTTCAAAGAGACTGATATAGGGGATTAGAGGACCATACATATTTGAGTTTGTTTTTTTTGTACAGAATGTTGGGAAAAGCCACCTGGGCAGCATATCAAAATACTGCATTGATGTGATTCGAAATATAAATTGCACCAGAAGAGCTAATGGATTTCAAGATATGATTTCAACACAGTACCAGTACATAGCCCTATTATACTACTAGTCAAGTGAAGGGTCCTGAATATTGGAATGAAGAGTTTGGTCAAGTTCATTATATTTGCTAAAAATGCCTGGCTTCTCACTAGTAGGTTTATAGAGTCAACAATGACAAAAGGCGAATATGCCTGTCACAATTGGCTCTGCTATAACCCTGCTGCCGAGAATAATCTAGACATAGGAACAAGTCCCCGAGAGACCAACTATAGCCAGCTATATCCGAATCTCAGAGCCGAAAGAGAGGACCTCAGACACAAGAGGAGTTGGTAGCAACACCTGTCCAACATCCATCTCTTCCAGCTTCAAGGGAAGTCCTCAAACCATAGCTCAAAGCCAATGGTTACACCTTCAAGTCTTGTAAATTGGATCAGAGATGCCTTCATCGCGTCCGTCAAGTAAACAAGGTTGGTATGCCGAACGCATATATCACATACCCTACCCTCGATTCGTACAGCCCTTAGGCTCTCCGAAGAGAGAGAGCCGCACGTCTCAGAGGGCAGAGACTGTCTCATATATAACACACTAGGCTTTCATCATTCTGGGAAACAGTCAGTACAGCGATCAAAAATGTAATCCCATTGAAAGGGCTGGTAACAGGAATACTCACAAGTATAAAACTTGGAAGGATGAAGAAGAAAAGAAAAACGGACGAGCGAAAATCCCGCGCTTTTTATTTCTGCGGGCGCTAGTCCGCTTCTAGGGCGGAGTGGCATTCTGCCGGTTCTAATGATCAGGTTGTCCGATGACTCGCTTTCTTCCGGTTTGGCTACAATAGCATTCGCGACAATTGAAATATGCCAATCGCTGCCGTGCAGCTCCGCTCTTTGCGGCTGAGATCTAGCTACATCGAGATCTCCAACCTCCTGCGGGGTCGATCAGTCGCTTGGGCCAGACAATGCTATAGCCCCATTCAGACGCCGCGGCAGTTCCATGCTCGCGCTTGTCTGCGACAGGAGGAGCCTCCTAAACAGCTTCCTGCTTTTCTGGAGGCTTATAAACGGGCAGGTATGTGGCTGCCTTATGCTAAAATGCTTGTCTTCAATGGTTATAGAGGGTATTGACTAACATGATGCCCACCAGTGGACTTCCCTCCTGCCACTCACGACTTCGAAACATTCTTTGCACAGGCCGAGCCACACACGGAAGTAGTACTACATGGGTATCTCGGAAACCGCGCAGATCTCTCCAAGAAACTATCCTTCGTACGCCTATCCGATCCCACCCTGCAACACAGCCTACAAATCATAGCTTTCGCCAAGAACGATGCTTTCGAGAAGCTCAAGACCGTGAACGCGAACAGCCCCGTGGCTGTGCGTGGAATAGTTCAAAAGAAAAAGACGAAACCATCAGAGGCAGATAACACACCAGCCCAAGATCTATGGGAGCTCGCATTGGAAGAAATTCACCCTCTCAACGACTTCCCCAAGGATCTAATCATGACGCCTGACACTGTGTTCCCACCCGAGCAACGGTACCTTCAACTTCGCTCGGATGCAGAGCTGCGCGAGGCACTGCGCTTCCGCGCCCGCGCGCACAATCTTTGCAAAGCAGAGCTAGAGCAGTGTCGGCCGCCGTTTGTGGAGATCGAGACTCCGCTATTGTTCAAGTCTACGCCGGAAGGCGCTCGGGAATTCATTGTACCTACACGGAGGGAAGGGCTGGCTTATGCTTTGCCGCAGAGCCCGCAGCAGTATAAGCAGATTCTCATGGCTAGTGGCTTACCCAGGTATTATCAGTTTGCGCGCTGCTTCCGAGATGAGGATTTGCGCGCGGATCGTCAGCCTGAATTTACTCAGGTATGAAATTATGTTGTTTGATCAGGCGATGGACGATAAATGCTAATTGGACATCTATAGCTTGATATGGAAATGTCTTTTGCGACAGGCGACGATGTCATGCGCACCGTGGAAGGAATCATTCGCCGACTTTGGTCGTCCTTGATGAAAGATCCTGCCCCGGAGGGGCCATTCCGCAAAGTCCCCTACCAGGAAATTATGGCCAAATATGGCTCGGACAAGCCGGACACGCGATACGGGATGGAAATCATTCGACTTGACCATGTTCTCCCCGTGGATCTAGTCAGCAAGATTTCAGACCTGACCAATCCCATTGTGGAGGCTTTCAAGCTCGAGGGGAATAACAACGATCCCGCCGAAACGCACAAGTTCATTAGCCAGTTCCTCGACTCCCCCGCCGGTGCGCCGTTCAACAATAACCCGGACGGTGGCCCAGGTGTCTTCATCTACAATGGCAAGCAGCCTCTCTGCGGACTCCAGCCCTTCGGCTTCGAAGCGGCCGAGCAAGTCGAGGAGCTACTAGACCCTGACCACGGTGACCTGATCATTCTGCAGGCCCGCCCCCGTGGTCCTTTCTCTGGGGGTTCAACCCCGGTTGGCGATCTCCGCCGGGCACTGCACGCTGCCTCTGTCTCAGCCGGCTTCAAGCCTGCTCCAACTGGATTCGACTTCCTCTGGGTCGTTGACTTCCCCCTCTTCTCCCCCTCATCAGACTCGGAGCCTGGTCAAGGCGGCGCAGCAGGCTTCTCCTCCACACACCACCCCTTCACCGCACCCAAGACCCCCGCCGACGTCGATCTCCTCCTCACAGACCCCACCCTGGCGGTGGCTGACCACTACGACCTTGTCGTGAACGGCGTCGAGCTGGGTGGTGGTAGTCGTCGTATCCACGACGCAGCAGTGCAGGAATTCATCTTCCGTGATATTCTGAAAATGCCAGCTGAGCGGTTAACCGACTTCTCGCATCTTCTCGATGCCCTCCGCTCTGGCTGTCCGCCGCATGCCGGACTTGCCCTCGGCTTCGACAGACTTGTCGCTGTTATGCTTGGCAAGGAATCCGTGCGTGATGTGATTGCATTCCCGAAGACTGGCAAGGGGGGTGACGATGCCATGGTTGGATCCCCGAGCCCAATGACCGAGGAGGCATTGAAGACGTATCACCTCAAGTTGAGGAAGTAGATGCCCAACGCCAATGGCGACTGTATATCACATGGTCCTTAGGACAACTCATTTTGTACTATACTATACTATACCCGAGGTTTTATCGGCATTTGTCTAGGAGATTCTATAACATAATTGCAACTTAGTCAACTACCGGCATTATAGAGTGCATATGAGGGGGTTACACCTGACTCTTCTCAATTAGGTGGGATGCCTGAGACACCCCTGAGACTCGACTAGCGCCCCATTGAGAGTTCAGGAACCCCTTAGAAGATTCCTGAGAATGTTCTTAATATATTCTGACCTATACATAATGTAGTCCATATTGTAGTCCCACTCGTATTCAGGGGCAGAGTCCCCGGTTTGGGGCTAATTCAATTTTGAGACCCTCACTTGTCTCAAACCCTAACTATGGATCGGGACTTTTGTGATCTGACAGATCTCCTCACACATCTCAATACATATAAGCACCTCGGCTGAAGAATTCTTCGGGTGATAGTTTAAATTATTATATTTGCGGGGTAATTTGGCATTCTCTTTCATGATTCGCACGTTGAAATTAAAGTGCATACAGGCGGGGGATTAACGCACTGAAGACAATTTGTAGGGCTATATTCTCCACCTATACGGAAGGATCTTAGGATGAAACAGGTTCCCCCGCGGTCGTTTCACTAAGCTTCAGTAGTAAGACATACCCCAAGGATCCCATCCTCCCGAGGTTTGCCCGAATACACTCAATTACCGAACAATAACTACCGAAGTGAGATATAAGAGTCATGTCTCTTCAGCATTCAGTCAGTCATTCCAGTCATCCATTCATTCCATCACTCTCTACACTGCAGAGCCGGCCTCTCAGATTCACTCTTTGTATAAATCCCCTCGTTCAATATGAAGTCAACTCTCATCCTCGCCTTGGCTACTCTCGCCATTGCCGCTCCCACCGGCACTGTCGAGAATCGCGACCTGCCCGGTTTCGACGGCAGCGGTTCTGGCATCGAAGATGCCTGGAAGGCTCTCATCCCAGGACTCTCTGGGTCTGACAGCGCCGACAGCTCTAGCCCCACGGACACCCCGTCAGCCAATGCAATTGGCATCCCCGGTTTGGGTAACTTTCACACCCAGTATCTGAAACCCCAATGCTAACATGTTCTAGCCGCGGGCGGTTCAACCGAGAACGGCGTTGTCCAGAACGCCGGCTGCAAGGAGTTCACGTACATCTTCGCGCGTGGAACCACCGAGCCCGGTAACATGGGCGTGGTTATTGGACCCCCACTCGCCACGAAGTTGCGGTCTCTGACTGGTGACAAGGTCACCGTGCAGGGTGTGACTTACCCGGCCTCTGTTGGGGTATGAGAAACCTTTCCCTTTCTTCGACACTGCAAATGACATATTGACTAACACTCCAATAGGGCAACGCTCAGATGGGCGGAAGCGGCGGTCCTGAGATGGCTCAGCTCGTCGGACAGGCTCTCAAGCAGTGCCCTGAGACTAAGATCTTGCTGGGTGGATACTCTCAGGGTGCCATGGCTGTCCACAATGCTGCTGGCAGACTCGCTGCTGGGCAGATTGCTGGTGCGGTTCTTTTCGGTGACCCATTGAAGGCTCAGCCTGTCGGTAAAGTCCCTGCCGATAAGGTTAAGGGATTCTGCGCCACTGGTGACCCAGTCTGCCTGAACGGTGGAAATTTCATGGCGCATCTTTCTTATGGAAAGGATGCCGATGCTGCTGCGCAGTTCTTGCTTCAAGCTGCTGCTTGAGCTTCTGCTTCTCCGTAGGTTGATGGTACCTCCCTATGCTCGATTCTAGGGTTTGGTGATGGTATGACTCCGAGGGGTGCTTCGAATTATGTTAATAGTCTTTGTCGTATAGTTGGGAGAATTAGGATTAGTGAATCCACATATTGACGCTTCTGGTTCAATGAGTACAGATGAAAATGTGTAGACTGGCAGATTAGCATACAAGGGAAGTAGCTTGTAGATTATGGTATGCCATCCAAGTGTAGTGAAAAGGAGAGAGGGAAAATATCTGTATGAATTCCATATAGGACAGGTGTTATACAAAGTCAAAAAAATGAAAACGCCACTCCAAACCGCTGTATAAGACAAAATCCCAGATCCAAAATGTGGTTTGAATAGAAAAGGCGAGACAACTCGATGCGCCGGATGAATGAAATTGGAAGACTCATGCAGTAGACAAAGTACTTGTCCGGATAGATTGCGCACGGGATGATGCAGCGTCTTGGACCTTAGCCTTCTTGTCTTCAAACTCTTCTTCATCCTCGTAGTACAAATACTCGTCATCCTCTTCATCGGCTTGTCCGAATATATTCCTCCAAACGCCATCCCAGAGACCCTTCTTGGTAACTAGGCCGCCGACCAGGAGAATAGGCAGTTGCCAGATACTGGCCCAGAAGAGGCCACGTGCAGTACCGTTCGCACCCTGGTGTTGCCAGAAGTAGTATGCCTTGTGGACCAGCCAACCGTTTGCGACAGTGCTACCGACAAGGAAACCACTGCCGACGACATTGACCCACCAGAGACCAATGGAGATGGGGAACATCAGAATAGAGTATCGTAGAGCAACTCGAGCACTGCGGGCTGGGTTCACCCAGCAGAGCATCCTGTAGCCGGCAGCTTTATACTCATCGCGGATCAGATGGGACAGGGCGTTGAAGTGGGGGAATTGCCAGGCGAACAAGATTCCACCTAGCAACCATCCTCCAATGCTTTGTTCGCTGAAGAGCATATCGCGCCATGTGTCATGTCCCATTGTCGCCGTCTGGCCTGCTGCGGCGATCCATCCCATGAGTGGTGGGATACCACCGACCACCGCGCCAACCCAGGTATTGATTACGTGCATTCGCTTCAATGGCGTATATACAAAGGCATATAAGAAGATATTGGCGGCGGAGAGAGCGGTAGTTGTTGGGTTAGTCCCGACATAAAGGAGCGAGAGGCCCGCAACGGCGGTGCCAATCGCGAAGAGCAGAGCTCCCCGGCGCGAGACAAGTCCGCGAACTATAGGACGATTACGCGTCCGGGACATGAGTGCGTCGAACTTCGGTTCGAACATCATGTTCAGTGTATTGGCGCTACAGCAAGAGAGGAAAGTTCCCGCCGTGAGGTATATAAAGGTCAGGGTCGAGGTCGAAAGTGTAGGAAGTGGGGTCATGGCCGGGTCGAGGGTGAGCAAGGACGAGATTGGGTACATCCCATATGCAGAGGTGGTGGTTAGGACAATCAAGAAGGATAGTCGCGGTTTCGTCAGGGCGAGATATGCAGCCAACCTGCGGCGGAGGGAGGTAGTGGGGAGTGTGGACGAGAAGTTCGACAATTGCGCTGAGGCATCCAGCGGGAGGCTCTGTTCTGGTTGTGCAATTGCGTCTTTTTCCTCCTTCAAGCGCTTCCGCCGCCGATGTGGTAGTTCTTCTGCTGTTGCTTCTGTCGCAATCGCAGCGGACGATGCTGTTGCAGACGAATTGACTTGATTGGTGTACGCATCGCTGGAAGATGAAGCTGTTGGTTTGCTTTTGGAATTGGAGGGCGCAAGCGAAGACAGAAAGCCGCCTTTGGTATTTGACCCGTCATTGAATCGATTGGCCGAGAAATATGATTTGTGGAATACCGAAGGGGACTGGTCATCCGCAGTCCCGGTCCGCCGTTTCGAGGATGATAGGAACCCCCGAATGGCCTCGGGACGCACAGATCGAGGGCCGAAGAGACATTGTGTGCATACAAGTGCCTCTCGAGGCCTCCGTAGAAGGGATGGCCGCAGAGGGATCATGGCGGGTCGGTCATGCAGAAGGAAGAAAAGTGAACGAGAGAAGTTGAATTTCCCCGGTGGTGCACGGACCACATCCGTTCGCCTTGTGAATGTCAACAAATTGTTCTTCTCGGCATTGCCTGATCTTCCAGTTCTCTATTTTTGGTGATTATTCCCTACTCAAAATGGATACTATTCAGAACTCAGTGATCACCCCCCTTCAGCCTTATTTGGCGCCTATTGTCTCGGCCATCCCCGAGCCAGTACACGATGCTGTTTTGTCCTTGATTGGGAAATCTTGCCACGGCGCACTGTTGGTTGACCTCGATGTCACTAAGGATCCTGCCTGCACATCACTCGCCATCTCCAAGGCCCTCGGAATTGCCATCGTCGGCGCTAGTGCAGTCGTCAAGATCCCGCAGATTCTGAAGCTGATCAACTCCCGCTCATCGGCCGGTGTCTCATTTGTTTCTTATGCCCTCGAAACCGCCAGCTTGCTCATCACTCTCTCGTACGGTGTGCGCAACCAGTTCCCATTCAGCACCTATGGCGAAACCGCCCTCATCGCCGTCCAGGATATCGCTATCGGCGTTCTGGTCCTGAACTATGCCGGACGCTCCGCCGCCGCGGCGGCTTTCATTGCCGTGGTAGCTGCCAGCGTTTACGCGCTGTTATTCGATCAGACTCTTGTAGATGCGCAGACTATGTCCTACCTACAGGCTGGTGCAGGTGCTTTGGGTGTTGCTAGCAAGGCGCCTCAAATCTATACCATCTGGCGCAACGGAGGAACCGGACAGCTTAGCGCATTCACGGTACGATTTTATCTACCTATTAAATCTCAGTTCAGACACTAATTGTTTCTTCTATCAGGTGTTCAACTACCTCCTCGGATCTATGTCCCGAATCTTCACCACCCTCCAGGAAGTCGACGACAAGTTTATCCTCTACGGATTCATCGGCGGCTTCACTCTCAATGTGATCCTCGCTATCCAGATGCTCTGGTACTGGAACGCCCCTGCGCCCAAGCAGAAGTCTGCTCCTCGCCCCAAGGCAGTTGAGAAGGCACCATCCGCCCAGAGCACGGGAGCGTCTCCCAGGCCTAGCGTGAAGACACCCACCACCCGCCGACGCGGTTAGATAGCTTAGCTGTTCACTTGGCTTTTTTCGGTTTGGTCAAAAATACTAATAATGCCTCCCGTTTTTGGAATCATGCAATTGGAACGAGCTATGAGAAGCTATACTCGTGGGAAACCGAGAACCAAGTAGAAGCGTAAACACAGCCCACGTCCCGAATCAAGACCATCAAGCCCAAAGATCCCAAGACTACGGCATGCGCCCGGTAGTCATATGTCTCAAGATAAGATCCAACGGCACAAACGGCTGCACAGGATGCGTATGATGAGGAGCAATCTTAAACTCCAACTCAGCAGCACCAGGTTTCCGCGCCACCCCAACAACATCCATCTCATCCCCATCTCCTTCCTCCTCGCTCTCCTCCTCCGACTCATCATCCTCCAACTTCCTCCTCAACCCCGTAACGACATTCTCTATCCCAGCCTCGCGCTCCTCAAGCGTATAATTCCCACCCCAGTTCCTCCGCCGCGCTTCCTGGTTTGCTTCCAGCGGCGCCCATTCCCATAATTCTGCGAGCTGTGCTTCGCTCAGCGGTTTGTGCGCATCATCGGAGAAATTGGACGGCTCTGTGCCTGCTGCGCGGCCGCGCGCAACCCAGTCTTCGACGCGGGGATCGAGTTTTGTGCGGAGGAGTTGTTCGAGGGTGTTTGCTTGTGTTCGGCCCGGGTACTCTGGACCTGGGTAGGCGACTAGGTTTGAGAGGAGGTCGCGTTGGTCGGAGAGTTGGTCGGAGACGCTGATGAGGTTATTGGAGATGATGCTTGCTTGGGATTGGAGGGAGGTCCTGGTTTTAGGTTAGTTTGAATACTCGTTGCATTCGGGTTAAGGGATTATCGAATAGGATGGTAGTTCTTACCATGGCGGAAGAGGATCGCTTTGGTTTAGACTTGCGATCAGCGAGCCTAGTGAGCGAGTAAGCTGCACTAGACGCTGTCGTGATTGCTCGAGGACTTTTATTTGTTCTTGGGTGAGGTTGGACATGGCGTGAAAGCTTTGGAAGGTCAAAGAGCTCCGTGAGGGGAAAAGATTATGAATAGTCCTGGTCCGCCTTTACAGTTGACTTCTCTTATCCCGATTTTTCTTACATTTTCACTTCAATGTCTATATGGTCTTTTTAGTGAAATCGAAATTGAAACATTTGAATTATTTTAGTTGATACTATATCAAGTAATGAGACTGTACTCAAAGTGAGAACGCTGAAGGTACGGAGTAAGCAACCCTCGGCTCCGAGCATCAAGCAACAAGCCAGCCTTCAAACCCCCACGGCCGAAAGTCCAAGGATCCAAAAATAACCTCGAGATCAACTCATCCCCCATTGGACCTTTGGACCCTTGGCGGTGCGTGCTGAAACGCCTGCAGACCATCCAGCCAATCTGCAGCGATGCTGGAACACAAAAAGATGTTGCCCAGAGGTTCTGTAGCCGATCATCTCGTATTATCTGACAGGCTTGCGAAGGTTCAGCACATCCCGCTGCTGGCTTTGCTGGGCTGCTTGTGAATGCTATTTTGGGATGTTATGTGTGTGTATGTAGGTGGTAGAGCGGTTAGGAAATACATAAATCGTCCTGCCCCTCAGTGATATTTGGTGCTCTTTTGTGTCTCTTTTTCATTCTTTATTTTTGGATACATCCTTATACTTTATTGATATCTTTCAGTGGACACATTTCCTCCATTGACTATTGACTATACTAAGACATGCAGACATTGCAAGATGTCGGGGATATATCGGCATGGAGCAGAACTCCGTAAAAACAAACCCAAACGCCGTCAAAAATGAGGTGAGCTATCCTGTTCTCATTATTTCCAAGTCTTCAACTGACTCTATCCACAGACATTTCACCAACGCAAGGTAAACACCAGATGCAAGTCACTACCACTGGGGATCCTTTTGCTTTTGATCAGGGTCAAAGGCCTGAGTGTGATCATGAATCTGAGCATGCTGCTCTTGGGGCAACTGCTGTTTCTGATCCGGGTCAAAGACCAAAGTGTGATCATGAACCTGAGCAGGTTGGGCAAACTGCTGCTGGTACTGTTGACCAGGCTGTTCAATAATATCCTTTGAGATGCCTGACGTATCCTGACCCTGATACTGCTGCTGATATTGCTGCTGGTATTGCTGCTGGTACTGTTGGCTTTGGTAATTCTGGGCCTGGACATGGCCATATGGAAGCTCCTGTCCGCGGCCATCGTTATCAACGAACCCAAAGCCTGCCCCGTGCCCATACCCGCCAGAGTTATACATATGTTGCTCGGCCCAGGCTTGCTGTTGTAGCTGTGCGCTGGTTGGCGAGCCGGATGCCTCGTTCCATCGGTTGTACATGTGAGGGGACTGGCGGTTCCGGCGGACCTTTCTGCGTCGGTGTCGGATGAAGAAGAAGCAGCATACCGTCAGCCCAGCGACGATGATTAGGAATCCTACGATTGGCACGGCGATCACCAATCCCAGGTTCAGGTTTGAGTGGTCTGCGCCGGGGGTTGTGAGCGACAGACTTGAGGGGAGTAGGGATTGGCTGAAGATTCTTGTTGGAGCGATGTTGAAGGGTTTGCCCGTTGCTGTCTTGAAATGGCAGTTGTAGCGGATGGACTCGAGGACTGGATTTGGATTATGGTTAGTTGGGGTTTCTTATTATCTTTGGCTTGGGGTTTGTTGATATGCAGGAACAGGTTGCAAGGCATACGTACAGTTTGCCATGTAAACTTGAGTGGATGTCAAGTTATAGCAGAACTCGCAGGTGTTGACCACATTATCTGCGAACGACTTGTCTTCGCACCATGAGTTCAAATTCGACGTGTCTGGATCTTCAATGTGGGTTTCAACTGCTGAACGCACGCCATCGCATGCAACTGGGCACGGAGACGAGACATTTGAGATCGAGTCTGGATATCCAAACACACAGGTTGAAAAAGCGTAGCGCAGGTTATCTGGATCAGTTTATTAGATCTGAGCGACAAAGCACAAATTGCGATATCTGGAAGGTGGCACGACATACAGAGACCCCAGTTCACGTCTGATTCCCCGGTGCTCATATCATGGAACTCGCTGTCCAACTGGCAGGAAATGCATTTTTCGAAGTCTTTCCCGACAGATGTTTTATTGTATGATTGGTCCAAACACGCAATCTCGGAAGATGTAGTGTTGGTCGTTTTACCACACACATCTGTGCACGGCGAACCCAGTGTGGTTTTCAACCCGAAAACCACTGGAGCTGGGCTATTCAACAAGATCACAACGGCGACAAATGCCAGCATCCTGGAGGACCTTGAACTACTGTCTAGCCCGAACATGATGCGGAGAGAACAGAGCGACAGCTTCTGTTCTTACAGCGACCGCCAAGGAGGTGGGAGTATAGTGGGCAGAGTGCCGGATCGATCGATCTCAGATTTGCATGGAAGCGATAAATTGCAATGAGGATTTTCTTGGGGCGGGAAAGCTTCTTTTTTTCACTGCCAGCTGCTCTCCCTCCGTTCTGTACGGATGTGATGGCCAGGTGGAGTAATTCACTCGACTGAGGTCGCAGGCAGGGAAGTGCCGCACAATCCCAGCACCTGCAGGGCTGCTAATCCTTAGTTGAAGCAACGGGAAGGATGCGCGGGTCGAATCAAGCACATTTTCTTGCTCCCAGTGTTGGTTCTCGGCGCTTAGAGAACGACGCTTACAGGTCGGTTTGTGATTGCACCTTGGCTGAGAAATCGAAGAACGGTTGGTGGAGATGGAGTGATCGCCCCGTCCTTTGGACATGCAGGCGTCCAAAGTGTGACGAAATCTGATGCTTGATTGGTGAGAGGTGGATTGTGACTGTGATACATCCCGCATAATGCACGGGCGCATATTCACCCCCTCATCTGAGAAAAATCGCAAAATCCAGTCAGGAGCTGTTCGGCGACGGGTATCGGCATCTCTTGTTAAAACAAAAAAAAAAAAGAAAAGAGAATCTCGAGGTTTTTCGAGGGTTTGATCTGCCAAGAGAACCCCCTCTTGTTAGGGCCGGGAGAAGACAGGGCTCCGGATTTGAAGTAAAAAGATCCAAGACATTGTACTTTTACAAAGTACACCGTATAATTGGAGAGATGTGAATTTCTTTGAAATTTCGCTCAAATGATTTTGAAATAACTGAAATAACTGGAATTGAACACAAAAACCACCATGCAAAATTAAATAAAATTCGAATCCAGTCCAACGGGCGACCACATAGCTTCCCAAGACTGATCCAAAAAAGCAAAAATAAAAAATAAAAAAACCACCATGGACTTCTAGTTGAACATTCGTTTCATATCAACCATAGAGCTCGTCATAGGAAGGCACCATCTCCTGAGGCGCAGGCTCGGGTTCCCGCTGTTTAGTACGGGGAGGGTATCTTTTCTCTGGAAAGGGAGGTTGCTTTGGTGGATTGTACGCAACACGAGGTGTAGATGGCGGCATAGAGGGTGCAGAGATAGAAGAAGCAGCGGTAAAGCTTGTTCGTCTCGAGTTGGTACCACCAGATATAGATGCTGTAGGTTCTGTGAGACAGCTTTGGAGACTGCAACGGCGCATGCGCGAAGTAACAGCGAGTGGAGGAGACTTGGCTGGGATATCGAAATCTTCGGGATTGTCGCGTGGGATCTGTGACACATCTCCCATGCCGTATTCCCGAGGGCTTAATTGAATTCGTGGGCCTAGAGTATCGCGTTCTTCTTCCTCTTCTTCTTCATCGTCGCAAGACTCGTCGGTAGTGCATTCGTCATTGATGATAGAGCTTGAAGGTCGGCGACTTGGCCCACCACTCAGATCACCAAGGCCAAGTCCTTGACCCGGTGGTGTATGAGCTGGCGGTGTGTGGGTATCTCCCACGCGACGCCGAATGTTTTGGTCAAAATAACCTGTGGGAAAAGGTGGAGGGTCTCCCACTTGATGTTCGCGGGTGCCGACGCTTCGAGAGCGTCTGCTTGAGTCACCAGAACTCGGCTGGCGTAATGGGCCAGCCGGGATGTATTGTTGATTTTCTTCAGATGCGCTTGCTGGTTTATTGGTGAAACCAGAAGATTGATTCCACTGATTCCAGGACCCTTGTGTGGGATAGGTGATAGAAACATCACCCCAGCGAGAGTGGAGCTCTGTAGACACTCTGCGCTTCCGTTTGAATTTTTTCATGAAAGTCGCCATAGCCTTAAAACAATCGACCATGGGAGCTGCAGTGACGCGTTCAGGGCTTAAATGTACCGAAGGGAGGACAAATCACTCCCGAGTGCGGTGCTCATCTCAGAATTTATCAACCTCCCCACAGAGAAGCATGGGTTTTTTCCCCAGGAAAACAAGTCAAGTACAGCCGACGAAGGAACAAAGAGAGACGAAGAGAAGGTGACTCAAGGCAGACAGATCGTCGTGTGTTGAAGTTATATCAAAACGAGACATCCATGGAGGCGCACTAGCCAACCACTGCATATCCGTTGGTTGACCAAAAAGAGCGAAGATCTTCTGAATGAAGTGCTTGACGGGGATGGTGCTGGAAAGCAAGTGACCCAGCGAATGATTAGAGACCTGGCAGGGAACCCGGTGGTCTGGTACCCCCTCTGATGGTGGCCCCTGGGGCGGACTCAGAATCGAGACGGTGTTGCCTCTTCGCACAAACAGCGCTTCGGAAAAAAAAGGAAAAAAAAAGTGCGAACTGCAGGGCCAACAGTTGGCCCACTGAATGATCTAGCCGGGTCGCCATAAATGAGAGGCTCCCATAGCTGCAGTGTGCGTAGTAAATGCATGTGGGAGGGGTAGTGAATTTCCAATCCCTGGCCCGCCCCTGGTCATTATCAGCTAAGTAGATAGTCAGTTATGAGCTGCGGCGCAGTCAACTTGCGTTTGACGGATTTAACGCGGGTCGGCCATAGATTGCATAAAATGTGTCTGTATCAACGCATCCTCGTCGTTCGTTGTCTTGGCATGGCGCTTGTCTAAAGATCTACGTAAGAACAAAGACCATAAGATGATCGTGTTTGAGGCAAATTTGTCTCGTGGGTTTATCTCGATTCCAGGGGTGGTTCCATAACATGCGTGATAGACACAGCTAACCTTCTGCCTAGCTAGTCATTGGTAACAAGGAAAATACCCGACAGGGATCAAAAGAGGGGGTAGGCCCCCCTCTCAAGACGAAAACGCGCAAAAAAGCACTGTTTCACTGTGACGCATCTGAATCCCTGCAACGAAGTGGAGTTGAAGGATCAATGTTCACAGTTGAGTCCACGAAAATGGGTGTACACAAAGTACAAAGGCAGTTTAAAGAATTAAAAGTCAGGGATCATTTCACTAGGGATATATGTAGACGCTGAGAGTGCGAAAAGGGGAAATCTCGGGATGATAATGGAGATCATAGCACAGACCAGGTGTCTGTCAACGATCTACAACATACGGAGTATTCCGATGTACTACTACCGACTACTACAGTACTACTACTCCGTACGTACTAGTTACTATGAAGTATCTACGGAAACCTAAACCCGTTCACTAAGTTTTAATTTTTTTTAAAAAAGCTGAAAATAAAAATGACAAATACCCCCCAGTCGAATTTTCCAAAAAGAAAACGCCATGTCGTGATAGTCGTAAAAACAAGAAACAAGCCCAAGCCACTGTCACAGTCACAACTTCAACGGAAATTGGTGATCAGCCGCGACAAAACAGGTTTAGGCTTTTTTGGGGCGGCCTGGGCCGAAAGCATTGGTTCTGATGCACTCCTCTCCCTCCTCTCCCTGCCTTCCTGTCTCTGTTCCTGAGGTGGGATAGCTGCCTGGCGCCTTGGTCTAGTTGGAACAGCTGGACCCATTGGAGGACCATAATCGGCCATTGACACTGGCCGGGAGTTGGCTAGTCTGGCGTCACCGTAGTGAACTGCACTCAAGCGGGAAGAGGGACCGGGATGTGGATTGGCATGATTGGCCGGGTTATATGTATAGGTGTGGGCGTTAATATCGCCCACCATGGAACTTGGCCGAATAGGTTGGTACCGTGATGGATCATACGTCGGAAGTGTGGGGTATGGCGGGGGTTCATATGAAGGGCGAGATAACTGCTGTTGGTATTGCTGGGCATGCTGGACCTGGCGACTGTAGTCCGGCGCGAAGGAGGACAAGGGTCGGGGTTGGGAGTGGGGACCTCTGGAGGTGCCTAGTTCGTCCGTTTTATAGGCTGGTGGTGGTTCAAGAGGAGAAAAGTCTTCGGATTGTTGGGCGTTTCTTCTTCTGGCCCGTTCTTTGCGCGAAAAAAGATATAGTAAGCCTCCAGCCACTGGTTTAGGTTAGTTTGGTTCCCGGGGGGGTTGCAGCTTGGGTTACATACTTGCTAGGAAGATGAGGCTACCAGCTATTGCGCCAATGATAATGACAGGGGTGCGAGGGGAGGTGGAGTTATCAGAGCGGGTTCCAACAGAATAATTAATTGACATATCCCAGTATTCGAAAGATAATTTAACCGTGTGTTTGCCGGGCCGAGGACATGTAAGGTATAGATATCCCAAAGTCAACAAAGAACTGAAGTCAAGACACCTTTGACCTCAATCTTATATTAAGACCAGTAAGACTCTAGGCTTGAGCCTCAATGTGAATAAGAACCCATGCTTTGAAACTGCGAGGATATAGATATATAAGACCCTGAAACGGATCAACGAAGCTTAGTCTCATCCTGACACACGGTCCCTGTTTCAAGATAGCGCGGGGAAGATTAAAGATAGTATCAAATTAGCTATAGATAGATTCAAAAGGTTACAAAATTAGCCAGCATTAGTTCAATTAACCCGCATTAACCTGCATAAGCCACCTAATCCGGTTGGTTAGATGCTCGTAAATGCGCCTTAATTTCTAAATTAAACCTGCTGCATCTGTGATCACAATGTATTTGCCGCCAATGTTATACATCAACTGGTTCGTCCAAAGCGCCTCGCAATCAGCGAATGATATCCCCCGTTTGATACAACCATACTTCAGGAAGTATGAATGAAAAAAGGGTATCACCGCTTGTTTGGGATTATGAAGGCTTGTAAGGTCTGCAGGATGTGATTGGTGATGAGTTGTCAACATCCATGCTCGTCCTCTACGCCTTTGGTTTGACTAGTCTCTTGCCAAATATGGAAATCTCAATGTTGGTGCTTCACCCCGCATACAATATGAGATAACGCAAGCCCTACTTCAATCTTCCAATCCCCAATATTCAAACAATTCTCTTTTCTTTTTTTTTTTTTTTAATCACACAATTTGTACCGAGTACTCCGTATCTATTTCCCCGTCACAAATATGACTCAACCCATCCTCTCTTACTCCGCATATGCCCGATAAACAGCCATGCCCTTGTCAGTCACGAAGTCCAGCGCAACGCCCTGCCCCACAAAGAAAACATAACCCTCCTTTAATTCAGCAGTCTGATTACCCGGGAATTTCATCTGCCCACAACCCTTCGTAACGATCAACAAACTCGGCCCGAGAATAGCCTTGTGCGTCTCATTCTCCCCAGCCCCAAGAGTAGTACGCAGTACCGAAAATTCGCTGATAGGCGGCGCATAGACATCTGTCTTACCATTCAATCCCTTGTCACTCTTTCTATGCGGCAGCAGCGCATCCTTTGAATTATGAGGTTCAAACGTCAGAGCCTGCGCGAACAACTCAACACTGTCGCGGTCTGCAGCCGGACAGAATCCCGTGTTGATGACGTTGTCCGACCGCGCCATGCACTCCACAATATCGCCTTCCAGATATGCATGGATGCTGTCTGCGGGAACAAAGACGGAGTCTCCCGGGCCTAGTGTCATGTAGTTCATCAGAAGGGCGGCGACTAGATTTCCATTGTCGCCTTCGCCGTATTGCTTTGCTAGACGGGCCAGTAGGCTAGGGATGTAGGTGTGTTCGCCGAATTGGGATTCGGGGATAGATTGCAGGTCTTGCATTGTCTGCGCGACTTCCTTGGCCGGCGCGCTTAGTAGAGTCTTGCATACTTGGCGTAGGGTCTCGTCGTTGAATTGTCCTGATTTAGGGACATATTTTGACAGGTGGTTCAACTCGAATAGCGCTTGGATCTCTTTTAGGGGTCTCCAGCCGGCGAAGAGCTCGAATTTTGAGAGTGCAATTGCAATCTCTGGCTTGTGCATTGTGTCGCCGAACTTTTCAGGATGTTCTTTGTGCAGTTGGGCGGCGAGCTTCAGGTCTGGATGGATTTGTAGGGGTAGCGCTTTGCTAAAAGATAGGATCTAATTCAATGTTAGTTATATATGTGCTGTTAGTATTGGCTTTCTTTTGCTTGCCTTTGGCAGAAATGGAATCTCTGGACCCCATCGATCATGGACGGACTTGCCCACCAGCTCCGGGTGCTTCTTCAGGTACTCCCCGAGGTGTTCGCCCGTGGAAAGTAAATAGGATGGATTTGAAGGGTACGTGCCCATCCACATCTGGTCAAAAGTTAACATGGCTGTGCTTATAGTCAATAATTCTGAGAGGCTTACTTCTGAATAATGTTTAGAATCCTCAATTCCTTCATTTCCTGGAGTTTTAGACCATAGATGAGCTACAATCGAATCTTTTCCTTTCTTTCCCCAGTCGTCGTTCTATATCCAAGGTAAAATCAGTATTGTGTAATTTATCTTGGCAGACCTCGGGAATATACTTACCTTGACACCACACCGAAGTTGAACTACTGCGTCAGCCATGGTTAAAATAATATTGAGATAATTTTTGTATTGTGTAGAATGTTTCAATTCGACACTTATATTTCACTTCAAATTGCCGTTCCTGGTATTTGGGGCAAACGACGTTAATATGCCGTCATTGTGATATAAATCCTGACTTTGTCGCCAACGATAAAATACTTGGCAGCCAACAAGGCAGAAATTCGATGGCAAAAAGGTCCACCAATTGAAAATGTTAAGTGCTTTCTTTGTATACCAGGGGCATTGAACCAGGGTCAATTCTAAGGTCACATCACCAAGATAATCTATACTTAAATCTTTACAGAGTTACCAAAGTTACTATCACAACCAAAAAAAGAAAATGGGTTTCATTCTGAGCTAGTAGAAGAATAACCACACCAAGTTAACACCGTGCAATGATGCTCAAATGAAAACGCATCTCAAACCGAAATACAAAAACTCTACTCATAGAGATCATCAGGGTCAGGAACCATCGCCAATGTCATAGGCTTGGAGATTGCAGAACCCCTGCGATCGGCAGCAACAAAAGGTGATGTCCTTCGTCTAGGCGGCAGTCCATAATTTCGTCGCGAGCTAAAGCTGTCCGAGGTATCACCAACGCTAGTAGAATACAGACTACTGCGACGGCTATCTTCGTGGTAGGTGCTCCCTCGGACGGAGGGGGAGTAATCGCGATCGCGACCGCTGTATCGCCGATCACTGGGCTCGGGCACCGAGCCGCGGCGTGAGTGGGGGATGCGGGGCGAGCTGACAGATTGGCTGCGTGGAGTCTCAGCACCTGAGCTTTCAAGGTACCGTCCGTTGGTCGGAATGTACTTGAAACGATTGCTAGATTGACTGGTATTTTCGACTTCCGAGGTGTAGTCTTGGTGAATTGGCCGATATGCAAACTCATTTCGCTTCTGCTCGGAGCGATGGGCGTCTCTTTCCATCTGTGATTCGCCTCGCAGATGTTTGGGACGCGAGGCGAGACGCACAGAGAGCCGACCCGGTCGCAGGCCTGCGAAAGATAGTGAGCTGCGCCGCGAGCTGGTTGAAGCTTCGCTGCAGACGCTTCTGGTGTCATCGTCTTGGTCGTCCTCGTTCAGTTGGGGAGGATCCCGGTCTTGAGGAGAGCAGTCTGGCACGTAGCCTGGCCCGTACGATGATCTCTCTTTGACAGGTCGATGGGGGTTGTTGTATTGATTCCATGACCCATCTGTGGGTACAGAGATGGACACATCCCCCCATCGAGCATGGAGAGGTTTTGCAGACTCCTGCTTGCGAAAGAGAGAAAGAGGTCCGTTGACGATTCCAGCCATGATGTGTGTGAAAAAGGGTTGTGATGTCCACTCGTACTTCTCTTATATCCCACCCCAGCTGAAACAAAAGGTGACATTCGTTTAACGGGGGAAGAGTAATAATCGAGCGGGGGAGTATATGGACAGGGTTGGTATTAATGTGTTCTGATAACCAAACAACCGGTGACGAGGACCAGCCAACAAATCTGCAAGTCGGCAGAGGGGATTTTGGTGACTTTCAATGCAAATCTCCTGTTTGCTGCAATGATCCAGAAACAAACAGTGGGAAAGCCGCGGATTGGGTAGTAGCCAGGATGACGACGAACAAGGGTCTTGAGGGGCAATTGAGGGGCGAGTAAATCGAATCCTTGCAAATAACAAGCAGAAATTAACAAAACAAAAGCAAAACAAAAGCAAAACAAAAGCAAAGGAATTGCGAGTCCACCAGGGACTTCAAGCCAGTCTGAAAGACAGAAAAACATTTTGGCGGAAGGCGTCCGGATATAAAGCTTGGTTTCGAAAGGGGGCCACTTTTTGAGATGTCGAAAGCGCTTTGTTCCAGCTGGGGGATCATCTTCGTTGTAGCTGTGTATGTTAACGACCAATAGGGCTTGTGCATTACCGCCGAGTGTTGATGCACAGAGGCGGAGACTTGCAGGCCTTAACAGGGGGGGATTGTTCCTTAATTAGTTTGCATTTCGACTTTTAGTCTTAAAATAGATCTTAGCTGCAATTTACATTTGTAGCTTGCATAAAGTGATCTACGAAAGTATTCGTCCACTATGTTTCCGTTATGTTTCCAATATCTCTTGTCATCTCTGCATATCTTGGCTACTTTGCAAAATATATATTATGTCTATCACTCCTCATTTGAAATATATACTTAATAACTCTATTAGTTGATTGTAAATATCTGCTGGGTGTCTTTTGCATTGCGTTTTACGTCGATTACTTTCGAGATGCTATACATATGCAGGATGAATGTAACACACCATGAACAAACCTAGCTAATTAACGATATTTATAGAAATTCCCACTAATATAAAACTGGAATTACTAATCCAAGTTATCTCCGAGGTCCAGAGGTCGGGATACCTACCCTAATCTAGGCCTAGAATTTGAACATTCCGAGGTTGTATATAAGCATTAAGTACAAGCGCGCAGCTGAAACTAAAAACCCCTAGTTTGGTTCTTTTGTGCATTCTCAAGGCAAGGAAGACAAAAATAACAGATACGCCTACGGAAACGCCTTTCCTACCTTGTTTGCTATGAGCTGAGACAAATTTATTTCCTTGGGATGCGTTATGGATATCGTTGGTGATCTTGGTGCTCTTTGGTTGACAGGGGTTTTTTGCTCCGGTTGAGGACCCATCGGCGATTTCTCCTATTTAGCTGGGGGCTCTTCAATGTCCATCAGGGTTAGCTGATCTGCCGTCGTCTTCTCGTACGTCATTACTGGGGGGGCCTTCCAATAAAATTAGAGAAAATCCCAGTCAGGATAGATTAGATACGTGCATATGAATGGAAAGATAGTGACCAAGCTCGACCGGATAAGGTGTTTAGGCTTAGAGACAACATGCGTCTACTCCGTACAGGTGATACGACTATTATGTTATTACGATGATACAGGCAGCCCAAGCTCATTTCCAGAGGTGAAAATGCTCGCGTGACATTAAGGAAAACTATTAGAAGAACACATCATGATTCCAAGCCCTCTCACCAGGACTTGCCAGCGCGATAACCTCAACAATTTCCATTTGCTCGACCATATCCATGGTGTCCGTTGCACATATCAATCTCAATATTATTCCAGAAGCGACAATCCACTTCAAGAGGGTGTTAAGAGTAAAGTCATAGCCTTGAACACCCTCGTACACGTGGAAAGAAGGCATTAATTGTCAGCCTCGTTGCCATCGACTTCGTCCTGGTAGGTATCATCGTTCTTTTCGATCATATCCTGCTTCTTTAGGAATTCTTCCATTCCTTTCGTAAACCGACCCATCTGCTGGGAAGCAGCCCCTTTAGTCTTGCCCAGGACTTTGCTGAGTGCATCGTAGTCAATCTAGAGGATACCAAATCACGGTAAATATAAATCACGATGTAGGAGCATGCATCAAGCAAACAAGGAATGATAGACCTTGGTTTTACTGGTTTTGATCACTTGGTAAAGGAAAACTTCATTCGCAGTAAACCGCTTCCGATCCCCCCTCGGGGTGCTTGTCTTCTGGACCTTCGAAGGAGACCCAGCGGTAACACGCGCCTTGTCCTTTTTGGTAGGGGACATGATGAGAAATTCTTTTGTTTGTTTGTAAAGAAAAGTGATGGATGTTGTTTGTGAGACTTTCAGATGAAAGAGGTGGGGGGTTCGTGATGAATGAAGAGAGAGGAGACAGAAACAAACAATTGTGGGCTAGAGATGTTAGGCAAACGCGTCGATGTCTCGACATAACTCGCACAATACAAAACAAACGCATAATAAAGCGCGTGAGCTACGACCGTCATTTCCTTTATATTGAACCTGGCACCACAGTGGGACTAAAACAATCTACTACATACACGAAACAGACAATGCTGAAGTTATTGAAATAGATCGTTACCATCACTCATTCACAATTCCTACACGTTGCTAGCCTCAGCAAGAGTCTCATCGCTCTCTCGGGTGGCCGGGGTCTTATCCTCTGGCTTGTCATCGTCGGACGCCTTCTCATTTCCGCCAATGGACTCTCCATTTCGCTTTAAAAGTCAGCTCATCTGCATTCGAGCAGCGTCCTCGCTTTTTCCCACGCCGTTTCCAACGGTCTTCCAGTTGAAATAGAGGAGACACGGTCACTAGCGAGATAAGACCGACCTTGGCACCACCGTATCTGATAGACTTGTAGAAGAAAACTTCTTCATCGGTGGCTTTGTGGGCTCGAGTGCCCCGGGTCTTCATGACTTGTTACCATATTCCGTTCATCAAATCTGTTATAGTCTATAACGCTTGCTTCAAACAGCTGGGATGGTCGGATGGAAAGTCTACTGCCATTTAGCATACCACAAGGAGTTTGAAAACATATTAAGAACTTCTTCAGTTGTAAGGAAATGCCACGGCCGTGACCAACCGGAGTTGGCCTCTTATTTCTCTATAGCCTCCGCATGTGTCTCCTCGGCGCTTGAGTCGTTGGCGACATCAGGCAAGTTGCTGGCATGGGAAGTTCGGAGGTCATGAACTTCCGTAAGCAGTCTCTTCCACAGAAGAATCAGTATTACTTTTGTGTCTCGTGATCTGCTTTACTTGACCACTTCCCATAATGCTTCCTGGGCATTTATAACACATCCTCGGAATGAGAACTGGTGGCCTAGATCGGTGATTCCCTCCATTGATTGACACATAGCAATCTGCCAAAGACTGAGCCCCGCGGTCTCGCAAATCTCCGTCCGTCTTTCTGAACATCTGGGGTATAGCATCTGTGAGATTATCGTCCGTGTCTTCTGTCCTCATCATCAGTCGGCCCACATGTGAGCAGCATTAACACTGTTTTTCCGGGGAATTCCCGACGGTCTTCTAGTTGAACTATACAAGCCCGCGGTTAGTATAAATTGATATCGAAAAGTGAGCGCCAAGTAAGTGAAAAACACCAACATTGGCAGCACTATGGTTGATGGCCACAAAAAGGGAGATTGAGGTATCTGACTTATAGAGGTAGGCTTCTTGGTGGCACTGGCTTGCCACGTAGGGTTTGCCTGGCACCCACTTTCCTAAAGCCATGCTTCTGTTGTAGGCGGGTGGATCGCATGCGGCAGGCTGCCTTGGTTATACCGAAGGTCTTTGGTGCACCCTCATAATCAACCTGTAGTGAACTTTAGTTAGTATAATCTATAGCCAGCCTTTGGGTATCAAGTGAGAGATAACTGACCTTGACATTGTCCAGCAGAGTTAGGAGAAAGGCCTTATCACTAGCCTTGGTAACCTCGGAAACTTTGGCCTTGACATCGGCCAAGGCTGGGGATGGGAAAGGGGAGTTCTTCGCCTCTAGCTTGTCACAGGCCGCGTCCATGACGTGTGGAGTTTGTTCGTTGGATGAAGTAGTTGTGCGTCAAATCAAGTCATGCGGCAAGAGATATAGGATTGTGACAGGAAGAAGTAGAAAAAGGACTTGGGCGTTTTGCAACGGCATTTGCAGCATTCTCTAGCCTGATGGTGAAGTTCTCGTGTCATATAGGCTTGCTCGTGCGAGGTATAGGTGACTTTAACAGCACATAAATATATGAGGCCATCTCTGTATAGATACACTAGTGGCTCAAGACAAAGGGTCAGCGATCTAGCATCGAATGAGAAAAGAATGGGGATGCTGTAGTAAGGCGCAGAGGTAGAAAGAAGCGTGGAGTATTATCACTAGTCTGATTTAGATGCTCAGGTGTGACTGTTTGCCCAGCTTGGCATAGGGAGGATACCAAAAACCCAAATGTTGTCAAAAGAACATTGTTGTAGGCTCGTATTAGATGATTTATCATCCCAGTGTGACAGCTCGAGAACAAGCACAGCGAGGACACTCCTGGTAAGGCTGCCAGGGTCAAGAAGGCAAAGTGGGCCACATAACTATTCAAACAAAGCGTGCTATAAAATGGCGCTCGAGACTGAGTATTCCAGCTTTAACTTTGGTTGTATTATTCAAGAGGGTATGGCATGGGCTATTCTCGCATTGTCAATGTAGACAGGAATTTCTTCTCTACATCTTGTCCATATCTGAAACCCCTTCCAACATGAATGCCTCAGCTGACTCATTTCTCGGTAGTCTTTTCCACAGTGGCTTCCTCGGTATTGTCATTGGCGTCATCCTTCGTAACGTCCGCTTCTTTGGAGGCAATCGACTTGGTGGTATTGGCAGCTTCCTTCTTGCCACGTGGGATCCGCTTGGCGCGCACCTTCTTGAAGCCGTGCTTCTCCCGTAGGCGGGTATATCGCATGCGGCAGGCTGCCTTAGTGATCCCGAGGGTCGCTGCGGCACCCTCATAATCAACCTATAATGAACTTGAGTTAGTATAATCTATAGCCCAACTGTTGGGTATCAAGTGAGGAATAACGACCTTCACCCCCTCTAGAAGAGTGAGAAGGAAGACCTCATCGCTGGCCTTAGTGGTCTCCTTAGAGACTTTAACCTTGACATTGGCTAAGGCTAGGGCTGGGGAGGGGGAGGTGGTGTCCTCCATCATGCGGTGAGTCTATCCGTTAGATAGAGTAGTATTTGTGTTAAGATATGATGAAAGTAAATTATTAAATGAAGGTGTTGGGTACGGATCAAAGTCCGTGGTATGGTTAGATAAAAAGCTAAGAAGCATATGTGAAGAAGAGAAGAAAAGAACAGAAATAAACAGAAGAAGACATTTTATACCTGTGGTTTTTGACCAAATGAGGCAGGAGCACTCAGTTGTTAATCCCAGTACGAATATGGTAACTACCTAGTTCGGCAGGTCCGAGTTAGAGCCCTGGACAACCATCCTCTCCATACATAGCTACTATCTATATCTCAACTATGCAACCAAGAGCACTCAGGTTTGAACCCTTTTAAGAGTGCAGGTAGCATCAACCGGGGCGAGCCAGTGTAGCCGCTCGAGACACTGAGCTCGTTCAAGGACATAACTAGCGCCGACCTTCACCTCCCCGTTGATCCCGTCGGCGGGAAATTGCAGGCGACAGACCTTTCCCTGCCAATTGAGTGAGCAGGCTAACCTTATATATATATATATATACATTGCAGGTACTCCCGCTCGTCCTACTCTATAGTCCTTGCCTTGTCGAATTTGACGTCGTGAATATGGGATGACATCGGCAGCTAGGAAGGAAAGAGACCTAGCACATATTGCCCCAGGGATTCTTTATTTGAGCCCATGAAGACGCCCATGGGGACATTGGAAAAGGGTCACAGTCTCTTGCATGAGTGTCAAACTCTACTCAGCGGACTCTTGACACCTGCAGGCAATACATGCTGGAGACACTATCTTCGTGCTAATGCTAATTTCTCACTAAGAGCGGGGCCTTGGGTTCTCCCACAATACCATGCTCATCCTCAGTTCTAAGTTAGTCTCAGCGTTTTCGGGATCAGTGTCAAATTCCTTCGTAGTGACTGTAGTGCGTCGGGAAGCTATAGCTCGTTGGCGAGACGTTGACGAAACGTCAACGGACAATTCTGGAGATTTCATCTCCTCAAACATCTGACGTTCATACGTCCAATTCCTCTGGTGGGCCTGGGTAGTGTCAACATACTCTATACTGACATGTCAAGTCTAAGACGGACCTAATGGCAGTAGAAGTGCTATTGTTCTAGGTCATTAATAACTATATACTTAACAAGATATCATTGTGACCTGAATACATATCTACATGAGCGATGTACCATCGCTGGTGGTTCACTTGAGGCTCTTGTATTTTGTCTGCAGGATCCCGAGAGGTCCCCACTTGTGCTCCACTTTAAACCTTAATCCCCGCTATCAGCTATGGCTGAATCAAGCTTGTTTTCTGCTCTCTTGAGCCCAAAAGAATGGAATTATGCACAAAACAGGGTAAAGGGTACGGGAAAGACGAAGGGAAAAATAGGCGAGGTTGACGCAAAATAGTATGTAAAACATGTAAATAAAGATGGTTGAGACCGAGAACGAACGGTAGGCCAAACATAAAGTAACTACGCCGTCAAAAAGGGAAAATAAAATACCCTCGGGCGTTAGCCACCTAACCAAGGTAGCTAACGCCGAAGGGTATGGAATGTTAGGATGTGATATTGAATTTAAGGGAAGAATATCAAAGAATACATACGTGCAATAGATTAGTATGTCCAAGAGAGCCAAGAAAATGGTCATGCCTCCAATCACTGTTGTGTTACTCGTGTCCTTGCTCCCAACTAACGCTGCCTTTAGTTGAAATACATCAGTAAGTGGTATTGTCTTACTTGGCAGAACATCATAATCGCTGTCAAGGAGGAGATTGCCTTTCGATGGACAATGTGTCTCCAGCGATATTGTTGGCAACTTTACCATAGCCAATAGTATGAACAAGTCCCGCATATAACAAACAATATACAATACCTCAACCCTACTATATATGTACATACTGTCCTCTGGTATGGACCTGCTCTGTTATTCATTCTCTAGCCTCTTAGTAACCACCGTTCTCATCCATGGATACTTCCAAGTTTTCACACCAACCGGCGAACCATCTACAGATAAATACAATAGTCGTGATGCACACTGATATCAATAGTTCAAACGAGTGTGTATTCCAAGGTGGAAAAAGTATATTTAAATCTAGAAACCGAAAAAAGAGCCTGCGCATAATTCATAACAAATAACAAATCGTGTCGCAGACCCAAATCTAAAGAAAGACAGTCCTACCAATCTATACCGTGACCCGTAACCCATATATTCTGTATAATACACAGTACCGGGCACTTGAGTCGATCAATCCCAATACATCAGCCCATCGCCTCCACTGTGCAATATGTACAAAGCGTGAAAGCTGTCTTGCGTGGGACAATTCATGCCACAGGCGCAAGGCTAAACTCAGTGCAGCAGTAGATGGCGAGCCGCTCAGCCGCTCATTTGCTCAGTATTTACTGAGCGATAGGGGAGGGAGTAGGAGTGGGGGTGGAGGTGGGGAAGCCAGACTCCTGGAACTTCGCGAAGGCCTGGGAGAAGGGCAGGTCGGTGGGGAAACCGGTAGGGAAGGCGCTCAGAATGCCACTGGGGATGGGGAAGGGGAGGTCGGTAGGGAACTCGCGCTTCTCAAAGAACTTCTCAAATCCACTGGCGACACCGCTGGGAGTAGCGCTGGGAGTGGCGTTAGGAGTACCGGGGGTGCCGCTGGGGGTTCCACTGGGAGTGTGGCTAGGAGTGGCAGTGCGCTTCTCAAAGAACTTCTCAAAACCACTGGCGACACCACTGGGAGTGGCGCTGGGAGTGGCGCTAGGAGTGCCAGTGGGGGTAGCGAAGCTCGAGGAAGGAGAGCCGGTGGCAGTGAGAGTCGAGACGAAAGGAGGAGGGCCCTGGTGACCAGCTCCCTGGCGACCGGCTCCGTGGTGGAACTGGCGCTTCTCGAAGGGGAGACCGGGGAAGTCGGTGGGGAAGCCACTGCAACTGGGGGTGCCGCTGGGGGTGCCGGAGGGAGTACCGGAGGGAGTGACGCTGGGAGTGCCGCTGCATGGAGTGGGCAGGTCACTGAGGAAAGCAGGGGGACCCTGGGGCAGGGCGAGGGCACAGCCCATCATTCCCATAGCAGCGAATCCGGTGTATCTCATTGTGATTGGTATAGATTAATTGGAAGATATATCAAAAAGTAGATAGTGAATAAATTTGGATTGAAAGACAGACTTAGATATATGGGTGGTATATCAAAGACAGATCGGGTGGCTTAGAGAAAAATCTCGGAGGGCCGAGAACGGGTTTATAAGAGTGCCGATTTATCAGGGTTATCGAGCTAAGTCCCAGGCCGAAGTGGATTCCGTGATCGGGCCATGACTTCAGGGTTGTTGCCTCCGAGGCTGGGCAGGCTGCAAGGTGGGCTGGCCGGACGACGATACTTAGAACGGTAGATGTGGGTTCGTCGATCTTAACTTGAGGGACCTCAGGGTCGTCAGGGACCAGGCCCAAGGCACGGGTAGAAAGCACATGGCCTGGGGCTGAGGTATTTTTCTTGAACCTTTCGCTGGCCAGCCAACGCGCAAAAAAGGTAAAAAGTGGTTCTGGTGTATTGCACGAGGCAAGTATCGACGGTACGGTTGGGCTACAGACGCCACAGCCAGGTACCAAACATTAGAGCGACGATCATCTTCCCCGTGCAGAATAGCATAAAAGCAAATGAGCCGAGATGTCTGACCGTATCAAATGCTTCTCTTCGGATGGTTCGTACCTTCCAGGATCGCGACGGGGTCTGACCCAAAATGAACCTAGTTCTCACTCTTCAGGGCCCTAGCGAAAGTTACCCCTTTTTGAGGCCGTAACAGATCATGGCAGCGATGGGCACATCAATTCTCGTTTTCCAGCGTCATCATCCCTAGTAACGGAATGGCTGGTCACTTGTTTCATGTGTATTGATTTTGCCACGCTGTACCATCCAAGAAGACCGATACACAGCCTGTGCCAGAATGTGCGGATTGTGTCTAGAGTACCCACGGAGGGTGGACTCAGGGTGGCTGGAAAAGTCTGCCAGAGCCACTGATTGATAAGTGAGGCCCAATGGTCACCAACTGATCGGCGAGGTGGAACACTTTCGCTCCAATTCAGTGGAACGATAGGCTAATTTTTCCGCGATGGAGACACTCTCGAAACGACTCAAATAGTGGTCTTCTCAATGTTTAACTATAATATGTTTCACTGGCATAAATCATCGCCCATGTCTGCAAAATTCGAGACGATGAAGATACTCCGTACACCTTGGAGGCCTAGAATATCAGTTGATGGCCAAGTCGTCGTCAGCCTTGGAGTGAATCGGGGTCAATTGGCCCACAGTGGACCCCGTGACATAGGATCGACGTTGGTGGACATTTCCATTTTTCCTTTGAACACGGTAAAATCTGGACAGGTTTCGTGGTCAGTTTCAATGTATTGAGATATCGACGCTTATTGTACATCCATGGATTGTATGAATACGTAAACCCCAAGTATCCATGGCGCATCATCATATGCGAAACGTTGAAATGTTCGAAGGTTGCCGATTGTTTCCTGATATTGATTTGCCTCTGGTCTCCACTATCCTCTTTCTGATTGGTTATATGCCAATAGTGCCAAGCATTTACGAATGTTCTCCAGGCTAAATACTTCGTATGGAGTATGGAGTACAACATATGTTGTATAGGAAACAGCTCAGTTCCAGGGCCGCTAGCACTGATGGCGGAGCATTGTATCAACCTTGAAATGTACGTTATACAATAATATATACATAACTTTAAATATGGTAGCTCAGGAACTCCATTTCATCTAGGAATTAATGCCCCACGGTATGTGCGCGGAACATTTTCTGCTATAAACCAAAACCGCTGTATGCACATATGCTATAGATTGCGAAACCAAAACCAAAATGAAGCAAACCCCGCGAATCCAGCGGAGTTGATATGCCAAAAACCAAAAACCGAACCCCAAAGATGGATACCCAAAGTTGGTCTAGTATGAGGACGCATGGACAAAGAGAGGAAAGCACGCAGGCCAGAGAGGTGTTCTAGATGCTTTGGACGCGGATTTACAGAGTCATAGGGTGAACAAGAATCAATGGTCTTTCCTGTTCGAGTGTCCTACATCGCACGGGGGCCACAAAATTAGTTTGATTTGATGGTCGAGCTTATGTGTCGAAGGAACAAGGGTCTGCGACCCACGACTCCTAAAGAAGCGAGAGACGGAGTACAATGTAAGATTAATCGTGTATTCTTTAATGCCGCTGTTTGCGCGTTAGGTGGTCAGGTGAGCTCGGATGGATTGTTGGCGTTGGAGTCATGCTGAGTAGATGACGGGACGAAGGTGGTACGGTCATGGATTCCCGAGCCGACGGTGCATAAGCCTGCTTTGGGGAACTGCGACGAGCTTTAGGGGAAGAATTGTAGGCCGGTCCAGAAGAGAATGAGGATCGTCGCGATCGGACGGGGCTACGGGGTCCGTGGCTCGCAGATGCTCCACCAAATGAAGATGACTCCGAGGACGCTCGGTGACCTGCAAGTTTGGGACGAAGTGTGTATGATTGTTCGAGGTCGTCATCACTGCTTGAGCCGATATCGAATATCGCTTCGTTGAAGGATACTGAGGATGTACGGCGGTAGGTTCTTGCTTGGGTTGACATAAGGACTGACTCGGTCGACTGCGAGAGAGGCGGGTTCTCTAGTGAAACAGTGCTTCGTGCCTTTCTCAGTTCCCGAGCTGACTGGTGCCGTGCTTTTCCGCCCGAATGCCTCTTTCCCACCTCGTGGCTGTGGGATCCTGTTCGCCTGTTGCGATAACGTCCTCGTCCACTGTTGTCTGCTAGGTCAATCGCGGGGCGGCCGAAGTTTGGCATACGTAAATCAACCTGGCTGGGGCTGAACGCTACCCGGGCCCGCATATTTTGAATCGCATTATCGAGTGCCAGCTCAATGGCGCAGTGGTTTCGGATCCGGCTTAGTCTTGGCCATGTCGCCCGCTCGCCACTTAAGCATGCCGAAAGCATGAACTCCGTTGTCGGATTCTCCAGGAGCCGTGGGAAGTTGGAGGAAATGAGTTCCGGGTATATGTTGATGTCTCCATGATATTTCTGGTTCACAATTGAGGCAAACTTGCTCATTGATGTTGGGAAGACTCCAAGTTCCGAAAGGACGTTCATTCGATGCAAAACCTCGTCTTTGGCAAGGTGTGTCACTGTGTTCATCCATCGAGGGATGAATGAAGGGCCATCAGTTGTCTCATTGTGTGGACCGGTTTCTTTTGGAAGAAATGGCACCACATGGGGGTTCACCTGTGAGACAATGAAATGGTTCACGTTAAACATCTCTGATAACCGAGTCATGGGCAGATCTCCATCAACAGAGCCGTCAATATACTGTTTGTGAAGATCATTCCATGGGACCGGTTCCCCTGTCAGCGGATCTTTGGCCATCAATGTGAATGGTCTGAATACAAACGGAACAGAGCAAGAGACCGCCCTTGAGTTGACGTTAGAAATGGATTGAGAGGATGAAAAGGGGTAACTTACACAGCAGACCAGATTAAGACGTTGGGGGCAGAGATATAGTTCAACAGCCGTGGAAGCTCATACATGCCGGCACTCGACACACAGATGTTCAGGATTCTACGAGTGCGGTTATAGGCTTCCTGAAAGGTCATATCTCCCAGCCAGTTCCTGATGGTCTTCGCCAAGTGGGATATGTCAAGAAATGATCCAAACTTCAAAAAACGAGTCATCTTCTGCAGGATATTTTCCTCTTGGCCTTTCTCATTGAAGACGTCAAAATCGCCATGTACGTAGGTATCCAAAAGGGCCGGCAGCTCTTCATCCGTGCGCGTGCAAAAGACCGCACACACAATGCTACCAGCAGAGGCACCTGAGATAATTCGTGGGATCATGTTTGCCTCATAGAGGGCCTTGAGAACCCCAATATGGGTCATTCCAAAAGTAGCACCACCGGAAAAAAGGAGCGCACTGCGACCAAATGCCTGCCGAGCTGCCAGCAGCTGGTCCAGGATATACTTTAGCTCCAGCCCATCACAGCGATCATGCACCGACAGATCTACCAGTGTGGCGATAGTCTCCACGGCCGTGGTAATATACCTATCTATCAAGTCCTTGGTGCCGATATGTGAATGGCGATAGAGAGAGGCATTGCTCATGTGCGCCAGGTCCCGACTCAGCGCAGTGCGCACCAGAAACAGCATCCGGCTTACATCACAGCTGATACGAGCCTCTTCCAACTGTCGCAAACGATCCTGTACTAAGTGAGGATCATACTCGGTGGACTCGAGCGTCTGCTTCCAGGCGTTGTTGTTCTCTAGCTCATCCAGTTCAATGGCACAACTTCGCCATTCCTCGTACGACACAGCCTGCAGCCTAAGGGTTAGAAAGGGCCACTTTGCAGATGCGATCGCCCGTTCCAGTTACACTGCATTTACTTACATTCTTTAATCTCAGATATAGGACTTGTTTGCGGTCCTCGATGTCCGCCCTTTGTTTCCGTTGTTCCTTGGAGAGACCATCACGGTAGGTGTGCAGAGTATCACCGGCCCAATTCCACGAATCCTTCACGAGAGACGAAACAGCTGGTATAGAGATCGCTTTGCGGAGCCGCGGAGGTGGGAGTTGGGATATGGGGTGTTCTTGGGGGTGTTTGTGCCCATGATGGCACTGAACTATTGTGGGGTCGCCCAACACCGACATAGCAAGGCTGTGCATGGAGGGGAGCAAGCCATCCGGGGTCTGAAATGCAGGGTTATGTTAACTTTGAACTTTAAGGAAACTAGTATAATTTAAAAAAAGGAGTATCAAGTAAATGAGTTCAATGTTGGTAAAAGTAGATATCCTCGAGAACTCAAGTCAAGTTTGGCGGTGGCCCCGGGCCCAACAAACGTCACGAGGGCCGATGGTAGCCAGTTTCCTCAGGCTTAGGCTGACCACTTTTCCTTTTCATGACGATTTCACTGTTCGATTACCCCAGGTGGATCAGTGGATATTTCGGCTTATTTGTCTTGAAGTGGCGGATACTTTCAGAAGACTTTTGTTTTATGTGATCTCATCCCTAGACACCCCGGAATTATATAATGCCTACAATATATAGAGATTTATTATCTCGATTTCTCTTCAATAATGATGTCCAGTTTTCTTTCTACAATTATTGGAATATGGTCTCCTCATAACCAAGTGCTAGTTTCTTTGTGCCTAAATCTTTTACGCGCTAACCCCGTGGAGCCCCGGACAGGGGCTTCTTCACATGCAAGAGTGGCATGTGAGCTCTACACAGCTGATTTTCGCCTTCAGGTCATCCTTCGATATTTGTCGTGTGTAAATGCATGCATACGTATATGCGCAGTATTGAATATAATTGGACAGCAATATAACCAAAACCAGAAGATTATTATATCTGACAGAGCCATTCCTTCAGCGCATGTCTTGCTCTCGCCTCAGCCCCATTCTCGCGCCAGAAGTGGCCAGCGCCATCAATCATCCTAAACTGGAACTGACTGCGTGGTATGTGCACCATCTCGTCTGACCACCTCTGCAGTTTCCCAGCAGATGTAAAGGTATCCTGGTCACCAAACAGCGCCAGGGTGTGGTGCGTGCTCTGCTGGTCTGCTGGACGCGGGCAGGGGATGTGGGGGCCTCCGGAGGCCTCCGTTTTCAAATTTAGCGATAAGTTCGAGAATAGAGTTATGAATTGACTAATCGGGGGCAATAGCGGAGACACGAGGAGATAGGAGATGGATGTCGTCAATGCACAGAGGTCTGGGACATCGGTCAGACTGTGACTCTTTTGAAGTTGTTCCAGGGACAGCGCAGCTATCCGTTTTGCTGTACTCCTAATCTCGTGTAACGGCGTTGTTTTGTTTGTAGAGGCTGTTGTGGGCACGGGTTGGAAAAGGTCGAGCATAGAATCCAGGGTCGGTACATGTGAGGCAATTAAAGACCCATATGAATAACCACCAAGAATCAGACGGACATCTGGGCTATTTTGGTTTGCGCCTGTAACTCTGCGAGGGTCTACTTGGTCTCTCGGGCCTAATGCAAGCTCGAGGGAGTGCAGATATTGCAACATGAACCCGTAGAATGACACATAATCACCAAGCTCGGGCTTTGCAGTCCAGCTTGTTCGTCCTTCAGAGTCACCAGCTCCACTATATGTCATTTGTTAGCCACTTCGTCATGGTGGAATGTTGAGCAGTGGGTGATTATACCGAAAGTTGAAGGTCCCCACGATGCAGCCGGCTTGTAGAAGCTCACTACCGATAAAACTAACAACTGGGTCATCGTAGCATCCTCCTAGAGTTGCGTATGGATGCGCGACAATGGCACCGCGGTTGGGCCAGGTTATTTTTGATTGTATATTTTGAAGCGCGGGCGGGAGATAAACGCGACATTCGAGCTTATTGCCATCATAAACAGATGGAAGGTAAAAGGAGAAGCTTGGTGATGGAAGACCCATGGCTGAGTCTAGTTTATCTCATTCCTTTTTGTTTTGAAGTGCAAAGCTTATAGTTTGCTGTTAATAGGAAAAAGACGAAGGTGCGGCGAGGTTTCGGTGGTCCGCCCACTCCTGCCAGACACAATCTGAACGTCGCCTTTAGGGCCAAGTATGCGAGATACGGGTATATAGCGAGAGACTGGCGATCCAATTTATCGAGAAATGTAATTATAGCACTAGAAATACATTTACTTGGCAGATAGAGGAGATTATCACTTGGGAAAGATTGTGCCCATAACTATATAAAGGGCTACATGAAGTTATAGGCTATTATTCATTTAAATATGTACCAAAGACACTAATCAGGCCAGCCAGGACGGATCGGGCTCATCATCATCTTCCGATCTGGTATCAGAATGATGGGGATCTGCATCCTTGAGCAGATCGGCTGGAGGTTCTGGGTCGTCATTTCCTAGCGGGCCGGCCCGCGAGTCTTCATGGTCTTCCTCTAAACTGTGGTCCTTGAGAGAAGTAGGGTTCAGGGGTGCATCCTCTTCATGCACAGGGAGGCCAAAGGCGGGAAGAAGCAAACCCCTTGCTTCTCGCAGGGCCTCTAGCTCAGCTGCGATGCAGCAGACTAATAGTTTCCAGTCCTTATCCTCGGCAAGCTCTAAATGTGATTCGATCCGGTGAGTGGTTCTCTCCAAGTCATCCAGAATACTCTGCACAAGCCCTTCTTTGTAACCCGTCGGTGTGGATCCTTCTGACTGATTAATCGGCGTGGTCATCTCAACATAATGGCGCATGTTGGCTTGCAAGCGCTTCTCAAAGCCAGTGACATCGGATACCGCTTGTTTCCATACACCGCCTCCTTCTTCTAGTGCCAGTATTTCCGCATCCACCTTCTGCTGCCTACTGTGCAAAATGACCTGTTCGGTATTCCAATGCTCCTGGGCCATGTCAAGTGTGCGACGTTTGGGGTTCAAAGAGTGAAAGGTGGATTCACCTGAGTTTTGGGACAGTGGTTGGATAGGAGGATCACGGAGGTAGTTTCGGATATCAGAGTCGAGTAAAGACAAAGATTCAGTGTAGGAAGAAAGCTTGGCTTCGACCGAGTTGCTGATCTGTGATATCTCATTCACAAGATGTCGATGTTTAGCTTTCATCTCGTACAGCCTGGTCTCCAATTCATGAATGTCAGCCTCGAGGTTCCGAGCCTGTTCTTCTAGTTGTTTTGAACGTCGGCTCTCCTCGTCACCATGAATAGTGGTAATGGCATCTTCTAGACCATTTCTTCTCGACAGGAAGCTTTGGATATCGTGCAGCGCATTGTCTCTTTCATTGGTCTGAGATGTGAGAATCTCTCGTTCTTCTTCTCGTAACTTCAGTAGGTCATATATTGATTGAAATATGCCCTCCCGGGCAGCCCTAAGGCCGATTCTCTTGGGCGCGGGCTGCCTAGCAGGCACCGTGGAAGGGGATTGTGGCCGACTGCCATTTGACGATAATGTTGGAGTCAAATTTCTAGCTGCGACCTGATCTCGTTGAGGCCCACCAAGAACAGAAAGGAGGCCTTCACTTTGAGCATCAATCAGCACTTGGAGATTGCGCTCTATGTGTTTTGTCTGGCGATCAACATGCAGAAGAGGGTCATGGTGGTATATAGAAGCTGCAGGCGGTACTGATGGCAGCCTTTTATCACGAAAGGATCGGTGAAGAAGCGTCGACATGACAGAGAAAGGAGCGTGGGTGGCTAAGCTTCAATGAAAGGAAGAGTTGAAGCTTTGTCGCGGCAGTACTGGGTAGGAAGAATATTTAGTAGTTTCAGTACAACGTCTGACCAGCTCTTAAAATCATCACCGTACCAAAAAGAAAGAATCCATTCGCTAGCTGATGGTGAGCTGTTCACCGCGGACAGGGACCGCTCGCAGCTGACCAGGCGCCATCCACGTGACCCTTCATGTACAGTCAGCTCCGCTCAGGCGTTGACGTTGCTCTCGCGCCAGCAAAGCTTCTGACAACTGCTCCCAGCTTCCATTCGTACGTGTACTTCATCCATTTTGTCTCTTTCATTTAATCACCTTCTGTCTTTCTTGTCATATTTTCATTATTTGGGGCGACTGATTCCCCCTTGAAACCTTGTTCTGCGCTGAGGCTGATTCGCTATTTCAAGCTCTCTCCGATTGACGTTGCTTCATCACAACAGCAACAAGACACCTATTAGTCCTCAAATTCCGTCCAGCCAGTCGTCACACGAATCGTTTCTCAATAAAGATGGTCGGACTCGTATCGGCCGCCGGTTTGGTTGGCTTCCTCTCCGAGCCTGACCCAGAGCTCAAGGTCTTTGCTTTGAAGACATTAGATTCCCAGATCGATCATCTCTGGACAGAGGTTGTCAACTCTGTTCCTGAAATGTACGTCCTTTCTTTGACAGACTTGTGTGAGAATGAGCTTCATCCATTGTTGCGTCATTCCTCCCGAGTCCGACCGGCTACTGGGCCTCTGCTGACTATCAATCTAGTGAGGCTCTCTACGAAGATGAATCATTTCCGGAACGCGGCCTTGCGGCACTAGTCGCATCAAAGGTATATTATCATCTGCAGGAATATAACGAGAGCATGGTTCTTGCTCTAGGCGCTGGAAAGCTGTTCAAGTTGGAAAATGGCGGCGAATACGAGGAGACTATTATCGGTATGTTGAAGCACTGACTATCCTCTTTGATACTAATATGCTTATTCACGTAGCGAAATGCGTTGATACCTTCGTCTCTCTATCTGCCGCCCAACGGCCTACTACGGGTGACCAACCAGCCAATCTAAACACTGCATTCCCAGCATCGGGTGACGGTGCCACCAGCACATCCGCGAGCCTCACTTCTCCTATCACACCTTTCTCCAAATCCGCACTGCCCTCGAAGTCGTTGCTTTCCCGCGCGGAGGTCCCGGGCGTGGACGCCGCACACCCTGGTGGCGATGACACTAGCGTCCAACATGAGGAGAACTCCCTTGTGTTGAAGCGCGGTGTCCAGGGTCAGTTGCAGGCCGTTATTGAACGATTGTTTGAGGCATGCTTCCGACAAAAGCGATACCGTCAAGTCATTGGAATCGCCATCGAGGCAAAAAGTCTGGATGTGCTTCGCATGGCTATCCTTCGCGCCAGCAGCGACGAGAAGCAGGAGGAGGGCGACTCCCGTGGCAGCGAGGAGCTCATGGAATATGTTCTGGACATCTGCATGGGCATTGTCCAAGAACGTGCCTTCCGTAGCGAGGTTCGTGTTCCCCAAAATATTTCTACACCGTTTGCCCGAGTCGACTAATCTAATGTTGATTCCCTAGATCCTCAAACTAATTTTGGAACTTCTTAATGAAATTCCAGCACCCGACTTCTTCTCTATCGCTAAGTGCGTTGTCTATCTTAATGAGCACTCGATGGCCTCCGCCATTCTTCGCCAGCTGGTTGAGAAGGGTGACGCGCGATCCCTCGCCGTTGCCTACCAAATTTCCTTCGACCTTTATGACAACAGCACCCAAGAGTTCCTCCAAAAGGTCCGACAAGAGATTGCTGAGCTTGTTCCCGAAGACGAGACCGAGAAGGAGAACAACGACGAGAACAAGGAGCCAAGAGAGTCCGACGCATTACTCGAAGACCAGGGAAGCTCTTCCCGGCGGTCGGATAAACATTCAGATCTGTCCGAGGATGCGGTGACTGCATTCAAGAACATTCTCTCAATTCTCGATGGAATCAAGACCATCCAGCTGAATCTGGAATTCTTATACCGGAATAACAAGGCTGACATCGCGATTCTTAATAAGATTCGTGACAGCCTTGAGGCTCGCAATTCAATCTTCCACACTGCTGTGACACTTTCAAATGCGTTCATGCATGCCGGAACCACTCACGATAAGTTCTTCCGTGACAACCTAGAGTGGCTAGGCAAGGCCGTGAATTGGTCCAAATTCACAGCCACTGCTGCGTTAGGCTGTATCCACCGCGGTAACCTCAGCCAGGGTCAAAAGCTCCTACAGCCTTATCTGCCCCGCGAACACATCGCTGGAGTTGGAAGCTCGGGATCTGTCTACAGCCAGGGTGGTTCCCTTTACGCCTTCGGTCTCATCTACGCCAACCACGGTGGCATGGCAGTTGACATCATTCGCGACCACTTCAAGAAGGCCACCGAAGAGGTGGTTCAGCATGGTGGTGCTCTTGGTCTCGGTGTTGCGGGCATGGCGACAGGCGACGAAGGCATTTACGAAGACCTGCGGAGCGTTCTTTACACTGATTCTGCTCTCAATGGTGAGGCTGTTGGCCTTGCCATGGGCCTCATCATGCTTGGCACCGGAAACATGAAGGCTCTTGAGGACATGATCCAGTACGCACACGACACACAACACGAGAAGATCGTTCGTGGTCTGGCTATGGGTATGGCTTTGATCATGTTCGGACGCCAGGAGGCTGCCGACGAGCTCATCAACGGTCTCCTCGGTGACCCTGACCCAACTCTGCGCTACGGTGGTATTATGACCATTGCCCTGGCTTACTGTGGCACTGGCAGTAACAAGGCAGTTCGCAAGCTTCTGCACGTCGCCGTCAGTGATGTTAACGATGACGTACGCCGAGTTGCTGTGCTCAGCTTGGGATTCATCTTGTTCCGCAAGCACCAGAGCGTTCCTCGCATGGTCGAGCTTCTTTCCGAGTCATACAACCCTCACGTCCGATACGGTGCCGCCATGGCACTCGGTATCTCCTGCGCCGGCACTGGCTTGGATGAAGCCATCGATCTCCTAGAGCCTATGCTTAAGGACTCGACCGACTTTGTTCGTCAAGGTGCTTTGATCTCCCTTGCCATGGTTCTCGTCCAGCAGAACGAGGCCATGAACCCCCGTGTTACCAGCCTCCGCAAGGCTATGATGAAGATGCTTGGTGACCGTCATGAGGATGCTATGGCCAAGTTCGGTTGTGCCATCGCTCTCGGTATCATTGATGCTGGTGGCCGAAACTGCACTATCAGCTTGCAAACACAGACGGGTAACCTCAACATGCCCGGTATTGTTGGTGTTGCAGTCTTCGTGCAGTACTGGTACTGGTTCCCTCTCACACACTTCTTGTCGCTCAGCTTCACCCCAACATCCGTGATTGGTGTTGACCAGAAGCTGGAAGTCCCACACTTCAAGTTCCACAGCAACACCCGCCCCAGTCTGTTCGACTACCCCCCTGAGCAACAAGTGAAGACCGAGGAGGCTCCCGAGAAGGTGAAGACTGCTGTTCTTTCTACTACTGCCCAGGCCAAGCGTCGCGCGCAGCGTCGGGAGAAGCAAGCACGCCGTGAGAGCATGGATATTGACCAAGCCCCCACAACACCCAAGGCTATTGATCAGCTGGACGCAATGGACACAGACGAGGTTGCTAAGGAGGAGGAGGAAGCTAAGGAGACAGAGAAGGCCGCCGCAGAGGTACAGAAGAAGAAGGCAGAGCGGGAGAAGGTCGGGTACGAGCTGGACAACCTATCAAGGGTACTTCCAGCTCAGCTCAAGTATCTCACTTTCCCCGACCCGCGGTACGAGCCGGTCAAGAGGGTATGTTTATTCCTATCCGTCCTAAATGAATCCAATGCTAACAAAATTGCAGCCCACTGGCGGTGTTGTCGTTGTTCTGGACAAGCAGCCCGATGAGCCCCGTGAGGTTGTTGAATTGAAGGCCAGCAAAGAGGCTCGCCAACCGCCTCCCCCGACCGAAACTCTCCAGGACCGCCTGCAGGCCGCCATCGGAACCGCTGCTCTGCAGACCCCTCAACGGGCCGATGCCCGGGCTGCTTTATCCGCTGCCACCTCGGGTGCTGCCGCTGGTGCCGGTGTTCTTACGGCAGTGGATGAGGACGAAGAAGGTGTGGAGGATGCACCTGTCCCTCACGACTTCACGTACGAGTCAGATGGTGAAGAGCAGTAGAGTTTTGCGGCATAGAATCTTGATGCTGGATGTATTACTAGACTAATCAGGCTGTCTACGCCGACGTGATCTATTTGGGGGCTAGTATAGCTTTCCGTTCACTGTGATATGAAAGTTCCTATGTTACTTTTAAATTGCCCTGTCGTATTCTACTCGGTCACGGCCTTTTGAGTACGCTAGACATGGAAGTAGTGCACATGCCCGAGGTACATGTCGAAGCACAAATCAGACTTAATTGTACAAAGTGACTATCCTTATAGAGTTACATTTGGAGCTGTAGCGTGAAATTGTATGAAAATAGTCCAATTGCAAACCGGCCGATCCTCACATGTTCACATGCCCCGGGAGACCGTTTCTGACTCAGCAATCCACTAGGGGCTGTTTTGCCTCGGCATCTCCATTATGATGCAGCACTAGCCAATAACCTGTCTGTCAATAATGACCGAACTAATCAACAGCCAATAAAACGTTGAATAAAACATCGGCTTTGCAACAACGTAAGATCCCATGGTCTCCTTTATGTGGGAGCATGTGAACTGTTACTATGGATCATGCTCCGAGGCCCATTTTTAGTGCTTCATGTCCAGACTGGGAATATCGCCCGAACTTATCGGAAATTGTTTCTTGCCCCATAACTCATATATTCCCCAGCTTCCCCGGACTTGAATTTTTCTTTCTCACTATTCTTTGAACTTAATATCTTTTCCTTTAAACTTTACTCTTCTCCACATCATGGCAAAGACATTTAGCAAAGAGGATGTCGCCTCTCATAGCAAGGGCGACAGCCCTTGGATCATTATCGATGAAGACGTCTATGATGTTTCCAAGTTCCAAGATGAGCACCCTGGTAAGTTAAAGTCATGCGGGCAGATGCATGAGAATCACATGCTAACACTTTTTTTTTGAATAGGTGGAAAGAAAAGTACGTCCGAGAGCCGCTATATCCGATAAATCCATATTGACAGTGTGTGTCTAGTTCTCCAGCGAGTAGCCGGAAAGGATGCCTCAAAACAATTCTGGAAGTACCACAATGAGGGCATTTTGAAGAAGTACAAGCGCCTGCAGATCGGTTCATTGGATACCAAGAAGGCCGCACCGGCACCGGCCCCCGCCCCAGCAGCCCCGAAGAAGGCTGCCGAGCCGAAGCCTGCCGCTTCTTCGTCAGTGACACCGCCTGCCACCGGCACGCCCCTAGATCCTTACGGAGAGTTGATCCCCTTCGCCGATCCCTCATGGTACCAGGGTGTAAGTTTCGACATTTCCAGATTGGGGTTAAAGGTTGCACAGATCTAATTTATTTGTCGCTCATAGTATGCATCCCCCTACTTTAATGAATCCCACGCTGCACTGCGAGACGAGGTCCGCCAGTGGGTCGAGTCCGAGATCGAGCCGCATGTGACCGAATGGGACGAGGCCAAGGAAGTTCCCGCAAGCATCTACAAGCAGATGGGTGAGCGTGGCTACCTGGCCGGACTATTGGGTGTCCACTTCCCCGAGAAGCACACCCCGCACCGCGTGAAGTCTGTGGCACCTGAGCGATGGGATTTGTTCCACGAGATGCTGCTGACCGACGAGCTGTCGCGTGCTGGTAGCGGTGGTCTGGTGTGGAACCTGATCGGTGGCTACGGAATTGGCTGCCCCCCATTGGTCAAATTTGGCAAGAAGGCACTGGTTGACCGAATCCTGCCAGGTATCCTGGCTGGTGACAAGCGCATTTGCCTTGCCATCACCGAGCCCGATGCGGGCAGTGACGTCGCAAACTTGGGTTGCGAGGCTAAGCTCACCGAGGACGGCAAGCACTACATCGTCAACGGCGAGAAGAAGTGGATTACCAACGGTATCTACTCCGATTACTTCACAACCGCCGTGCGCACCGGCAAGGACGGCATGAACGGCCTCAGCGTGCTGCTCATCGAGCGTGAAGCTGGTGGCGTTAGCACCCGCCGCATGGACTGCCAGGGTGTGTGGTCCAGTGGCACTACTTACGTCACCTTCGAGGACGTCAAGGTGCCTGTGGAGAACCTGATTGGCAAGGAGAACCAGGGCTTCAAGGTTATCATGACCAACTTCAACCACGAGCGCATCGGCATTGTAATTCAGTGCGTGCGCTTCTCTCGTGTCTGCTATGAGGAGTCAGTGAAATACGCACACAAGCGCAAGACCTTCGGCAAGCGTCTCATCGACCACCCGGTTATTCGCATGAAGCTCGCCCATATGGCCCGTCAGATCGAGGCCACCTACAACTGGCTCGAGAACATCATCTACCAGTGCCAGTCCATGGAGGATACCGAGGCTATGCTTAAGCTCGGTGGTGCCATTGCTTCATTGAAGGCACAGTCTACCCAATGCTTCGAGTTCTGCGCTCGCGAGGCTAGTCAGATCTTTGGTGGTCTGAGTTACAGCCGCGGCGGCCAGGGTGGTAAGATTGAGAGACTGTACCGTGATGTGCGTGCCTACGCTATCCCCGGCGGTAGTGAGGAGATTATGCTCGATTTGAGTATGCGCCAGAGCTTGCGTGTCCACAGCATGTTTGGCATGAAGCTATAGAGCATTTCTTTGGATGTTTACAACTGCGGTGGTAGAGCAAGCCCATTTTGATTCATTTCTTTTGCTACTTTTGGCTAGATATCCTCTCGTCTATGACGGCATTTGTTTTTCTTTTTCTGCTATGATCTGCCTTGTACAATAACATTACATTGGCTTATATTATGTATATTTCACGATTTATGGTGGATGTTGCCGACTTTTGGATATTCACTGCATATAAATGATTTTGATTCATACTACAGTCTCGGTGTCTCCATATTTTGCGATATTAGATGACCATGACTGACAGCCAAATGCGCAAAGACAAAGAAGAGGCTGGATGATCTCAAAGGTTTCCATCTCCCGAAATTCCCTTTGTCCTCTCGCCGAAGTGTTGCCAAACGAATACCCAACTGATACAACTCCCAAGCTAATTGTTTCTTTGTCCGGGCAACTCGAGTATGTCAGAGGGCCCAAATTCCCCCTTCAGGCGACCGACCTTCTTTCCATCTTTGTTTTTATCTCCTTTCAAGGATCCCAAGCCGTGATCAAGGAAACTCCGAGAACCGTTACTATTGCGTCCGAAGCTCTTTGATACGAATCTATTATTAGCCCAAAGGATGAATCGACTTCCTTTCGAGTCAAATGCTGGGGATTCGATGTAAGAATATAACTTTGCGAGCTGCTAGTCTGCCTGTTTAGGAACCTCGAGGCAAGTCATTTGTGTCTATACCTTTCCTTGAAGATTGTCTGCCAACCCATTCACCATGTCATTGCGATCGATTGAAATCAATGATGATGAATATGATCTTGCGAGCGATATCCATGGAATGATTCAAGCTGTATCAGATGAGCATTCCGCCACATCGCTCATACTTGCTAACTTGGTGGCTCGACGAATGCGCGAATTCCAAGAAAACGAAGACGATTTCACCGGCCCTGGAACTGCTCCACCAGATCTCTTGGAGAGTCTTAGCTCAAATGATACCGACGAAGTCAGCCACGAATTCCTGCGGGATATAGCCTATTCCATGGATCTTAAAACCATGCCTGAGAACTTGTTGCTTCTCGTTCTCCCCATGTTACTGCATGTTGACACAAAACTTCCGACCCCCGAGGACCTTCACGCTATACATGAATTTGCTGAAGCATCTCCAGCTCATCGAGAGCATGTGGAAGCATGGTTGAGATCTGAACCGGCTCAAAGCACACTTGAACAGGTTTTTAAGCCATGGATGAACTATTACAGCTTCAAACCCGCGTACCAATGCAGAGAGGAGATCGCGGCTTACAAAGCTAGCCGAGGTGGCTCTGGATTTAATTATGCGTATGAATTCGTGAAAGAATGTCAATGTACAAGCTGCCTCTCGCTTCTCGGCCAACTTGGGTTGGTCGATTTCAGAAACTACGACCAAAATGGGAGAAGCTTCCTTCACGCAGCTATCGAGGGCGGTGATGTCGAAAGTGTAATGTTCATTGTCGCTATCTTGCTGAAAGGAGGCGTGGATCCTCGGCACTTTCCCACGTCTGTCGACGGGATGTCTATTCCACACCATGTGGCTTTGATGCACGACAATGATGTCTTTAGGGGAGTCGTTGAGTTCCTAGAGGATGCCGGCTACCCTCTATCTGTGTGGAACGATGATGGCCTCAAACTCGAGCTGTGTAGTTTCATCACGGCTGAACTGGCCGAACGGCTCCTGTCAAAAGGATTCAATATCACCAAGCTCCCTAGAAACACACTTCCAATGTATCTGCCTAAAGAGGATGACCCCGAGTATGAGGAGTTAGCATCCGACGAGTGGAACCGCGATGCAGATTACGGTGATCCGATCATCCGGGACGAAGATTTCGACATGGACAATGACACGCTCGACCCAGAATCGATTCAATATGATGGAGTTGGAATCAATCCCATCGAACTCCATCCCACCTCTCGAACCATCTGGCACCGGGCAATCGAGAATCCCGAAGGCCCACGAATCCTTGACTGGCTGCTGGATCACTCATTTACCCAACCCGGGTGTCGAAGCGACTTCGACCGAGACTCTGGCGAGACTGCTCTGGCAGCTGGGGCAAGAGGATCCGAGCCAGCTGGAATTGATTGGTTCTGTCAACACTGTGATCCCATGGAAGGGCGGATCCGAAATTCCCAGGACACTCAGGCGGATGAAAGCGCAAGCGCTTATGTGTTACAAGTAGCAGCTCATAACCTCCGGCCGCATTGCGATATCATTTTCAAAAAACTGTTGCGCCATGTGAACCAGCAGTTTTACTGGGACGTTTCTATGATCAAGGGTTTGTATTGGCTGATTATCAAGAATTATCGCGATATGTACCAAAGGTTGGAAGATCACAAGGAGCCAGGTCGCGAGAGAGCCCAGCAAATGGCTTCACTGCGCTCACTCACTTCGGCTAAAACCAGAGCGCTGAATAACAGACTAGAGCCTTTCTGGGATACTTGGGGCCCATCTGAACAGCGAAACTGGCTCATTCAGTACTGTACGATTCTAAGGCTAAATTTCCTTGTGAAAGATTTAAGTTCAGATGATTGGGATAATGCTGATTAGGTGGTTCGAGAGTGTCAAAGTAGCAGATGTCATGGCGGAAATATATTTGAAACCAAGCAATCCAATAAGGACCATTCGGTCACTCCTTGGATGTATATATGATTGTTTTTTTCGTGGCGTTCATTCTTTCTCTAGGGTTGTTGACAAATCGCTTGATTCTCTGCTTCGATCAGCCTGTAGATTGACCAGGATATTCGCTTCCATTGGTGTAATTGTGAGGAAATTGTAGTTCATCTTAGTCCACCATATCTGATTTTGACACCGAAGTACGGTGCCTTATCTGTATATCCTAGTGGAATTAGAACATTCATCATCTGCTCAATAGCTCTAAGCCGTAAAGGACCTCAAAAGGCGGCCAAGTACGGCACGCCACAACGACCACTTACGCAAGGATTATGTCTCTGGACAACTGGACCTCCTCCGGCACTTCAATTCCTCATTTTGCCCTTTATCAACCCCTTACGAGCAGTGCTATAAATTGCAGCCTGCGTTGTGGTGTTTATTCTCCTTTCAACGAACCCCGAGATCTCTATTCCGATCCGTCTTCTTTGTAGGCGGTCGCGGAACTCGGTGATTGCCCGCACAGCTCGACTGTCTGCTGTGCTCCCTCTTAACTTTCCAGTCGTTTTTCTTTCGCCTCGATCAACCTCAGTTGACTTGACACTACGTGGAATTGGCTGCCTATCGGAGAATACCGGACAGTTCACATCCTCGTATCGACGCTTTGTCTTTCAACCAGCAAGTTGTAGCGCGGTTTCCTTGGATAGGGTTTGTGTTGCTTCTCACACGTCCTTTTGTCTCTTCAGTTGCTGATTCTTCCTGTGATAGAAATCTTACTGCATCTCAACTGCAAATTACGACTTGCCGAAAGTGACGCGACCAGATCATCTGCAATAGCCCGAGACACTACCTGCCAAAATGTCAAACTTTCTCAACCATGACTTCGGGTCTGATGACGAGGAGGATGATTTCAACCCTGCTCCCCAAGAAGAGTCTGATGTCGAGGAGTCGAGATCAAAGGTAGGTCTACAGACAACTCTCAAGCTTTGATGGACAAAGTACTAACGAATGAGTGCGAAACAGCCAGCCAAAAAAGAACAGTCAAGTGGCGATGTTGCTGATGAGGAGGAGGATGTGAAGTACCCACGCGATGTACATGCACATGAAGAGGAAGATGCCAAGGATGTCGAAGACGATGACGAGGAGAATGAGCTGGACGATGACGATGAGGAGGAGGAGGAAGAAGATGAGGAAGAGGATGTGGTATGTTCCCTATGGAGACTGGAATGCACGACACCTTTGCTAACATACTTTCTAATTTAGGCGAGTCGTCCTCAAAAGCGAGCGAAGCGCGTTGCCAATCCCTTCATCGAAGACGAGGCTGGTGTCGATGATGAGGAGGACGAGGGCGATGACGAGGAAGATGAGCTCGCCGAATATGGCATGGAAACACATCCGGATGACCTTGATGCGCTACCCCAAGGCACTGAGACAGACGACCGCCGCCATCGACAACTGGATCGCCAACGCGAGATTGACGCCAGCATGGACGCAGAGAAGCAGGCCCAGATGCTCAAGGAACGATATGGACGCAACCGTGCTGCCGCAACAGATTCCCTTGTGGTCCCTAAACGACTTTTGCTTCCCAGTGTTGAAGACCCCAGCATTTGGGGTGGCCGCTGCAAGCCTGGCAAGGAGAAGGAGGTCGTATATTCAATCCAGAAGCGAATCGAAGAACGTCCAGCAGGCTCCCGCAATCCTATTCGAATCATCTCAGCTTTCGAGCGCGGAAATATTATGCAGGGCTGGTTCTACTGTGAAGCGCGCAGGCAGGCCGATGTTACCGAAGGCTTGGAGGCCATCAATTTCTACTACCCGTCCCAGAAACTGACTCTGGTTCCAGTGAAGGAGATGCCAGATCTTCTTCGCGTCCAGAAATCCGAAGAGCTTTTGCCTGGTGGCTGGATTCGCATCAAGCGTGGAAAATACATGGGCGACTTGGCCCAGATCGAAGAGGTCGAAACTAATGGATTGAATGTTACTGTGCGACTTGTTCCTCGACTGGACTATGGCATGAATGACGATACTTTTGGTGCCCCTACCGATGCTAAGCGCAAACGCGGTGCTGTAAACACCGTCCGACCTCCCCAGCGTCTGTTCAGTGAGACAGAAGCGAAAAAGAAGCACGCAAAATATCTCTCGTCTACCTCTGGTCTAGGCGGAAAATCATGGAATTACTTGAACGACAACTATGTGGATGGGTTCTTAATCAAAGATATGCGCGTCCAGCACTTGAATGCCAAGAATGTTAACCCCCGGCTAGAGGAGGTTACAATGTTTGCGCGTGGAGGAGAAGACGGAACTGCCAACTTGGATCTGGCGTCGCTGGCCGAGACTCTGAAGAACTCCACCGCTGAAGAATCATACCAACCGGGTGATCCTGTGGAGGTTTACCGGGGTGAACAGCAGGGTCTTATTGGTCGCACAGTGTCAACTCGAGGTGACATTATTTCACTGCAAGTCACCGAAGGCGAGTTGGCCGGTCAGACAATTGATGCGCCTGTTCGAACTCTCCGTAAACGATTTAGGGAAGGTGATCACGTTAAGGTTATCGGCGGCAGTCGGTACCAAAACGAACTGGGCATGGTCGTGCAGGTCAAGGACGACACCGTTACTCTACTCAGCGATATGAGTATGCAGGAGATCACCATTTTCAGCAAGGATCTTCGACTTTCTGCTGAGATGGCTGCCGATGGACAACTTGGCATCTACGATGTTCATGATCTTGTCCAGCTTGATGCCGCCACTGTTGCTTGTGTCATCAAGGTGGACCGAGAGTCCCTCCGCGTGGTGGACCAGAATGGTTCTATCCGCAACATTCTTCCTACGCAAATCGCAAGCAAGATTGCCCCCCGTCGCGATGCAGTGGCCACTGATCGCAATGGCGCAGAGATTCGAACTGGTGATACCGTCCGTGAAGTTTACGGGGAGCAGCGCAGTGGAGTAATCCGCCATATCCACCGTTCGTTCCTTTTCTTGCATAATAAGGCGCAAGCCGAAAACGCCGGTATCTCTGTGGTGCGGACAACGAATGTCGTTACTGTATCAGCTAGAGGCGGCCGGTCCACTGGACCCGATCTTACCAAGATGAACCCTGCCCTGGCGATGCAAACTCCTGGTGGCGGCGGTGCTGGAATGCCACCACCTCGTCGTGGCCGCGACCAGCTAATTGGCAAGACCGTGACTATCCGTAAAGGTCGTTATAAGGGTCTCGTCGGTATTGTGCGCGACGCAGACGACAGCTCTGCTCAGGTCGAGCTTTACACATCCAACAAGCCCGTACACATCCCGCGTGATATTCTGACACCTAAAGAGTACGTAATTCCTCTATTGCATTTGATCCACAGTTCTAACTTTTCTTAGTCCTATTTCCAAACAGCCCCTTTCTATGGGCCGTGGAAGAGGAGGTGGCGCTACAGGGCGAACACCGTACACTTCTTCGGGTGGTCCTGGGAGAGATGGTTGGGCCGGTGGTCGAACACCGATGGCCGCCGCTGATTCCTCTAGAACCCCCGCTTGGAATAGCGCTTCTGCGAGAAGTAAGTACACTCATATTAGAAAAGTTGACGAAGATGCTAATCATCGTATAGCTCCTGCCTGGGGTGGCGTGAGTGGTGCCCGTACTCCGGCCTGGAAGAACGACGGCTCTCGCACGGCGAACCCCTACGAAGGTAACCGTACGGCATATGGAGGAGTTGGCAGCCGCACCCCGTCCTGGACCTCGGGATCCAAGACACCATACGACTCCAGCTCCGGCTTCGATGCTTTCGCCTCTGGATCTCGCACTCCTGGATGGAATGCCGGTGCAAACACAGGAAGCCGCACTCCCGGCTGGAACGCTATGTCCAGCGGCAGAGATCAGCGTGATTTCGACGATGCCCCGACTCCTGGTGGAAACTACTCCGCCCCCACCCCTGGCGCATATGCTGCCCCGACCCCTGGCGCACCAACCCCTGGCGGATGGCCCGAAAGTGCTCCCACCCCCGGTGGAGCTTTCAGTGCGCCCACTCCTGGTGGCCCCTCAAAGCGAGACTACGATGCTCCAACCCCTGCGGCATTCGATGCGCCCACACCGGCGATGGGTGGAATGGCTGCTACTCCTGGAGCTGGGTATGGTGGCAATGACGGTGGTCCACGGTACGACGACAGCCCCAGTCCGTAGTTTATTTTTCTTACAAGCACCAAAAGCTTGTCCTTTCCAAACACCTTTAAGATATCAAACGGGATAGGACCGGTTTCACATATGTATTCTATCTTCTGAATTTATTTTTTTGCAGAACAGCAGTCGGCGTTAAATGATAATTCATACTTACGGAACTGGTTTGGCTTGATCACTGTTTCTCTAGAACAAAGCGAAAAACTAGAACTAGCGCAACTTCAAGCACGCCGGAGCTGATACCCTTGAATATATCGACCGCAGCGATCCGATCAAACTCATGCCTGGGAAGATCTACGCTAGTAGGCAAATTGCCATTCCATTATTCCTTGCCATAAAGAGCTAATGCCTGGTCAATGATATCCGCCGCCCACAGGCACTTCTCATCTTGGAAGCGTGGCGTGATGACTTGGATAGCACATGGGGCGCCATCTACCTCATCGGGGTGGTCTGGTATCTGTCAGCAATTTATGAGACGGGTAAAATGAGACGGGTTCACTAACAGTCCGGCTGCGTAGTATCGGCTGTTGTCATAACCTCGGGATCAAGTTCCTTGGACGCTTTTCCAAATGGAATGATGCAAGCGGGATACTAGATTGTCAGAAGTTAGTATATGCCCCTGAGAGTGACGACGAAAACAGCAGAACGAGACAAAAGGAAAGACTAACATCCAATACGTTCCATATGACCGTATAAGGAGGCCACCCATATGTATCATGGGCCACAGCTGTATTCTGAGCTCCAGGAGCCAGAATCACATCAAGCTTCTGATCAACCCATGTCTGCCTCCAAGCATCATGAACCCTCTGGCGAGCATCATACAATGTCTTGATAGTCTCAAACGTATCTAGACCTTGCTGAACAGGGAGAGGGCCAGAGAACAACGGTGCCGAAGCCTTAGCAACCGAAGTCACAACAGGCTCGCCACTGGGCGCAATAAGATCCCTGCGTGGGCTATAGGTAAAATACTGAAACGCAAGACGCGATGCATATGCCAAATTCCGTGCTTCATCATCACCAGCAAGTCGAACGATACGATGTCCTGCACGTGTCAACGCCTCAACCGCCCGGTCTAGAGCCCGCTTTACAGGCGGGTGCAGCGGGAAATGTTCATCCTCAGCAAGCACGCCGATAGTCAAGCTTCCACTGGCGTTGAGACCAGGCGGGATGGTTTGCCATGGGACCCCGACGGCAGCAGAATCATACTTCCACGCCTGACCGTCGGCGACAACGGAACTCATCAGTAGCTTGAGATCGGCGATACTATGTGCCAGCGGACCAGCAGCTGGAACAAGCCCGGGAATACCCTTTACCGCGCCGGAGACCTGTCCGCCGAAGGGGATGCGGTCGTTTGTTGGCTTGAAGCCGTATACGCCGCAGCATAGCGCAGGGATGCGAATTGAGCCAGCGACGTCGGTCCCCACGCCTAAAACCGATCCCCGGAATGCTACTAGTGCGCCCTCGCCGCCGCTGGATCCGCCGGCTGTTAGGGTTGTCTTGTGTGGATTGAGGGTGCGGCCGAAGATGTTGTTCTCCGAGTCTGCTGTCTGGGTGATTGTTAGCTTCACATTCTGAGCATATCCCTGGGCCTTTTGGTATCTTTTACCATCATCGTCTGTGGGATGTTGGTCTTGACATATAAAACCGCGCCAAGCTGCAGCAGCATATTCACTAGCGCTGAGTTTGTCTTCTGGGGTTCGTTCTTAAGGAATTCGACATATCCAATTGTTGACTGGAAGCCCTCGACACAGAAACTGTCTTTTATGCTGATCGGTAGCCCATGTAGGGGGCCAATAGGCTTTCCCTCCTTCTGGAGATAATCATCTAGATATTTAGCACGCTCCAGTGCCTGGGGGAAGAATGTCTCCGTGAGACATGAGAGCTAAACAACATTTGTTAGATGACTGTTCCTTTATCCTGTCAGGAATACCTTGTACTCACAATCTGCTGCGCAATAGCAGCCCTCTTACAAAACGCCGTTGTAACAGCCAACGAGCTTGCCTGTCCAGACGCCAGTTTGACCAATAGCTGACTTGCGGTATAGTTTTCCGTCAGATCCAATTCGACCTCGGAGAGCAGACCACTGCGACGCGGGATATCAATGTCCAGTAGACACGGGGTTTCCTGCACCAGCGCCAGCTGGTCTGCGCTTAGAAGCCAGTCCCGGGGGATCTTCTGCTCGCATTCATGGCGTTTGGCGGCGACGAGGTCTTGCCAGTTGCTGGTTGTTGTTTCGGATGACATTTTGGAGATAGGGTAGTTATCGTTTCACTATTGTGGTCACCTTCCCTTTTATGCACTTTTCATCCTCGGCATTGCTGTCATTTGTCTACCAGAAGATGCGGAGACCCCCTCTTTGTTTGTTTCGAGTCCCCACTTGGTGGGGATGGTGATGCTGGGGTGTGTCCGCTTGCCGCTTTGGGGTATAGCTTGGAGCCGAAGGTAGGAGATAATAGTGCTCAAGTTGGATGGAGTAAATATAGTTGAATATCGAAAGTTACATTGCTTTCCCCACAGTACTCTTATCGCATATTCGAAAGATAGCATAGAATGACATTGGGAATACCCGCTATAGTTAGGAGACCCTAGAACCTCCAACTCTTTAACCGGTAAAGCGAGCCTTTTATCTGCCGTCGGTAATTCAAACCCCTCTCTTCAAAGTTACTTTGTCGGTTACATGTATTTACTTGGTTATCACATGTTCACATTGACTTGACGTCGGTGGAACATTTCTCAGATAACACATCGGTCCATATATTGCTCGCAGCATATCACACCGAGACATATCAAACTATTCAATTGTATGAACCAACCAGTGTATCTTAATGATATCAATGTTATGACCTTTTCAAGGCCTTCGGATGTGTGTTTCAAGATCCCCGCAATCTCCAAATCTCAAACGAGAATGTCGACCCACCGGCACGTTATCTTAAACTCTATCATATGGGGCATATGATGGATCCATGGCAGGTGTCCAGGTTGTATCCAGTGACAGGGCATGAAACGAGATTAGCTCATTATCTGAGTGTATAAGTGATTGTAATTGATCTTGGAAGTGCTATACATCCCGGGTAGGTAAGTCCAACAGGCCACTTCTTATTTGTGATCTGATATTAGGCCTGACTACTTTAGCCTCGCTTTTTGCTCGTTTCTTTTTTTATTTACTCAAGTATCTTCTGAATCTCCCATAAGATCTTGTCTGCTACTTCGTTGCCACCTCTCTTTCACTTCTTCTCTACACACATCTTCCAATCAAAGCAACTTTCTACGTTGTACAGTAGCTCTGACCTTTCAGCAACCATGCCTTTTGCTACAGATATTCTGAAGGATCCTTCGATCTCAGCCTCTGTGCGACAGCAAGCTCTCAATCGCATATTTTCCGACCCAGGCGTGCCCCAGAACTCGACGACCTCGTCGTTCTGGACCCAGGAGAAACACGACTTTAGCCAGGGAGCAGCAAAGAGTCTTCGCAAGGAAGCTGATATTGTTATCATCGGATCTGGTATTACCGGGGCATCTATTGCGCGGACTTTGCTCCAGAGCCGCGCTTCAAATTCCTCGACCACCTCTCATCCATCCGTTGTCATGCTCGAAGCCCGCACAGTCTGCAGCGGCGCAACCGGCCGCAATGGTGGTCATATTTTGGAGTCAGCTGACGAATACTGCGAGTTCGCCGATATATTTGGTGCGGACGCTGCGCGTAAACTTCTTCGTTTCCGATTGGCGCATCTGAAGGAGATGCTTGGTGTCGCAGAGGAGCTTGGGATTACTACAGAGACACAAGCACGCAAGGTTCAGTTCCTGAGCGTCTACTTTAGCGAGGAGTCATGGCAGGCGGCGTTGGAGCGTATGCACCGTTTCAAAGAGGAGATGCCAGAAGACGCTGCTGAATGGACGTCTTATGAGGGCGATGCTATTCCGAGGGTATGTTGGTATGCTATCATTACCACCCAAAACACCGATAGTAATGTTCTTTCTAGGAGTGGTGTTTAACTCGTGCGCGAGGCGTTGTCGCTGGCCCTGCAGGAGCCCTTTGGCCCTACAAATTCGTCGTCGGTGTTCTTAAACGTCTCCTTACAGACTTCCCAGATGACTTCCGTGTCGAGGAAAATACCCCCGTGACCGCTATCCACGATGAAACTTCCTCCACCGGCCCGAGATACAAGGTAGAGACAAGCAGAGGCACTATCATCACCCGACACGTTATCCACTGCACCAATGCCCATGTCAGCCACCTGGTACCCGGACTCCGTGGCCGAATCTTCCCCGTGCGCGGGCAGATGTCCGCACAAACCCCCGGCGACAAATTCCCCAACCAAGCATCACATCACTCATGGCTCTTCAACTACGACCGTGGATTCGACTACCTGACCCAGCTACCGGGGGGGCAGATGATGCTCGGCGGGGGCTTCGCACAGGGCGAGGCCGGCGGTCTCGCGGATCTAGGAATCTCGACGGACTGCGATCTTAGTCTCTACATTGATATTCACTTATCTGGGGCGCTTCGTGCTCTTTTCGGAGGCAAAGACTGGGGCCGTGTGCAAGGTGACGCAGTGCAGGCGATGTGGACGGGTAACATGGCGTTCAGCTCCGATGGCTTCCCTTGGGTTGGACGGTTACCAGGGGCTGCAACTGGTCGCTCGGAGCATGGGTCTGAGGGGGCGGAGTGGGTTTGTGCTGCATTTGGTGGAGAGGGAATGGTTCAGGCTTGGCTTAGTGGCAAGGCGATGGCAACTATGTTGCTTATGCAGGATGCTGCGCTGAGTGAGACTGTCAGTGGGGATATTTCATGGCTTCCTGAGCAGCTGCTTGTGTCAGAGGGGAGGTTTGCTGATGCAGTCTTGCCGAAAGAGGCTGCTGATGACGCGCACAGGTCGAATCTTTAGAGATTTTGCGTAGATTTGCTTCTTTCAATATTTCCGCTCATCTGACTACGCGGTACTTTTATTAGCCTATCATCTTTGAGAGTTAAACAAAAGAAATTATTTTCTTTGTGTAAACTGTGAATTACCATATCGAGTCAGTTTTGCCTTAGGATTAGTGTCTCAACACGTCACGTAACATCCTTTCAATGCTCTCTAATTTCAAAACAGCGAAAATAGTGTACTCTCCTCGCTCGATACTTGTACATATGTCCTACTTAAGCATAGCTTGCTTGTTATATACTTTTGAGACCTCAAGAAACGCAGGGAGGGGGGAGGGAGCAGCCTTTTCGAGATAGAATCTTCAAAGGCACTCATGAAAGCAATAAGAAGGTCCTCACGATGAGCAGAACTAATCACCTGCAGCCCAACCGGTCGACTCTTGTAGTCGATAGACGAAATGGGCACCGCAGCAATTGGGTAACCTATGATCATTAAGTAGTCATTCATTCAACAGAGCATTGGAGACAGGAATAAAGAACATCCTACCTTTGGCTGAGGCATATTGAGTCAAACAGCAATCTCCTGGGGCGACTATGATGTTGATTTCATTATTCTGTAAAGAGTCGTCAAGAGGTCTGCTACATCTCGGACACTCCTACCCATAGGGCCAATGGTGTCAAAAGACTTTGAGCACGGGACTATACCATTTACTGAAACAATTCCAGTAGTTGGTCGAATTGAATACAGAGACGTTCTGATTGCTGGGGCGGTAATTGAGGCATCGGTATCTGCTCCAACTCCAATGGCAGCAAGACCAGCACTGATGGTGATGGGAACTCCCGAGGATGAGCTGCCGGGTACCTATGTGATATGCATTAGCAATTCTTCTGCCTAGGGATGAGTAATAGGAACATACAGTATGTCCTCCAATGGAATCTGTTGGATCGAATCCTCCAGGAATATAGGGAGACTGTCCTTGGCCGTCAACTGCAGACCAACCGCAGGGGAGACCGTTTCCTCTAGTCTAGCGTCGGTATAAGCGTCTAGTAAGATAAAACAGAAGTATTCGTTCAATAGTACTAGCCTAGTTAAGGCTACCGAGAGTCGAAACTTTCACGAAAATGAATCGGGTAGTAAGACATTCTTTACTATAGGCTAGATATACGGGGCGTAAGAGCAGCGAATGCCAAAGGCTGTATAGGTACAATAAGAGCTAGTGATCAATACTATCTCGGCGAGCGCCGCGTCATAGTTATAAGCGACCGACTAGCTGGTTGGTCGAATCTGCTCGTAAGTCAAGGATCTCTCTCTAAGCCAGTCGTAGATAGCTGCGCCGTTGCGGCGGGCAAAACTAGCAAATACTGAAAAAGAAACATAGGATGCCAGCTACCCCTTCAAATCAGGCTTCTATGTTGGCTCAAAGCTAAATGAGGAATGTAAAACCTATCAGAAATGACCGTTGGTGATTATATCCTGTACCACATTGCATATATCAAGGCACCTAAAAGCTACTGTATCATCTCGTACAACCTTGGCAATCCCTTCAAGACGTACAATTCTTGCAACGTCATAAATGGCAAGAAATTCACGTCATAATTGAGATTACCCAATGAGATTTCTAATAATCAATACATTAGATTTGAACGAAATCCCGTGGGGTGTATAGCCCAATATCACCCGACTCCCGAGCCCTGAGTCCCTAACCTATATAACTCTGATATTGGAACCTAGGCAACCAGTTTCCACCAACTTCCTGTGCAAAGTTCCCACTACCGGATAACAAGGACGCAGTCATTATCCACGACATGACTTAAACATACAACGCAGCATGATATCAACCAGCGTGGCAGTGCTTCACCATGTCGCGATATCGGCCTGTCAATGCGCACCGAGCAGTCTTGCCCCAGACGATCATTGGGATGATCGTGCCAGTAATTACTAGACTCATCATTCCGCACGCTATAAACATATTCTGTATGCCGTTGCGCTGGATCCAGGGTGAGATCGCGAATGGAATACCAATACTGACTGCATTTCGCACGAATGCCACCGCGGTGAAAGCATCACCAGTGATCTAGAAATGGGAGTTAGTAAGAAGGTCTCACTTGGAACAAACTATGTATCATGTATAGTGTATCTATAGTGTATCTCAAAACGAGATAGGTTGGAGAATCACCAATCATACCTCTCTGTAACTGTCCATGACGAATACCAATGCGGCATCACTAATACTGCCCAGGCCAAACCCAAAGAAGGCACCTGCAATGTTCGGCCAGATCCAGTGCATTCATTGCAATTCAGAAATCAGCTTGTAAGCACTCACTCATCAACAGAGCCTTGGCCAGAATACAGATTTCGACTGTGAATGTTGTTGCCTTACCCTAGAAATTTTTGCACCGAACATGATAAGCCCACCTGCCATAAAGATAGCCGGAAGATGTAAGATGTACAACCGCATCTCCGGCTCGTAATAGCCTTTGTTCTGTTTTGCGTAGTACAAAATCGACCGATCACCGATGAACCCGCCGTATACTGCACCAAAGATGTTCCCGATTAGAGGACCAGCACTTGTGTATCCGATTTGAGCAGGCGAGAAGAGATAAGGCGGCTTTGGGAATACGAGCGATAAGACGCTAGAGGTTACTGTCAGCCAGGCTACTCCGGCTGCGTATTGAAACGCGGCAAATGCCACGGCCGGAAAGATGAGCGCGCAGAATGGGCTATAGAAGTACTGCCAGATTCGCTCTGGTGTTGGCGTTGTCAGGGCAAGTCGCTTGTGCCATGAGTTCTGCGGTATGGTGATGTCCAGCACATGGTGGGAATGAGCCTGTTCAGTGATAGAAGGGCCTTTGGCGCAAGATGCCGAGTCAAATTTGTCCAAGCCGTCTTCTCTAATTGAGATAGCTAGGTCGTCTTCTTCAAGGGTTGCGTCTGCTCGCCCAGTGAGCGCAGGGACGTATTTCGTTTCCTCGTAAATTAAGAGGAAGAGGACAAAAAGGATACCGTTGAAGATTCCCATTGTCAGATAAGACGAGCGCCAGCCATACTGTGAGGCCTGGGCACCTGCAGCCATGGGGGTCAAGAAGTTCCTTGGTTGTTCCAATCAGCTACGCTGCATAAATCTTCAAATGATTGGGTTGGGAGACATACACCAACCATGACACATGTCAGGTAGACCCCATTCATACTTCCCCGATGATGCACGAAAAACAAATCGGCAATCTGTACAACGTTAGCAGGGCACCTTACTATCTATCCAAAGATATAGCTCACGGTTATCGCAGCTATCGACTCGTTGGTTGCACCAGCCAGACCCTGCAGCAAGTTGGTCACATACAGTTCTGTCAAATTGTTCATTTTGGATGCCCAAAATAATGTCGCCAACATAAGTGCTGTCGACACAATATAGACAGGGCGTCGACCGTACTTTTTCGCAAAGGGAATGAAGAAGATGCAGCCGATTGCGAGACCGACGTAATTTACCGACATCGCTTTCTTCAATTCCTCATATTTGACCCCCATATCAATAGCCATCTGCTGCCAAAAGATGGGTTGGATAGAAATTCTGATATGTAAGTAATGTTATCAATCTGTCATATATAACATGACTGCTTCTCACTCACGCTGTGAAGATGACAATAGTCATGGCCAAAACAATCGTAAAATTGACTGATTTGCGCATCGCGCTCCAGTTCTATATAGGTTTTCGTTAGCCCGTGACTTAAGTAGAATGCGACGGGTAACTCACTAGAGGTTCATTTGGGTCGAAGGAGGGAATCGGGTCGAGGATGACAATGTGTTGCCCATGCACATCTGTCTCGTCCTCTGGAAGAAGATGGCTATTCAGTAACAGCCCAGCTCAGAGGATAAGAGAACTCTGACCTCGGATCAGTTTGAAAGTTCCCGGAGGCTGGTCAATTTCATCTTCAAAAGATGGCATAACGTGGAGTTCCGCCATCTGGTGGGTTAATGGGTGTATAGGAATGAAGTTGCACTTCAAGGTGACGGTGTCCGCCTGCTGATATTTAAATCTCAAATATTTTAAGTCTCAAGAGAAGTGATTGAGGTAAAAGGATCAAATGGCCGAGGCAAGTCTAGAAGAAGTAGGAGAAGTTGATCAGGAAGAAGATTGATATTGACTCGGGGACTCGTTATAGACGCATCGTCAAACATCGATATATAGCGATGCTTTAGTTTACTTGGAATTCCTCTCATGCCTGCACAGGATAGACGTTGATCCTTTTACCCCAGTGCCACCGATTCCGCACGAGGATGCAGGCAGCAAGATAAGCCATGCATTTTGTGACCCGGATAGTATACAGAACCTCCCCTCCATTAGACATGAAGAAGGGCCAAGGTGGGATCAATTCAGGTCAAAGAGTTGATGGAGGTCGGCTTATCTTTTGTTCCCTTCCAATCTTAGAAGGTTCATTGCGTCAGTCTTCCTAATTCGGAATAGCCTGCGTTTATACATGGACATAAAATGATATAAAAAGGATATCTTCACCCAATGTTATATGGAATATATTAGGCACGGTTGTTTTATTGATGATAAATGAGTTTTCCTTAGAAAAAAGGACTGGTTTCATGCCTTATATATATATACATATGTGCACAATATCAAAAGGACGCTGGCATTAATCCTCGCAGAAAGAAAAAGCTAGAACCTGTCATTAAATGATTATATATCAAAGGCATGTAAAAATAGAACATATCTTGTTACAGAACTGTCACAAGGTGCGGCAGAAGCTACAAGACCCCACCCTACATGTAACTGCATGTAACTGCATGTAACTGTTGGAGATGAAAGATGAATGAACTGATACATCATTATCAATTCTTTTCACCTGGGTATCGCCCAGCACAAAAGCGACAGAAGCCATGAAGCCTGGAAATATGCATGCCAAACCATCCATAGATCATAACAAGCCCATCTCCAACCCTTTCTGTCGAGCCAACTCATGTACACTCAGATTTGGATCTTTCTTCTGCCATAACTCTTCCAGCAGACTAAGAAGAATTTCAGACTGATTCGAGCCTAGCAAACCCTCCCTAATGGTTTGCTGCCATTCCGGCTTGTGGCATAGGACACCGACTTCCAATCCCGCGACAAACGTAGGAAATAGGATTGCATTCTTAATGAAGACATCTTCCGTCGGGCGCTCGGCTAATGCAAGACGGAGAGCATCAAGGCTAGCCAGTATCCGCGCAACAAGAACAGATGTCTCTGCCGGACACTTGGCAGGCTGTCTCCATGCCGGGATATTGTTATCGGGAATAGATGTAGAAGAAGTGTTAGGTTGTTTTCTGAGGATCAGGATACCGGCCAGCCGATGCGCCTCCCATAGATAACACTGTAAAAAGCTCCCTGACTCGCCAGGCCAATCCCAGAAAGTTCGCTCTGTAGTCTCTGCGCCTATCCCGGCAAATATATCAAGTAGTGTACGAGGAAGACCGCTGACAGGCTCAATACCAGATCTGGGTGCCGCCGTCTGACAATACCGACGCCAGATACCAATCTCTGAAGTTTGACGACCGACAGAAAAGCAGGTCAGGTCCATCACCCCCATCACTTCGAGGAGATGGATACGAAAGTGAGTTTGCGTAGATCGGTGTTGTAAATCATCAAGCCCGTTGCTCTTCAAGATATTGTGCATACCTTCTAAATGCATGGTCCAGGGAAGACCATGCATCAACTGGATCAAATCAGCGTCAGAACCTTAAGCCAGGGAATAGTCGAAAGAAGTGAGGTTACGCACACCAATGGTACACAGCAGCAGTCCTGAAGCCAACGTCCCATCGGATAGGGTTGTGCTGCACGCCAGTTCTGATCGAAACGTCCTTAATGCAGTGTCGAAATACTCGCAGAACCGAGAGGAGACTGTACTCGATAGCGCGAGTTGAAATGCAATGCTGATAGGATACAAAGCGCTAGATTCTCGACGAAGCTGCGGGAGACGTGGATAAAGCATGGTTTCTCTTGCTGTTGTCGAATGAAGCGCATTAATGCCGCTATTCATAACTGCTCGATGTCAGCATCATTTTCAACTAGTTTCTGGTTTCCTACAAACTCACATTCATTGAACAGAGCCTCATCCTCAACTACCTTCTGCGAAGCCAGATCCAACTCCCGACTCTTATCCACAGCTATGCACTAGTCAATACCGAACCGCATCATTTCATAAAACCACACTGACCAGAATCCTCTTCCAGTTCCACCCGCTTTCTTCTCTCCCTGCTAATATCCCTCTGTCTCCCCCTTAGCCTCGGCGGCACAGAATTCTTAACCGGTTTATCAGCACCAGTAAAGTGACCGCGCGACGCAACCCCCGTACCCCATTTTAGCCGAATCTCATACCCCTCGCATGGTGTCCCACGCTCGACGCAATTTTGGCACGATGGCCGCGCATTATCGCAGCGACGGTGCCGTCGCTTACATGTCCAACAGCCCTGGTGTGAGCGGGTCGACATGCCGGATTCGGAGAGTTGTACTTGGAGGTGTTGGGCGGAAATGTAAATGGCTGGCCGTCATAATGCAGGGGTCATGTGGGTTCCTGATAGCGTGTCTGGCTGCCTATTTGGAATGTCTCACTTTATGTAATTCAGATATACGACCTCGGGAGACCTTCCCTAGATAGTTGCCCTTAAGTATCCGAATCTCGTGTTTCAGTTCAAACATCTTTGCAATATCCTGTCTCCAGAGTTAGTACCTCCCCGGTCTGGGATGTGGCGTGGAAGAGATGGATTGCTTAGGCTACTTTTAACAACCGAACATCTACACAGGAGATATTCAGCCAAACGACCAAAAATGATGAGTTCGGGGATTCACTTGTCTAGGTAACGATGTGGCCCTATAGAGAAACAACATATAAACCATGCACGCTGTCTATTGCAGTGCGTACTTTTTTTTACCCAAATGAAAACCATATCTGCAGTAAACCACAAACTAAACCCATGTAAAGCCTATATCAGAAAAATACATAATACAAAGCGAAGACCTTCATGGCGGGACCGCTCGAGCGAGCAGACGGATATTATCCACAAAGCCCTTGACGAGGTCCTCGTACTGATTCTTAGGATCGCCCGACATAGCAAGCTGTCCCTGGCGACGGATTTCCTCAGCCGAGACTTCAACTTCAAGCTCGTGATCGAACTCATGCTTGCCCGGTTGTTGCTGCGATATGGTCAGAAGACTGGTTTCAGGGTGACATAGGACATTTAAATAAACTTACATCGGACTTCGCTACTTGGGTCAAGTCAACCTGGTAGGCCAAGTGGCGGTAGCTCATGCGATCTTTGATGCGATCGCCTCGGCCGCCTTTGATAACTGCCGTATCTATCACTGGGAGACTGCTGACGTCGCCTGTGTATTCCATTTCCAGATTGACACTGACGCGCCAGTCCACAGTCGTCCGTGGACTGCAGACGTCTACGTCAGCAACTCGACATTTGACAATTTTCGCGAGAATTTCACCGGTTCGTTCGTCGGTTGTCACCCGGACTTTGGGTTTGTGTCTTGGGTTCAAGTTTTGACGAATCACCGGGGGCAACTCAGATGCTTGAATCTCATAGAAGGTGTCGCGTTCTTTCTTGTGCACGTATGCAAGTGGGATTCGGGACGAGTTGGGCTGCGGCATTGACGCTTTCACAGCCTCATTCAGGAAATTGTTCATGGCTCGGTGTTGTTCCTGCGCATCGTGGTGAGTAAATTTCATCGGGGTCAAGGCACACTCGCTAGGACATTGGGGAATCAACTTACCACAGTCATATTGCTCTCGAATGATGTTCGAAACCGTGAATTTTCCCGGTTGAGGACGCTCTCTGTCAAAATTGGAAGGTTGATCCGGTCTCTACTGTCCATGTCGATGATATGGCCCAATTTCGCCTCAATCTCGACGATGGTCCCTTGGCCGGCAGCCGAGCCTGTTGATCCGGCATTCACATCGTTTCTCATAACCACATGCTGAAACAAGAAATCACAAATGGTTTTTGTAATCTCCTCGTGTGGAATAAACCCAGTAATGGACGGCTCCCAAGGGCCCAGTGAGCCTACCGCCTGCGAAGTACTCGGCGGACGAAGTAAGGGAGCAGGCGGAACTGGAGGAGCTTGCACACGAGGCATACTTGTGCTTGGCGAAGCAACAGCAGGTGCTCGTGTGACCCGCGTGGCCGCGGATGTGACTGCCATTGTCGAGGTAGAGCGCCTGCGAGCAGCCCAGGAGAGATCCTGCTGGCTCTGTCGCGCATGTTTTGGAATTGGGGCACGGGGATTAGGAATAATCGGGCGTCTGCTTGTATTGCGGGGCGTCAGCCGAGCATAAATCGGGGGCTCGTTGTATCTCCTTCTTTTTTGCTTGGGCTGCTGTGCGTCGACGTGTGGTTCGTGGTCGACTTCCATACCCATAGCATGAGCGCCTCCACGAGCGCCGGAAGGTGAACTGTTCATTTGACGGCCTGATGCCAATGGGGAAGCTAGAGAATCCGCAGTGGGCTTTTGTGCAGTGGGGCTCTCAGCCAGCATTCGGTCTTCGGAAGATCGAATTTGACCAGCAGTCGCCGACTCAGAGACCGTGACGATGTTATTGTGACGAGAGATAGATTGGGGACTGGCGCTCTCGGTTGTCTCTTGCTTTAAGCCGCTCGACGGGAGTTGAGTCGACTCGGAGGGATGAGAACTATGCGGAGAGAACTGTCGCTGAGTGACGGGTGACTTCGTTGGAACCTGATCTCGAATAGGGGCCTCCTGTGTGGGCCGCGGGCTGGAAAGAGGATTGCCGGGGGAATCGTGTCCGGAGGACGGCGGGCGGGCAGTTGATGGCGACTGGCGGGTGGCAAAGGCAGGAGGAGGACCTAGGGGGGTTCCGGGAACAGATCGGTGTGCAGTAGGAGAGAAGTGTTGGGATGGAAGAGGTTGCGATGGAAGAGGTTGCGATGCAACAGGAGGGCTGCGAAAAGATTCGACCGGAGCTCGGGGTGTTGTCATCACAGATTGAAGTGATTGAGAACGCTGTTGAGAACGCTGTTGGGCGAAATAAGACTGTTGTTCTGGGTGCTGCGGCCCTGCACTTATCGGCTGTGGTGTGTATGGCGAAACTAGAGGACCGGGTTGTTGGGGATGCGACCCGTATGCTTGCGCGCCAAATGGATCACGCGTACCGGGACCATACGATGTTGAAACGTGTGGAGGTGTCTGACTCCGCTGAGACCTGACCGCTGTATTAATCGGTGGACCCGAGTTGAATTGTTGGTATGGCGATTGAACAGATGCGTAAGGTGAGCTTCGCTCTGGGGAAGCGTGCTGTGGATGTTGCAAGGGCTGAGGTGGACGTGTAGGGTATTCTGAGTAAGAAGCGGACTTCTTCGAGCGCTTTTGAGGGGTTTGATCAGATATGGGAGAACTGGCCGAGTTGTTAGGTGGAGGATTGGAGGCGCCGCCGTCGGTGTTCATGATCGTGCGCAAATCCATCGTGACAGCACCCACTTCGGGACCACTTCGACCACGCGAACACTTTTATCGAAAAATGCACGCGATAGTCGATCACGACATTCAGATCGAATCGCAAGATGTCGGGGAGCAGAAAGAAGGCGGCGGGACAATGAGGGATGGACAAAGAGGAAGGGAGAAGTTCTCGAAGTGCGGAATTGCGCGAATCAGGGAGCTGAGAGGATCGTCGCCGCTTTAGGGAACTTGCGACATCAAAGTCCAATGGATATTGTGTGTCAATTTGGATCGGTCATAGAGATGTCTAAGTATTACGTTGGGAGCTTTGGAGCTCAAAAAAAATGTCCTGCGAAGCTCCCGTAGAAAACGGAGCTCATGAAGTATGATGCATTCGGAGAGCTTAGTAGAGCTAGCTATGAAAAATGTCTATTCTCTTTTGAAAATCACCCAATTCATATAATTGTCTAACGGTATTTGACGTGATATATGTGTTTTAACCTCTTGAATCTTCTGGTGATGGTAAAAAGGCCACGGTTGTGATCTTAAGATGTCTTGGCATTGACACCTGAGGTATTTACACTAAACTGTTTTTGGAACTATAAACTGTTCTTCTATCAACTTAACCTCAGTGTAGAAAATGAAGGTCGCTGTATAATACAAATACAATTGTAGTATCATGCCTAGATCAGCAATTTTAAAACTCCAAGTTTACACTGAAAAGCTATTTCCAAGAATTGAGCCTTTTTTTCGCCATTCTTTGCCGTTTGCTTATAAAAACCAGACAACGGGGAGAAGATATTGAGAATATATAAACGGAATATCCTAAAAAAAAGGCCACTAAAACCGTACCACAAGGCTACATATTATAGCTTTATCGATTCCAATTCCTAGATACTTCGATTATTGGCGTCCCAGCTTTCCAAATGCCTGCTTATTTGCCTATACCTTTGTTTGTCAAATGCCTCTTTTCCCAGGCCAATGGACAATGGATAACATATATATAGCTTGTAAATTTCCTCTATTTAGAAAGTCAATCCATCTTCCTTTCGCTCCCCTTCTCTCTGGGGCATCCTTGTAGGTGTCCTAGAAATCCCCCCCATCACTACAACTATGGCATCCAAACCATCAAATAAACCTCCAGGTAGTAGTCCTACAAAATTTCTAAGTTAATACCATCTAACAGCTTCATATTTAGCCAAAAAGCGCCCTAGGCTGAGCAATGAGACTAACAGCGAGTTCTCAAGCTCATCTGCAGAGGTCAACTCCCCTCCTCTTTGGGATCCAGAAGCTGCTGCTGCTGTCCAAATTGCTTCAAAAGCTAACTATTATGTATTTTGTTTGATATGGCTTACATATCCTCCGGTATTTTATTCTAATGTTTTCGATAGACGACTCTACAGTTGACACTGCAGGGAACCCAATGCTTAACTGTTACAAAACTCCACTAGAGTATGCAATTATTCGTTCCTCGCCTCCAATCCGCGATATCGACTGGAGGGGTGGCATTATAAAGACTGTTAACTCTGCAGTTAGACGTCAAGCTGCGCATTCTCAGCGCTTAGGGACGCCTGCTTTGCCTGGACAAGAGTGTGCTCGATGCTGGAGAAACCTAGGTCCTTTCAACTCCTGTGTTGTTTACAGCGCACATCTTAATAACGGACAACAATTGTTTCAAGGCGCATGTATGTGCTGCGCATTTATGAATAAAGCGTCAATGTGCAGCTTTCAGCCTCGAATTCAAGAATGGGCCATGCAGAAACACGACCTGTCTGGTGGTGTTGCTCAAGCTGGACCTGTCTCTATGCCTGCTCATACTAGCACTCCTGTTTCGATCTATGACGGACCAGCAACTTCTACTTCAGCTCGACCCAGCCAGCATGGACCTATGTACTCTGCTAAATGGTACAAACCCCCTTTGGATGACAGGTCGCTAGCAAAAGACGCCAATGGCATGATTGCTGTTCGTGAGGAGCTACGCGGAATTCGTGCTCGTGTCGCATATGATATCAAGAAGCTGTCTATGTTTGCTGGAGACGGTGGATCGGAGGAGGAGGATAAGGAGAAGGAGGAGAAGACTCTTGAAGATTATGAGCCCAACCCATTTTACGATTCTCAATCTGAGTGTGGTGAGGATATTGGTTCAGCACATGCCAGATCAGAGAAGGATGAATCGGGAGATGAACAAGGGGATGTTGATTCTCTCGGTGTTGGCGCTGTCGATCTAAATTCAGATGATGTTGACGATGACGTTAGTGGTGACGATGTTGGCTCTGATGTTTTTCTACCCGAACTAGGAAATGATACAAGTTCTACGACTAACCTTGGAATTCGAGTATAAAATCAAAGTAGAAGCAGAAATGACCCATCTCGAAATGTAGATATATAAAATCAAAGGCAAATTAATATAAATTAGTCTATATAACTAGTTAGCCCGCATTTATATGCTTTGATGCGTGGACTTTCTGAATGCGGCGTATGTTGTAACGAGAACTGCAATCGATCGGCCTCTTTCTAATCTCGACTCGCCTCTCCTGACTCTACCACTCCAACTCTACAACTCTCCAACCCTCTTTAACTATCCTTCAGTTCCCCCGTTTTCACTTAATATTTCGCCATTTCCAGTGAATCAGGCCCCTTCCTTCTGTTTTCCCGAAATCGCCGACCTCAAACCCGCACCGATCGCACCTCGCTGGACGAGCGAACTGTCCTCCATTTTACTATCTTAAGATCCTATACCGGCCTAAATGATTCTCTTTGCCTGTCAGCGCATGTAAATTAAGGCTTTCGCCCCACCGGACATGTCCACTTGCGGTCGAACCTGCAGAATATAACAAGATGACATCCCACCTCGAAGATCGGGCCGCCACTTCGGCCTCCGATATCCCTTTGAAAGATCTCGAATCTGCCTCCTTAGAATCGGACTCGACTATCAATTCCCGCTGGAATAACTTCTCTCAATTCCACCCCTCCAACATGCTCGCGCATCCCGAAGGACTAGCACCAAAGATGTCGCAAGAAGACTGGCTGGCATACTCTGAAGACACATGGCACAGATTGACACTTGCACTTACGCCAAGTTTTTTACAACACCTGGTTGGCAGCTCGCCGCCCCAGCCTACGAAGCTCCACGCCATCGCGGCCCTAGACGGATTGCGTGGCTGGGCTTGTCTACTGGTCTTCAATTTTCATTTCCTCTTCACGTACACTTGGAAAGTTGCCATAGGTTGGGGATTTGGCGGGGAAAACTTTGGAATTCACCAGCTGCCCTTCTTCCATATGCTGATCTCTGGTCACATAATGGTGGCCATTTTCTTCGTCCTCTCCGGCTATGTTCTCTCATATAAACCGCTGAAAACGATTCGGAGCAGGTCATTCGATCAAACTTTCACCGTGCTCGCATCAGGGACTTTCCGCCGGGCATTTCGTCTTTATATTCCCGCAATTGTTGGGATTTTGTGCGTCTTTGTGGCCGTTCGCCTCGGGCTATATAATTACTCCCTTGGCGTTATCAAAGAGGGACACACAATCCTCGGGACTAACGAGCAACATCCACATGTGTATAAATCCTTCTCAAAACAAAGCGATGACTTATGGGCCACATTGGCGACCTTGATGAACCCATTTGATTATGCGCTCTACTACAACTATTACAACCCGCACCTTTGGACCATTCCTCTCGAATTCCGCTCCTCGCTTATCCTATTCATCGTCATCATGGGGACATCGCGTTTGGTGGCACCTGTGCGCATGACAGTAGTTTCTGGCTTGGTTTGGTTCTGCATGCGCTATGGTCGCTGGGAGATCGTCTTATTCCTCTTTGGCATGTTGATGGCCGAAGTGGATCTCATCAACGGAACCTGGGAGCCATCCGCACGACCAGTGGTAAAAGACGACAAAATAATAATTGGCCTCAGTCCCGGCAGCAAATCTACCATCAAAATCTCTCGCCGCGGGCTATGGATCTCACTCTTCGTAGTCGGTCTATACTTTGGTTCCTGTCCCAACATCGGTTTCAAATGGACACCTTTCTACGGCTGGCTGTGGCACATCACGCCCAAGACCTACCCAGAGCCGCATCGATTCGCACAGACTATCGGAGCCGTTCTCATCGTCTTCTCTATAAACCACTCCCCTGACATCCAGAAGCTCTTCACAAACCCCTTCTCCCAATACCTAGGCAAGATCTCCTTTGCATTCTACGTCGTCCATGGCCCCATCCTCCATTGCCTAGGCTATTCCATCATGCCCAACATCTGGAATCTCACCGGAAAAGAGACAAACTTCCAATACTGCCTCGGCTTCCTTATTGGCTGGCTGATCTGCTTCCCTGTCGCCATCTGGCTAGCGGATGTATTCTGGCGCGCCGTGGACATTCCCAGCGTCAATTTTGCGCGCTCCCTCGAAGATCGTCTTATCTCCAAGGGTCCGGCATCCGGTCGCTCATCCCTGGCCACCCACGCAGAGTGAAACTGTTCGTTTACTTGGCATACACTTTATATTAGACTGCGATTGATCAGCGCTTGCTTTCTCTGTCTCGCTACACTTATACTCCATATGATACCTTCTCGCTGGTCGAGCTATTTTGGTTATTTTTACTGTATTAGACCATTGGTCCCTCCATGTTCACATACATTACTTAGACTCGTGATTGAGCCAAGTTATCATGTCATACCATTCTCTATTAGACAATGAAAGATGAATATCTCATACAACCAGTGAACCCTATAATCCACTAGAACGCCTGTTTTTGTGTGGTTTCCATTGTAGTCGACCCCCAACGGCGGAGTCGGCCCCTGTGATCAATTCTAGTTGTTCAAGGGACCTGTGAGATCATGGTAACGAGATCACAATTATTTAGGTAAAGTACATGACCCAAGGCCGTTCTACACTATATTAAATGATACATATCCAATGTATAGTTCATTCATTCATTCACTCGTACCAAACAAGTCAGAAGTATGGTCCATCATTCCCAATCAATAGACACAAGAGTAGCCCATGGAGATCACCGGGTCCTTACTCGACCTATGCAAGAGCGTACCGGGTCATACACAGATAATCCGACCGGTACTGGCGAAGCACACAAACAGCAAAGCAAAATAAAACAGATGCTGTGCGCACGCGAAGCAAGAGATCGCGGCAAACAGAAACAAATATCAGAGAGATTGGACCATCTAATGCAGGAGCTATAATCGATGACTCTTTGGGAAGAGAAGAGACGACGTATGGAAAGAAAGACTTCTTTTTTGCTTGGTTCATAATGCGACTCCCGTTAGTCCTCGTCCCCCGCACACTCCCAGCCATTCCCGTGGCTGGCCGGTGTGGTTAGGCCCGCCTTGTGGGGACCAGCTGATGTTGGAGACTTCGTACTCGCTCTGCCAGACGCCGGCTGGGCCGCGCTCTGAGGTTGTAGAAGGCGGTGCGCCTGGGGTGGCGGAGGGAGGGGAAGCCACTGGCGCAGCATTGTGCTGGTTGATGAGGTCCCAGAGGAGGACCATGCTATCGTCACCGCCGGATGCGAGGATACCGCGACGACTTGGAGACCACTCTACGCAGTTCAAGGCAGCTGAATGGCCCTTCAATTCCAGTAGGGCTTGGCCCGGTTGTCGAACATCGAGAACGCGGACAACACTAGAGTCCTGTGAGAATGTTGCCAGGAGATGAGCGTCATGGGGGGATGCTGGGAGATTGTGTTAGCTTGTAATTATACTCTATGTTGTAGTTATTTCAACCATACCTGCGATTCTCAGCAAAGGAGGAGGATAGAGGCCGGTCTGCGGTGGGCCAGGGGGGCTGGAGCTCCCGGGGGTCATCACTGCTGAAGATATTGTTAGTATTTAGAGTAAATAATCATATTCTGGCAGGCACTTACGCTTCTCGTTCTTATCTGTCGGCTCGTAAATGATGGTGCTGTGCTCAAGGCTTCGCAGATCAAACATTCGCACACTACCATCAGCGCCACAGCTTACGAAAACATCGACGCTGTTGGCACAGAACCGAACGTCGTACACCTCCTTGTCGTGGGCAATAAGTTGCGTCTTCGCTGTCAAGGTAGGAATGTCCCAAATAGTGCAAGTTGTGTCAATGCTCGAAGTAATGATCAGACTTGGAGAAATAGTGTTCCAGTCAAGCGAGGTGATGGGAGCAGTATGCTCAGGGGATTTTGAGTTAGACAACAAAGCCAACGGAGAAAGCTTGGAGGTGGCTTGCTCTCGCTGGTTCATGGGACGAGTGATCGAGTTCGAGCTTTGGAGTGGCTGAGAATTCGGCAGTGACCATAAGCGAAGGTGGTCTCCTGATGTGGCCAGCAAATCAGTCGACTGTTTCTGAGACGAGGGAGGCTCCCAGAGGATACGGGTAACCGGGTAAGAATGTGTCGCTTCAGCCGTTTTCACATAGTCTAGTTTGATCTCTCCCGCAGCCGCATCTGGAGTGTCGGGGTCAGGTTGGGTCCAGTGTGCATCAAGGATTTGAATCTGATAACTGGTTAGCATAAACATATTCGTTCAGAAGATGGATGCACATACATAGTTGTGACTGTCTTCTAAATAACTTCCCATGGCTATTTTTCCACCAAAGCCCGAGTTGCCTGTAATGGGCCATTTGCACCAATCCACTGCGTATATAGGCCACGGTGCGACGTAGTTGCTGTTGGTCGGCACCTGGTTATCTCCATTATTGTAAGACACCGATGACGTTCCGGGGTTCATAAGTGCCTCGCTCAACATGTGTTCACCCGAGGGCCTAATATCGGCCAGACCAAGGGGAGAGTACTTGGAGCCTTGCGGGGTGTGAGGCGGAAATCCTCCCGGAGAAGAGGGATATTTGGAGCCATCGGGCGCAGCATGTTGCTTGTACATGGATTGGTCGAACCCGGCCGGGCTAGATCGTGAATGTCCATGTGAATTAATCATGCTAGCTCGGTGGTTGGTTTGCGAGGATGATTGCGACATGGTAGGGACGACTGATGGGGCGGTATTTACTGATACCGCAGCTGGGCGGTTCTGATTGCCTGGCTGCAGGGCTCCGGGGAGGGCACTGCTACTGCTGCTTTTTCCGTCGCCGGTGTACTGAGAGCTCTGTTGTACGTTGATAGAGGGAAGCCTGGCACCTGCGTCTGGTGTAGTGGAATAGTCGTGCGAGGAGGATTGGCGGGACATGTTTGGATTGATTGGCCCGGTTGATGGAATGTGAAGCTCCTCCGGCTGACGACTGAACACGGCTGACCGCCGGTGAGCGTCGTAGGAGGCGGGATTCGACATGGTGCGGTCTAGGCTAAAGAGCAAGAACGCCGTCTATGCAGGGAGTGGGAGGGTGAGCTCCACTGTTTCTCGATCGAGATTAGTGGAGGGGGCTGGGGGTATGCACCAAATTGGGGATATAGCGGGCTCCGAGGAAGCTCCAACCAGGGGACCGTGTCAGCCAGATATCATTCCAGCTTATCAGGTCACTTGGCTCGCAATGGCATCCTCATCTATTGGAGAGGAGTGGAGGACAGAGGGCGGTGTCATCCCACGAGAATAGCTGACTCAGCCGGGTACCCCAGCCTACGATGATGGATCCGATCACTTCTTCAGCGATGTGGTTGTGATTTTCTGTGATTTATTGGTTTCTGTGGTTTCTGTTGACCTTCTATCTCTTCATTCGAGTGTTAACCCCAGTTCGCATTACTGTAGTTATATATTCTCACCATGGCTTCCGATACCAATTCACCCTCGGCTTTACTACTTCTTCCCCCACCTCCAGCCTTTTCTTTTACCAAAGTCAAAGATGCATTTGAGCCATCCTTAGTGGATGTTCTCACTAAGCTCTCAAATGACTTGGTTGGATCCAAACGTACAGCTTTTCTCGATATTGCTCTGGCCATCCCAAATCTTCTTTCCCCGAGCTACCAACCTCGGGCCAAAGTGTTTGCACAACTCCAACATTACCTGACTAGCGTCTATACCCTGGTTGTTGCTGTCTGTGCAACACAAAACATTGAATTGGACTCTCCAGGTGGCATTGATACCCGGGTGGTATTTATCGATGCAAGTGAGAACACCTCAGCCAGCCAGCCTTCTGATAGTTCTCGCTTTGGGCCCATTTTGGGCATCCAATCACTAGCAAATTCAAGGCGCCGTTGGGATTATGTTTTCTATTTGTCCAACACAACCGGCCAGACTTTGGCTAATTCCTTCACCAACAGTGTTGGGAGTCAGGCGCGGGATGGCACGGCGGCAAGCATGCAAGCCGTCACAAGCAAGCCTGACTGGGCGACCCCTGACCGCCTGTTAATTCCTGACGACCAACGTTCATCCATTCCACACTATTCCGTGGTTGTTGGTGGCACATTTGATCACCTTCATGTTGGTCACAAACTTCTGCTTACAGCAGTTGCATTGGTCCTGGAACCGCTGGACCGGGAGCACGAGGGCCGCCTGACCATCGGAGTGACCGGGGATGCGCTGTTGGTCAATAAAAAATATGCCGAATTTCTCGAGAGTTGGGAAGCGCGTTGGCAGAGTACTGCAGCTTTCCTGGCGGCCATTACGGATTTCTCGCCCGAAAAGAAGTCACCGCAGATTGAACGTGCTTTTGCACCAGGTCCCAACGGCAAGACTGTTCTCGTAAGGATCCAACCTAACCTGGCGTTTGAATTTGTGGAGATCTCTGATCCATTTGGGCCCACGATTACCGAGGAAAACCTTGGAGCAATTGTTGTCTCGAAGGAGACACATTCAGGGGGGGCAGCTGTCAACGAAGAGCGGGTGAAGAAGGGATGGAAAGGTCTTGACGTATTTGAAGTGGATGTACTCCAATCTGGAGAAGCGTCCACGACCACTGATGTCGAGAGCTTCGATTCCAAAATCAGCAGCACGGATATCAGACGGCGCCGAGCCCATCTCGCGAAGGTCTGATAGGTACACACGTAATGATATGGAAGATCCGTTAGCCTAGTAGATAATATCTCAAACAGTTGTACATACATTAGTTCGTGTTGATTTCGGCCATTATCCCCCAGTCATCTTGGGCAGACACATAATCCACACGCATGGTCCATCACCCTGCATGATGTGACGACTCCCGGCGGGGTCTGCATTGGCCCCCCCTCCAACACGACTCGCTCTCCTTCAATGGCCTTTCCTGCAGGTTCGCGCTGGCTGGCCGCAGAGTCAATGAATCATGTGATTCCCGTGTGGCAGCGTCACCAATGAAACCAAGCGGATCGGGTCAGAAATCCCGACTCGTCAGTGCAAAGGGCGCTAATCAGGCACTTGGTGATCGTCCCCGGTCGCGAAATCAATCGTTAGGGCGAGAGCTCTCGCCATGTTCATGGTGAGACAAGTCAACTGTCCTACTAGTCTGCAGACGACGAGTCCGAGTATATGATATCTTTTATTTTATTTTTATTTCTCATTTCCCCTCTTCCCAATTCCCTCCGTGACTTGTCTCTCCGGTCTTGGGAGCAGCTTAAGAACGTCAGCTTTCCCTCAATTGCTCCATATTTCCATGTTGCTGCTACTTCATCCAGCAGCCGATGCTTCGGCTGCGTGCGCCGATCATGGCTCAGCCACGTCACATTCACGATCTTGCTGACGAGCTACTGAGTGAGATCTTGTCCTTCCTTCTTGAACCCGCACCCCGAACCCTAAATGGCGGATTCAATGGAAATGGACATACTTCTAGGCCTGGCGACCACAAACATGGCGAAGTGTCCGATCTTGATCACTTTCGACTCGTTTGCAAGCGTTTCATGCGAATCGGCACCCCTTACAAGTTCAATCGATTTACTCTGCGGTTTTCTGATCACGGCTTCCGACGATTAGATGAACTGGTAGATATGCAGCTGGCTTACTATGTGAAAACCATCACATACATGGTGCGACCATTTTATCAAGGAAGCGGTACTACCTCTTCAACCTTTCATACACGAGCAAATTAACTAATACCAAATTACAGGATGGACCCGGACACTGCGAACTTTGGGGTCAGAGAACCCCGAACTATCCCAACTACATAGCCGCCGACTGCGTGAACAAACCAGTCTAACTGAAACGAATAATGACCGAAGCCGCCTACGCCGTGCAATTACATCGTTTTCGTCTCTACAGGAAATAAAGCTCCTAAGACTCCAAGACGAAGCAGACGAGCACCTCATCGACTTTATACGCGACCACTCATTGGGAACGGGAACTGGCACCGCAACAGGCATCCACTTCGACTGGGAGACCGCCTGCTCGCGCGCTGTAACAAACCTCAGCATCGCTCTGCTCAACTCAAAATGTAGCTCCATTCGCTTCACAGGGCCCCAGATCAGCCCCGAAGCAACCCTCCAGCTCCTACGCGCCCCATCAACAACCCTCGCCGCTATGGGCGGGCGCCTCACAAGCCTCGACATAAACTTCCACTCGACGACCGACATCACCACAACCATGGCCGACCTCTCAGATGTCTTCCATCGCTTCTTCGTCGCAGCTAAAAACCTCATCGCCATCCACATCGGCTTCCTAAGCAAAACACCCCTGGACCTCGACCTCGAGCTACTCTTCCACCACATCCGTTGGAAAACGCTCCGCAAACTCAGCATCCAGGGATGGCGTCTGAGTGCAGACGAAATCATCGCACTAGCGCGCCGTCATAGTCCCCATCTACGCGATTTCCGCCTGCTCAGCGTCTATCTTCGGCCCGGAGGCTCGTGGTGCGAAGTCCTCGCTGTCTTGCGTGAGGAAATGGAGCAGCTGGAACGGCTAGTTCTGAAAGACATCGACTACGCTGCACACTTTGATTCCCTTGCTGTTTCAAATGGCGTCGAGGTGTTTGATGATTATCCTACCGGCCCTGTGCCGTCCTCATCCTCTCTTACTGTTGCAGCTGGTACCTCCTCTGGTGTTCAGTCACCAACTACCGCCCCGCCCTCACCTGATGGTCTCCCTGGTTTTATAAGGGGGAGATGCTTGCCGGTAAGGCGAACTTCGCTTGAGAAACTACGTACTTTGTCTAGTGGGGACTTGGGGGATGACGGCGTGCATGTCCTGCATGAACACATGCCTCTTTGGGAGGAGTGGGTTCTTTCTGCCCCGCATCATGTTAAAAGGAATGGGCGGTCACATTGGAGTATGTAAAAGAGGAGGTAGACCTCGGGAGAGAAGAGGTAGCGAGGTGTCTAAAACGTACTGGTTACTATCTGCTTTTTGGAGTTGGGGGCTGTTTGAATTACCCTTTTTGATGACTTGCATGCGTTAGAGCCGTCTGATTATATACTTGGCTGCAATTATATTGTTTCCGAGACAAGGAGTTTGTGGTAAAAATATGCTGTATTGATATCGGCCAAAGAATAAGGATATGTAAGGATACTCGTAGGGTATCGTTGAACTCAAGTGCGTTAAAGAAGAACCAATTCCGCACCAATTATTTCCAAGATCTCCTATTTATTTGTAGCACTGGTCCCAGTCACCTCCGGCGCGTGCAAAAGAAAGTCCCTTCACGAAATCACTGCGGCTGCAACGGCCAAGTTTATCAACTGGGCAACCATGCAGCGGAGCAACGCGGTCATTAACGAGAACTCGCACGAGTGGCTCGGATTTCCCGTCACATTTCATCATCTCGATATAAGCACGAGCGCCGAAACTAACGGCCCAGGTGGATGAGTATCCGTCCGCTTCCTTGGGAGTCTGGAGGCGGTCGAGCGGGAGTGGAGCGGTGCCGTTGTACAATCCCATAGCAAAGTAGATTGGAAGCATTCCATTGTCGTGCGAGAAGTCTGCGTACATGTTGTAGTCAAGAGGGAATGTGGGAGCGCCGGGGGCATCGAGCGTGGTGTTTGTGCTTGTGTGGTCATTCACTGGGGTTCGGGTGAGTCTGGCGATCAGCTCATTCACGAAACCGACACCCTGGGTTGGGCCAAGCGGATTTCCTGTTCCATAACCGTAGTACTTGCTCACTGACTGGAAATAGTCGTACTGGTCCCATTCAGCTGAGGTGAAAAGGTCGCAGAATGGTGATAGCTCAGATGCATCTTCAGTCTTGGCGACTGTCTCGAAGGGGCAAAGATCCATCAAACGGAGCACATCGCTCTGTGAGAGTGTAACACCAGGTAGATCAGCCTCGAGACGGGCTTGGATGGACGGCACAAAGACTGCCATGTATTTTTCTTCGATCTGGTCTTTCAGTTCGTCTTCTTCGAACTTAGGACAGGCGCTGTGGTTCAGAGTGTTGTTGGCGCCGGCTTCTTCTGATATAAGAACACTGATCTTGGGGGCTGGTTGCTTGTGATCGGCTTTTTTATCTTGCAGCTTCGCCTGCTTGAAACCTTCGATAAACTTCTCTCCCGAAGCGATAACGCGATCCGACTCAGCTGAGCGAATGAAGGGCACAGCTTTCCTAGCTAATGCCTTGTAACGCTGGTAGAACTTGATTCCCGAGTTCACCAACTGGTTCTCTCCAAAGGGTACCAAATCATCACTGCCCAAGGTGTATTTGTATGAGCTGAGGAACTTCGTTTTGCCATTGTACGCAGTGGCGTTTGCCTGGATACTATCAATGAGCGCGGGATATACCTTGCTCTTGTTCTCCGAAGGGAATCGAGCACCATGACGGGAGATCACTTGGGCGAAGGTGATCTTACAACCGTCAGGTACCGCCTCATCTTCGACGGGCGACTCGTCCGCAAGGGAGAAATAAGGCGAATACTGGCCCCACTTGTGCGACACTTCAGAGTTGCATTGATAACCGTCCTCGACAGTATTACAAGCCGATCTCTTTGACTTGCCGTCAAGGGTGGAAGCGGCAGGTAGCTCAGGCTGGACGGCATGCGAAGGAGTGTTGCACTTGATTCCAGGTACGGTATACATAGCCAAGGCGAAAAGGCCCAGCACGGACATAGCTGTCAATGCAATCCATTTTCGGGATTGCTGTCCTTGCCTCCGTTGATATTGCTCCTCTCCAAGCAGACCCTCTTCCTCCCCGTGTTGTTGTTTGGAGAACACTGCCATTGCACCGGGTGAGAGAAGATGGTATCACAGTTTGAATGCGAAACCCGCAAGGATAGAGAACATAAATATGGAGGGAAATCAGTCCATTTTTAAATGTCGACCTGACTCTAAAGCTTTGTTAACCCTTGCGGACGTGCTCGTGGGTGTGCTGGTTGCGGTGATTGGTCTGATTGGCCCGTCGGGTGTTGCTTGAATCCAAAGCACGTGGGAGGTGCCCTACTCGTGACTTGACTGGATACTTAACAGTACCTGGATCTAGTTATGTTTTAGTATGTAAATAGATGTCACTCAAGGTACCCAGTATGCTAGCCCAACACGGAGTTTGACATATAGTGGTTTCCCCACTCGCCTTACAGGGACAATCTCATGTACTACTCCTCCAATTCATCTTAATAAATGGAGCCTATTTTCCTCTTTAGTCCAAATCCCCATCTCCCTATGTCTTAGCTCGTTCCCGGGTTATGAATAGAGTTTTTGTGGCCGTCTTGCACGAGGAAGCAACGGCTTAGCTATGCTTGGAATAGATCTATGCTCTCATTTACTCTTTGGGAACCGCGATAATACGGGATTTTATTTCCGATGTGGAAGACTAGAAGAGATCTATACCGAAACTCGGGTGACAATATATATATCCAATGTTCCTGGTTACATATGTTGGCATAGAAAAAGTCGTCTGTATGGTTTATATACATCTAGAAAGACATGCAGAAAGATATCTATGAGGATATCTAAAAAGAGCAACCAAAAGCATATCGGCGTGTTCTTGCATATAACGTCCGTAATGTCATCTGGGGCCGAATCGGATATCAAGAGTCCTATTTCGACAAGGACCGACGCCGCTTCAGCAGCCGACTATGTATTCAGGATTCAGGATTCAGGAACTATGACAATTCGGCAATTGTTTTCACTCAAAATAGACTGAGCAGGGCTGGAATAAGTCGCCGGCCCTTCTGATATTTCCGTCTCTATAATATGCCCATGTGAGATGCGAGTGTCGAAACACACAAGTGCTACCTACCTCGGGGCCCCGACGGTATGTTACACCGATGAAAGTATACTCCACTAACTGCAAGAAACTACCTAGTTAAGGTAGTAGATCGAGGCTTTTTTTTGGTAAATTGTGGCAATGGGTTGAAGAATCTTAGAAGGAATAAGAGGGATAATACGAGGGCGGGCATGCCGTATATGTACAACATATACGCCCACTTTGGGGTCTATTCAAACTGTTACTTTTGGTCCACCTGCCTATTTTGAGCTTATCTCTCAATAGATTTACATGAATATAGCAAAAGTCTGTCTACTCAAAGTCTAATCATACAGACCCCGTTGGTGCAGGCAGCGAGTTAAGACATGATCGTCGGTTTCAACTTGAAGGATCAGCGCAGACATTAGTGTAGGTGGATCAGCAAGATTATTTTAAACAAAGATAAACCAGTATTGTAAATGGATATAGTAAATATAGTCAAATATCAATCTAAGTAGTATAGAAATAAGAAAAAAACAATGAAGTTGAACAATTCAATTCTGTAGTTCGACTGTGGGGGAACGTCAACCAATCAGAATTCCCGGGGTTGCCGAGACGCGCCCGACCCAAACATTCTGACTTTGCTCCAAAACAAACCAACTCCAATATTCAACTTCACCCTTTTACTCTCAGAATGCCTCCAATTAACAGAAATTCTGGGTTAAACGACGATTCATTTTCGCTCACCAATTTGGACGACGAAATTATGGGCACTTCGACACGACGTGTCGATCAGGAGCTTGACTACGATATCAACACATCAACACTTGACCGTGCTTTCCCCGAATTTTCGCAAATACAAACCTCCGAAGAGGAGGAACAAGAATTGGACGACCTTTCACATAGTGACCTCGACATGTCTGTTGAGGTGGGACGCGGTGCTGGCAAGCCAGAACGCGACGATTCGCGCAGCTCTATAATGAGCTTCGAGAACAGTGTACGATCATCCTCGCCCGCCATCCGCGTTGAATACCCCACACCACAAAAGCCAGCTGCTGCCACACGCCCGTCGCGTCGTGCAGTCAGTGAAAACCTACGAAAGAACGCTCAGGTACGACGAGCCACCCAGGCTCAGAAAGAAACGATGAGCCCACAAGTCTCGAAGGCCCAGCGCGACCAGCGTCGGACATTCTCCGATATGCACGCCAAAGTGCGTGACAGCTACGAGGGTTCATTTTTGGGAGACGAGCGACCTGCACCTATCGCCACGAAGACGCGTTCGACGCGTTTTGGAAACGCAAACACATCTCAGGAGATTGCAGACGCAATTGAGCGAGCTTCACGGGACGCCTACGCAAAGGAATTCCGAAAATCGGCTTCCAACGCAGGAACTCCCCGCAAAAGCAGTGCTAATGCAGCCAACAACAACACTATTGGCGACACCATGACCCATCAATCATTCCTTCTTCCCGACCTCCCTAACATCTCTGAACTCGTTTCCGGTGTGTACGAAGATGGTACACCCGTGTACTCCCGACAGGGCAAGATGCGATCCACCCGGTTTGTTTCCCCGCTTCATGATCATACAGAAATGTCTCACCCCCACGAGCACATGCCGCTGGATGCAGTGCCCGTCCCCGAAGATGAGAAAGCATTGTTTGTTCATCTGAGACTACTCCAGGATAAGGTGGCAGAACTGGAGATGTTCAAGTCCGAGGCAGAGAGAAGACTGGACAGTTACCGTCAGGAAAATTCATCTTTGAAGGCGAGCAGACCTCGCCAGTCATCCGCGAAGTATGAATCAGAGGATAATGCGCACAAAAAGGGATCCAAGCGCCTGGAAAATGAGATCCAGAAGTTAGACGCGGCCAATCTTGCTTTACAAAACCAGTTGGATATTGCCGATCGAAAGGCCCAGGTCCAAGAGTCTGCCATCAAGCGCTTGAACCATGATAGAGAGTCGGCTATCTCGCAACTTGGAGCCGCTTATCTCGAGACTCGAGAGCTCAAGGCCGAGAACGAGGAATTGCGACAGGAAAATGCGGATCTCAAGTCCCAGATCAACCGATTGTCGGGCCGCAAGGCTCGCGAACAAGACACTGTCGAGTCCGAAGCTAGTTCAGCTGGGTCTGAGGATGTTGATGACAGCCAACTCTACACTGAGCGCAGTGGAGACTATAGTCGGAGCACTAGAGACATAACATCGAAAAGCAACCGCTCTACCACGAGGATTAGACGCCAGGATGACTCCCGCTCTAAGGTGTCTACTCAAGTGGACAAGGAAATTTCTCGCCTTGAAAAGGAACGTGCCGATGAGGCCCTCTTCTCTATTGAGATGCGTGCATCAACATCTAAGCCATCAAAGTCGGTGTCTCGTTCTTCCGAATCAAAGACCTCCCGGAAACAACCCAGCACGAACAAGCAACGCGTGAAGCGAGTGGTAGTTGAAGAGGTGACTGGGCCGGAGGTGTCCGAGCAGACCAAGGCTTCATCTGAAGCTGACGTTACCTTGTTGAGTGTTATTGATGAACATGAAATCTCTCGTCTGCGCAAGACATTGGAAGAAGAAAGAATTATGCGCAAGCAACGACGTTCGAGTGCCCCCAAGGAATCTAATCCTACAGAGACCGTCAACTCGACCAGACAGAGCATTTTGAAAGCCCCTGCCCCTCGCAAGTCCTCTCTTCGCGATTCAAAAGCAGAAATCCCTCGCCCAGCCTCGGCTACTGGGGATATTACCACCGCCTCCAAGGCAAATACCGATGGAGACCGCAGTCTTACAGTACCCATTGCAGAGCGTTCCCGGCGCCATTCGGAGAATTCCTTGCCCGCAGTATCCCAGCGCAAGAAGCAGCGAAATGTCGCTGACATGACCTCTGCTTTCATCCTTCCTGATATCACCCTCCACCACGTCGACTTGGCGGCAGCTGATCCATCCAAGCTGCCACAAGCCACCCAAAAAGCATTGGATAGCATTGCTCGACACAATGGACAGAACTGCACAGTTTGCAATGCTCACTCCACTGACGGCACCTGCAATCACGAGTCCGTGAAGGTCGCCAAACCAATTCCTGTTTCAGAACGTATGCCTGAGCCATCTGTTTGGAATGAAGAACCCACTATGCGCCCCTCGCAGCCTCCTGCCGTTGCTCTTGCTACTGTTCTCAAGGGTCTGGAGGACGAACTTTCTCACCTGAAGATGCAATTAGCCACATACCAAAGCGCCTATAACAAGCTTGACGCATCGCTCGGCAAGCGCCCGCGCAAGGCTCTACAAGAAAAGATTGACAAAATCTTCAAGGACATCGATATGAAGTCCGACCAAATCTACGCTCTATACGATGTTCTGGAAGGCCAAAAGCAAGATGGTCGTGAGATGACTGAGCATGAAATGGAAGCGACTCTTGAGTCAATTGGAATTGATGTCGGCGCATCCCATGCACCCGATGTCACTGGTACTACCGATAAGTCTTCTCGCCACGGGCAGATTGATTTGGATGACGAGGAGGATTTGCCCTGGGAGGGAATTGAGAGCACTGCTGAGATGACTGGCCACCTTTCAATAAGCGGTCACTGAGCTGATGTTTATTGCATCGCATTGCATGTGTTAATATTATTCTGGTTTTTTTGCTGTTACTTTGGCGCTGTTTTATGGAGTCGGGTTCCATTGGTATGTTTAGTTCATTGATTTGGATAATCGATTATTGGTTAGGTAGTCCTTCAAAGTTGATACTCAAATATCATTGCGGCCATACCGCAGCCTTGGAAATAACCTCCATGTCTTGTTCAACGTACATAGCGTACCTCTCCTCTTTCAGGGCGTCTACTTGTTTTATGCTGTCTATGTCAATCTCATTATCTTTGTCAATTTCTTTAGATGATGGTAATATGGTAATACATATGCAGTGGGATACCCCCAAGCGAACAGAAAAAAACGCCATCGCTATGCTCAGCAGCTTATAAAAAATCCAAGTGTCATGCAAGCCTCAAAGCCATTGCAAACCATGTCCAAGTTGCATTCAAGCAGTGTTCTCTCCACTATTCGCAGCCATAGCAGCACCCTCTGATGCCGTCGACTTGGAAATATTAGCAGCATCTCGCTGTGAGATCTCCTCCCCAACAAAACAGCTCAACCCGGCAAAAGCCTCAAGCAAGGTACGCGAATAGTATTCACGCAAATCATAGCCACCAGCCAGCATCCGCGCATCATTGCGAATAGGATCAAGATACTGCGACGGATAATATGACTGGAGAGAATAGTAATCGCGCTTTTCGGGCACATAGCCCATAAACGGATCGTACGGCTTTTCCGGCTCGGGCGTGATGATCTTGCGCAGACCCTTGACAAGCCCTGTATCCGCCGCACCAGCATGCTCCATCGCGGAAAGAGTCGTCCCGCGCTTGGTCTCCAAACGCAATGCAGCCTGTTTCTGTCGAATGCGTTCTTCCTCGCTGCGGCGCGCCGACGACTTCTTGAGCAACACCTTGTGTCCTTCGCGCGCGATGGCTGCGGCATCTGTCGACGAGCCGGAGGCGAGTCTTGAAAGGAAATCCTCGCGTCCAGCTTGGATTTCCCGTCGCTCGGTCTCGTATTCTTGGCGTACTGCTTGACGGCGTAGTCGGGCTTCTTCTTGTTCGAGGGTCATGCGGGCTTGGAACGAGGAGGCTTCCTCAGCTTCTATAGCTTGGTTTGTGCGGATTGACTGCATGTTGTCTGCTGCGTATTTTTGGAGTTGGGCTTCGGTTTTCGCCACGTCGATGCGGCTTACTAGGTTCGCGATTATGTCCTCTCTTTGTTCGAGGAAGTCGTCATATGCGCGTTTTGAGTCGAACTCTTCTTCGCGGCGGTTCAGACTGATCGAAATAAATTGTTAGTCCTCCCTCATCATAAGGGCCTTCTGGATGTTTGACAATAGACGTACATGTGCATCACACGCCGCCGGATATCTACTTCTCTCTCCACCCCGATATCTTCGAATGTCTGCTTGCGGAACCGATTTTTACGCAGCGTCTTGCGACACCCGGCTACCGGACAGTTGGCGGGACCGGATGAGAAAATGCGGTCCACGCACGACTCGCACATCTTGTGGTAACATTCGGGGTTGATGAGAAAGCGCATATCTGGGTTGAGGTATCGTGATGATTTGCAGACAGGGCAAACCTCTGTGAAATCATGTGGTTAGCATTATACATAACAAACAAGCTGAACAAAAGCTTACCGTCTTCATCACGGCGAGAAGCCGCATCGGAGGCCATGGTGAGAGTAAAGTGACGTGGGAGAGATGGACCACTGGGTTGAGGCTGATAAGCAACCAATGCGCACGGACCACATATTCATCACCTTTTTTTTTGCGACTTTTATTTTTGCCTCCGGCAACCCCTCTTTTTGCTCCGTTACATTCAATTGACATTGTCAGTACGAAGCTGCCACGTTTAACAACCATGGGAGTGCCGAACCCCAATCTCGACGCTCTCGAGGAGCAGCGCCTCGCGCTCGAAGAAAACATCCTCCAACTTCAGAAATCGCTTTACCACTGGCGAACCTGGGAAGCGGAATACGACGGAATCCGCGAGGAGATCAGCAACCTAGAAGATGACGCCAACAGAGACGAATTCCTTCTCGTGGCTCTGGAATTTGGCGGCACGCTGGTGGATCAGAAGGAAATGCAGACAATACTCGGTTCGCAAGGTGTGACGCGATCTCGCGGGCAAGTGATTGATCTTCTTGGAAGACGTATCGACTACGTGCAGCAGAATGTTGCCACTATGGAGAAGAGGCTTGCGAGGGCCCAAAATGAGCTGGACGCTTTGGTCTTGAATGATCAGCCACCGCTGCAGGACGGTGCGGAGTTCCCGATGCAGGAGATTATGGAGGAGCTTGATGAAGATGGAAACGTTGTCTCGAGCAAGATCAACACGCCCGGAAATGATGCTTCGGAATTGCTAGAAGTGCTAAAGAAAGCTGGCGTCAAGGATATTCCAGAGACTGCTGCTCCAGAGAAGACTGCTGCAGCTCCCGCCGATGCTACAACCGAGGGTGCACTAGATGAGTCTATAAGCTCAAATGCTACCGATCAGCAGAACGGTTCCTCGACCGGCGACAATGTGATCTCACAGCCAAATGGCCCATCTCTGAGATTCTCTCAACCCCAGTCTGTGGTCACTGCCGAAGATCGCATGCAGCCGCCTGTCACGGATGTGAATGAATCTGCAGAAGAAGCAAGACTTCGCCGTGAAATGCTCGATTATGGGATCCACGAGGTGGGGGCTATCGTAGCAGAGTTGGAGATGGACGAGTCCGGAAGCGAGATTTCCTTTGACGAGGAGTACGATTACGACTACGACGCGGAAGATAATGAAGACGAACACGGCCGCTCTCACACTCGCCTTCCGCCGGAATACCACCAGCAGATGATGGAATTGGAAGCCAAGCTCAATGCCCGAGGCTTGATGAACATGGGCAAGGATACCGAGACATTCCCCGAGGAAGTGCAGCAAGAGATTGCGACAGCTGCTCCGGTTGAAACTTCCACCAAAGAGAAGAAACCTAAGAAACGTGTTGCGTTCGCCGATGAACTTGATATCGCACCAGCTCCTGCGCCCTCAGTTATCGCGGAGAAGGCTCCTGCTCCACGGACCGAGCCCCAGGTGCTTGCTGATTCCATTGTTGAACGGACCAGCCGTGTTCCAGAGCCATCTCCAGCCACTCCCGACGTTCCCAAGAAAGTGTCCCGGTTCAAAAGTGCTCGGGCCGGTGCTCCAGATAGTACCGCTATCGATTCTGTTACTACTGGGGCTACAATCGCAAATCCGTCAGAAGTCACCGAATCTCGCCTTCGCAAACAAGCTAATACAACTCCATCTATGTTGCCGCCTGTCCTCTTCCCCGCGACGCCGAAAGAGCCCAAACCCTTCTCTGCACCGATCACTGATAACCCCGATGTCACCGAGAAACCTGCTCCGCCTCAATTCCCACACGACCGAACTCTAGCCGAAAAGGTCTTTGAGCGACAGGTCAAAGCAGGGGCCGCAGCTCCCCCTGAACTAGACGTCTACGACGAAGAGCTTCACCAGAAGCAGATTGCGTCCGAGTTCTTCAATATGCAGAAGCGCATGAATGGCACTAAAGAAGACGAGGAACAGGATACTTTGCCTCCCGAGGAAGCTCAGCCTAAACGGGTGAGCAAGTTCAAAGCTTCACGAATGGGATAGTTTACAAGAGTTGGCTATGTCTCCTTAAATCCAATGTATTCATTAGGAAGGAACTGTTTGTTTTGTTTGTCTCCCTGAGTAGTCCCCCATCAAAACCCACCCTCTTGCTATCTCTTCTCCTTCTCCTTTCTTCCTTCCTCTGACCAACGGGCTTCCAATTTCTGGTGGGTTTACCCTCAGGAAAATACAAGGTGCATACCCCTATCTACTCGTGAGATGGGAAACTCTGGTATCACCACCAACTGAAGTCCAAGATCAAAAGAGGGCTTCTCTGGCTGCATTCCTCAATTCTACCAGAACAGGAGAGAAAGCGTATGCTACTCGTGCTTCTCCTCTGGGGAGGTTCAGAGCAACTACGGGAGTATTGACTGCCTGGGGGATTGATAGATGGAGGTGTGGTTTATTTATCTCTCTCGACATCTCACGTAGCTTAACCTGAAGTGAATGCATTTATGTTTCGACTTTGTCTTCCCACTTGCCGCTTGCTTCAATGTCTTGTCATGTAGGCCGTTTCCTGTTTCCATAAGTCTCTGACTTTTACCGATCTCTTTTTCTATTTCTAGACATCCTGATTCTTTCTTGATAGCCCTAAACTGGATGACTGGGCAGAGGTCACGCCTGGTGCAATCTTCTCCAACTTGGTGACCAACTCTTTGAAAAACGCTTCCTGGATCAGAACTCCCTTTCCATTAGTCACGATACAAGATGGACTAGAGAACAGAGTTAGCTGACTTGATTTTTCGAATCAGACACAACGATTGACTGACCTGTGAATGTGACAGTTTGTCAGGTACTGCCCATTGCTTTTCTCATCAGCCATAACCGCGTGGACTAAGGCCCGACTTCCCATCTCCGTGCTGCGAGCCAGCAGCTTTTCGCCAACGCGGAGACCGACATTATCTGTTTCCCGCGCCAATTGAGACTTGCAAAAACTGGGGTTCGGCGTGTTGATGATAACCAGCGGCGCTTTACTCTGTGCGAATTGATCCGCAAATGCACGCACACCAAACAATACCAAGAGCTTCGACAATGGGTATCGACCCGCCATATTAGTGGCTTCCTTATTGTTGAGAGATTCGAAGATACCACCCTCATTTTGAGGATCCAGCTGCTCAAGAGAAGCAATATAGTGCAGAGCCGAGTTTGGGATGGTGATGCGAGGCGTGATATTGAACTTGGAAGCCGACTCTTGCAATTTGGGAACCAATAAGGCAACGAGCAAGAACGTGCTCACCACGTTGACTGTGATGGTTCTTTCATCCTCTTCCGATACAGTGAATGTGTTGGCAATCAGCCCAGCATTCGCCAACAGAACGTCAAGACGTGGTAGAGCAGCAGCGCGGCTGGCAAAGCTTTTGACTGAGACATAGCTATCCATATCCAGTGGCCACACCTCGACTGAGCTTTCTTCGCGGCTGGTGGATTGCAAGAGTTCTTGTCTTGCAGCTTCGCCCTTCTTCAGATTGCGTACGGCCATGATAAGCTTCTCCACACCTAGGCGCAACAGGTGGCGGCTGGCCTCGAAACCAAGTCCTTGGTTTGAACCGGTTACGATGACCGTCTGTCCGCTCAGATCGCCTTCGGGGTAAGGGAGTTGGATGAATATGTTAGAGAATACCGTCGACGAGACGCCCTCTAGAGTCGAAAAGATAGACATGGCTATGTCTTACTGGATTGAAATTGAAGAAAAGTAATAGACAATGAGTATCAATGTTCAAAACTCTGGATTAATGTTAAAAGAATGCTTTTCTTAACGCTTTAAATAAGAGACCCTCTAGCAGTCGGGCTTATTATCGCCGTTCTGGTTAAATCAATTCCAACTAGGACGTTGAAAGGCACTTGTAGGGCTTTATTATCTCCGTCTACTGCGTATATATTACATAGGCCAGTCTGTGGAAAAGGGCGTGTAATTATCGATCTGATGTATCAAATACCGTCAAATAACAGGGTCGGGATGGAGATAATATCTCCGCTTTGCCCCCTTCTTTTCTATACTCCGAGATGATCTGTTGAATACAAAAAAATAACTTTGGACTTTTGCTTGACTATCTGGTCTCATATCTAGAGATGTCTGTGAAATTTGAAAAACGAAATCGACCACCTCTCTCCTGCGAACCATGTCGTACACGGAAGTAAGCATACATCACGTACTACATCCCTGGCTAGGTACTAGAGACTCATCTTTCCTAGATTGAAGTGCAACAGACTTGTACCTTGTGATACCTGCATTAAACGCAATGTAGAGTCCACATGTCAGTACGCTGCTAATGCTGTACGCGGCAAACCCCATACTTCAAGGCAACGTGCCTTGAGCGATAGATTGAAGCGTCTTGAGGATTCAATCCAATCACTCGTTGCAGGAGGGAACATGCCCCAGACGAACCTTCAGACGCATTCAGAAGAGACACATACCGTTGAAGGTGCAATTCTCCCCAGCTCTCAGGGAGTCTCTGTCGCCGCGACTGGGCTGGCTGCCAGCAATGAACCTCGCATCGGAGACCAACATCTCCAAGAAAAAGCGATGCCAGATACTCTCCATACTCACGGTAAAACTAGCCACGTTGACTCCAGTCACTGGGTTTCTATTTTAGAGGATATCAAGGAAGTTCGAGAAAGTTTGTCTACTGTTGATCCCTTCTCGCTCCTCGAGCCGACGAGCGACGACCGTACAAGTGAAAATCCAGACTTGAGCCTTGCTCTTGGATCAGAACATGGATTGAAAATTAAAGATATTCTTGTCTCGCTGCCCACGCGCCCTATCTGCGATATGTTGGTATCTCGATATTTCAATGCTCGGTACATGGTGCTAGGTCGGCTATCCTTCAACTACCCTCGTTTGTATATCTGGCTGATTCTAGGACAATGTAGGTATTGTGCACTCGGGGAAATTTCAGGATGAAGTGAGTCACATCTTTGTGTTGTACATCCTTTTCGGAGATACTCAATAAAGCATCTCTTACCCTGACTGACTTGGGACAGTATGGAGAATTTTGGAAATCGCCACAAAAGGCCCCCGTGCTTTGGATTGCGCTTCTCTTCGGTATCCTCAGTGTATCAGCTCATCTTCGCCTGAAAGTGAACGCAGACGGGACTTTAAATGGTTCAATGCCATCGCCCGATATCCTCCGACAAAAGGCAGCGCAGTGCCTTGCGTTAGGGGGATATAAAACAGCCAATGCCCATGCGTTAGAGGGACTGCTTCTATACACTCAGAGTGGGTTTATGAGTGACATGAAAACCACCTCTCGACAATGGTTCGACATGGGGATCATACTCAGGTTAGCATTCCGTATGGGCTACCATCGCGATCCCAGCACTTTACCAGGTGCCATATCACCATTCGATAGTGAAATGCGACGTCGGGTGTGGCTGCATATCTTCCAGGTGGATGCGCTATTAAGTTTCCAGATCGGCCTTCCAAGCATGATACCAGCTGAGTGCTGTGACACCCATTTTCCCAAGAATCTATACGACGCCGATCTGCACGTTGGGATGTCAGTATTACCTCCATCTCGACCCTCTTCTGAATACACACCCATCCTCTATGGTATCTCCAAGGCCGGTGTAATGAGTATCTTCAAAAAGATCGTTGCCCACACGATTTCACTCGCACCACCGTCTCACAGCAAAACCATTACTTTGGACGCGGAGATGCGCGGTGCATACACTCTAGTTCCCGACTTTTTAAAATGGAGAGACATCAGTCAGTCTCTCATGGACTCATCCGAGGTAATCCTAAACCGATGCACAATAGAACTCCTATACCTGAAAGGCCTTGTTGTTCTTCACCGCCGGTATATCCGATATGAGCACCAAGACGCTAAATCCGAGTCATCACGACGCTTCTGCGTGGAAGCAGCACTTGAAATTCTCGCCCGCCAAGCAGACATGCATTCAGCATTCCAGCCTGGAGGCCGTTTACAAGAAGACCAGTGGATGATTTCCTCGCACACAATCTATGATTTCCTCTTAGCTGCAATGGTCATCTGTCTGGATTTATCTGTGCGTCTGGAATCTCATACGACGGCGTTTGTAGACGAGCGTGCAGACCATGGCTTTGTTTCGAGGGAGATTGTTGCACTAAAAACATCCCAGCGGATTTGGGCTGCTAATAGTCATCTTTCGTCGGAATCGCGCATTGCGTCGCTGGCGCTGGACTTGATGGCTCGTAAAGTGGCTGAGCGGCAGGCTAGCTTCTCTTGCGGGGGGGATGTCTATATGGATATTCCTCAAGTGAGTCTGGAGTTGCCTTATATGGAGCCGATGTCGGAAATGATTGATGGGTCTGAGACGCTGGACTGGGTAAGCCCTTTGATGGAAATTGAATCGATCATGAATGATATCTGACCATCTTCCTCTAGCTTTTGTTGGACCAATATTTCCAAAACTCAGGTCTCGAGACGTCTCGGTTAGATCAGAGCAATGAGATGAGTGGGTTATTTACGGAGGATCCTGGAACATTTGACCCTTGTGTATATCATTAGCTATAGTATGAGTACAGTATCGGAGAAACAAGGCTATCTAACCACTTATACTTTACTCGAATATTACACGCACGACATATTTAGCACCAGGGTATGTTGTGTAGAATTCAATTAACAATTTTGTTGAATACATTGAGGTTTGCTCCTTGCCTCCATGCATGCAAAGGAATATTTCATCAATTCGTTGAAAAATAACATGGGGATCATCGTGGCAGAGTCATGCAGATGTACTTAAAGGCCCGAAAAAGAGACGCAGGGCATACTACTCATTTACAAGTCCATCTCCGGGTTTCTGTGCCAAGTACAAAGGGCACCTAGACGGAAACCTAGCCCGACGACCAGTAGGTGTACAAAGATGGCAAGGGTCTGGGCCCGAATGCTGCGCGTTGTTAACGTAAATGCTGCAGAGAGAAGAAGAGGGTAAAGGATCCAGGGGTTGACGGCCAGCGGCGAGCATGGATGAAGAAGGGAGGTGATTTTGACGAGGAAGAGAGTTAGTTGCAAGACAGGCGAGGGTAGTAATAAGTTCCAAGATGCCAGGAAATTCATAACGGGAAAGCGGCTCGGTGGAGGTGGGAGAAGATGATTTCGAGGGACTTGTTGAGCCTGGGGTTCGAGGGGTGATGATGATTCGTGAGGAGGATGGGCTGGAGATGATGATGGGGGTGAAGTAGAGTAGCGATGCCGGACGATCATTTCTCGATCTGGGCCAAAAGAAGGGCCCTCCTCTGGATTGAGGTCAGACACAGGCGCCTTGTTGCTTCGAGAATTACTGGAATCGGGTACCGAGTCACGCCGGAAAGATGTTGGGCTTCGGCGCATCTTTTTGGTGGGGGAGAGTGTTCGCTCGACTGATGGCTGCTGGCTGTCCAATGGGCGGATCCGAGCCCCGGGCAGGTCGGAGCTTCCCGTGCTTGCCTTCCTGAAGCGAAAGTTTTCATTTGAATTGGCACCGACTTGGATGCCATTTAACACCTCGTCGGCTGAGGGTCTTCGGCCGGGATCAACCGAGAGCAAACGCTCTAGAAACCTATACAGCTTTTCAGGGAGATCAGAGCGGATAGCTCGTGCATGGTCAAATCCAGCCCAGCTAGTGATCTCTGCACGGAGTTGATCCAAGTCCTCTTTTTCTTCGTTTATGAGGTCGGCATTCGCGTATGGAAGAGCTGCGAAACATAAAAAGTAAAGGATCATTCCGAGTGAGAAAATATCAGACTTGAACGTAAAATTGCCGAATGGTCCATCAGGATATTCTTGGCGAAGAACTTCGGGTGCACAGTATGAAAGAGTACCGGTAGCACCGGTTGACTTGCGCATTGCATTTTGAGACTGTACCTCACCGAAATCGCTGACCAAAACTCTGATGCCGTCACTGGTCTCGTGGAGCAGGCAGTTGTTTGGTTTCAGGTCTCTATGGATGTACCCATTGGCGTGAAGATAACGGAGTCCAGAGGTAATATCGCGGAAGAAAGAATAAATCTCATCTAGCTGCAGTGTGCGAGCTCCTCCCAGGTTGATTCGAGGCTCCGGCTCGCCTTTAGATTTGCGGCGAAGACGGTCCTTCAATTGCTGCGCAGTGGTCGAGGTTTGCATAGAGCCACAGATGTAATCATGCAAGTCACCAGCATTGCAGTATTGCTGTAGAATAAATGCGCAAGGCACACTCGGGCCGAAGGTGCTTATTTTCGCATTTTCCAGCCAGACATGACGGTATGAGACAAGATTCTGGTGCGAGAGATGCTGCAATAGCTGTACTTCGCCCAGGACCTTTTCGAGCCACTCATGATCGTCGCCAACGGGAACACGCTTGCAGGCATAATGACCAAGAGACACACTATCTAGGACATGCTTCACTAGGAGCACCACACCTTTTCCACCTTTGCCCAGCACTCGTTCCTCCACGAAGAACCTCTTGAAGTAATCTGGACTGAATGCTGCGGAGGAAATTCCTTGGGGGGACGGTTGTGAGGATGAGGCAGGTCGGACTGGTGTGTTACTGGCAGGGCCACGAGGGAGTGAGGGTTGAACAAGGCGATGGCGTGGAGATGGAGGAGATGAGGATGTCGCGGAGCCAGGGAGACTATTGTTGAGCATGTGGAAGTAGTTTGGGTTAATGAACTCCCCTTCCGGTTCAGTATCCCCGCCATGATGTTCTCTACTATTATCACGCATTGAGCGATGGCAGAATGGGCAGTTGGCTAGCTCCAAATTTTCAATGTCCGTATCTGACGTATTGCGGAGAACGAGCTGTTGGGAATCATGGTCGAAGACGACCACAGAGTCATTGTGCCGCCTATTCACAATTAGATAACTGATAGCACAGATGTAAAGATGACTTACAAAACAACATCAAGGTTTCCCGCATTGTAAGGGACCATAGACATGTCGGCGGGCATTCTGGTATGAATGTGAAGGAAGACAATGGGGGGGAGCTGTTATCGATGACGATGTAGACCTGGGGGTGGGCGGTGAGAAGTACGGTTGTGGATAGCGCCTGCAGATGGAACAATCCTTCCTTTATATTCCTTTTTGTACTCTTTTTATAGATGAAATGGAAATGTTTGATTATACTTTATCCCAGGATGACTCGAATATTCAAAGGCCCAATTCGGCTATCTTCCGAACTAAAACAGCGAAACTAAGCAAAGACCGATCTAGTTAATAGTGGGGTACAGCTTACAACCCACACAAGTTGATCATCTCAAATAATACACTCTCCAAGTTCAGCCTGATTTTAAATCATGGATCCAATTTCTATCACCGGTCTCGTAATAGAGGTCAGCCATGTGTTATCAAGTCTGATCAGATATGCCAAAACGGTGCAGACTGCAAAGTCCGAAGTGCGGAAACTTACCGAAGAGCTCTTTGCTCTAAAAGGGATATTGGAGCATTTGGCAGCACAGATAGATGATATTCCCAAATGGCAGGAATCAGAAACAAGCTCATTTGATCACGATGTTATGGTGAGAGTGTTGCGTACAACAAATGAGTTTCTCCAATCCTTGCTCATGGACTTGGAAGTGGCCGAGACCAAATTTAAGCGTCTCAAGCAAACTCTGAAATGGCCTTTTACTCAGACAGAAGTCAGCGAGCATCTGATACGTCTGGAGAGAGTCAAATCGTGGTTGATACTGGTTCTCATTGCAGACCATAACTCGGTAGATCGGGAGATGCAGCAGGAGATTCGTGATCTGACAAGCACATTGAAGGAAGACTTGCAGATTCGATTTCAAGAGAGAAACAAATTGGCCAACAGAGAGCTACTAAAATGGATAGCTCCTGTGAGCCCCGAGAGCTCTCATCTACGGGCGTCAAAAAGACATAGAGATGGGACTGGTAGATGGTTTGTCGACGGTCATTTGAAGACATTTCTCGATCAAGACGAAAAGCGGGTTTTCTTCCTCGTCGGAAAATGTATGTACCCTACGCGATTTCAAAGACATTTTCACTGATATAATCTTGAAGCCGGAACTGGTAAAACTACACTGTTGTAAGTTTCATCTGGCAATCGGACTGCTCTTACATCTGACCTTCGCTAGTGCACAAGTTGCCGACAAACTTACTTACATGGCTTCTCAAGGCCAATCCATGTGCCTTGCTTATTTTTACTGCACAATTAGTGATTTTTCATCTCAGAATGCGAGCAATGTTCTGGGATCACTTGTGGCACAGCTCTCAGGCACGGTTCCCTCAATATTGGACGAGATTCGGTCTATATACAATAAAGGTTCAAAGAATCAACATAGGTTCCCTATCGAACTCTCTGTTCTCGAAGCTGCCATCGTCCAGTCTGCTACCGAAAAGACAAAGGTTGTCCTTTTGGTTGATGCAATCAACGAAAGCCATGATATGCAGCTTCTTGAGGCGTCTCTTCTCAAGCTGGCTAGCTTATCCACGAACATCCGCGTGCTTATAACAACTACAAACACCACGAGTTCCATTGGACATCACAATGCATCTGTCTTGAATATAAGCGGAAAGTCACGAGGGGACATCGATAGCTTCATCAAATATCGACTTCAGACTGACGATACATTGAGAGCTTTGACACCGGAATTCAAGGAGGAGATTGAATACACTCTTTGTCGGGGTGCCGATGGATCGTTAGTATAGTATCCATTTACTGTGGTTTCGGTGGTCTAATTATATCTCTTCGCAGATTTCGCTGGGTCCAGCTCTCACTGGACAACCTGAGCACGCAGCGATCTGTCAGGGCGATGCGACAAGCCTTGAAGAACCTCCCAAGTACATTACGCGAGACATATGCAAATATGTTGGAAAGAATCGCCCCTGACGATTGGAAAATTGCTCACGAGGCCCTCTTTTGGCTGAGTTTTGCCAAACAGCCTCTTACTTTGAAGTCTCTCAATGAAATCGTGGTCATGGACGAGACAAGCATAACACTCGACGAGGATATGATGCTTGTCCCTCCGCATATTCTTCTTGAAATTTGTCAAGGACTCATCTCTGAAGACCAAGATGGCTATCTCAATCTCGCGCATGCGTCTGTCAAGGATTTCCTAACCTCTGATTGGATCCGCTCATCTCGAGTCCAATATTTCAGCCTGGATCCTACAACGGCAGATCTGAAAGCCATGCACAGTTGTCTCACATACCTCTGTCTTGACAATTTTGCAAAGGGATACCTAACATGTCCCGAAAACCCAGCCAAGCTACGAGACGATCATCCGTTCATAGCTTACGCCGCAAACCTATGGCCCCAACATGGTGCTGCCTGCGGCTTTGGGGGTGCTGAGCAAGACATGGTGCACAAATTCTTTGCCACAAGGTCTCTTCCTGGCCGGGGGAATTATGGCACTTGGTTACAGGTGTTGTTACGGACAACTGCTGCTTCAAGCACGAATGATGCTGTGGCCATTGACGGAACGCATCCCCTATACTACGCTGCCTCCTTCGGGATGGTTCCAGTCGTCGAGTATATTCTCGCCTCCGAGCCAGATATCGATATCAATGCTCCTGGTGGTCGTGTTCGGGCTACGGCAGTGTGGATTGCCAGTCTTCGCTTTAAGTTCGAAGTCGTGGATATTCTCCTGCGTGCTGGAGCTGATCCATCCATTCGGGATCCAGGTAGTGGACTTAACGTACTTGATCTTCTGAGGATGGTGCCAACCCGTCATCGAGATTACCAGGCTCTTCGACCCATTTTAGCTCGTCCAGCACCGTGGAAGGAGATAGAGCGCAGTGAGAGGAAAAAGAGGATTGATTATCTCAAACAAACAGCAAGCGAGTTACCTAAGGTTGGCTAGGAGAGACCTGGCCAACAAGGCCAGTGAGTGCGATAGAAAGATGAATTGAACCAACGATGTGGAAATGAAAGCAGTTTTGCTACGAATTGCCCAGTTGAGACATATTTGACCAAGAATGTCACTATTTTCTGCCACGCTTCTCTCCCCACATTTCTATCCATGGTTGCAGAGCGGAACCACAATCAAATCTGAACCTCCTACTATTCTGTGGCTGTGCAGGATTGGATAGACATGTACTCCGTACGAAGATGCTACAACTAATCGGAAGATGGTTCAAGTAGAAATAATTTCATTCATTTTGATTCCTCATCGAATCGGGTATCTGATTTGGGGCTGGTGACGGAAAAACACCTAAACGCCTAAAGTTGTACAATTATGTACCGGGATGCTCACGATTGACGCGGCTTTTGGATGACAGGCACTCTTCAGGCCTGGGCGACATGTCGCAAGGCAACCTTCAGACTTCTGTGCGATAAAACACACGACGATGTCTTGTGGAGAGCCAGGTCCGCGCAATGCGGAAATGGGGAGGAATGACCCGGCTAGAAGCTCTGTTTCAAGAGCTAGCAAGCCGATCTCATGGCGATAGACTGACCGTCTTTCGTAGGGCGGACATAGGAATAGGGATGACACTAGTGCCTTTGAAAAGACCGATGGATCAATCACTCCTCGCCACTCTCCACGTCACTGACCTCCAAGTTAGCGATAGAATCATTATCGCTGTCCTCGTCATCGACGGCCTCATCTTGGGCAGACTCAGACTCGGCCTCGGCCTCAGCGTCCTTGGCAGCAGGCTCGTTGTTTTCATCCAACTTGCGCTTGCGAGGCATCTCGCCGAGTGCACCCTCACGGCCCTTGACACCCGCTTCGTCCTTCTCGCCGTTCTCACCCTTACCGGTACCCTTGGGAGGGGGTGTGTACCAGGGGATCTTTCCGCGAAGGAAGTCGTTGATCACCATCTTGGCGACACCATCCAGATCAGCTTCACCTCCCTTGAGGAGACGACCACCCTGGCGAGCAAGAAGTGCGAGCCAGTCGAGGTAGTTCTCCTGGTGCTTGATACCGTAGGTACGTTCAAGGTGACGGGGCAAGACACGGCGAAGAACGGCCGGGATGTATTGCTCTGGGTTGTGGACGTTCTCCACTCTGCAGACACCACGGAGAAGGATGTCCTCCTCGGTGTCATTGACGTTGGGAGGGACCACACCAGGACAATCGATGAGATAGATTCTCTTCATCAGGGTGATGTACTGCCAGACCTTGGTTTCACCCGGAATGGGAGCCACTGTGCACACCTTCTTGGCTCGGAGAGTGTTGATGATGGAAGACTTGCCCGTGTTGGGGTAGCCGATCAAGCCAACCGACACTTGCTTGCGGTCAGAGTGAAGGGAAGAGAACTGGCGAAGCAGCGAGATCAAAGAACCCTTGCCGAAAGAGTTGTTGATGTTGGCATGGAAAGCAAGACAAGGGTAGTCCTTAGAAAGATGACGAACCCAAGCGGCCTAGTCAAAGATGCAAAGTTAGCAATCAGTCACCAGCAATGAATGAAACATTGTGTAAAGGCAGGAATGTGTGGGATGTTACTAAGAAATTCTGCTACAATGCCACCAAAAAGGCAGAAGCAGACTTCTACTCAAAAACAAAACACAGCTGGCCCTTGCGACAGGCTTTCAAGACGAAAGCAAGTCAACCTAGGTTCATAACGAAATTCGGTGCGGGCCAGTGTTAATATACCAAAGCTGTAACAGACGGAATTCCATTGAAACAAGCACAACCAAAGTCGTGCACGACCGAAGTCGCAGGAAGAGGCCTTGACTTAGCGATGGAACAGGGGGATAAAAGAAAAACGCAGGACGGCAATGAAAGCAATAACAGAGCGAAGTAAAGGGGTAGCAAAGGGGAAACGGTGAAACTTACAGCAACGCCAGTGGGGACGAGATCGCACTTGTTGAGAACGAAGATCAAGTGCTTGTGTGGTGCCTCCTCCCGAACGTATTTCTCAACGCTTCTGCAACGAGTACCCTCGGGATCACGGGAATCCAGGACATGAATGATGACATCGGAAGAATCAATGACCTTATAAAGTTCGTTCCAGATACGCTTACTCTGTCCCTTGGAGAAGACAGATTCACGAGAGGTAGTGAGCAGACCCAGGTCTTCTTTTGCGGCAGTGTCATCACCGCGAACAATCGCACTTCCATCGGCGTGAGTTCCCTCATCGTTCTTCTCAATGTAGCTGTCCTGCATCTTGGCTGTCTGGCCGGCAAGATCTTCGAGTGACGACACACCAAGCTTGACACGCTTGCGTTGAGCCTTGGGGCCGAAGGTATCATTGAAAGGAGACGTCTCAATGGCCATCTTAGCCTGGTGCTGCTTCAGACCATTGACCTTATCATTGTCCCGGATCAAGCTCATGGGGAGCTTGTTGGTCTTAAGAAGAACTTGGTACGGGTCGGCAGCACGCTCAGCAACAGCCTCACGGAACGAGGTGAGAGCCTCTTGTGAGATAACGCGGGAGTTAGCAAACCATTTACGGTTTGGCTCGATGCGGGCTGTCGGCAACTCCTTGGATTGATAACTCGCAGCGACTGTGATATCACCCTGTGCGTTGCGGCGAGGGGTGCCATCCTTGAACATGTTCAAGGTCTTAAGCTTCTTGGCATCACTAAGAGGCGGGTCAGTATTTTTTATTCCAGCATAATAGAGATTTTGGCTGAGGCTTCACATACCGGTAAAAATTTTCACCTTTGGTCTTGACATTGGCCATGCCATCGTTGGGCTTCCCCTGCCGCACCTTACGGTTGGCCTCCTTCTTTCCTGTACCCATGATAACGGTTGTGGGTTAAAATATGAAAAGAAAAGAAAGTGCCCGAAAAAAAATCGAAGGCAAGACCAAACACGAAGAGTGGCAGACTGCAAAGAGAAGAAGAAGAAAAATAAAAGGCGGCGAGGGAATTATTTTTTTTTGGCGCCAAGACATTATCGTGCACGGACCAAGGGAAAATCGCTTCTTGTTTCTTCCGACTTGCTCGACCGCGTATCCTCCCTATTATACGGTAATCAACCTCAGGCTACATACTGGTTAGATTGAAGGTCGTGCCATTGACCTTTGATTTGATAATTTACTTTGCGAGAATCCCCTGCCTGTTTGATCACTCCACGGAGTGACAGGGTTGAATTGCGCCGCATGTCTGTCCTCCGCAACAGCCGGACTGCCTCTGTGCAGGTCCGTGGATTTGCTTCCTCCGCCAATCTTCGAGTCGGGCCCGAATCACCTCACTTCATCGATGTGCCAAAGATTATCCAGCCCACCAACCCCCGCAAACCTCACGTCAGGGGTACACTACCCGTGCCTCGTGAGCTCTTCCCGGCCCGCCGAGCGGACAAGCCCCGGACACCATATCTCAATGCAGCCACACCTCTCCCCAAGTCGGAACGTGTAGTGAGCATCAATAGCAGCAACCCCGAGAAGCAGGAATGGAAGCACAAAATGGCCGATCTGCGGAGACAGAACCTGCGGGATGGTCTGCGAGATCTGTACTCGCGCAAAAGGTCCGCAGATTCCAAGATAATCAGCCGCAGTCTTGAGAGTCAGAAACGGCGGGACCGCATTCTTCAGCAGCCCGAGCGTGAGGACGAGCGCCTCACTCGGCCATCGACCATCGAGGCGATGATGCCCCAAAAACAGCCAGTTTACCCTGACCCCAACCGGGAGGAACGCCTTGCGCTCTCTCGGGCACGCCTGGAAGCCAAGCAGGCACAAAAAGAGGCTGAGCGGAGGGAGCACCTCCAGTCGTTGTATGTCAATGCTCGCACGTTCATTACAACCGAGGAGCAGCTCGCTGCTGAGATCGACCGCGTCTTCCCCGAGGGCGAGAACCCGGCATGGCGCAACGACCACCAGCCCGGCGAGAACATCTGGAACCTGGGTAACCCCCCAACTGTGTACAATCTTGCCAACAAGACCCGTCACAATGAGGCTGCTCGCTGGGATGTCGCTCAGGACCGTGTTAAGAAACTTGGAGAGGCTCTTACTGGAGGTAAGATGCGGGAGTAATCTATTTTTTTGGCATCATGTACAATATCTATCAAGCTATCACATTCACATTTCAAAGCTCAAATCAAGAGATCCTTTGAGGTCCTTTCATTTTCTCGAGTCAAGTTCCCACCACGTTTAATGTCAATGTGAGTAGGTTTCTAAGGGTGAAGGCACTGAAAGGCGTGATTTATGTCAAGGAAGAAGTAGTCTCACCACGCAACCAATCCAATAATGGCTACAGCATCACCTCGCTAGTATTCTTCATACCAAGCGGGTTGATACCGGTGGAAACTCAATTGAGGGACAGACTGGGTTCGATTATACATATTTATGGATAGCTGCGCATTATAGATTTGTGTCTACTGCTTTCTGAGGTTTATTCTCGTTGCTGTATCGCTGGGTTGCTAGTTTAGCTTATCGAATCGCTGATGCAGCTCTCATTTTTGGGAAGCAAGCAACTCTTGAACTTAGAGCCCAGATACTCGAGAAGAATAGAGTCGAAGATGAGGTGTCAAAGGTGCCGAACTCCCTCGGATTGAACCCATAGATGATCGTGTCATTGGCGATGTCGTCCGCAAGTGTCACCGTCTGGTGACTCCCGACCGGCCTATAGGGCCCGCGTAGATAGACTAAATACATCATCATTATCTTCCCCTAAGCTCTCAGTGTGACAGCAAGGGACCCCTGATGGTACTCGGTGGCAGGTACGGTGTCGTCCACGGTATCATCGCTTCCGGCGGTGAAGTGTCTGGATTCTTGTCTTAGAGGACAGAGCTCAAGGTACGTGACCATCTGCAACAACAAACGGCATAGAGTTCAATCTGCCCTGAAACGCAGGGGTGTCGGCAATGCAAGACCAGGTATAGTTGACTCCACCATTGGTAGCATTGAACATTCGATATCAGAGTACGCGGCCCCTGTACCAATCTAACAAACACGTACATGCATGCCCATAAACAGG